GGGAGCCGGCATTGGCCTGCATACAGCTTCCGGGTCATGTGGGCAGCATGAGTAAGCCGCTTCTGGCGAACCAGAACAGCGCACGGAAACACCGTTTACCTTCCCACCGGAGCGATACCTATTTATCTACTTGCACTTTGACATGCTTTCAAACTACTAGGTGGGCAGGAGCTGGGACTGAACAACAGGAGCTCACCCCGTTGTGGGGATTTGAACCGCCAACTTTCTGATCAGCAAGCCCTAGGCTCTGTGATTTAGACCACAGCGCAACCCGCATCCCCCTTCCTCATCCCTAATGACTGCCTAATGCTCCTGTTGAAATCAATGGGACTTGGCTTGACTTTGGCTAGCTTATATACCAGTTTTGGAACTGTGGTTCCTATTAACTGTATGCAAAGTTGTTCAAAGGATGTGAGGTGAGCTAGAAATCTGACACTAAACATTTTCCATTGTGAATAGGAGAAAAGAGGTCTCTTTGGGGACAATAGCATAATGGCTGGACTAGGATCTGGGAGAGCAGGGTTGAAACCCCAATGTACCCTTCAAGCTCCCTGGGTGACCTTGGGCCAGTTGCTGTCCCTCAACAACCTACCTCACAGGGTTGTTGGAAGGATAAGATGGGGAGAACCATGTACTCCACCTTGAGTTCTTGGAGAGGGTGGGAGATGTGTGATATAGCTGTAATAATAAAGAAATAAGCAATAAACTAAAATGGCCACAGTTGGCCTTGGCGCTTCAGGGCTTTCGACAGCTACCATTGTACCAAAGTTTCTAGATATGGTAATTCAGCTGGGGGGGGGATGCAAGTAGCCGAAGTAATAGCAGTTTGAGCAGACTTGAGAAGGAAAAAGCCGGGTCAAAGACCGCCAAAGAGGTTTTAATTTAGTGACCTCCTGATTAAAGGTTAAAAAAACATTTTCTAACTTCATGACAACTAAGCCACCAGGTTAATGCTGATTATTTATTTAAATGGATCCAGCTGTGTGAATAAACTTGAGGGAAATTACAGTTTCTGATTTCCCCCCAAGATTTTGTTTAAGAGAGTGTGAAGTAAATATTGCAAATAAGTAGGCATTAGCTGACAAGAGTTTGAACAGGTGTCTGGTGCAAGGAGGGACAGCTGATGGCTGTTTTTGGTACACCTACTACAGCATTGCAGAAAACTGCTACACTTCTTGACCTCCCTGCCTTCAGCTACCTGCTAAAAACGTACTGAAAATGTAAACAGCGGCACATGACCAAGTTTAAATTGATGTGTGGAACAAATGAAGGGAGATCTTGCTTTTAACATTATAAAGTCACCTCAAAATGGTTTGAGCCTTTTCTTCGAGGTTGGCCGAACGTGTCCTGCTTCTTCATTTTTAAAAAAGACTTCTGAGAAAATAGTGAAATAAAAGTCGGTGAGATGCCAGTGACTTGTGATCAGCTTAAGGAAAAGAGCCAAATCCAACAAAGGGTAACAGAACATTATGAAGAATGCTGCACTCAAGCCTCCTACAAAGCATTAAAGGCAATACCTAATACAAGCTAATGGTCATGTTTGTGTTTGTATATTCCCACTTTGGCTATTTCTCCATAGATTAGACTTGGAAGCAAACACAAGCTGTATAGTCTAACTGCAAAAGCAGGACCAATATGACACCATGGGAAAGAGTGCGAGCGAAGAAAATAGCCCCAACCTATATAAGCAAAGTGAACTGAGTGGGAGCCATTTCATACTAGGGCACAGCTATATGAGTGTTGCAGCAGTGTTTTCAGTAATAAAAATAACCATGTAAAGTGGAGATTTTACATGGTTTATAGAGGGTATTTAAGACCTTTAAGATTCGGTTGCACAGACAAAACAACTTCACCAACATGTGGGAGAGGATATAAGGCAGTTGGTTTGTGGTGGTCATGTGGAAATGAGCAACATTACAAATCAGCCTAGAATCGTAGAGTTGTACAACGTTATCCAAGCCTGGGTTTATTAACACTATTTAAAGAAGATCAGCTCAATTTACTTTATAAGGAACTCATCTCTTTTCTCCTGGTGGCGGCACAACTTCTTATAGAAAGGACTTGGGCACCTGCATATCACACGATATGTGACAGAATGTGTGGACTATTGCCTTATCTGAAAAACTGACAAAAAGGTTACATGTCCTGAACAACAAATCCAATGCGGACGACTTTACTGACATATGGTACCTGTTTATAAAATATTTGAATGAACACTCGGAAGACTGGCACCCACCGACTTGTGCACACAGATTTATTGCAAAATCTGACACCCTAATCTTCTGTTCCGGGGGTGGAGCTGGGGGAACTTAATGTTCTGTTTATATTTTGTTGAAAATAAAAACCTTTTATTAAAAGAGAAATGGAAAACAACCTACCCTTCCCATGATTCTTTGTGGGAAGCCATGACTATTTAAAGGGGTATGATACTGCTATACATGTTTAGAGCAGATGAGGCCTGAATTAGGTACATTAATCTCAATAGGTCTGCTCTGAATAAAACTTAGCTGAATACCACTCAGAAATATTTGTCATTCCTGGTTCAAATCAAGCTGAGGAAGTATAGAGGCAGTGGGTCACCAGGCTAGTTACACTTTTCACTCAGATGAGCACCAGCACTTGCACAGAAATAAAAACAATGAAATCAAAAGCCATAATGGACACAAAAGCATCACTGGAATTCTAGGTGGGGGTGGGAATGCAGACTATACAGATATCAGTGTACAAAGCCTGGTTTTGTAAACTTTTGGGTATTATAAAAATTATATTCAAACATCTTAGCTCCACACAAAAAGGTATGCCTGGATTTAGTATTTTTCAATGGTAAGTTTGAAAGAATGTGGGTAGCAAAATTTTATACAGATGCCACTTAAACCAAGAGCATTTGTTCCAATAACAACAGTAATAATAAGTATATAGTCTGGATCCACAGAACTTATCATGACTGTTTAGAAGTCTCAATGGACTGTATTAGTAACCAAAACTGAAAAAGATCCCTCCTCTGTTTTCTCCATTAAAACCTTCAAATTTTGCTAGTCACCAGAGAACTTCTTGTATGGTGATCCTTCATAGACTTCCCTGAGGACACCCAACCCTCTACCTGCATACCTCAAAGCAATAGCAGCACTGCAGTCTCACCCTTTCTAAATCAGAAATTGGCTTCTTCAAACCCTACCCCCCAATTTAGATAGGCTGCTGGGTCTACTCAAGGGACCTTTTGAAGAAAATGGAGGAGGGGGTCATGTACTTCAATGCTTCTGGTTGTGGTGTTAACTTAGAAGGAAATTGTGCATGCAGAACATTCTCCCAACCATTACAGCATATATATATATACACATACAGAAGATGACTTAGAGTGCATTATAAGCAGCATCTAGCAGAGCTAGGCATCAAGCAGCCTTGCAAATAAGTCTATCGATGTGGCTAGTTTACAGGGGGGGGGGATATCTCTGCTTACATGCCTATATATACACACCAAAGCAAGCCATTTGTGGCACAGTAGGCGTCTGAGGGAAAGGGAGGGGGCAAGAGGAAGGACCCTAGCTCTCTTCCGGTTTCTACAACCTCTGCAGCATGGTTGCTTACCTTGAAGCTATAACCACCACCACCCTGCCAAACACACACACACACACACACACACACACACACACACACACTCCTACAAGCAAGTCCCATAGAGCTCAGTGGGGCTCATTTCTGAGTAGATTAAACATGCATAGGATGATTTTCATTTTTCATTCTACAGACATTGGGGTTCTCTAGAGCCTGCCGATATCTCCATCTTGTGCATGGATGGTATTGTTTTGACTATATAAGTAAGGGCACTCACAACTGAACATTGAAAATAGAGGAAGATCTTTTTACATTAAATCAACTATTTTCTCTCTTGCTTAGAAATGTATTTTAGGCAAAGACAGTGAAAATCGTTAATTCTTCCTAAGTAGCTTTGGGACACTGAAAAGGAAACAAGGTAGCGCCTGTTAAACCATCGATTTCCAACAAGTAGATGGTCAGGCGGCAGCGGGGAGAGAATTCTCATCAAAATGTCATCACAGAATTGTAGAGTTGGAAGGGGCCCTGAGGGTCATCTAGTCCAACCCCCTGCAATGCAGGAATCTCAGCTAAAGCATCCATGACAGATGGCCTTCCAATAAAAAAGAGTTCAGCACCTTCCAAGGGAGTCCGTTCCAAGTTCTCATCAAACAGTCACCTCTCGTCAGGTCCTACCCTCTGGAGCCAATGGATTCAAGTTACAAGAAAGGAGATTCCAGCTAAGCTTTAGAAGAACTTTCTGACAGCAAGACAGTGGAATGGGCTCCCTTGGAAGGTGGTGGACTCTCTTTAACTGGAAGTTTTTACGCTGAGGTTGGATGGCCCATCTGTCATCAAGCAAGGATTAGTGAATATGTTACAGAAGTCTACAGGACATGGCTTCCAATTATGGAGAAGAAGAGGAGTTTGGATTTGATACCCCCTTTATCAGTACCCTAAGGCGTCTCAAAGCGGCTAACAACCTCCTTTCCCTTCCTCCCCCACAACAAACACTCTGTGAGGTGAGTGAGGCTGAGAAATTTCACAGAAGTGTGACTAGCCCAAGGTCACCCAGAAGCTGCATGTGGAAGAGCAAGGACGCGAACCTGGTTCACCAGATTACGAGTCTACTGCTCTTAACCACTACACCACACTGGCTCTCTGGAGTGCAATCATGGGCCAGGAATCCAAAACAGAAAATGTGATTAGTAACAAGAAGTTTGGCATCAGCTTACTTAAAGGGGTGTGTGTGTGTAGAGAGAGTGCTCTGTGTTTGTCTATTTTAAACAGATGTCTGGGCTTCCAGCTAAATATTAGCAACTCTGGTTGACATCAGTCAGCTGTCAGCAGTAGACCCCGCCTGAAATGCCTTGGTGGAAGCAGCACTACGCAGGAAGATGAGCAGTTCTTTGGCAGGAAGTCACTGGAAAGAGAGGCAAGTGTAGTCGGCTGATTGCATCCTTCTTTCATCACCTGGGAACCCATCTAAACTTGTGACCCCCAGTGGCTGTCCTCACCAGAAACGCATTGCCTTGGGGGAAGGCCAGCGTCCGAATGTTACAATGCTCATTGATGGCTGTCGTGAAGGACACCCCTTCCTCCAGTTCACTGCCACGGAGGTCCAGGGAACTGTGGCTGCTGCATGTCTGCAAGCCCTGGAAAGCACCGTACATGTGGATTGTTTCGTTCTCTCCCCGAGGGCGCTTTGGGCTTCTCTTGTCATCAGCAGACTGCAAGGCTGCATTGCACCTGTCAGATATTTCCCGCAAAATTTCGTTCACTTCCATCTCCTCCTCCTCTTGCTCAGCGATGGTCACCTGCTTGAGGCTCCTCTTGTTGGGGCCATTGGCAAGGGAGAGGTCTGCGCTGTCTTTGCACTGTGGGATCATCAGCTTCTGCCAAGAAACAAAGATATCAAGCACTCTAAGTCATTCAATGCATGAGTGTATGCCAACCTGGAAGGGGGGGTTGGAAATCAACAAGTCTAATGTTTTTTAAACCAACAGCACCCCCTACAGAATAAACTGCTAAAAACCCTCATACTCCTGAAGGATATAGGATTGTGGATCTGACATAGTTACCCACTGGGATTAACAGCACCATAGAATGACCAGGGTTCAGCTCCTGAACCTTATTTGGTACCCTGTGGGGAGATGAATGTGTCCTTGGGCAAGTGGAGAAACAGAGGTTCCATTCTCCCCATGCAACATCAGCAGGACATCCAGATCAGCAGGGACAACTGCCAGAAAAGATGCCAAATTGAGAAAGACATTCCAGCACTTACATCCAGCACAGAGGCAAGCTGCTTCGCTTGGCTGGCCAGTTCCTTCAGTTGGATATTTCTTTCCTTCAGGGAGGCAATTTCCTCCTGCTTTTGAGACAATGTCACTTGGAGCTGTTGAGAGATAAATAGGAGATGAAGTTCTGAAAGTCAATGGAGTACAGTGATCTGCCTTCTCCCAATCTGGTGCCCTCCAGAAGTTGGATTACAACTCCCACCATCCCTGATCATTGGCCATGCTGGCGGGGGCTAATGGGGATTGCAGTCCAAAACATCTGGAGGGCACCAGGTTAGGGAATGCTGCTGGGGAACATTTGTGTACTGGCAAGCAGATGTCAAAAGGTTTCTTGATCAGGCCTCTGGTGGGCCACTGTTAATGGCTAGTCGGCTGTATTCAGATCTGAACTGCCTTAGAGGAAAGTTTAAATGTATATTTTTTGTCAATATGCTCCTCTCATTCTTATACAGCACCCCACTCATTTAACTTTGCAAGTACATTTCAAAAGCCACAACTGTAGTGTGTTTAGGTGATAATTTCCAACAATCTTAGCAAGTCCTGCAAAATGCAATTTTACAGAGGGGAAAACCCAGCCAAAGTGAACAGAAAAATCATTTTCCATAGAATTTGAATCTGTGATGTGAAGTCCACTTCACTGGGAATAGCTGTGATTAAAGCAACCATTGCTTCCATTTGGTATAATGGATGGTGGATTTGTTTACATTTTATTGAAAGCTAAAGGAAACCCTGGATCCTTCTTCTGTGAACAAATTCCACAACTCCATGTGTTTTTACTCAAAAGGACAGTCCACTGAGTAGAATGAAATTTACTAGCGTAAGTAAGTTTGCAACCCTGCAGTAGGGCCAATCCAAAATAGTTTAAGAATTACAAATGGACATCTCAGTCTGCAAGTCATCTATTCATATTCAAGTAGGACCCATTAAGGTTTTTCTTTAGACACAAGTGTCACTGAAACCAATGCAACTTGCTTTCATTTAAGTATGTTTCATCTCAGTGTGCTGTTCCAACTTAAATCCATGTCATTGTCCTAAGTGGCTTCCTGCTAAGAAACCAGTCAGGCTGGCTTCAGAGTAACTTTCTTCCCCCATATTCATTTTATTTTTATACCTGGTTGTTTTCCACAAGTGCATCCCCTAGAGCTTTCTGGTTCTGATTTGCTAAGTCTTTCCAGTACTGCTCAGTGGAAGAGATGTTTTCTGCATTCATCTGAGAGGCAGAATCGTCCTCTGCAGGCTGACGAAAGCAAGGGCTGAAGGATCTTCCATCATCCACAGGGAAAGAGAAATCAGCGCAGTCCAGCAGAGGTGGCATCAGAGAGGATGGATCTAGGGAGACCAATAAGAAACAAGTGATACAGCTGATTGACTCCTTATTTGACATGCACAGGTCAAACACAAGGTGCTTTTGGCACAATGAATTGTGACTTTGAAGTTTAGACGAACAACAAACAAAACATGAAGTAGTTTAAGATCTGCTTTGCTTTTTGAAAGACTAATTAGGACCCTTGCATGGAAGAGTGCTGATCTGGGCTGAGGGCTTTAATTATTTCCCTTAACCTGTCCTTCCCTCCCACAGCAAATAGCAGCTTTGGTGGGGTTTGACTGGGAACAAGCTGCAGTTCCAAATCAGTCTCCATACTCCCTGCAGCTGCTTTTAACTTTGATACAAATTGTGGCAGATTCTAATTATGGATATCCAACATCTCATCTAGTTGAACCTTTTGAAACAAGAGCAGCCTTTTTCATTGGCGGCTGAAGATTGCCTGCCTGTGCTTTAAAGCAAATCTCATTAGTCAGTCACCTTAATTATCACCTGCATTTTAATTTTTATTGTCTTTTGTGTTTTAGCACCACATACCACCCTTATATTTTATAAGATAGTATAGAAATGCTTTTCTAAATAAATATCTAAAAATGCTGTCTAGCAGAAATTTGACGCGTATTTACTCAGAAATACATTCCATTGTGTTCAGCTGAGTTTCCTTCAAGGTGGAGATGTATAGGTTTACAGCCTAGGGGTTTCAAAGCTTTAAACACAAACCCACATTGAGGGTCAAACTAGCTGTGGCATTGAGAGATCTATGACTGGATCTCCAGCTGATTTGTTTTCAATTTCCAATAGGTGATAAGTTATGTGAGATCTGACTGGAAACATGGTACTGAGAAAGTGAAGTTTAGTCTCTTCCCTCTCTCACCATTTTCCTAATTAATTTTTCTCCAGTGTCCTAAATTTGCTATTTCATCAGAGGGCAAAACATATCCAATCACAGATCTCTCATCATGCCTAGTTTAACTATTAGCCTAATCAATGAGCAAAAGTATTTTGTGAACTAAATAGGATTATAGTCCTTAGCTGATTTAAAGATATTTATCAATCAAGGATTCCCAGATTAATTGGGTAAAAGTGTTTTAAAAAGACAAAAAAACACACCAATAAATACACTGTTTACTTCTGAATAGACACGTGCAGGATGCAGAAACCCAAAAGTTTTAACCGGTTTTTAATCCAGGTGTCCCCACACTAAGCGTTCGTCCTAAGACTGCCCTTTCCTCTTTGACAGGCGAAGTTTTAAACTGGACTCATAAGTATACTTGCCGGATATGAAGTTATCCACGGCATCGCGAAACTCCTGGAAATCAAACTCTGGCTCGGGTTGCAAGCACGGGCTCTGAAATATACAAAAGGAACGAGGCAGTTAGGAAAAAAAAAACCCTTCTTGATTCTCAGTTCTTGCTCGCTGCTCATTCTTCGGCAAGTTTCAGTGTACGCACTTAATAAAACGCACCTGAAAATCCACTGGCCATGCTGAACAGTGAAGCCGGCAAGCTTGCACTGCCATGGCAAAAGGAGAAAGCAAGAGGCGCTATCTACGCAGCGGCGCCTAAGGAGGAGATCCAAGAGCAGCAATTCCTGCTGAAATGTTCAGGGTAAGAAACAAGCTAGGAAACCCAAGCTCACGCTTCGGCACTGGGGCTTCCCTTTACGTCTCTTAGCGCACTCTCATTGGCTAGCCTCACCAGCCAATCAGATTCATTTGAGCGGGGCATTCCGCTAGTCCTGGGCAAAAATTAACCCTGAACTGTATAGTTTTTCAGGTGGGACGTACTAGCCACGCCCCTTGCGTGGGTTCAAAGAGGAGGAGATTCCTAGCAGTATAAACCGCTTAAACCGACAGTCAATTTGGGTTTGCAAAAGGTCCTTAAGCAGATTTAATCGGTTTCTGGGTTGCGATCTTCAAAAGTTTAACTTTTTACCTTTATCCTCTACATACTGCATTTTGTTTTATTGCTATGGCTGGTGGCTGATGCAAATAAAGATTCATTCATTGAAAGAGATGAGCTAGCTTCTGCTGTTTTTGTGGGCTGCATCCAAAGTGCTTTGAAACATTACATAGTCTGGTGGCTATTTTCTTGGGGGGGGGGGGGGCTCAGATTTCTTCCCAGATAAAACTGCCCAACCGCGCAATCATGCTCGCTTTTATTCAGAAGGAAAGAACTGTGCTCAAGGGACGTTACTTCCTAGCCTATCACAAAAAATAAATAAATAAATAAATAAATAATGGTGCGGAGCTGGGGTGACTTCGTCCGCGTCCCTTGCCAAAGGTAGCAGCATCATTGCAAAGAAAGGCAGCGCTTATGTCTCGGACTGGTCTTGTGCTGCAACCGGTATTTATTGCAAAGCACTGGAAAACAAGGGAAGCAGCTGCACTGCGGATCCACACGATACACTTAAAGCACATTCAACGCACATTGGTCCCCCATCCCAAATAATCCTGGGAACTGTAGTTTGACAGGGAACTGTAGCTCTGTGAAGGGAAAACGTCAGTTCGCAGGATTATTTGAGGCAAGTCATGTTCTTTGAACGCGCTTCAACTATAACCCGGACCCACTATAAACAGCGCCATTTCCGTTAACTGAGGTTTCCCGCTTCTCTCTCTCTCCTTTTTAAAAAAGATCCTAATTCTAGTGTGCTTTCATCCATGAACCATACAGGAAGGGAGGTACTTGCGCCCAAATAAATCCCTTTAGGCGCAATCTAGGGAGGTTCGCCTTTGGTCATGTGAACCATGAAAGTTTGGTGCCCTACTGTTGTGAAGGGGCACCCTTAGGGTGGCACACGCTGCCTGGGGCGGGTCAGGGGGTAGTGCTACACAGGCTGGCCTGGTGCCACCATGTGGGATAGAGGACGCTATCAGAGATGATGCCACTGCCAGACCGGTTGGCTTCTTCATGTGGAATTGGGCCTGGGAGCATTTTCTCCTTGCAAAGTGTCTTGAGGCAGCGCTGCTAGTTCTTTCCCCCATCATAGCCCCGATCCGGATCAACCTCGACTTTAAAAGGGGAGGTGTCATCACGCATAATGGGGTGAACAGCATCACGTCTGCTTCGGGCCCAGGTCTGGGAAGCGTGTCAATAAAGACCAAAGAGGATGAGGGGGCGACGGTTGTCAACTACCTGCTGGCTTGTTGCAGCGCCTCTAGAAACTTCCTGCTGAAAGACGCCCGTGCAGTCGGCTAAGTCTTGCCAATCGATGGTCGACAACGCTAAAAGGGGGGGGGGAGGCAGATCAGTGTTTATTTAAAAGGGAAGTTTTTTTTAAAAAAATGCAAGAAAATCATGTTCGATTTGTCAGTATAGAAACGCAAATCCTGTCTCTCTCTCTGTGTGTGTACTATTTCATTCCAGATTAACCAGTCCTCTGGTTGTGTCGATTCCTGGGACTAGATGACCTTTGGCGGTCCCTTCCAGTTCTACGATTCTATGAAATACAAATTGCTAAAGGAGTAACCTTAGTAGTGGTCTCTTCTCAAGCAAGGCACCTGCGGTAGCTGTAAAATCTAAAGTGCAGGAGGTCATTAGGGCGGCTCCCCTAGCCACGCCCCCAAGAGAGTTCAAAAAAGCAGACAGCTCTGTCTCTGTACGCACGCACATACAATAGGGGTACAAAGCATACTGTTTAATCTATTAGGATCATAGTCACCGCAAGCCGACAGGTAGTTTCCATTGAACCCTGGATGCTTACTTCCGAGCGAATAGGTGGTAGTCAACTAACTTTTACTCCGAGAAGAACTGTTAGGATTAATGGGTCATGTCCATTCATTTCAGTGAGTCTACTTTGCGGAAAACCAGGTGAAATACTACCCACAGTCAGCTGAAACACAAATCTTTAGCTTTTAATTCAAAATGCAAACAACCTTGCACAGAAGAGTTACTGACTAGCATTAAGCCGATACGCCATCAAAGAAAAGGAAAGAAGTAGGCAGCCTCTGCCTGATTATTTCCCCCGTCTCTTGACTTCCTCTGCTAATCTGACACAATTATTAAATGCTTATTATCACCTCATTCATGTGTCAGAACAAGGTTCCCCCCCCCATTAATTATTATGATGCCCCAGCATTTTCCCTGCTGGAAGAGAGGCAAGTTCCGAGCAGTGTTCTCTTGCGTTTCCCCTGCATTACACCACGAACTGCGATACGAAAGAGGGTAGTTAAATGGACTTTTTTTAAAAAAAACGCACTCACCTAGATCTACAGAATCCGGAGGTGGGTCGTTATAAATGGCTATTGGGTTGCATCTGAGGTTGCTATTCCGTGGCACCTGCCGGCAAACAATCACAAACAACAGCATTAAGGTTTCAAGGTTTCTCTTCTGGGCACATTTACTTTAGAGAAAGTGAAGCGCCACTGGGGACTTACTTCCGAGTAAACATGCAGAGGGCTAGGTCGGAATAACCCTTTGAATCCTTACTACTGGGTAAAAGTACCGGTACTTAGGAGTGCGTTGTAAGGGCAACCTTATGTGGACAGGGCATCTAAAACAAAAGGTGCCGGGGCTTAGTTTCCCCTGAAAACTGTGCCCTTTGCAGTAGAAACACCTTCACCTAACTTCAGATGGCAACTGGTTGTTCTGCATGCAGAGAGCTCTGCACGTGCTCAGAGACACTCCTTTCCCGGCTATTAGTCCCCATCTTCTAGCGATGGTTGCATATTGGAATTGCCTTTTTTCCTGGCCGGGGGCTGGGGAAATGCGCTTGCTCTAACCGCTGGGCGACGCTGTCTCCCTGCTGCAGGCAGGGAGACAGGTTTCCCCGGCGTTTATTTCTGCCAAGAGCAGATGGCGAGAGGCTGGTCGGTCGGGCTTCGCAGCCTCGCCTTCTCCTTCCAGCAACGCACCTTTCTCTCTGCTTTACTGCCCGGCTTTTTGCCCAGCCGCTCGGCCAGATCCTGCACCCTGTTGGGGCACAGGCTGCCGCAGGCCTGCCTGCCGCCGCGGCTTTGCATGGCACTTGCTCGGCCGGCTGGCTGGGCTCGATCTGAGCCGCCCTTCGAGGGGAGCCTGGCCGCCTCTCTGGGGAGGAGAGAGCCGAGGGGAGGCGGGCCGGCGGCCGATTGAGCGCCAGAGGTGGCGCCTTCGCCTTGGCACGCTCCAGCCTGGCAACAAGGGAGCCCAGCCCAGCCCTCTCCCCTCCTCTCCCCTCTGGGATTAGACCCAGCCGCCGCCGAGGCCGCCGCGCGGAGCCCACGCGCCAAAGTGCGCCCTTTCGCCAGGCATTGGCGCCGCGGCCAACCGACGAGCGGGGAGTTGCTTCGGGTGAATTCTCCAGGGACGGGAGGCGAGCCGATCGGGAATTCACTTCTCCCCATGGCTCAGTCTGCCCTAGTTCTCTCACCCCTAGAGATTGGAGGGTGCCTCTGAACATGTGCAAAACACCCATTTCCTCCTCCACCACCACACGTTTTCACAAGAGCAGCCTGCTGGTCAGGGGTGCCAACTGGAATAAAATATTGGGGAGCCCAGGTAAGCTCCGTCCCAATAATTGATCACATGACATGGCACACACACAATTTGAATGGCAATGGCCATCAACTTTGGAGGGGGCCGGCCCCCTCAAATATTTTACTGGAGAGCTGAAGGGACCTGGGCCCCTAGGAGTTGGCTCCTATGCTGCTGGATCCGGCACATGGCCGATTCTCACAGTGGCCAACCAGAGCACAAACCCTCCCATGGTTTCCAGCAATGCATTGGGAAGCATTTCTACCTCCAGCTGTGGAGATACAACATTGCATTGATAGCCCTCTCCTCAATTAATTTGTCTAAGCCTCTTTTCAGCTTCATTGAACGTCCACAAGTTCTAGTGCTATGAAGGAGGGAGAAACCTGTTTCCTGGCCCACTTTTTCTGTGTCATGCATAGTTTTATAAACATCTATCATGTCACTTCTTGCATGCTTTTTTTCTAAACTGAAAAGTCCCAAACTCTGCAACCCTTCTTCCTTTTTTAAAAATGTAATTTTTTCTTAAATTTTCTGTTTTACAATTGAGAATATACATCTAAACAACCTCAATCAATGACTTCCCTTCTTCTCTTTCCATGGTTCATTCTGTATAGCATAAATCGCTGTATATTTTATATACACTAAACCATTCAGTATTCCATTATTACTTCCATCAAAACTTATTTATACTGTTGAATTTATCTTAATGCTGCCAACATTTTCAAGTGTACACAATTTCCCCCCATATATTCAATAAACATTTTCCAACCTCCTTTAAATGAATGTTCTTCTTGTGCTCTTATTCTATAAGTCAGATCTGCAAGCTGCGCTTTTTTCCATAGTTTAAGTTGCCATTCTTCTTTGGTTGGGACCTCAGTCGTTTTCCATTTTTGGGCTAACGAAACACGGGACGCCAACTCTTCTTCCTTAAGGGACTCTCTCCATCTCATAGATCATTTTGGTTGCCCTTGGCTGAACCTTTCCCAACTCAGCCCAACCCAGAACTAGGCAGGTTTGCTCAGATGTAAGTCTTAGGGGCCCAGCGATTCCCAAGTTAAGTGTTCTCACACAGGACCAGTGCCTTAAGCATCACTGAGCATCTCTTTGTGGTGGTTCAAGTGCTCATGGGCATTGCTTGATTAGGTGAGATTTGATGGCTTGCAGCTACCTGATCTACACAGTTCAGCAGGATAAGGTGGTAGGGCAGACTGCAAGACAATTGAAGAATTGATTGAACCTTACATTATTGAGTTTGAGTTCCAACAGATGTCAAGGGAGTTGAAGTCTCCAACTTTATGCACTTGGTGCCTGGCCAGTTGAAATGGCACAAATTAAGTGCATGAAAGGCAGAGAGCCTAAAAGCTCTTTCCACATCTGGTTTTATCAGGGCAGAAAGAGTGTGAAAGCTCTTCGCCTTGCTTACCTTTTCTCCCAGGCTCTGGAGGCCATTGCAAGATCTCGGATGGCCCCATGAGACCTCACGCCAGCCCCAGAAAGTAAGGTTGCTTGTGCAGGGAATGTAACCCCTGGTGTAAGATACAAGTCCACTCTGTATCTTGGTTAGTTGGAAGGCCTTCCCACTCCAATGGTTTGACGTGTTGCTACAGCAAGATTAGGGCCCCCAGGACTTTTCATTTTTAAAATTAAGTATTGCAGGGCTAGATTCCATGGAGCTGAAAGGATCAAAGTTTCCTTTGAGCCAAAATACAATACAGTGGTACCTCGGGTTAAGTACTTAATTCGTTCCGGAGGTCTGTTCTTAACCTGAAACTGTTCTTAACCTGAAGCACCACTTTAGCTAAGGGGGCTTCCTGCTGCTGCCGCGCCACCGGAGCACGATTTCTGTTCTTATCCTGAAGCAAAGTTCTTAACCTGAAGCACTATTTCTGAGTTAGTGGAGTCTGTAACCTGAAGCGTATGTAACCTGAAGCGTATGTAACCCGAGGTACCACTGTAGGTTTAGGTTGTATACACACTCCTGTTTACTCTGAATCCAGTGCACTCCCGCTGCCAGTTTAGGAAGTGGTGTACACACATTAGCCACAATCTGTATCTGCCCTGTCATTTCTTATTAAATACTGTGTTTCCATGTGTTTCCTAGTAAAATGTCTTAAATCGGAATTGAGAAAAAGAATGTCCTCGCTGTACTTTAAGCCAGTCATGTGTGCACAGCCTAAGTATGGAGAGAGCAGTTTAAAACTCGGTAGTGCAAGAACATCTCTAGCGGAAAGTCATGCACAGAGGTTTTCTTTGCAAGCTGCCACTCACATTGTATATTGTGACATATGGCAAATGAATCCGTCAGGGTGTGTCAATGTATGCTGAAATGGGTATCGCCAAAGGTGGGACATAGGGCATCCATACACCAAGATTGTCAGGTGCATCTGTTACAAGGAAACCTTGCACTACATAATAGGTGGTCCGTGTCCTTTTGTAAAAAAAAAAGGGGGGGGGAGCGGTGATGGTAGTTTCTTTCACTGAATGCAGACCTGTGGAAGAAGTGTAACGAATCCTATTATGGCTGTTGCAGCTGCACTTTGGTGCAAATAAATGAGAGCCAAAACACAACTGGGACTGGCATCATTCAGATTCTCTTCTGCTGGCCTTATCTTGCCCTGAACTCCTAGAAATGAGGTCTTGTCTTTTTACGTTGGGTGAAAGACAATAGGATTTGAACTCAGGTCCTGCTTTGGAGGGGTGGGCAGGCAGGCAGGCAGGCAGACAGGGAGGACAACTTTCTCCCTAGCACTGGCCTTATATGAATTTGAGGGGTGGGGGGAACCTTCCCTGCAGAGGCAGGAGGAAAAAAGAAGCCTTGCTTACTCTACTTTACTGTATGTTTCTACTCTATAAAAAACTTAGGCTCCGGGGTGGAAGTGCCAACCCTGACTCCTGTGGCACTACATGAACATAGGGAGCTGCCTTATACCAGGTCAGATTATTTGTTTATCATACTTAGTATTGTCTTCTTTGGCTTTCCAGGGTCTCAGGCAGGGGAATCTTCATGGCACCTACTATCTCATCCAATGGAACAGCAAAAGCCTACAGGGGATGGGAAGACTGCATTGGAAATCCACCTCCCCAACGAGCCTGCATAGCTCTGCACACTGCAACAAGGTTCCCATTCCAGGCTACCTACGGAGAGTCCTGAGCAGGAGCACACCTCACTGGGGTTGGGGTACACAGCAACATTTTCTAACAAGTCCCGTATCTATGGGACTGCCTCTTCTGGTATGCCCCGCAGAGGAACTTAAGGTCCATGAACAACCATAGTTTAGAGGTCCCGGGCCCTAAGGAAGTCAGACTATCCTCCACCAGGGCCAGGGCCTTTTCAGTGATGGCTCCGACCTGGTGGAATGCTCTGTCCCATGAGACTAGGGCCCTTCAGGATTTAACCTCCTTCCGTTGGGCCTGTAAGACAGAGCTATTCTGCCTGGCCTTTAATTTGAACTCAGCCTGCTCTTCTATTTCCCGTCCTTTCCCTTCCCTCCCCCTCCCCCTTTATGAAGATCACCCGCTCTGAGACCCCACAGCTAATTCTCCCCTGGTCTCCTTGCTGGCCCAATAGGACCAATTCAGCCAGCTAGCCCTGGAGATTATCAAATGCTTATTTCCCCTAAATTGATTTTTGAATTTTATAGTTATTCATGTTTTTATACTGTATTTTCATGCTGCTTTTATAATTAAGAGTTTTAAATTTGTTGTTAGCTGCCCTGAGCCCAGTTTTTGAACTGGGAAGGGTGGGGTATAAATAATTTTTTTTAATTATTATTATTAGTCTTTTTTATTGTAAAAATTTTTTTTTTTGTCATGGCACACAAAAGGGAAGATGAACCAAGTGTGCAAGGGTCAGACTCCACATTACGAAGCCGGACCTGTTTTAGATCAGAGGTGGCACCAAAACATAGTAGTAGAGTCTCCCAGTTAGGTTTCAAGGCCAGAAATAACTCTGGGTAGGGGAAAATCAGCTGAGGAGAGGGAATGAATGAGGGAAAGCAGAACATGGTGAAGATGTTCAGCACTCCCTTGTGGACAAAATGGTAGACAGGGCCAGAGGGCAAAAGTGAGCAGAGCAATAAATATGAATTGTAGCTTTGTACAATTCTTCACACACTCACACATTCATCTCTGTCCTCCATCCAGGAAAGTGAGAAGTACTGTCAGAGTTCAAGGACACATTCAACACGTTCAATCTGGGGGGGGGGGGATCAGCCAGGAGGGTGCAAAGCAGGGCTTGTGGGCTGCACTTGGCCCCCAGACCTGAGATTCCACATCCTTGATTTTCAACATTTAATGCCAAGACATGAGTCTAACTCCAAAACTGCAATTCTAAACACATTTACTAGATGGTAAGCTTCCTTGGGCACAGGGGACTTACTTCAAAGTAAACATGCACAGTATTGTGCTGTAAGGGACACAATATAGGACTGAAGTCATTTTTAATACCTGCTGGTTGCACCAAACACACAGTCCAATAGTGGGTGGGTTGAGGGATGTGTGGTAGGCAGGGAGGTGTTGCTGAACTCTTCCTCCCTGTAACCCTCAATCCACATAAGAGGAAACAGAAAAGGTGACATGCCAATGCCATTACAGACAATTACTGATAAAAGCTTTATTAGATAAATGCCTTTACAGTACTGTTGTCTTTCCTATGGCTGAGCACTGAACTATCATCTCAAATAAATACAAGCAGGCATAATGTACACTGTTTACAACTTCAATTTGTTACTTAAAATAATGCAAGTGCAATATAAGACAAGTTTACTGTGCAAATAAGAATTTGAAATTACATTTAAAAGATTAGAGAAGCCAGTGCTTAGTAGATTACGTTCTAAACCAACAACATAGCTTCCATTACAAATAAATATCATGTAAAACTCATTGAAGAGACTATTGAACAAATGTTAAAAAGAGAATACTGTTATTTTAGAGGTATTGCAACTATCAGTGGTCCTTCTGTACATGCATTTGAAAAATCGGACAAACTTCCAAATGCATGGTCTTCAAGTATTTTTGTTTGGTCGGCTCATTTTTCTAAGTGCAGACACTGATCTGAAATCTCAGGGGGTAGCACCAGAGGCAGAGAGTCCTCATTCAAAGACACCAGTAAGTGCAGCTTGTCCAAGCAATCTTGTAAAACCCCCTCTGGATAGTCACTTAATTGCAAGTCCAGCGGTTTCTGATGCTGCAACATCTGATCAGCCAGGCCCAAGCAACAAACAGCCAGCAAGGAAGGCATGTATTTGTTAAAAGCATAGTCGGCCAGGCTAAGTTCAGCCACACCTTTGGCCAGAGCTTTGGCATTCTTGGCCTCCCAGGCATCAGCTTCACAGGCCTCCATCCGCATATGTGTGAAGTGTTCCAGGAAGAAGCTGATGGTGGGGGCTGCCAGGTTGAAGTGGAGTTTGTTCAGAATGATGCACTCCAGGTTGCAGAGCTGCTGGCGAGAGAAAGTGTCACAGCAAAGAGCGAGGAGCTGTTTCGCCTTGGGTGGGTGCACTTCCACCTGAAAGGCAGACAAGCAAAGGAAAGAGTGCACACCATTAGCACAAAATATAAAAGAAAACAATGCCTGTGGGTATTTCCAGAACTGGTACAAATGTGTTACTGCTATTATATTCCCAAAGGTAAAGCACTTCTCATTATCACCTGTAATTTAGTCAAGGTCAGATGCAATGCAACTAAACAGGAACACAGCCTACCTCCAGCCTGGTGGGAGTTTAACGTAAGCTTAACTCTCTTCTAGCTAAATTAGGAGTCGGGAACCTTGTGGCCTAATTTCATGTGCCTGATGAGGAAAGAACGAACAGGGAGAAAGGGAATGTGGAGAGAGAAAGCACACATATGCTCAGAGGGGTGGCAGAAGCAGAAATAAAGAAAGGAGAATCCTAGCTACCTTTGATTCTAACTCTCCCTATTACAGCCACCAGCCCCATGGACCTCTGGCCTACCCCTCCCCGCCAACAGATTACTCCTGAGGAAAAATGGTGCTTAACAGAAAAAGCTTCCAACTCCTGATTCAAAACAAGAGAATTAAATGGCCTCAATTTGACCGTACACAATTATATTTTTTAAGGTTGTTGCTCATCTCTACAACTGCGGGGCACACCTTCCCTGTTTGGGTGAAATGTGGTGAACACAGTGGTTTAGATCCTAAGTTAAGCTAGTTTAACTTCACAGAACTAAAAGTTCCTGTTCTCTCCTCCCAATTGAAGCTACCTGTGACCACATAAAAACCTCTCTTGGAGGGTCAAGGGTCTTTCCTGAACTAAATGAGATGGGAGTTTGAGGGGCTGCCTATGAAAGGAGGAGATGGGAAACTTTCTATAAATGTCCTTATGATATCTTATGATCCAAGCATGATGAGTTCTGGTGATCTCCCCACATGTTCTTTCTCACTTTGTGCAGGAGGACTCCTGATCTTTCCAATAGGCTTTTTGAGGGGCACAGATGGCTGCAAGGAGGAAGGAAGGAACAGGAAACTTTCATTCTGTGAACTTCCTTAAGTTAGCTTATCTGATCTTAGGATCCAAGGGATAGCAAGCTGTTAGCAGTGAAATACCTTCTGAAAAGGCCCTAAGAGTCTGAGCTACATGTCTGCCACATTATTTACATTCTTTCCTATAAAAATGAATCTGTTAGGATGGAAATGGGTTGAGATTTATGAATTTATGAGCAGATCTTTAGTATCAGAGTACAAAACCATGAAACATACAAGTGACCCAACTGTAGTCAGGAACCCCATGTAACTTATTGGAGCCTCTTAAATCACTATGGTTCAGAGATCTCTTCTCTTATAAGCTGTTCTTAACGTATGTATTCAATAGCAATAACAAACCATACTACCTAAACAAAGGAGAGGGCTGTTATTATTATGATTATTTTACTATTAGGAAATCTGTATGTTTTTTAATTTAGTTTTTATCTTCAATGTTTTGTAACATGTTTCTAATGTTGTACGTGGCCCTGAGATATTTTAATAAAGGGAAGTATATAAACTGAATTAATCATAATCATAAAAAACAAAGGGGAGAGCCTCTAAGTCCTTGTACCTGTTTGCAAGAGATGAAGAGGGAGGTGACCCCTAGGAGTTGGAAGCAGTCAGCAGCCACTGGGGTGGTGGTAAGGAAGCGGTCTAGAGTGTTTACTGCCAGGCATAAGGACTCAAAAGAGAAGCCAAAGTGTTTATGCACTGGAATTAGCCAGCTGATCAGTTTGCACCGAGCCTCTGCAGTTATCTGGGAAGCAGAGAAGAGAAAAGGTTATGATGGGAAAAGAGGCAATAATGAAATATAGAGGCAACCATTTACTGTATTATAGACTCTTATTAATGAGAACCAAAATATTGCATCAAAGTTTTAGGACATTTACTGAATTCCTTACTCCTGCCTATGTATTAGTTTCAACTGAAATAACAAAATTATTCTCCCATGTGTAATGATTTTTGTGAACACCAGTGACAGAAATCAAAGAAACCAGATTATCAAAAGAGCTGCCATGATGGAGTTAATTTTTACTTTGCTTTAAGGCAGCAAGATTTTTGCAATTATTGTGGTGGCTGCAGAAACCATCATGCGCAAGGCTACAACATAAAGCTTATGTCCCACATGCACAGATAGAGAAGTTATAAAGGACTGCATAAATGCTGAAAGTAGACATACAACCTTTTCACAAATGGAAGCAGACTGCTGTACACAACAATGGGAAAATATATTCTCAGGGGAGGCATGTACGGAGATGTACTACTCTTTCTTCAGTGTCTCCCACATAGAAACAATGATGCACATATTGGGGTAGAGGGTGAAAAGTAGTAATGGGGTTCATCTAGGCTTGCCATATGTCAGGAAAATTCCTGACATGTCCTGGTTTTTTGGGGGTGGGGGGTGGATTTTGCCGAAGCAGCAAAATGTCAGGGAAAACCTGGATGTATGGCAACGCGATGGGAAAAGTGGTAGAAACAGCTCCAAAAGCTTATTTTGGGGGGAAGTTTCCCCGAAAAAGCTCAACAATTTGGGTGGCTTTCTAAAAAGAAGCTCAACAATTTTGGTGGTTTCCTAGGTTCATCTCTCCACATACCATCTCCAAGTGTTCAGATGCACTTTTATTTTTTAAGCCCAATTCTATTCCATGATCTCTTGCGTGCAGTTGTTGTGAACTTCATTTCCCTAGTTATTATGAGTGATTTATAATCCGCAACCAATGTTGTCATTTAACATTGGTAGTATTTAATATTTAATTACACCATATTATATATGGGATCCTAGTTGCCCTTTATTGTCACCACTCCATTGCACAGCTCACGTGATGGGTGTACAAACATCTATTTTGGTACAATACCTACCAAACATTTACGTGCAACAAAAGACACACACATTTCATGGTGCACACTTTCCCCCTAACCCTCCTTTGTAGTTAAATTGTGTGTGAAAGGTATAGGAAAATCCAGGAAAGGGTGAAAAGGTATTTGTGTGTGAAAATGCTTTCATGAGGTTATAAAGCCACTCATACTTTATTTTTCAGAAGCCTCCACAGACTTCACTGGAGTCAAAAAGCAGGAAATGACTGAGAACTGAGTAAATTCAAAGCAGCATGTGGGATGCTTTACAAATGTTAAGCATCAGCTTAAGATGCTCACAGGAAAGCAATGTGCCAGAGGTAGAATGAGATTGCAGAGCACAAGCACAGTATGCCAGACAACTATATGCAGATAATTATGCTGTTCTTTGCAGTTGCCAAAATGGACAAAGACATGCAAAAAAATTACAGTACGTGTAACAAAGATGGTGATGTTGGATGTGGAAAATGAAAGATATATTTCAGAATGTATTTTCTAGATACAAACCAGAGCATGGTGTATAGCTGGTACTTTCTGAGACTCCCTCTAAATGTCCAACCTCTTTTAAGTTCAGGTTCCACTCCACTGACAGCTCTGCCTAATAGCCTCTGATCATAACTTCCCAATGTCTCTCAGGGTCAGCCTGTCAGGAGCATTAAGCTTTATCTTATCATGTGGTTCTGTCATCCCAAATTTGCCTAAGATCGTGTAGCTGGTGCCTTGCTAAATCAGGAATGAAGGGATCTTTTTTTCTCACCTACAAATGTTATTAAGTGCTTTCACTTTGCTTTTTGTCTTGAAGAGCTTATAATGACAAAAGAGAAAGCCTTCAGGCATTTGTTTTCTGCACAGAAAACACATGAAAACTGACCATCTTATGTGACAACCACATCTATTGGTTTATGTGGTTATAGATATATAGATTTATGTTAAGGGGGGGCAGAACCTCAGTTATTTTTATTGATTTGTGTGATTTAGGGGGGTGGGGCAGCTGCCCCCCTGCGCCCATGGTATTTGTGTGAGGATCAGCTGGAAAGCAGCTTTCTCTAGCTTATGTATGTATAAACACTGAAACACGTGTATCTGTGATGCCGATCTACCCAGTTTTATACTGCTTCCTACACAAAGTTAGGGGGACGGGGAACACAGTGGAAAGAAGAAATCTAGGACTCTTCATACATCACACTAAATGTGCATAATGGGGAAGAGCGGAAACGCACCTCTTGTCTCCGCCCCAAAACCTATAAAATATCTTACCTGTGCACTAAGTGTACTCAAGAAGACTGTACACGGGAGCTGGGACTTTGCCCTGTCAGAGCGGACACAATTCTGCTCCCACGTTTACAGGATTCCGTGTCAGAAAGAGTTGAGAACAAGAGTGTACAAAATACATGAGTAGATGCTCACTTTCTAACCTCGCCAAGAGTTGCCCGCGATTCCCTTTTGTGTGTTTCATTCGGGGTGTGTGTGTGAAAAAAGCAAAACCCCGCCACCTCCACCCACCCTCCGCTTACTTGCGGCTGCTGGGCCAGCGGGTCGAGCGGGTGGAACTTGCCCTCCAGCTCCTTTCGGAAGCGGTACCAGCTCTGCCCGTAGTCGCGGAAGGTCTGCCTCTCCAGGGCTCGCATGGGCTCGCAGCGGCGGCGACCCGGGGACCCGGCCCGGCCGGAGAGGAGCCCCACCGGGGGGGCCTTGCTCTTCTTGACCGGCGCGCGGAGCCCGAGGCCGGCCTCGACGGCGCCGGGGGCCTCGGGGCGCTCCTCGGGGGTCACGTCCTCCGCCCGCTGCCGCTTGAGCGGAGGGCTCCGCCGCCTGCCCGGAGCCTCGCTAGGGAGGGTCGTCACCATGCTGCCGCTCCGGCTGCTGCTGCTGCCGCGCTTATTGCCGCCTCCCGGGCAGCGCCGAGGAGCAGGAGGCGCGCGGGGCCGGCTATATGTTGGGGAGCGACGCCCCGCCCCTGGTCCCGCCCGCCGAGGGCAGCGCCTCCCCGGCCCTCCGCTTCGACGGCTTTCCCGGCGAAAGAACCGCTCTCGGTTCCTCGGCGGCGGGCCGCCTTTTTCCCGCTTGTGTAACTAACTGCTGCAAGCCTGGAGGCGGGGGAAGAGTGTGGGGCGCCCGTCAAGCGCCGAGGGGACCCAAGAGGGCCTTTCTTCCACCTCTCGCGAAGCTATTTCCTCCAAATAAACTTCCCCGTGGGGTCGCCGTCCCCAGTGGAGGAGGCGCCTGCCATTTTGTTGTGATATTTATTTCCTACCCCCACCGGGGCCTCGTCTGATCTCCCCATTCGAAATGGGCATCGAAATAGTCACGATTTAAGCACAGACATTCAATAATACACTTCAAAACAGGGTCGTTTGTGTTTTTAATTCGTTTATTTAGCAGCTCCCCACGTTTGGCTTCTCTCCCCCCCCCCCCCAAGCCAAGCGGGTGGGATTTCTTGGCCTGCAAAAAAGAGAAGGTCCTTTCACAAACGCGTGCGAGCAAAAAAAGAAAAAAGGGTGACAAGGACGACGCCATCTTCCCTCACAGCCACAGAACCTAACTGCCAAGTATCCCCACTCCACGATACAAGCTATATTCTCTGTTCATTCAGACGAACTGGTACACGCACCCAGGGTTTTACTGCACTCGGGTCCATCTGCCACATGAAAGCCACCAGAAAGGTTGCTAAGCGGTGGCAGTCCCATATGGCTGAGATGTCTATTCCAGGCCACCTTGAAGCCACCTTTTCCATTTAAAAGTTCAAGATGGCTTACCAAAGTTGCATTAAAAATAGGCCTGACTTGAAGTGCTTTACACCAGGGGGATAAACTTTTTGATCCACTAAAAAGGTGTGCCGTCTGTTAATCGGATGACCTTTTTAAAAAGCCTGCTGATGGAAAATTCCACCTTAGAAGAGGCATCTTCCCCACCCCCCCTTACACAGAAGGGAATGTCTCTCCTAAGACAATGCTCTTGTGTTATTTGTTTTTAGATTTAATATACTTAATTAGTCCATTTTAAACTTTCACTGGTTGACAGCTGTTGTTAAAATTAGCAAATTGGGTCCCAAAAATGGCGTGGAAATTCTTCAAGGAATGTGCAGTGGTGGCACAAAGATACCAGGCGATTCAGGAAAGTGCCTCTATATTTCAGGTGCCCCCCAGGATAGAGTCACTGCTACATGTAAGCCGTACTGCCACATCAAAGCATTTCCAGGCAGCTTATATGTTACTGGTGTATTGTAGTTGTTTAGTCATTTAGTCATGTCCGACTCTTCGTGACCCCATGGACCAGAGCACGCCAGGCACTCCTGTCTTTCACTGCCTCCCGCAGCTTGGTCAAACTCATGTTTGTAGCTTCGAGAACACTGTCCAACCATCTCATCCTCTGTCGTCCCCTTCTTCTTGTGCCCTCAGTCTTTCCCAACATCAGGGTCTTTTCCAGGGAGTCTTCTCTTCTCATGAGGTGGCCAAAGTATTGGAGCCTCAGCTTCAGGATCTGTCCTTCCAGTGAGCACTCAGGGCTGAATTCCTTAAGAATAGATAGGTTTGATCTTCTTGCAGTCCATGGGACTCTCAAGAGTCTCCTCCAGCACCATAATTCAAAAGCATCAATTCTTTGGTGATCAGCCTTCTTTATGGTCCAGCTCTCACTTCCATACATCACTACTGGGAAAACCATAGCTTTTACTATACGGACCTAATACTGGCGTATTAGGCCCTCACAAAGTTCCTTCTAATTTTACCTTTAATAGTAGCACAGGAACACATGGCTGAAATAAAGCAAATGGATGATTATGTTGTCAGCAATGTCTTGCTCCTTAGTACATAGTCCCATGCTGATTCTTGTTGTTTGGATATGCTGCGGATTATGGCATTATTCAATAGAATGTTATACATACATATATACATACATACATATATATACATACATACATACATGGCAAGGAAGCTTCCTGCAAGCACAAGTTTGGATCCAGACTAAGTTGCAGTTAGATTCTACTGAAGTCAACTTGAAAAGTTAGTAAGATTGATAGATTTCAGTGGGAACTGGCACTGTCTACTCAGAAGTCTCATTGGGTTCAATGGTTCACCTGAAATGTGCAAGACCCTGTATCCAACCGGTACAACTCTTTCTAATTGCTACTAGAACTTGCCCCCAAATCCAAGCCATTCTAATTATTCCATCACATGTGCTGTTTGGAATGTTGGAATGGTAGTTTCTATTAAGAGGAATCATTATCAATATTTTGACTGTTAGATGCACAAATGTCATGTTTTGAGAGACTTTTCTGCTGTGCTTTGCACTACATGTGTGCCACGTTTCAACTTGTTGCGTATCTTTGAAATACCTTATCCATGGCACTTTGAACTCATTTTGAGAGCTAGCAAATGTCCTATTTTCAGGTTTTTTTCCTACTAAACACAGTGCCTTGGATTACAAATGCACAATTATTTGAAATGTCAGGGTTGTAGCTAACCTAACAATTTCACTAGCCCTTATATTGAGAAAATTATCTCTGTTATTAAATTGACTAGATAATGTACCAATATGCCGTCTGCTAAAATAAGTAAAAAGGAGCATAGGGCAGGAGCAAGTTTTCACAGGTCTTGGTCTTCTGATGTAGTTGTGTAGGGCAGACATTGCCCTCAACGCAACAATGTACCCAAAATGCAGCACTTAATTCTTTCGGATATGAGTAAAAGGCAACTCACAACTAAAGTAGGAAGTAAAGTGGAATCACTTTCCAAAACAAAATGGTAAATCTGGGGTGGCATTTTGATGAGGACAATGTTATGTGGATGGTGCAATGAACTTGCATGTATGAGCAGTGCAAGTCCATCATAAATTGATATATGTGCATCAGCTCTGCCCTAAAGACCCCAGACATCAAAAATCAAGTTGTTTTCTTAACTGCATAGCCCTGTTCTGGACAGCTCCTTGTTCATTGCTTTGGGAGAGTGGAGCAGGATGGAGAGAACTCATTTTTATATATTCAAATACTCAAGTCTGCGAAATTTCATGGGAAAGAGTGTCTGTTGAAACTAGGGGTGTCCTTGTCTTGTCTTACACCTCCCCAGATCTTCTACTCTCTATGCACCCCCTCCCAAACATTGCCATGACCCGCTATTATATTCTTCTTGCTTACCACTGAAATGAAAGGTGTCCCCCTCAAAATATCCTCTGCCATATTACATCATACTCCTAGGAATGAATGCAACCATTCATTTACGGAGGAGAAAGTAAAGGGATTCAAAGTGCAGGGGGATATTATGAGGGCAGCGACTAAATCTGTTCTTTCCCTTGGGGATCTCAACCATTAAAAAGCTAGCTTACTCCTAGCTGTCTAATCATAAACTGTTCTTTACTCCAGGTGACTAGTAATTAAGTATCAACACTGCTACTAGCTGCATAATGCTGAATTTTTTCTTGATCACAGAGCAGTGTTATGACCCTAACAGACAGATGTGTGCATCTGTTCCAACTGGTACTTCCGTTAGACACGAAGAATTACAAACACTACCAAGACCTTCTAAAAAGAGTACCAAGAGCTCTCCTGCAAGGTAGAAAAGTTCAGCAAAATGGGGTGAAGAGTTCCAAAATGGAAAACAAGTGTTTTTGTCACAAATACTTCAGAGAGCTATCCTAAAGAGGAAAGTTTCTTATAGGTTGTGGTAGTTTTGACATTATGCTGAAACCATAAACTTCCCCCATAAGCAAGCCTCTATATAGAACAGAGAAACATGCCATGTTGCAACCCGTCACTTAAAAAGCACACCTATGATGTGAAGTTTCTTTAGCTTAATATCTGAAATGCAATTTATTCAGGCAAATTACTCCCTCTGCTGGATCAATGAAGCAAGCTATCAGACTAGTTTTGTATGTTGCGTGATACAATCCTCTACATTAAAATTAGTAATTTCTTTCTATCTTTTTCTTTTTCTTCCTTCCTTCGGTTCCCAGAATATATGTATAGCATAAAGGTAAAGGTAAAGGGACCCCTGACTGTTAGGGGCCAGTCGCAGACGACTGTGGGGTTGCAGCACTCATCTCGCTTTACTGGCTGAGGGAGCCTGCATACAGCTTCTGGGTCATGTGGCCAGCATCACTAAGCCACTTCTGGTGAACCAGAGCAGTGCACAGAAACGCCGTTTACCTTCCCGCCAGAGCGGTACCTATTTATCTACTTGCATTGCGTGCTTTCAAACTGCTAGGTTGCCAGGAGCAGGGACTGAGCAATGGGAGCTCACCCCGTTGCAGGGATTCGAACCACTGACCTTCCGATCGGCAAGCCCTAGGCTCTGTGTTTAACCCACAGCGCTGACTGTGCTTACACCGCCTCAATTTAAGATGCATGTTGTTTACCAAACAACCTTGTATTTTTAAGCATACTACTTTGCAATTCCTATTAAAAGGCAATTTTTGTATGAGAAAAAGGAGAAAGCAACTATTACCAGTGCTAGAGACCTTACTTCCCAGTCTATCTTGTGTTCATGCAGAAAAATGATACATTTCTTATATTTTTAGACTGGTTTCTGTCATAAGAGAATTAAAACTTGAAGGTAACAACAACCAGAACCCTGATCTGTTCTTTGCCCTCTGACTCTCGACACTGTTTTTTAATCAGCCTCAGTTCCAAAAACAAGTAAATAAAACTAAAGGGGCAAAGGCAAATTCTCAATATATGTAAAGCACTGACCAAGCACCACAGCTTGTCAGTAACAAACAATTAACTACCATAACAATAAGAACAAAATAGTATACAGTGGTACCTCGGGTTACATACACTTCAGGTTACATACGCTTCAGGTTACAGACTCTGCTAACCCAGAAATAGTGCTTCAGATTAAGAACTTTGCTTCAGGATGAGAACAGAAATTGTGCTCCGGCGGCGCAGCGGCAGTAGGAGGCCCCATTAGCTAAAGTGGTGCTTCAGATTAAGAACAGTTTCAGGTTAAGAACAGACCTCCGGAACGAATTAAGTACTTAACCCAAGGTACCACTGTACATATGTAGCTGCAAATGAGTTTCAGTGCAACTCTCTAAAAATGAAATGTAGTGCCTTAATTTATCTAGAAAGTCAATCTTTAGTGTTAATAATTGTTAACATCAAGTGTGAACAAAATATATTAACTTCATTTGTTGCATTCCAAACTACATTACAGATCTCAATCATTTCAAGGGTTGGTTCATTAAACAGGGTTCATCACCAATGGCTTATCCAGATGAGAAAACTGGAAGCTTCAGCTGGTGAAAGGGAAACACGTCACATTTTGCAATCTCTTAAAAGTTTTCCAAAGACCTTTTTCGTATGGTATATGCAACAAAATATTTTATCCTACTTAAAGCTAATAAATGAAACCGAGATCTCAATTTGCAAAATACCACATCCAAAATAAGAACAGAAAATTGCACAAGGAGCTCCTGCAGCTGTTAATTTTATATGAACATAAATTGCAATCCAGTGTTGAACCTTGAGTTCACATTGTGGTGACCCTGGGGCAAATAACTCTCACAACCTTATCAACACCACAGGATTGTTGTGATGATGCAGCAATATAACCCTGTTTATCTTTTACTTTGATCAATCTTAGCAGGAACTTTCCTATATATTTCAATATCGGTCAGATAAATGTAATACATTCATATTTTGTTTCCCAGTTATGCTGTCTGAGCCAAAACAATGATTTGAAAGTTCAGCTGAATATGAGTGGAAAATATTTTATTTGGCTGGATTATAGATTCATTGCTGGTATCTAAAGACTGAACACAGTTCTTGTAGCTTCTGCAGTACATTTAAAAAGTAGGGAGAGAAGTCAAATTCTGTAAAGAAGGTGAAGGCAAATGGAAGCTTAGAAAGAGGAAGACTCTGCCGGAGAGAAGTTCCTCTAAGATTTAGGCTTATTAAAAAGTAATGGTTATTTTATTTTTCCTCATTACATCTTTTCTTCTGAAGCACGTACTTTTAAATTCTTGATGTGCAATGCTAAATATTTATTTGTAAAAGACCTTTAACAATTCTCTCTCAAGGTTTGGTACATACTCAATTCAGGCACATGATGTCAATGCAAAAGAGGAAGGGTTCTAAAGGATTAATGGAACTCCAGAACTAACGGCTTCTACAAATACTGATTTGTAATTTGCTCTCTTCAAACTCACTGCATGAGTAATAATCAAAGAACAGCAATTTTGTAAAATGTATTGCATCAAATTACCATGATGTAGATAAAAATCCTATTGATAATTATGTAGCACATATACTTTGGCAAAGAAAAGTCTCCTGCTCCCCAATTGCATATTCCTAAAGAGAACTAAAGCCTATTCCATAAATTCAAATTCTGCTCTTGAAAACATAATCAAGTTAAGTTCACACTTTCTGCTTGACATATATCACATTAATACTGAAACCATTTATGTTGATGCCACAGTTTAAAAACATTCCAACAAGGGCCACCCAATTTTATTGTCATTTTTACAATGCATTCCTATTCTTCACAGAATGACATAGAAAATATATGCAAAGTCCAAACAGTTTCCACATGATAGTATTATGCTCTTTTACAGTTAGCATGTTCTTTACTTTAGATATAAATTTCTTCTTCCAATTATTGTGGTTCTGTAGTTGCAGCCAAATTCTTGTTTCAGGTAGTGTTTTCTGTTTTTATCAGTTCTTTGATGATGTTCAAAATCTTATCATCTGGGGAACAGAATGACAGTAAGTGCCAAAGAATGGATAATTCAGCTGTATTTCCCAACCCCATCAAGAATTATAATCATGTGTATTGTAGATTGTCACTCTGCACCCTGCCTGCTAAAAGCAGCACAAAATATCATGAGGGTTGAAATGATAAGGAAGTGAAGTTCAGCCTCTTCAGATCTGGGATATCAATGTACCTGAGGTCGCTTGAGTTTTCTCAAATTAGAACTGTGCACACAATTAAAGACATGGACCATAGATATAGAGTTCTCAGGTTATGGTTTAAAAACCCATAAATGCCCCTTCTTGTGTTTAAAAGAATAGGTTGGAATATAATCCCGAGAGCTATCATGTTTTTATTTCTAACAGTGAGTTCATCTATTTAATTTTTCTAGCAACGATCACCAAATGCCGCATTTTAAATCCCACCACACATTGATTCACAGCTTGATTCCTATGTTGAGGTATCTGCCTAAAGTAGTTGAGAGATAACCATCTACAGCGGCCAGTGCTAACCATTTTGTGCATTCAGATTGTTAAGCTATTGTTATGGTTATTTAGTGTTTGCAATGATGTCCGGACTCCCTCAGTTTTTGCTCAGAAAGAAAAACTTGCATAAAATTTAGAAAGCGTGCCAAGGAATTTGGACACATTAAGCTGTTGAACATGAAAGAAAGTGAACTGATGAGAGGCCTTGTTAGCTGAAGCCATGCTATGTACACACAATGCATAGTGTGTGTCTCATGCTAAAATAAACTCATTGTGACTAGGGCAAAATCAGAAATGGCACTAGTGTGCTTGTTACACTGGAAATTTGAACTGCCAAGTCACTATTCTGCGTAATGAAGGTTTCTTTTTTATAAGGTTTATAGTTATCTTGTTTCAGTAAGAGGTTACCTTAATCAGTTTTGTATTTTATTTTGGTAACTTATCCACTACTCTACTCATGTTCAACGAAAGACACAATACCAAATGCAAAAATAGTAAAGGTAAAGGGACCCCTGACCATTAAGGTCCAGTCATGGCCGACTCTGGGGTTGTGGCACTCATCTCGCTTTATTGGCTGAGGGAGCCGGCATACAGCTTCCAGGTCATGTGGCCAGCATGACTAAGCTGCTTCTGGTGAAGCAGAGCAGCGCGTGGAAACGCTGTTTACCTTCCCTATTTATCTACTTGCACTTTGACGTGCTTTCAAACTGCTAGGTTGGCAGGAGCTGGGACCGAGGAACGGGAGCTCACCCCGTGGCGGGGATTCGAACCGCCGACCTTCTGATCGGCAAGTCCTAGGCTCTGTGGTTTAACCCACAGTGCCACCCGTGTCCAATAATGCAAAAATAAGTTCACACTAATGTTTAGCTGCATCTCTGTGGCATACAGGCTGCAACATATTTGTTTCAACAGATGGACCCTTTCTGAGCACACATTCCTTTATGTGTATGAAAGATAGGTTCCTTTATTGAAATAAATGTCGGAATCCTTAAGTGTGGGAGAATTCCATGGATGTATGGGGACTCCTGCATCCAAACATAACTGAAACATTGCAACGCACTAGCTTACACCAAGAAAGTGCTCAGAGTTGAAGAAAACTGTGCAAAAAAGTGACCTCCCCACCCCTAGTGGTATATGATATTTATCCATCATACATAAAATCTAAGAGAATGATGCATATGTTTTGCTATTCCACAAATTTTACATATACTGAGTTCAATATTTTCATGGCTGTGCTGGGGTTGGGGAATTACCTTCAAGTGACATTTTAGGGTTTTCAAGTTTTTGCTTTAAAACAGACTCGATGAGTACTCTCAGTTGTTTGAAAATCACTGCGATTTTGACAGGAGCCTGCAAAAATAGGAATATTAAATCTTACATTTCTCCTTTGGAACAGTTTGTTAATAACATATCAGATCTTAAAAATACATTTCCCACATACAAAAATACAAGTTATGTCAGATGTTGTCAGACATAAAACTGCTGTTCAAAACCAACCATGGTTTGCTGGAGTGAGAACAAGTGATGGAACCTTCCCATCCCTCCTTCTTTTGTAGCCTAGCTTGAGAGAAAACTGATTTGCTATATCAATTTCCTGCCATATCCAAAATCAGGATGATTTTATCTGATTGGTAAAGCAGGTTTATAAGAAGCATTTAAACTGGTTTTCTGGTTCAGATGTAATGGGAATCTGTGTTTTAACAAACTGGAAGCCTTCTCCCAAGCTGGGTGGATAAAAGGGGAACTAAACATACCTGAAAATGGATCCAGCCATCAACAGACAAAAGCCGTTCACGGTGCAATACTTCTATGTCTCCGCCGAAAAGTAAAATTGGGAAGGGGGAAATCAAAGTAGTTTCTTTCAAGTACACCTTGGCGTATCTTATCTGCATGAAAAACACAAGCACAAATAATTATGTTACTTGACTCAACTGCTGCCTCTGATATAGCAGTACATCATTGTTCTGCCACAGGGAATTGTTACACATGCCCTTTGAAAGCATGTTGAACAATTACAGTGGTACCTTGGTACGCTTCAGGTTACAGACTCCGCTAACCCAGAAATAGTACCTCAGGTTAAGAACTTTGCTTCAGGATAAGAACAGAAATCGTCCTCCGGCGGCACAGCGGCAGCAGGAGGCCCCATTAGCTAAAGTGGTGCTTCAGGTTAAGAACAGTTTCAGGTTAAGAACGGACCTCTGGAACGAATTAAGTACTTAATCCGAGGTACCACTGTACACCAAATGCCATAGGTCAGAATGAAAATTTGACAGTGGCAGTTCCCAAACCTTTTCTCCCACGGATGATGTGAAAGTTGATAAAGGTCATGGGCAGACCACTTAATCATTGTTCTGCCTCTTGTGGCAATTCTAAAGCACTATGCTAGATGCTGTATGGTTTTTAATTGGTTTTTTATTGCTTCTTTTACTTCTTATAGTATATTTTATTGTATTCAATTTGAATTCCATAAATTTCACACTGCAATAAAATAATCAATAAAAATACATTTAAAAATCAACAAGAATATTTAATGCAGACATGCTGTGGACCACCTGAATGAAGCTTGCAGATCTCTAGTGGTCTGTGGACCATAGTTTGGAAATCACTGTTTTATAAAGTACCATAGATCTAAGATGTTGTAGGTCATGCCCACTTAAACCAAGGCGAGAAATAGCATACAGTGGTACCTCGCAAGACGAATGCTTCGCAAGACAAAAAACTCGCTAGACGAAAGGGATTTTTGTTTTTTGAGCTGCTTCGCAAGACGATTTTCCCTATGGGCTTGCTTCGCAAGACGAAACGTCTTGCAAATTTGTTTCCTTTTTCTTAACACCGTTAATACAGTTGCGACTTGACTTCGAGGAGCAACTCATAGAACACGGTGTGGTAGCCTTTTTTGAGGTTTTTAAAGACTTTGGTGATTTTTGAAGCTTTTCCAAAACTTTCCCGACACCGTGCTTCGCAAGACGAAAAAAATTGCAAGACAACAAAACTCGCGGAACGAATTAATTTCGTCTTGCGGGCACCACTGTATCGTTTTCCTAGCACTGCAAGACATCTAACTCAAGACTTGTTGCGCCATTCCCTCTGCTTGGCAGAATGTTGCAGATCTTACCTTTTCTTGATATATCAACCACCCATAGGTTTGCAGGTCCCTGTTCACAGAGGAAGGGTGAACTTGGGCTTTACCCTGAGCAGTCTCTGTTATGCATGCCAGCTTCTCGGTGATATCTACAGACTTGGTGTACATTATCTTCCCCACATTGTCATAAAGCCCAGCAGTCAGCACAGCTTTAAGGAGGACCATTTCTTGCAGCGAAAGGGCGTGTGTGCCTTCATGGTGACAGGAGGGCGCTGCAAATCCTGCTGCCCGCACCACCCTGATTAGCTCTTTTTTAACATCCTGAAATAGATGCAAATGGCAGCATCTTAACAATCCAATCACTATTCAACAACAGATTTTCCGACAACGGCAGCCTATTTTCTTTTAGTTTATCAGGTAAACTACACTTGATTAATGAAGATACTAAACGCATTTACATAAAAGGTGAGAAACTTGATTGCATTTCATTTTAGTTTCTAAATATATTATAAACAGATAATAAAATTTATGATTTCTCCATGCTGGTTCTATTATTAGTTTAGTAATTAGCCTATAAAGTTCAGGGCCCAAATATCACGCATTATTACAGCAGTTTAGAGCCTTGATTGCAAAAGGGGTTCCACACCAATCAGAAACAGACAATGGAGTTTAGCCGCATCTATTTTGCATTATTTGCATGGAAACAGATACCACTTTTTCCAGTGACGTTTAAGGTTATGGTCGTTTTAGTTGCCAGATGAGAACATTAAGGCCCCACTCCACTGGAGCATGTGGCTTAAATGAACATGTATGGGTAGGAAAGAGGCATGAGTGTATGAGCTCAGCCCCCACCCACAACATTTTGCACAGGGTGAAGAGGAGGAGAAGACCTTGTTCCAATAGGCCTTTCGGAATTGACTGCTTTTAATGAAAGCGCTGGTGTTGTGCTGTTTTGATTTTAATTATTTGTATGTTTTAAACATATTTTTATATGTATATGGTTTTAATTATATTGATTTTTCATTTTTTTAAATGCTTTTCTTGTCAATGGTTTTAGCAGTTGTAGTTTTTATCTGCAAGCTGCCTCGAATCCAATTAGGTAAAAGGGCAGGATAATAATAATAATAATAATAATATGTGTGGACATGTGGTGTTCTCCCCACTTTGTGTGCTCATTTAAGCCACTTATAAATGCCTAAATAAGGCTGAAGTGTTTTAAATGGCAAAATTGTTGCTGGTACCTCCAGAGTTAATAGCGAAGTTCTGTTGAGGAAATTTCTCCTGCAGTAAGTCATTTCAGCACGGTATCCTCCTTCATGACGAGCTTTCTTCCATCTAGGCAAAAGAACAACAACCAGCTCTCCTAATTATTATAATATAAAAACTCATGATGTAAGAACACAAAACAGTCACAGTCAAGGAATATGGGAAGTAGTGCTTCAGAATGGAGCATGCTTAGTCCTCATGAGGCTGTTTTGGGGGTCCCCCCTTTCCCTTCCCTAAATGTTCTTGCAGCTCTGCAAACCTTTGTGCTTCCTTGATACCTTCCCTCTTTTTGGGGGGTGTTGTACAGTGGTGCCCCGCAAGACGAATGCCTCGCAAGACGGAAAACTCGCTAGACGAAAGAGTTTTCCGGTTTGGAGGTGCCTCGCAAAACGAATCTGCTATGGGCTTGCTTCGCAAGACGAAAATGTCTTGCGAGTTCCTGGGTTTTTTTTTTCCTTTTCCCCCTCTTTTTCTAAGTCGCTAAGCCGCTTATCAGCTTATCGGATAAGCAGATAAGCTGCTAAAAGCCGCTAAAAGCCGCTAAAAGCCGCTAATAGCGCTAATAGCGCTAATCCGCTAATCCCATCAATGGGCTTGCTTCGCAAGACGAAAAAACCGCTAGACGAAGAGACTCCCAGAACGGATTCTTTTCGTCTTGCGAGGCACCACTGTATTATAGCACTGCTGCAGTTCCTTGGCTGGAAATGCCCCCTTTCCCAGGTTAGCACTATCACAGCTGCATTTGCAACATAGACCATTTCTGTTGGCACTAAAGGCAGTTTCTTCAGAAACAGAAGACACAGTGAGCAGAGAATTCGGCTGCCATAACACTGTATACTTCGTACTTCCCCAGTTTCAAAAGTGTAGCATAGCACTATGACAGTAATGGGAGGGCAGACTAGTCAAGTTAACCCTAAGCACCTTGTAAACTACGCGGATGGCACTGTGGGTTAAACCACAGAGCCTAGGACTTGCCAATCAGAAGGTCGGCAGTTTGAATCCCTGCGACGGGGTGAGCTCCCGTTGCTCAGTCCCTGCTCCTGCCAAATTAGTAGTTCAAAAGCACGCCAAAGTACAAGTAGATAAATAGGTACTGCTCCGGCGGGAAGGTAAACGGAATTTTCGTGCGCTGCTCTGGTTCGCCAGAAGCGGCTTAGTCATGCTGGCCACATGACCCGGAAGCTGTATGCCGGCTCCCTCGGCCAGTAAAGCAAGATGAGTGCCGCAACCCCAGAGTCAGTCACAACTGGACCTAATGGTCAGGGGTCCCTTTACCTTTACCTTTTTAAGCACCTTGTATAGTCTGGATAATAAATAATAACGAAAGGCTTATCACAGAATGCATTCTTTTGATCAAAATGCTTTAGGAAAGAATACTTGAGTTACCCCAGATATGCCTGGTAAATTGTTAAGTGGTCTGAGTTTGCCAAAGCCAGAGATGATTTCGCAAGGTCTGCTTCATCTTTTCTTCCAATTGGTGTAGTAAATGGAGATTTTTCTGTCATTACTGCAGCGAGAGTGGCCTGCAAACCATAGTAAGATATGATACATTAAATCCAATAGCAATTACATCTTTATTCCCACCAGTATCTATTTCATTAAGTTTGCATGAGACCAAGAACCAAAGTGATTACACCACGACAGAACTCTGCTACACAATTCAAAGAATTCAAAGAGTTGGAAGGGACCCTGAGGATCATCTAGTCCAACCCCCCTTGCAATGCAGGAATATGCAGCTGTTTCTTATGGGGATCGAGCTTGCAGCCTTGGTGCTTTCAGCACCACGCTCTCACCAGCTGAGCTATAATTCGTCAGTGGAAAAATGAAAGCAAGGAGTTAGCATTATATGTGATCACAGATTTCTGAAAGATTTGGAAAGTGAAAGAAAATGGCACATAAAAGCTGCCCAGATCCATCTCGTTGAACCTTCTGTTTTTTTAAAAATGCCAAGTTGGAAATTTCTGAAACCTCCTAAGTAAGGCATGATGAAGACAGTTATTTTCTTTATCCTACCAGACTCTTAATTGAGCAATGTTTCAAATATATTATTGAAAAATACATCCTATTTGGGTATTGCTACAATTTTCACTGCAGTTTGCCCTGAAACAGCTAAAGTGGTGTGTATAGACAGATAGACAGATATAGAGATAGATATATGCCTTAAGACCATAACAGGTCCTCAATATTAACAATTATTTTGCAAGCACTGATACTGTCTGAAGTTTAGAAAATAGTCAATGTAATGGCAGTCAACTTACCACTGGTTCCAAGCAGCCAAAAATAGCACCAAATATCAACATTTTACCAATCTTTACATTGACTGGTAATGCTGCAAGATGTTGGCCTAAAGGAGTCAGTTTTGGCTCACTTAATTCACAAGCCCCAATCTTCCGTAGAACGTTCATGGCATTGCCAACTACTTGAGGCTGAGGTGGGTCTAAGGCCTTGGAGAGGAACTCTTCAGGAGATCCAAGATTACATTTCTGTAGATGACCCAAGAGCAAGGAAGAGATAAATGCATCTAATAGCATCCTATAATGCATCCTATAGTAATAAAGTATAGCTTTATGGATATATGTCCTCCACCAAAATACACATTTACTCAAAAATATTCTTCTTTACAGTACTTGCATTCATGGGCATGGCAATATGAAACCTCAACATCTGTTCCTGCCCTCTCCCTGCACGGATCAAATAGGTGCTTAAGACATAAACGTTTCCATTTTTTTCTGCAGGCCTTCAGAAATCAAACCCAGCCTCTTATGCTTTCCCGATAAATCAGAAGTATTAATAATTGAAACAGAAAAGCTCATACCATGATATGAAGGCACAGTTCTTCCAAGGGCACCCGCAGTATTTCTGGAACAGAGTAGTCTGCAAAACTTTCAAATCTGCAAAAAACACAAAGGAGAGATGCAGTAAGATGTGGTTCATACTGCTAAATCTGCCATGTGATTATGTACACAGGCGTAACACAGTGTTAACTAAGCTGGCAGCCATTTCATTGACTGAGGATACTGGAAAACAAAACAATAAGGCAAGTTAGTTCTAATCAAGATCTGACTAGTTTGGGCTCTGCTAATTCTATCAAACGCCTCTCAATGTCCATTGTGAAACTCATTGTGGGTGAAAGGGCCTTTTTCACTTAAGTACTATGCAGAGAAATATTTTGGGGGCAGAATACATGTAGTCATTTAACACCCAAGTGAAGTACCATAATAGATTATTTGCGATCATTAGGCTCTAAATATATTTAAGTATTTTTATTTTTATTCTTTATTCTCATTGTAAAGAGCTTCAGGACTTTTGCTGTGGGAAAAGATGCATAAATTCAATAAACCTAAGCCAATCTCAGTGCTGCACTTTAAATAGATGGTTCTGAGCTAACACAGTACTACTTGCTTAGCGTCTAAATCTCGAAGGCCAAGACACCCTTACCTATCTCTGGTGTACATTCGGAAGCAAAATCCATCCCTCACGCGACCAGCTCTCCCTTGACGTTGTAGTGCACTAGCTTTACTGACAAACGTCTCTTCCAATGAGCTCATTTGACTGCTTTCGTGGTATCTGGGTTAAAGGTAATGAAACACAAATTTCTGTTAAAGCTTCAGCATTAAAGCCATGTTCAGAACTTTCTCTGCAAGCAGATCTGCAAGGTCTGCTTCACCTTTTATTCTAAGTGGAAGATTTCTGCAGTCACATCAAACTAGTTGCAATTACAGATGCCTATTGACTTTCGTAGAATCTACCTCAAAACGGAGCATGGTGTTTTAAAAGGTATGGCGTGATTTGATTTTCTGGGAAGTAAACTCACATTACTGTGAGAAATCAAAGTAGCTTAGAAACTTCTGCTCCTGTGAACAATGAAGATAACAAGAGCATTGGTCTTTAATTGAAGAGTCCCAAGAGAAAAGATTTTATATAGGATGGATAAGCAGAGAGACCAGGCAAGCTGGATGGAGGCGGCAGCAAGGAGAGGAAATGTATTAATATATATATTTTTAATGGGTCCAAAGTAGCAAACTAGGATTTTAAAAATGGTCCTTAGTTTGAAAATACCTGATGATTGTCCTAGACAACCTCACATTATAGCTGAAACTGGGTTCAGAAGTACTGGCTGTGGACTCTAGTGTAGGAACACGGCAACTTGTTCAGAATCCTGCAACCTTTTCTTCTACAACCTTAGCATACAAATACAATACTCAGTATTAAAGAGAATAACTTGAAAAGAATTGAGGCAGTTTCTGCTATAAGTTGTGAGAGGACTGAGATTAGAGTTTACAGTGGACAGGATATTGGATTTCACTAAAAACAGTTCCTAGTTCCTTCCTTAGCACCATTGTCTGGGCACCTGTTAGCTTCCTCCAGGACCAAGTTTTTTTCTTACCCAATCAGCAAAGATTTTTTTTTACAAAAGGGGGGGGGAGGATTGTATAACAAAAATGAGCACATGCAAATATCCGTTATGCATGCTAGTTGTAGAATCTTGATTTTCTTGCAAAAGAGCTCCATATTTCTTACATACAACTCCATGCCACAGAATATGCAACCAGCAAAACAAAAACCACTGCTTTCCCAAGACACAGCATACAACTGCATGGTTCTGGTTACAGAAATCAAGTCTTGCCATGAAAATAATTGTGCATTTTCCATGTTACCAATCACTTTTAATCAGATTTATTTATTTACTAAATTTCTAGGCTGCCCTTCGTCTAAGGATCACAGGACATTTTAGAATACAAGAACGCAGAAATATATAACATAACAGCAATAAAAACAATACCATCCACAAATTTAAAAGGCCATACATTATTTAATTAGACAAAGGCCTGGGAGAAGAGGAATGCTTTTGCTTGGTGCCTAAAGATATGCAACAAAGGCACCAAGTGAGTCTTTCTGTGAGCATTCTACAAATGGAGAGCCACCGCAGAAAAGGCCCATTCTCATGTTGCCTCTTGAGGAATTAAAAGTTTCTTGGGTTAACTGGCACTTTATACTACATGCTCACATAGTATTAGAAACTGAGATATGAAAGCTAGGAGCTAAATTGCACCTTTAACCTAGGTTATGGGTGCAACAATGGAATGGCTAGGCACACTTTTTTATAACAAGAATACAAAGCTGAAAATGAAAGAACTGCAGCCAAAATATTATGTTCATTTTTCAAATCCTCTAGTCGTTCCCCTGCCCACCCCTTTAATATTCTTAAGAGGGTCTCTTCTCTAGTCTTCAAAGAGTAGCTGGAAGTGGGTAGGCAGAAAAAGGTCCTCCTTTCCTTCAACTCTGTAGTTTTAATCTGAAATCTTAGACGCAGTACTGCACCCAGAGCTCAGAAACTGCTCACGCTAATGAAATTCCCTGTCGCAAAATGTGCCTGGAACAATGGGAGTTTTGAGCACTGCGCTCACATTACAAAAGCACTTCAATACCAATGGTCAACACTGAGTGTTACCTATTTTCCTTTGTCCTTCCAGCGTCAATTACAAAAACAACATCAGGTATAGTAATACCTGTTTCAGCAATATTCGTGGCCAAAACAATCTGTAAAAGAAACAAAAAAATTGTTAAGTGTTTCATTGTTAGTGTGCTGCCAAAGTTTTCCATTGTTATGTGTCCTGCTTTTTATACGTTGGATGGAATGTTAATATTTCACATGACTGTTTTGTCAGCACAACAGCTGATGGATTTATTATGATGCTTTCAAACTAGGGTCTAGGGACCAGCAAACCATCATGCTCTAGAATCTAGGTAAAGCCACTCTGTATTTCATCATGAATCAATACAGATGATCTTCTACATTCTCAGCATTGCAATTTATTCATTTCTGAAGACTTTACTAAAAGCACTGTGAACACCTACTTTCCATCTCATGGAGAAACATTACTTTGCCCAGTAACTATCATCCCTTACTTCTGAAAAATTATGCATGCCAACTGCCATCAAATTGTATGCATATTTATTCAGAACCAAGCTCCATTTTGCTAAGAGGGACTTGGTTCCAAATAAAGGTGCAAAAGATTGCCACCTTTGAGGAAGTGATCTTGCTTATTACCCACACCTTGTGCACAGGCAGACACGATTCTATAGCATAAAAGGGATGCTGGCAGCATATGTACAATTTGGCAGCATCAATCATGTTTCGAAAGATGTGAAGTGAAGGCAGTCTGTTACGCCGATAAAGGCAGGAGGAAACATCAAACTGGAATGCAATATGAGACAGACATCACCAGAGTGTAGAGAGTTGTATAAACCATACCTTTCTAACACCAAACGGGGGCAACGTAAAGGCAGCTGCTTGGTCTTGGGTGGACAGAACAGAATGCAGTGCTATTAACTGGTGCCTGAAAGGATTGTGCAAAAAACAACAACACTGAATGAGGCATTGTGTTTATTTCCAAGACTGCATGCATGCATATAACAAGTAAACAATGGTCATTATGCTAATTCATATGTGGACCCATTTTAGCATTAACCCAAGAAAGGCTCACATGGCTGCATTTTAGAAAATACGGCTTGAATGCTGCTCCAACTGATGACTTCTTAAAGTTTGGGAAGGCAAAATCCCATGCACATACAGCTTACCGTATTTTCAGGCTTATATTTCTTTCAGCACCTTCAACCTTCTTCCAACACACAAAGCCATTGCCCCGACTCATCCAGCATGGTCTGCAGCAGGTGGTGGGAACTTTTGGCCCTCCAGATATCGCTGAACCACAGCTCCTGTAAGCCCTAGCAAGCAAGGGCAATGGCCAGGGATGATGGGAGTTGTAGTTCAACAGTGGCAGCTCAATCTGGACGGCCAAGGGTTCCCCACACCTGAAGTGAACAATGGTTACATTAGCAGTTCCTTAAAAGTGTTGCAGAAACATGAATATTTTTGTCCATTGAATAAATGATAGCAAAGGGGACTTCTCTGGAGAGGGGAATTCTGGGTCCTGACTTGTGCAGCACTTAAAAATGTATCCATTAAACAAGTGAGGCTCATATTTGCAGCTAGCAAATTTGTTTAGCCTTTCCATAATCTATGTAAAATTACAAACATACACACAGCACCTATTTCCCATGTGAACTGATCAGTGTTTTTCCAAGAATAATTAGTTTACCTCTCCCTTAGATTAAACCTTCTGTCAGTTGAAATGAGGTCATGCAACTGTTGGATATGAGCAAGGCCTGGCAGAAAAATCAAGACAGCTCCTTCTACATTTTTGAACTGGGGAGTTCTGTCTACAGAGGAAACAATAAGGAAACAATTCACATTCAGATTTGTGGTTTTTTAAAAAAGCCAATACTCCATGGTTAGACACCCACTGTTCTACCATTAAGGAAAGCAAACAATTCAACATCATATTTATTTTATTTATTAAATTTATACCCCACCCTTCCCCACCAAAGGAGCTCAGGGTGGCCATTCATACACAGAACAATCTTCTGTATGTTAACTCAGAAGTCACATGGATTTTAATGAGACTTATGTCCAGATGAGTGTATAGCAGGGGTAGAAGGTCCTTGTTTTTGGCCTGGGGGCCACATAGCAACGGTGGGTGTGGTCAGAGGCAAACATTCCTTTTTATTTAAGAGAATTTGCATACTGCTAAATTGTCAGGAGAGTTTACAAGAACCTCTAAGCAGTTTTATCTCTAAGTAAGTGGAGGGATGGATATGGCTGTTCCCTTTGCACAGCAAGCTGTGTTCCTGCATTGCAAAGCCAAGGTTTGCACCCCCACACACTCCTTACATCCAGGCAAAAAAGGCATTATGACAGGCAAGTGTCTTCAAGAAGAGCTTGCTGCAGGGACAGTGAGGAAGTGTGACCAAGGTCCAGAAAGAGACATCTAGAGTACTGCATTTGACCAATGGGTGTGAGGTTCACCAATCCTGATATATAGGATTCTTGTTGGCATCCGTCTGTCTCAAGAGACAATGGTATGCGCCTCAGGGAGTGAAGTCAAACCTGAGAATTGCAGCGCCTGCTGTGGCTGCAGACATCACTAACTCGTAACTGCCATTTTTGCTGCGTTAGCAGCACCAAAGTGCTGTTGTATGGAGGTCCTGGGATGTCCAGAGAACAAGACCTCCAGATTTGTCCTTAGTCTTCCCCCCCCGAACATGTCCCACAAGGACATATATTAAGGATAGCAGCCTTAATATATGGCATTAAACAAAACATTTTGGTCTGTAACTTTCTAACAGCTTTAAAAAGAATTCCAAAAAGACATACCTAGGAATGCAAGCAACTCCAAGATGAGGTCAAAGTTTATCTTGTAGGGATTCATATAAAAAATGGCTTGACGGGTTCGACTGCTAAATTTTTGGTAGTAAGGTCCTAAATCAATACCTGGTGAAGACTGAACTGGAACATGTTCCTAAGAAAGGGTGGGGGGGTGAGAAAGAACACTGGAAATATAAGTTCTGAAATGGGTTAACAAAATGGGTATTTGTTTATAGCTTGTTTTATAATACTGAAACGTGGATGACAAAATCATAAACATAGAAATGAGAAAACAGTATAATTAATGCTATATTAAATATAATTACTACATAAAACAAATACTTTACCTAGAAACTGAGGACAAATGACACTGTTCAAAGACATTATTTAATCTATGCTATATTTTGGAAAGTGGCTTGTCTGTTATCTATGCAATTGGACACTTAGGATAATGCAACCAAATTTTGCACAATGATTGCTAAGATCAAGGAGGTTTTGGTCTATGTTTGGATGCAGTTGGATGCCATTTTGAATCACAATGGCAGACTGAATCTTTCAAAACTGCACTTTTTTTTTTGGTTTCTTAGAATTCCCGAGCAATGCCAGGTATGATACTTCTGGTTAAAAACATTTGTGGTACATCAAAATGCACGACCTCCAAATTACTTTGATAGTCAGGGGTCAGCAAACTTTTTCAGCAGGGGGCCGGTCCACTGTCCCTCAGACCTTGTGGGGGAGGCCGAACTATGTTTTGAAAAAAAAATGAATGAATTCCTATGCCCCACAAATAACCCAGAGATGCATTTTAAATTAAAGGACACATTCTACTCATGTAGGAACACGCTGATCCCCAGACTGTCTGTGGGCCAGATTTAGAAGGCGATTGGGCTGGATCCGGCCCCCGGGCCTTAGTTTGCCTACCCATGGTTTAACTCTTCTGATTTGCCTTGGCTTACACAGTGGGTGAAGGACCAACATGTCATTCCACAGATACAATGTGACTGAAACCATTAGCGGTCCCAAAAGACCCTTTATTGTAAGGGTTTAGTAAGAGAGCCAGTGAGCCAGTGCTGAACAGCAGATAGAATTTTGGACTTGAACTGCTGAAACCTGGATTCAGATCCCTAATGAGTCGTGAATCTCACTGGGTGACTTTGGGCCAATTACTATCCCTCAAACAGCCTGCCACACAGGATCCTCATGAAGATAAATAGGGGGCAACCTCATGTATGTTTCCCTTTGAAAAGAATATGGGATGCAAGTATATCAGTAGCAAGGTTATCGTACACACTCATCCTCTACGTAACAAGTTCAGAGAAGCCCATTTTGGGGTTCTTAAAATGCATGTTCAGAATCCACTTTCAAACTGTTCTGCACTGGGTTTCCAGTACGATGTTGAAATACTGTTCATGAAAGGAAATTGAATCACCTGTGAAGAAAGCGTCTCACCTGGTATTTTGTAACTCCTCCTCCTTTGCTAGTAACATTTATTGTTATTTCCTCCTCTTCTTCCAAAAATTTCTGACAGTATTCAGAATCCTTCTCAAGGATAAAACCAGTTTCCTCTATCACATCTTCAACATGGAAAACCTAGAGTTGTGAAAAAACGAATTATGCTTTGAACATTATTTTAAACAAACCTGAGCAGGGTTTTGAGTATTATGAAAGGAAGGGACCAACTTTTTGTTGTTGTTGTTCAGATAGGTACCTATAAAGGCTGATCTGAAAAATGGATAATTTAAACTTTGGCACAAGCCTCCTCTGCCATGTTGTGCTGTGAAACTATACAAGAGCAGCTCATGTTAAACATTTTCTCCCCTCAAAACATGGGTTCAAGCAAAAATAAATCAAAAATACATTACTTGGTTCAGGTATAAGTTGAAAACGTTATGTGGCACTTCTTTGAAAGAATAAATAAATATGGACACATGGTTTCCTATGAAGATTTCTTAAACAAAGAGTCTTTTCAAATAAGGACTCAGGATTATAGCCTCTTGTTGCAAGAATAGCAAAATTAGATTTTAATAGCACACCCAAGATATGAGTGCAATTGTATATTTACCTCTACAGGATAACTTCTTCCTGAAATTCTTAGTATGGGACAGTGAGTGAAATAGCTGGAGAATTTCTCACTGTCTACCGTGGCACTCATCAAAATTAGATGCAGGTCTGAACGCTTGTGCAAGATCTCTCTTAGGATAATTAGCAAGAAATCTGATTGAACACTTCTTTCATGGACCTTGAAATAACCAGAATGGAAAGCGAGTTAATGAATGAAACAAGGGCTTTCTATAAAACATGTTGCTTTGCACTGTTCCAGTCTTCTGCAGGTAACTGTGAAAGTGTTGCTAACCTCATCTACTATAACATGAGACACGTTAGAAAGAAGAACATCTTCTTGCAGCTTTCGAAGAAGAACTCCAGTTGTACAGTAAAGCAATCTAGTGGCCTCGCCTGTTCGGGATTCCATACGGATTTGATACCCACACATGGAATTCTTAATTTAAAAAGAAAGAAAAACAGATTAGTATACAAAGGGTGAGCCTGTAGTAAACTGATTATTGGCTGGATTTTGTGCTGTATTTTGAATCAAAAGTCTTACTCCTGGGGAAAATTGTATGGATCTAGTTTTAAAGTGATTGCTTTATAGAGTCTACCTATTTGACAAAAACACAGCACTCTTGGACTTAAGTCGCCTTAAACACTAAATAGCCAATGCAAGATGGTTTTTCAGTAGGGTTTGGTTTTTGGTTTACTGTGCTAAATACAGACTCCGAGCTAGTCTATCCTGGTGATGCTTTCTTAAAGGATATGCAATAGTTTCTCTCTGCAGTACTAATCATTTTTGCAAAAGAATACTAGAATATGAACAGTATAGCAGTAGGCCAGTCATTAGGAGAGATGCTTCAAGCGAAATCCACAGCAAGGAGGGGCTCTACTTGAAATCCCTATGATAAGAGGTCCCATTATAAACTGATAATTTGAAAAAGCACATGGCAACTTACTCTTCCTCCAGGTCCACTTTCGCAGCCCAACTCTTCACATACTCTGGTTGCCAAACTCACTGCTGAGATCCTTCGGGGCTGGGTGCAAACAATATTGCACTTATTCAGATTTCGTTCGTTATGCAACAAGTCCTCCAACAAAAAATGTGGAACTTGGGTACTTTTGCCACTGCCTGTTTCGCCAGCCACAACCACAACTCGGTGCTTTTTAAGAGTCTCTATGAGGGCATGTCGGTACCTGAACACAGGTAACTGCTCCCTCTCCTTTAAAAGCCTCTGGTATCTAGGCGTATTCTGCAGTTTCTTAAAGAGGGTCCTAGCAGGTTCCAGGTCATCTGTAACTGGGCTGTCGAGAGAGAGACCACCAAAGTCCTCCTCAGAAACCAAGTTCTCCCAAGAGTCTTCTGCATCTTCCAATATTTGGGGCTTGCTTTCCAGGGGCTGCTGGGGCTGTTGCTGTTTCAGCTTGTTTAGCAGTTTAGCAATGAACTGGTCACGGGGTTTGTTGGTTTCCATCTTGTTTTCTTCTTCCTTTTTCTTTTCAGTGTCACTCCATTCTAGCCAAACCTCCCTGTATGTGGGAGGAAGTAACTGATGGACTGACTGTGAAAGAGACAAAAAAACCAACAACTTTAACTAGGGAAAATATGCTCTGGACCTGGTAACAGGACGTTTACAGTGTGCATGTTTACTGATCCACCAGCCTCCAAAGGTTACGTGTTCACATACACGAGCTACCAAATGGTGAATCGGCAAGTATGAACCAACTCCTGTAAGGCGTGCTTCCCTGGGTTCCTTTGGGAGGAAGGGAAGGATATAAATCTAGTAAATAATAATAAATACAACTGAACGATTTTAAATGTTGTCCGCACTAGGAACAGTTTTCAGAGTTCAATCATATACAAAACCTCACCTGTCCTTTGGTTAATTGATAAAGTGCTAATGTAGCAGCCAGGTGTTGAGCCTGCATGCTGTCCTCTGTAAGGATTGTTGGAATTGCTGTCATTGTTTCATCAGCCGACTTGGTAACTCTCACCCTTAAGAAGTTAAATCAAAGTGTATAAATTCATTTTAAGTCACACCGCAATCATATCTACTTTGGATGGCTTTCAACTGCAAGATTCGAAAAGTTAACCCTTCTACACATTTGGGATTGTAAGTGATACCACAGAGGTACAGTGGTACCTCGGTTTTCAAACGCCTCCATAGTCAAACGTTTTGGAACTCAAACACTGAAAACCCCGCAGTAAATGCCTTGGTTTTTGAACGTGCCTCGGAAGTCAAACAGGAAACGTGGCTTCCGTTTTGAGTTTTCTGTACTGAGGCTTCCGTTTTGAAGCTTCCGCCTTCAGTTTTCGGTTTTCAAACGTTTTGGAACTCGAACAGACTTCCGGAATGGATTACGTTCAAAAACTGATTTACCACACTTTATACTCCGTATAGTCATGTGTTTGTTCTACTGTGTTTCAACAAACATCCTCATATAAATAATAATAATGGGGGGGGGGACGGGTCCCACTTAGCAACTCCCTCCTAATAAAATCCTATGCTGATGGCTGAAGGTGGTGATGTTTAGAATGGTACACTGTTTGCCTCTTCACCTGCCTCCATCAGCAGAATTTCATACAACTGTGATAGGGCATATATGTGTTAATCCAGCCCATACTTAAAAGAGAGAGAAAACACCTCCATCAAACTACTTAATCTGTACCAAATGCTGACTGGCTGAGGATGGATAGGAATTAAAATTGAAACTGAAGGGAGGGTGGAATGAACATAGTACTTTGAACACTAACAGAAGCATTCTGGGCTATTTACTAGGGACTGTGAGATGCTGCTCAGGATCACCTTTATCAAAAAAAGGCATAAGCAAAGACTTTGTTCCACACTATGAATTCACTATAGCCTCAGGCAAACAGTTTTGTCTCTGCCTCAGTTTTTCCAACTGGAAAAAAAACATAAGCCTTTTTCAAATACCTATTGTATGAATGAGACCAGCGTTAAGTCCCTCTGTTTTAAAGATGGGCATTTTATGTGCATTCAGTAGACATATAGCAAATCATTAAGTATCCATTCATAACCATACTAAAATTAATGGGAAAGGAATTAAAAATTATCAAGCAAAGTCAAAAAGAAAGTTAACATCAGTACATACCTACATTTCCAATATCTTCCTGCTGGAACTTTTTCAAAAGATGGGTTTGGGCACTTGGGATAATGTTTTCTGCACCAGTCAATCAAAAACTGTTTGGGAGATTTCCCAGTCCAGCTTCGAGCAGTATAATCAAAATTCCTCACGTCCTGAGGTTCCTTCTTTTTCACTAACATCAATCAATAAACCATTCATTATTTTGCATGACAACACAGAAGTCATTACCAGAATTAAAGGATGAATGATTTAAACACAGAACTATGTGAGTCAGCATTGATTTATACTGCACAGCACTGATTGATTCTCGTGTTACCTGTTCAATCCCAACCACTAATTCAGACTCCACACAGCTCTTACTGTGGTACGATTTATATACAGCCCCCTGCTAAGCCTCTAAACACATGCATATAGAAGGATCTCCCTTAGTCCAAAGGAAAGGGTGTGGAGAAAGCTTGTACAGTGGTGCCTCGGGTTACATACGCTTCAGGTTACATACGCTTCAGGTTACAGACTCCGCTAACCCAGAAATAGTGCTTCAGGTTAAGAACTTTGCTTCAGGATGAGAACAGAAATTGTGCTCCGGCGGTGCAGCGGCAGCAGGAGGCCCTATTAGCTAAAGTGGTGCTTCAGGTTAAGAACAGTTTCAGGTTAAGTACGGACCTCCGGAACAAATTGAGTACTTAACCTGAGGTACCACTGTACTTGCACAGTTAATTCTGAAGACAAAACACAGTGATTACCTCCAGCACCACTTCTTAATAATCCTATTAACACTAGGATGCCACACTGTGCAAGAATCCAGATGAATATAAATTGTAGAATCCTGTCCTATATCACATTTATGAAAAACCAGGGCATTCAGTTAAATTAAAGCTAGTGACTAGCGTGTATTTAGGGTCTTGTGTGGGAAAGCCAGTGTGGTGTAGTGGTTAACAGTGGTAGACTCGTAATCTGGTGAACTGGGTTCGCGTCTCCACTCCTCCACATGCAGCTGCTGGGTGACCTTGAGCTAGTCACACGTCTCTCAGCCTCACTCACCTCACAAAGTGTTTGGTGTGGGGGAGGAAGGGAAAGGAGATTGTTAGCCACTTTGAGACTCCTTAGGGTAGTGATAAAGCGGGATATAAAATCCAAACTCTAGTTCTTCTTCTAGTTCTTCCCTTCCCAAAGAGGTCAGGACTTGTCTAACCATGTGGAGCTATTACCTAACCATATTGGCTTTTGCTTTACTTGAATGTGTGAATTCACATGATTATAATGTGAAACCATATGCAACATGCCTTCCCAAGAAAGGTGCAGTTGTTTGAGTCCCATGTTGTTTGTCTTTCAGGAGCATATAAAAAGGCAAAGCGGTGATGTGTTTTGAGACTAAGCCACTAGAGAAAGTGCTTCAGAATCTTACTACACACTCAAGATCAGATCTGGTAATCCTTTGAGCACTCCACATGCCGCTGAACTACAAGTTCTATCAACCCTGGCCATAGGTTTGAAAGGAGTTGCAGTTCAGCAAAATCTGGAGGCCTAAAAGTTTCCCAGATCTGCTCAAGGTAGTAAACCTACATCAGGCTAAATGACAGGTCTTGCAGATGTTGCAGACTCATGCCAGAAAACCTGTTACCTAAGAAAATCACATCATGCCATTTTAGGCATTCTCTTCCTTGCATTTCTACACAAGGATGGTAATTTATTCTAGATAATTCTTGATAAAGGTTTTATGTTGTTTTAAACAAACTGCTCCATACCTTTTGGTTCCTCAGGAGGAGCTTGAGGTTTTTCAAGCATGCGCAAATTCAATGCACCACCCACTTCAAGAGGCACAGGAACCTTTTTCTTGTCACTTGGTTGGTTTGTAACTTTTATTGCAGGATTAAACACGGGGTGTTCTTCCAGTCCTGCCATTTCTGCCAAGAAGGAAACATAAGTTAGGTAAGGCCTTGGCTACCATAGTGGGAAGGATAAAGAGAAGGGAGTGGATTGCATATCTTTAAATGGCTTGGGGGAATATCTTTTTGGGTTGAAGATCAGAAAATTTGCATTCCTATGTTTGAGAAGTGCCAAGTGGGCATGAGACACGGGTCTTGCCAGTCACATTCTGAAAACTTCCCTATGTGCATTTGTGTAACACAGAAAGGCCAGGCTCTGGATTCTGAACCTGAAAGTATGATGGAACTTATTTAGCTTTCCTTTGTACCAAGTGGAATGGGAGCAATTGCGCTTTTGCACACACAACTTGATCAATCTCATAATGGAAATAAAAAAGTCAATCATGTTTGTATAGCACCAACAATAAACATGCTTCTTCACATTCAATACCAATAGTGTTTTTTCCCCAAAGTGCTACAGATAAATGAATTTTGAGTGCTCGCTCCTACCTTGTTGAATGCGCCTTATTTTCTCTTGCGCCACCTTCTGTCCTTGCTTGTTTTTGTCTTGCTTGGAAGAACTTGCTTGTTCTTTTGCTTCCACAAGTTTCCCAGCCAAGTGTAAATATCTTTCATTCTGTTCCAGATGAGCTACTTAGTTATTATGCAAGTGCAGATTAAATGGCACACAGTCTACAACAGGAGTGGGGGACAGTTTTGGCTCCATGAGCCAGACTGGCCTCATAGGGCCAAATCTAACAGGTGGTCTACCCATGGTGTCATTATAACAAGACATGATTGACAGCTGGGTGGGGATGCTCACCTGTCAAAATGACTTCCCCTCCAATCTCAAATGGGAAGAGGGAGAAGGCTTACAAAAGCATTTACAATCTCCACCCCCCTCCACAACACACTAAGATCAGAGTCTCTTCGTGACAATCTCACCCTGATCTTTAATCTCTGCTCATCTCCACATCAGCTGAGAAGCGACTTTCCTTTTAGAGCTCTTTGAACTTACAAAGAGTGAAAGATGATAGTAAGCATATTGTACTGCATCAACTCAAGAAAGTTGCTCTTAAGCACTCACAGTAGAGTTCTAGAACTATGAAAAGCATTTTCAGTTTTCTTAGGCCTGGAATTATGTAACAAGCTGCTTGATATGAATGACAAAGGACTCATACTTTAATGGATACTTGAGTAGATGTAAACATAATGAGGTTGCGTTGAAATCAAGAAGTATTTCACCTAACATGGTGCCTGTTAAATTTGAAACTGCCCATGCTTTTCAGCAAACAAACATCTATATAAAATGGTTTATAAACTTACCGGATCAAATTTTTCTTCCTCCGAATTTTTCACAGATTCGCTGTTCTCTTCGTCACTCTGTTGGTCTGCATACTGCAAGATCCATTCCTTCATGCTGATATCCTTGTGTTTTCCTGTGTTTACCTTTGGATAGTGTAAAAATAATTTGATAAGGAGGATATACATGAATTATTCACTCTCTATAATTAGCCATTCTTGATATGAGACAGGTGCTCTCTATAAAGAGATAGTCCTACTTTTTTTTATTCTCAATCTATTTATGAATGGAGAGAGGTTTTCTTTAAAGATCAGCTGATACTGATACACCTGTTTCTACCACTTCAGTCAGCGAAAACAGACCATAGATTAGAGTGAAGCGGTGCAATCCTTTGCATATTTAATTAGAATGAAGTTCCACAGTGTCAAACAGGGATTATTTATTAGTGAGTTTAGGATTGCTAGCCTAAGGGTTTATTAAATTAAACTGTAAACAGGAACATGGCCTAGGAAAATATGAGATATCAACAAGTAATAATAAAACCTAAAATATTTTATTAGTTGTAAGGGAACCTCTTGATTTAATTCCTGCAAGATAATTTTTCCCATATATTATTTTAAAATATTCTCACACTACTATTTAGAGCAAAAAAATCAATCATACAATAAAAAATGAAAATTGACAAGCAGTTTCCTTACTCATTAATTCTGTATTTTTTAAGGCTTCAAAAAACCCTTCACATGGTTTCTCCCTATCCAATAAAGTACCTTTTTTTCATTGTCGTCTTCCTTCTTTTTATTGTTTGGTGCCTGGGGAGTTTCACTTCGAGGCAAAGGAGAATGGAATTTTGCTCTAGTTTTCTGTTGTTCTTCCCCAAACTGCTGACTGAAACCTTCAGGCAATGCATCTTTAAAAGAAAAGTTGAAATTTAAATAATGCTTATGCACATGTTCTTTACATGTGCATACTACTGCTATGTTCCAGTACAGAAAAAGGAATTTAAACCCTCCCATTATTTTCATTGAGTTTTACTCCAATAATAATTTCAACACTAATTGTTTGGTCCCAAAGTAAGTGCACTTACTTCAAATATATATTCACTATTCTCCTCCTGCTCATCTCATGAAAACCTTTGTACCTATGCCCTATATTAACTATTTCAACTAAATGAGGGCAAATATATGTTGTCTGAATCTTGAAACTGCCTGTTTTAATATGTGTAACATCTACTTGATTTTTTATTTAGCAGTTAAACTCTGTGCAAAACAGTAAAGCAGGCTTCCTCAACATCGGCCCTCCAGATGTTTTAAGGCCTACAACTCCCATGAACCCTAGCTAGCAGGACCAGTGGTCAGAGATGATGGGAATTGTAGTCTCAAAACATTTGGAGGGCCGAGGTTGAGGAAGCCTGCAGTAAAGTAATTCCCCATGGTAGTTCCAAGTAGTAAGCAAGTGGTAAATTACTAGCATGAATGCAAGCTTCTATAACTTTCTTAACAAATTGTAAAAGGAGTAATACATAAAGACAGGAAAAGGTCAATTTCAGTTTCAAGCAGCACTCTTAAACTTCAAAGCCAGATTTTTCCTTTATATTTACCATCAGAAAGGTTTAAGCACAGCCAGTCTAGTGCAGAATGCAGATCACCACCATACAAAATAGTATTTTTCATAGCTTCTTCAATATCTTCAGTCTTAAAAGAAAATCCTTGCAAAGCCATGTACACATCCTACAAAGAACAGTATGTTAAGGAATCAGAGGATACTTGCCCCAGACTTTTTATCTTGGAAACACTTGAAAAAGCAATCTCCATTTACTGTTACTACATAGTAGTTTTATACCACTGGAAGTGTAGGGCATAAGGAAATCCATACTCACTGGAAGCTAAATGTGTCAATCAGAGTTCCTTGGGATCAGTCCCAAAAGTTTTGTATAATATGCGAAGTTAACAGTTCAAAGAGGTAGTCAGCTAGTATTGAGATGTTACAGAGGAACCCAAAGTTAGGTTACCATATTTCAGAAAGTGAAAATCTGAACACAAAATTTTTTTGGGTGGTGTGGTGGTGGTGGTTGGTGAGCTTTTTTTTTTTTTTTTAAGTTTTGCCCAAAGTTGTTGATCTTTGAAGTTCTGGGTCTATTTTTAAGGAAGTTCTCCAAAATCAAGACTTCTGTTGCCATGTGTCATGATTTTTCTGGACGTTTCAGCTATTTCCACCCAGGCACTGTTTCCAACTGCTGTATTCCAGCTATGTCTGGGAAATTCCAGATTTATGGCAATGCTACTCAACATTTTAATTATGGTATAGCGATTGGAGTGAACTGTGAGATCATGTACTCCTTCCCCCACCCGTCTACCCTCAACCACAAATTACCCATACCAGACTTAAGGGGCAATGCCAACACTGAGAAACTATGGTTAACATTAACTGTGTTCCCTTCTCAAGCAAGGCCTGCTAGCCAGCTTCAAATTCTGATTTCAAAAACTGATTTAGAATCTTAGTTTGCATTGTCCATGATTAAGGTTGGTACAGTAAGGAAATGGTTTGGAAATGTATGCTTCAGAAGGAAACTGAGTTCAACCACAAATACATTCTTGTATATATCTTTCAAAACAAAGCCATAGCTCAGTGTATGTAGGAAATGCCAGGTTCAATGCTCAGCATCTCCAGGTAGGGCTGGGGGGGGGGGGAATGTCTACCTAAAACCTGGAGAACTGCTGCCAGTTAATGTACAGAATACTGAACTAGATAGGCCAATGGCTAAGGCTGGTTTCCTTTCTTCCTTGTTTGCTGATGAACAGTAGGATAGTCAACAAAGCGGAATACAACAAATAAGTCTTCACTATCAATTTCAATGAAGATTTTTTTTTAAAAAGACACATGAAATTATAAAAATCGAACTAAACTGAATTATGATTAAACCTTTTCAGTGACTCCCCCATTCCCAAACATTTGTTACTACATTTGTTTCTCATATTTCACCTGTAATTTCTTTGCTGTAAGTCTTCTAGAAATCATTCCCTGTTCACCACTTTGTTTCTTATGCTCATTGATTACACCAATAATTCTTTTTTCCAAGTTACTGTTAATCACTACCTGTGAAGGCAAAAAATAGTTCCAACCAGAACAAGTTCTTGCAAACTGTTAGCTGCAAGTGCATTAATAGCCGAGCACAAATGCAAGCCCATTGAAACAGAATATACACTGAGGCATGAATTGTTCAGATTACTACATGAAAAGATTGATGTACTAAATATGCATCTATGTAAAGAAATTACTTAATAGCGCGTGATGCTTTAAAGGTGAAGGAATGCTCAATATTACTTATGTACAATACTTTCACTTCAGATTAGTCTAACATAATAAAACATGCGTCTTTCCCTAACAGATGCCCTTACCTTAAGAATAGATTTATCTGCATTTGCGGAAGCACCAGAGTCAGATGATGAACCAAAGCTGTAGGTTTTTGGACCTGTGTAGCCAAACAAAAATTATTTGAGTAATATCATACAGAGGCAAAACTGACAGTCAAAACACTGCTTTCCTGATATAAATAACTGGAATACTTGTTTGTTATCAGTGTACTCCTTTTACATATACTAGACCATGCTGAAGTTAGAGCACAAGCAAGCAATGGCATGGGCAGATATATCACTGACATCATGCCAAAAACACATGAATAGTCTAGCAGACATGAAGCTTAAACATGGCTAGAATCACATATGGAAAGCTTACATGGGTAATTCATTATTATAAATTTCTTTATACACCTTACCCATGAATCATTAGAAAACATTAAGTTAAACTAATATATATGATTAAATAGATAGATAATTATAATAAAAACAGCAAATCATCAACCCTTTTATTAAAAGCAGTCAGTTCCCCAAAGCCTGTTGAAATACAAAGGTCTTCACCTGCTGGTGGAAGGATAACAGAGAGGGAGCCAGAATCTGGGAGCATCTACCAAGAATGCCCTCTTCCATTACCCTACCAAGCGTGCCTGTGTGGGTGGTGGGACAGAGAGAAGGACCTTCCCTAAAGATCTCAAAACATGGGAAGGTTTGTATGTGGGAATGTGGTATTTCTGATAGCCCAGACCTCGGTGCTATACAGGCACTTTGAACTGCGCCTGGAGTCAGACCAGTAGCTAGTGGAGCTATTAACCACCCAACTGCTGTTCTTTGAGCCCCGTTGAAGTTTCTGAACACTTTTCAGTGGCAGCTCCACCCACAGCTCGTGACAGCAATCCAAACATATGGGCTTTCAAACATGGCCTGCCTCCTTAGCATAAATCAGGTTACAAGAAGCAATACGGTAAGATGATCAGGCTTAAGACCGATCTGGTCCAGCATTTCATCTTCACAGCGGCCAAACAAGCTCCTTGGGGAAGCCCTCAGGCGGGACCCAAGCCCCACAGCGCTCTCCCCATTTGTGATTCCCAGCAACCAGCCTTCAGAGGCGGTGGAGGGAGAAAAGTAGCCATCGCGGCTCGTCCCAACCTTCCTTGCAGCCTGGGGAGGCAGCAACGGAAAGCGCTTCACCTGTCGGATTTCTGCCTTAAACGAGCAGAGGGGAAGCTTAATGGATGCCCACTGAAATCCTACACGACACGCAACGCGGGAGTAAGTCCTATCGAAGCCGATGGGGCTGGCTTCCGAGTAGGCGTGCGGAGATCCCTGCACCCGGCGGTTCCCCCGGCGGTACCTTGCTTCAGGCGCGGGTCCTTGCCGGCGGGGCTCGGGCGGGGCGCCGAGGTTCTCTTGCCGGCAGCTTCGCCGGCGGCTCCGGACTCGGTCGCGCCGGCGCCCACCGCTTTGGCCCGGGCTGCGGCTACCGCGGCGGGATGGACCGCCCCAGCCCCCGCGGCGCCGCTGCCGCCCTTGTGCTTTTTGTTCTTGCCGCCCATGCCTGACGCCCGCGCGCGCCCCTCTCCGCCGCGGAACCCGCACAAAGACCTCGCGCCGGCTCCGCTGGCATCCGGGCTCGGCAAGCCTCCCGCAGGGACAGCCGCTCTGATTGGGCCGCAGGCAGCTACGGGCACGTCCTAAGCTTTTGACTCGTGTTTACGGGCACTTCCGCCCTAAGGCGCACGCCACTTCCTGCCGTTTTCTAAGAGAACTTCCGGTTGCTCTCTTCCCCACCTCCCAGCTCCTCTTCCGCTTAAAAAACAAAACACCAACAACGCTTTTCTGTCTCTACGCACACAGAGACATAAAAAGTGAAGAGTCGTTGTAAAGTGGTTCTCTGGTTCTCAGCTGGTTATAACTGTTTTGTGCAACGTGTCGCAGTTCTTGTAACGTGGTTCCTATTGGGAGCCGCACTAGGATCCCTTTGGGGAAGAAAGGTGGATGTTAACTTTGACATAAAAAGACGAAATATTCATAGCTGTCAACTTCCAGATTTGAAAATAAGGGATCAGCAGCCTCACCTGTCCCGGGGACAGTCTACGGGATATCTAACAATCCAGGATAGCAGCGGGAAGCAGTGGGAAACGGACCTGGAATAGGGGAATTTCCCGCAAAAAAAAGGGAAGGTTGACAGCTATGGAATACTGTAATATTTTTAAATGTCCCGCGAGGCGGAATGGGAGAGCTGCTCGTAGAAATAAACAGAGACATTCTAAAGTAGTTGTGATCCTATTCCCACTGGATTTAAAGTGTTAGCAGAGGCGTGCAAGGGAAATGAATAAGGCTGAGCAACAACACCATACAGTCTATTCGAAGCCCATTCTTTCGCTCAAAAGTATCTGCGTACTGTTGCTTGCTCCTCATAGAGCTATAATTCTCAGCAACCCTTCAGTGAATACAGTTCCCAGCCTCTCAGCTGGGATGACTGCCCATAATTCTTTCAAGGGGTGTGTGTGGAATGTGCTTTAAAGGTATACTTTAGGCAACCCCAGGCAAGAAGGACAGACGGTGACAGTTCTGCTAGAGATAAGAATGTGTGCAAATGTAGCCAAATAAGATAATAAAAATACTTTTATTATTTATACCCTTTAGGTATTTATACCCTTTAGGTATAAATTAAAAGGCGTAAAAAAAAACCTTTCTGTTGCTTTTGGTGTAACAGAATAACGCAGCTCCCTTCAAGCGGCCCTTCGTGTCTCAATATTTTTTCTCTCTGAGGATCAGGGGGGCCCTTTCAACGTCCGCCGGAAGTTCAGCCTAAAAGGCCGCTCTAGGACGCGCGACGCTATCGTCCCGCGCGCGGTGCGTGGCGGGAGTGCCTCTCGCGTGTGTTTGCCGGGGAGTGGGAAAGATGGCGGACGCCTTTGGGGACGAGCTGTTCAGCGTGTTCGAAGAAGACCCAGCCGCCGCTTCCGGCTCGAAAAAGGCGAAGGGGGCAGCTGAGGCGACTGCCGCTGCCGCTGCTGTAGGCAAGGCCGGGTGAGGATCCAGGGGAGAGCTTGAGAGGGAGAGGCGGAAGGGCAAAGTTCGACCGTCCCTATGGAGATGACTGCCGTTTCGCGGGTTGTTGGACGCAGGCAAAGGGTCGCCCTCGAAGTGCCCCCAGAGACAACTAGAGGAGGAGGCTGTAGTTCCCTGTTCTTGTTAAACGTTTCTCCGTGATAGGGGATCGCTAACTTTCTTTGCAAACTGGATAAAGTTTTGGGAGCACCACACATCACCCCAAAACGACTTGCAAACAAACCCCACATCGATACATTACAGCCGGGGGAAGAAATACATTAAAAATACCCCACAAATTTCTAAAAGGCCGCAGGCCTGGTTATAGAGGGAAGCTTTTGCCTGGCGCCTAAAGATAATATGATGGCGCCAGAGGAGCTTCCCACATGTGGAAGCCTTTCCCTTTCCCCCACAATAATCTTCTCTGAAGCCTCACTTGAAGCTCGACACCCACAGGGTTAGCTTCCCTGTCCCCACAGTATTTCAGACTGTGTTGCCTGCAGCAAATAACAGCAAATTTGGAATGAATTCTGCGCATATTTGAAAGGTTTATGCAATCCGCTCGGTATGGGATAACAGATGAGACATTTCCTTCTGGTAGAGATGATAGAGGTGATAACAGCTGGCCAAGTCCAGGGGAGGAGGGGGGGAAATATGGAAAATTGTTAGAGAAATATTGTTAGAGGATGTATACATAAAAAAAGCAATAAAAATATTTTTTTTTAAAAAAACAACTGGCACTGTTGCCTCTAGTAGTGTCAGATAAGTGATGGGTCCACAGCCAAGCAACTTTGGAGATGCTGGGTTTTTGCTGCTTGTTCTGGGAGTAGTGCATGTAAACTCCACCAGGTCATGGCCTCATCTGGCAGCTTCCTTCCTTCCACATGAATTTTACCGTTTGTGAAAGTCAGTGGTTATTACAGAGAGAACTTCATATCTGAATCTCAGCACGAAGCATCATTTAAAGAAATAGGAATGTTGTATTTCATATCCTGTTGGAAATCTGTTGAGCTTTGTTTAGATTTTGAGAGTTTACTAACAATGACCCTTTTTGTTGCTTTGTATTTCAGGAAACAATCAGATGGCAAATCTGCAGCATCCTCTAAATTTCCAACAAAAACTAAACGAGATGCAGAGGTCGATAGCACAGACATTCCAGTTTTTGAAAAGAAACCAAAGTTGGAAGATACCACCGCAGAAGATCTCAGGTAAGCATGTTAGAGGCTGGAATGGTTGCATGATAACTGGCCAGAAAACATTACAACAAGCACCATAATTGAGCTTTCATAAGTGTTTTGTAAGCATTTGCTTATATAACATTATTCTGCCATAAATAATCATATGAAGGAATGCATGTTTGAAAACTTCGTGCCATGAATACTTGTCCTCTTGCTTAACCTAAAGGAAAGACACAGCTTGGAATTTTAGGACTTTGGAGTTGAAACTGCTTCTGTTGAGTGCTGTGATATACTTTTTCTGTTGTGTTTTGTTGACTAACAAATTGAGTTTTCATCTCTTGCATTTATATCATCACCTTTCTTGCAAACTTGCGATGGCACAAGTTCTCTGGTTGAGGCTTCCTTTGTCTTTGTCTCTTTAATATTTTGGCTAGGTACGCATGAATTAGTATTTGTTGCTGATACTCAAACGTATCATTTTTCCCCTAAATGCCAAATAAATCTAATTATTTTCTGATAAATTTGAACTAAGTAAATGAATATATGATGTAGCCTCCTAATTATGAATCAATTGCATTAATAAATATTTGAAGGGAGTTCTCCTGTCCTGGCTGATCTAAAGCAGACAAGCTACTTATAGTGCAGTCTTTACCACAACTAAATTTCCAGTCTCCTAAGGTTAGCCCTATGAATAATTATTGCATGGGCATCTGCCCACTTCCATTCTTGGCTTTCCTCTTCCCCGAAATATCATAGACTGTTACCCCAGTCCTTAAAGATGAGGGAAAGTGAGTATGACTCTGTACTGTTGTTTCCTTGAAGACCAGGATGATTAGTTTGCTTTATTTCTGAACATTTTGATCTCCCTGCTGCTTTTAAAGATTTACTGTTTAAGTTTAAATGTTCTTAACATTATGTGATTAGCCTCTCTGATAAAATGCTTAAGGGACAGGGTGTACATTGGAATAATTAACAAATGTTTACCCATCTTTAAAAGGCTAGGGCAGATAACTGGGATACTAGTATGATGATAGTGGGGGGTGGGAAGAGCAGAGAACATACAGTCGTGTAGCACAGTTTTTTATGGTGCATTGAGCCTGGAGCATTCATTACTTGCCCCAGGTGACAAGATGAGTAGCAAATTGTCTTGCAGTTTTTTAAGCTGGCTTCGGAATTGGCATTTTGTGGGAAATGTGTAATAATGATTGTACTAGCTAAGGGATTGACAAGCATTGTTTTTTCATAGTCCTTAGTCAGGATATCATGATAATTACTTAAACCAACAACCTTCATAAATGTATGGGGTATTTCGTTAATGATTGCTAGTATTAAGTTACACTTTTCCTTTCAGTTTGGCAGACCTCATGCCAAAAATAAAGGTACAAGCAGTTGAAACTGTTGAAGGTTGTACACATGAGGTGAGTTTAATGTTGGTGGTTGTTATATTTTGTTGCATATGCTACTACTTGTATGAATTTCCTGATTCTTATAGTAGATACTTTAAAAACTCTGCTTTTAGTAATGTTTTGATGTTACATTTTAAAATGAAGTACTGCACTTTTCTCTATAGGAGCAAATCATTCATGTACATTGGGGAAAATTAAAGGAGGATATAGTTGGACGCCTTTGTAATGAGGGCTATCTTTGTCTTAGTGATGTGTGCTCCTTGATGTTAAGTGTCTGAAAATGAAAACAATTGAGCTGCCCTTTGTCTTCATAGCCCCCAGCCCTATATTATTTGTGTCCTCATTTCATTTATTGGCTAAACTAGAATATGCTGGAGAACAGAAAGTGACTTATATAGGTAAATAGCTGATATACATATAATTGATGTTGGTGGCTGTTTTAGATATTAATAGTTAAACAGAAAAAAAACGGGCAAAGTTTTTAAGCTTTGCTAGCCTTTTTAAAAAATGCACCCATAAATCTTACCGTACTAATTTGCTGCAGCAAATCTGTTAAACCCCAGTTGACGGGACAATTTTCATGGGGCTAAAAATGTAACATTTCAATGTTTTTTCTCTTCTTCTCCATTAGAGTCAATTGTCACATTTTAGCTTCAAACAATATCATAATTGTTACCATTTTATTTGAAATGTACCTGGAGTAACTAGGATGTTAAATAACAAGTTAATTATTATTTTTTAAAAGAGGTATTGCACTGGCATTGGATAGAGCCAATTGCTAGTGGTAGCATTTATTGATGAAGAAGTTGTTTGAGACAGGTTTGTTTCTGAAACAAAGGGTTGTATGCAACAAAGTTGTCCCATTAGCACAAGGACTTACACCTGCACACTGGGACTTCATCTTCTCTTCCTGTGCTTCTCTATTCTGTTTGGGAGGGGTGTGGGGAGAGAAGTTGGAGAGGAGTTCTCATTGACTAAACAACTTTGTTGGATACAACCCAAAGGCATTGGGAGCTTTGTTACTGAGGGAGAATCTAACATACTTTCTGAGCAATGTTTTAGCAGTGTCTTCATTCAGTTCTTTGCTTTTCCTGCTAATTGTAAAATGTCTTAGAAGACCAGTGGTGGGAGAGGAGTACAGGTTTGAAAGGTAGCTACAAATGTGCAGGAAGTTAATAAATTTCATCTACTAGTGTAAATATTTAAAACATTTTTTCCTTAGGTTGCTCTTCCTGCAGATGAAGATTTTATAGCTCTAAAGCCAAGAACTGGAAAAGCTGCAAAGGTTTGTGTTTTGAATGTTATAGCACATGCAGTAGGGATATCTGGCTGGAACTGCTGGGTAGATAAGTAGTTCAAGCAGGTTAACATTTAATAACATGACTGCATCCCAGATTTCCTGTGGGGATTACTTGTATGGCCTTAAACATATATTTGGTTTGATACTCTTTGAGCGTTGCAGAAAGATGATGCAATGAATCACTCTGTTTGCTCAAGGCACTTTGGACAAAAGCACTATCCAGAGTTCTTTGTGAAGGTCCTTGTTTCAATTTCTGGCATCTGCAAATAGGGCTAAGAAACCCTAGAGAGCTGCTGCCAGTCAGAATAGACAGTATGGAGCTAGATGGACCAGTGGTCTTACTCTGTATAAGGCAGCTTCCTATGACTTTTCATTTGACCAGCCTTTTTGTTAAAATTGGTTGGAAAGCTCAGTTTAACACTGGAATGAGAATAGCAATAATATTATTAGCTGGGACTCTTGATATCATTCTAGCATTGGGATATTTCCTTTCCTTATGGGTTGGATGAAGGTTTTTATTCACATTCTTGTTGTGTGTTTCTTCATTAACATGAAGTATAGCAAAATCTATTAATGCAGCTTCTTAGAAGAAGGTTAGCAGATAACAGAAGTCTTAGGATGGAGGTTTTTAGGCAGCGATAATGTATTTATCAAAAGTACTCTATTTTTCAATTTGAACTAGTCATAAATTCCATGTAGACAAGCAAGATGGCAAAGCTCTCTTCAGAATGATTTTTTAAGTGTAATTTCCATCATACACGGGGATATCAGTTTCATAGTTTAGCAGTTGCATTCATTTCAGTATCCCAAGAGATGTACAATGTTTATAATGTCAAAACAGCCTGCACAAATGTGCCAGCTTGTGGGGATTAGTATCAGGAGTGTAGTTTCCTATGTTTTGGAGTTTGAAGTACATACGTGAAAAGCCTTTAGTAATAATAATAATAATAATAATAATAATAATAATAACAATAATAATGGCTCCACTCTATAATGAATTCAGGAGAAACATTGGAGTGATTTATGATCAATTGTTCTAAAATTTTAATACAAAGTTACATTCTACGAAAATACTTGACAAAAATGAAGGTATATGTGTTGATTTTATCCCCCCAGGAATATCCATTCATTCTCGATGCTTTTCAAAGAGAAGCTATTCTGTGTGTGGATAACAATCAGTCGGTGCTGGTGTCTGCTCATACATCAGCAGGGAAAACTGTGTGTGCAGAGTAAGTAATTCTGAGATGAATTTAAAAATAAATGCCGGGGGGGGGCTTATTGTAAGTTTCCCCAAAATACTCAGTGGTGGAAAGTAAAAAATCACTTGCAGATAACCAGGTGATCTTGGGCTGCTTTTTAAATGTGTATATCACCTCTCCAGTTTTGTTGCTCACGGTGTTGGCAGTTGCATTTCAGCGGTTCTCAACCTGTGGGTCCCCAGATGTTGTTGGACTACAACTCCCATCATCCCTGAGCTCTGGCCTTGCTAGCTAGGGGTGATGGGAGTTGTAATCCAACAACATTTGGGGACCCACAGGTTGAGAAAGTTTGCTCTGCATGAATAGGTGTGGGAGAATCGGGATGTAGGAGAGAGTCTAGAGAGGTTGGGTGTTGGCAGTGTCTTGACTCTTTATTTGCATGACTAGTTTTGCTGTACCACTTGGAAAAGCATAATTCGTTTTTTCCAAAAGTTTTTTTCTTGGACGGCTGCCAGTAGAAGGGAAGGGAAAGTGATTTTTGCCAGTCCCTAGTATCACCTCCCACACTGTTTTGGAGGGCTGGAGGGTGGCATTGGAGGTTGTAGAGGGAGGCGGAATCACAGAATTCCCCAGCAGGATCCCTCCACTGGGTCAAAAGCTTTCTGTGGACAGAAGACGACTTTCTGTTCATGGATGGTAAAGTCTGGATCTGATCCTTTGGTCTCTTGTTTATTTTTATAGATCTGCAGTTCTTAGGCTGTTAAGTGTTTGGGGCAGATTGCTAGCAGGTTGTAGAAACACCAAAGAGTGTGGAATTGGACTGCTTGAGGTTTTCTCATCCATTCTCCTGTTTTACATTGACTGGACTACTATTTGCATTTATTGGATTTCAGCCTGTAGCTTGTTTCTAAATGTGTCCCCTTTACAAATCTATTGATAGATCTAATAGCAATGAAAAGTGTTTTGAAGTATCTTTGTTTTTAATAAATGCTCAATCGCATATGCCCTGCAGGTATGCCATTGCTTTGGCTTTAAGGGAAAAACAGCGTGTGATATTTACTAGTCCCATCAAAGCTCTCAGTAACCAAAAATATCGTGAGATGTATGAAGAATTTCAAGATGTTGGTCTGATGACAGGGGACGTCACCATCAATCCAACAGCATCTTGTCTTGTAATGACAACGGAGGTAAGTTTGTCTAGGAGTTACACTGTCCTGACACTGGTTTTCTCTGCTGGGGTGTGGGTGGCTCATATTTATGTTTACAAAGAAGTCAGTCCCACTGTGTTCAATGGGGCTTACTCTTTAGTAAGTGCGTTTAGGATTACAGTGTGCAGTACCCAATTTGTGTTATTGAAGATAAAACAAATAGTTGTCTATAGCAAAAATAACTATGAAAAGTCAATATACTATGCTGAACCATTTTAACTTCCCTCTGTCATTGCACCTTTCCTTGTTTATAGCCTTTAGTTCCCATATAGCAACTATTTTTTTTATTATACAATGGAATCTTGGTTCTTGAACGTAATCTGTGACTCCCAAAATGTTCGAAAACCAAGGTGCAGCTTCCGATTGGCACAGGGACCTTGGAAACAATAGCCGACAACCGCATCAGACATTCGGCTTCTGAAAAACTTTCGAAAACCAGAACATTTACATCCAGGTTTTCGGTGTTTGGGAGCCAATTTGGTCATCAACTAAGTCATTTGAGAACTAAGGTTCCACTGTAATAATTAATAATATAATTTTTAAAATTTATATCCCGCCCATCCGGCTGGGTTTCCCCAGCCACTCTGGGTGACTTACAACATATATAAAAATTCAACAAAACATAAAAAAGAGAATATCCTATACAAGCAGCAAACAAATCAGTAGAAACCAATAATAACAATAATAATAATAATAACAATTAAGTACATTATGAAGAGAGACTTTGTCTGTGTGGGCGGCCCTGTGTAGAGGACCTGTGCCACTATTTATTGCAGTGCCTGTTATATATTGACCCAAGAGACCGATTCATAAAACCCTGTTTCCGAATGGAACTCACTTGAATAGGGTGGAAAGGGTGAAATGGCTGCTGAGCAATACTGATGACTTTGTAACTTATAAAGTAGCACTCTGTGCGTTGGCAGCTAAGAGGATCAGGAGGAAAGAACTAGATAAAATTGTGGTCAACTTCAAAGGGGATTCAGATATTTAATTTGGCACATTTTACTAGAGAATCTTCTGCTATTCTATTTTATGCAACAAACAATCTTAGTAGTTGTGACCGTGGTTTATATTGTATGTGTGGTGCCTGATGATTTTCATGGTTATTGCTGTTTCTGTTTTCCTTTTGTTATTTTTCTGAATGATTCCATGGCCTATGGCTAGCGCAATAAAAGTCGATGATGATGATAACAATAATAATAACAGTGTACAGTTATACCCAACTTAAAATAACCGTCAGCCCCAACTAAACATTTAACCAACACCAACCCGACAAAAACAAAACATAGGAACCAAAATTAGAACCGTTTAAAACATTTTAAACCTTTTTAGCCGGTTGCCCCAACCCAAGAGTTGTTCCAGCGGCTGTGAGTCTGGGTCCCGCCTCCTCGGCCAGGTGGAAATGGGACTTGCAGGAGGGAGCAGGCTTCCTTCCAGCACTCACAGCAGTTGCAATCCTTTATAAGTAAAAGATTCATGAAATTTCACTTTGGACCCTGGGCCTCAAAGAAATCTTGCATCACAGTGTTATTTGTAAATAGGGCTTGAATTTTGGCCAATGTATTTATTTTTGTTTATAATGCATTATATGCATTGTTCTGTGGGCTGAAGGTGAATTATGGCAGTGGTCTTGTCACAGTCTTCTTTCCTAATTGAAATTTCTTTTTCTTTTTAGATTTTGAGAAGTATGCTTTACAGAGGTTCTGAGGTCATGCGTGAAGTTGCTTGGGTTATATTTGATGAAATTCATTACATGAGGGATTCAGGTATTGTATTTTTGCGTATGGATTTGTGTATGGATTCATACATGCAGAAACCGGATGGAAATAATGTGAAGGTGTGCTGTCTTACAACGTTTCCTGTGGGTTTTCTGTTTCTAGAACGTGGTGTGGTATGGGAGGAAACCATCATTTTACTCCCGGACAACGTTCACTATGTGTTCCTTTCTGCCACTATTCCAAATGCACGCCAGTTTGCTGAATGGATATGCCATCTTCACAAACAGGTAAAGTTCTATATGTCAAATAACTTTTGGAATCATACTGCATTAGAAGGCAGTGATTTCTATAGAATGATGCCTCAGAAGTTTCTCGTTATTCAGTGACTTCATTTGGATGTTAAACTGTGGTTTGGGCTATGTGAATGAGCCCAACCTCCTCCTGGCTTGCATGCATCACCCCCTGCCCCCTTGGAGGAGTTAAGAAGCTGTTTATTTCACTTTTACTTAATGTCTGAACCAGGAATTGTCCCTAACTTCAAGTAATGGGCAGATCCTGTGACTGAGCTTGCCTTCACAGGAAGGAAGTCATTCATCTTGTTGAGAAAACTGTATTGGTAACCTAGCTCAGCTGGTTGTAATATAGAAGTTGAACGTGTCAAATACACTGTGTACTGCTTATAAAGGCACTATAAATTTTGTAAATAATGGGTTTATCTCTTCCAGCCTTGTCATGTGATTTACACAGATTATCGACCCACTCCGCTGCAACATTATATCTTCCCAGCAGGGGGAGATGGACTCCATCTTGTAGTTGATGAAAATGTAAGGAATTGTTCAATTGATTTTGGTGATGCCTGTACTTGTAATATTAAATTCAAAAATGAAAGATGTGGGGTGACGAATAAGGGCCAGTAGGCACATCCAAAGGTTTGTGAAAGCCTACTACAATATTTGATACTTTTAAAATTGAACAGCAGATATTGAGCTATAAGCATAAACTTGTGCCATATGTGCATCTATGGCACATAAATCTTGTGTCATAGCAAAGTCTGCTTTTGAATACCCCTCCTAGTTTCCAAAATGATTTGCCATGCAGCATGGAAGAACAGAAATCTGAAAATATTTTTGAGATTTCTCCAGGCTTGCTAATAACTCCCTCTTCTGCCTGGTTGGCAGGGACCAGTGCTAGGAATAGGATATAGAGAGGATATAGGATATAGATATAGAGTCTATGGTTTAGTTTGGTATTTTTTGTATCAAATAATCCTACAGTGTGGGGCTCCTTAAATATTAGAACATATTTTCTTATTTAGGCTGAATTCTTTGTTAAGGTTTTTTTTTTTAAAAAAAAATATGATAGTGTTTCAGCCTCTTGAGTGTATAATACATTTTCATTGTAACTGCCCTGGGTCTCTAGGGCAGCAGTTCCGAACCTTTTCAGTATGGTGACCACAAGTCCAAATTTATTTGGAATAGTGACCCATTGATTTATAGTCACATAAATTTTGGAGCTAGGGTCTTTGACAACCATCAGTTTCATGTATTTTAATGACAAGCTTGCCTATTTTATAACCATTACTTGAGTAACACAAGCAAAACTTTACTTAGCATCCATATTAATGTGGAGTTTTGTTGAAAGATTGATAGTCAATGACAGTTTTTATGGGAATGTAGGAACACCAATCATTGATTGCATCAGCTATTAAAATGTTATTCCAAAAACATAGAGTTTCACAAACAGCGTTAGTTATAACAAACTGTGAATGGGCTATTTTGGCATGCATGAGTAGCATGGCTGAGCTTGCATTTTGCCAATGAGTAGGTCAATACGGGGCTAGATTGTCAGACATAGCCTCAGATCATTATTGACACATAGCCTGCTACTGTATTTCATCCTCATAGTAGTCATTGCTGGAAACCCTGCTTTGCAAAGATACCAAATGGCAGCACCACAGGTGTTGCTCCATCAGCAAGATCAGAGTATTCAGTAGTTTTGTTAACATGAAGCCAAAATTCAGATAATACAGCTGCTCAGAGTGGCTGGGGAAACCCAGCCTGATGGCTCAGTTTTATTTATTTATTTATTTATTTATTTATTTATAACCTCACATCTAAAAAAAATTAATTGAGGGTCCTATCACATGATAGCTCAATGAGTTGTTCTTTTTATAAAGACAACTTTGTAACATCAGTTGCAAATGGGTTTCACACCCCCTCAAGTTTCTCCGCAGAAAAGCATTGGACAAATTTTGACTAAGCAAACTTCAAATCACCCTTGATTAAGCTATTAACTAACTTGGTTTGCCACAAGGCCCTCGCACAGTGAGCTGTCACTGGATGTGCCGCCAGAGAGCAACTTTAAAAGCGTCAACAGCACATTATAATGTGCCATCAAAACCAAGTTGTATCATCATGGCATTTAAGGACATTAAGGACTAAAAGCAGTCATTATGTTGGATTTCCTTATAAAGCCTGAATCCTGCTTGCAGTTAATGACTCACAGGTTGGGGAACACTGCTCTAGGGAGCTATGCTGTTGTGTAAGTTATACTGTGATTTTTAAAATACAGGGTTTTCTAGTTTCTGTGGGATGAGGTTTTCCACCTTTCTCTTCCAACAGCCTCTTGGGATACGGTGGCTACTGCACATGCTCAGGGCTCAATGGGCTGTTTTGGGTTGTTCCCCTGTTCATAGGCTTTTTTCTGAGGTGGTTTTTTTTTGGTAGTTCTGCAAACCTTGGGATTTCTCTGAACCTGGTGACACCTCTCTTGCATTTAGATGGTGTTGTTTACATGTCAATAAAGTTCACTTTCCCTCCCCCAGGGTGATTTTAGAGAAGATAATTTTAACACGGCCATGCAGGTCCTTCGAGATGCAGGTGACTTAGCTAAAGGGGACCAAAAAGGTAGAAAAGGAGGAACAAAAGGTGGGTATAAACATTTCAGTGTAAAATGTGTTGTCAGATAAACAGCAGTGAAAATTAATATATTCTTCCTCCTATCCTTCCACAACATTTATACTTATTTCTGACTGTGCTGTCTTCGTAGGTCCGTCAAATGTTTTTAAGATTGTAAAGATGATAATGGAAAGAAACTTTCAACCAGTAATTATATTCAGTTTCAGTAAGAAAGATTGTGAAGCGTATGCTCTTCAAATGACAAAACTGGACTTCAATACAGGTGTGTACTAACTTCTTCCTGCATATACTTCTAATAGATGGTTTACTTAACAACGACCAAGATCTAAGCTGCTTATGGTTGTATTCAACTAAATTCCTCTTAGGAAATTCCTCTTAGAATGGACTCATTAAAATGAATGTCTATTATAAACATAGGTCCATTCATTTCAATAGGTCTCCTCTGAGTATAACTTAGTTGGACACAACACTCAGTCTCAAGTCAAGTGTTGTGTGCTAGCCCTTTTTATTTCAAAAACATGGCTTTTGAGACTTCCTCTGATTCAAAAGCAGTTTGCTTTGTAGAATATGGAACTGCTGTTTAAGACAGAAACTAGTCCCCTTGACTCACAGAGTTCGGATCATGTTACTGTGGATTTCGGCACGCAACATGACAGTGTTTTTTTGCAAGAATGCTGTGTCTGTTTTCACAGTAGTACAGTTTGCAAAATAAAATTGTCTTTTTAATTTATGCACTTTACTCATAAAATTTTATTTAAATAAACTAATTACTGTTTGAATCTCTTTGTGTGCTTGGAGCGTTGCAAGAGCACACTGCTGCTGAGCCCATTTTCCACAGTAAGAGCTATATGTGTCATGCTCCCTGGAGAGCTCTTTTGCCACCAAACGCTGGACTGCAGAAGACAAAAGTAATCTGCCAATTCTTTAATGATTTCTCCAACATTTCATTGTTTGACAGATGAAAAAAATGGTCGATCCCAGAATTTTTGTATGTTCTTGTTACGTATAATCAACATTTAATGAATTCTTATATAAACTTATTAAAAGTGCCAGAATCTGACTTATTTATGTTTCCTGTATTTACAGCTCTATAATGGGTGTGGTGTAGAGGGTTCTTTAAAGAACCCAGAGCAGCCTCTGAGCTGTGTAACATGGCAAGAAAAACATCTTACCAATTTATCCCACATCCCCATTACTATTTATGAGTCAAGTTATTTTGTACATAGACTTTTTTTAGAGGGCTTTTTGGTGGTACTTTTGTATCCTTTGGGTTACAAGCATGATTTTTTATATATAGAACAAAAATGTTTATGCAGAGATTTTTTCATTTTTTCAGATGAAGAAAAAAGGATGGTTGAAGAAGTGTTTAATAATGCAATTGACTGTTTGTCTGATGAAGACAAAAAACTTCCTCAAGTGAGTGTTAAAGGATAATTAAGACTGTTCAGAATTCTTAGACTGTGCATTTTGTCCATTTTGAAAGTGGGACGTTAAAGTGAGTTTATGCTACATGGCCACCAAAAAGTAATGTCCAACACCTGTTTCCATCTTAACATTCATAAATGAGTTTAGAAAAATAAAGCGCTCTATCATGTTGAATGGCCTGTCTGGAATCCTAGGCAATGTAGACAAAACTTTGTTGCCCTGGAAAGCAACGTTCTGATGATGTGTTCAGTGGATGGAAGAGTTGACTCTTAGTTTGCTCTCTTTTAGACTTACAAGGTAATCCATGAATACATTTGCTCACTGAAATTTCATGTAGCCACACATGCCTAAATTAGTGATCTGTGGACTCAAAACAGCTAGTCTTTGTAAATCCTTTCATTTAGCCTGGAGAAAATACTTACTTACAACAAGCAGTTAGGCAAGTGACTACTTACAAGCCTGATAAATCTATGTAATTAGGTTTGATCCCTACTTTTGTGGGTGAAATATGTGATCCATATTTGTTCTCAGGTTGAGCACGTTCTTCCACTTTTGAAGCGAGGCATTGGAATCCACCATGGGGGGTTGCTTCCTATTCTAAAGGAAACCATAGAAATACTTTTCTCTGAAGGATTGATCAAGGTATGTATTATTCGGCATATATTGGTAATTTCCTTCACTTTATGAGTGTCATTACACATTGGATCTTTGTCACCACAGAATGCACCATGAAACACCAGATTATAAATTAAAAACCACAGCAAATTCCTTCATAAAATGCTTCTTAGGAGCTTTTTAGTTGTTAATTGCTGGGTTTTGTGATGCAGTCATATGGACAAGGCATTTATCTCTGAACTAAACTAATGTGTGCAATATTGTAAGGTCCTACTCAGCAACAAATATTGCAAAGGGGCCAAAGGCATGAGTTGAGCGAGAGCTGAAGGAACATTCTTGCTGACAAACACTGTAAGAATCAAGTGTTTTTCTACAAGTTCCTCCTTGACTTGAAGAGCAAGAGAATTTTTGACAGATCCTTTCACTTAATTTTTGCGACTTTCTCACATTCAAGCCAGCTGCTAACTAACAGACACCTCTACCTTTCTTTGTTGCCCATGCTACAGAATAGCTTAAAGAGCCCTCTGCCTGTTACTGTTCTGATACAGAAGGGCATGGCTAATAAAGATATATCCTTGGGATCAGAGGTAGTATGCTAGTCAGGTAGTAAACGTCTGGAAGCCAGATACCCCTGAGCCTTCAGTTGCCTAGCTTTATTCTTGGGTTATAGACCATCCAAATGCAGGGAGATTTAGTTCAGTCTTCATCATCTCATGTTCCAAAACAGAGTTACTTTGTTCTTATTCATTGCTTTGCTTCCATAGGCCTTATTTGCAACTGAGACTTTTGCTATGGGAATAAACATGCCGGCAAGAACAGTGCTGTTCACAAGTGCCCGAAAGTTTGATGGGAAGGATTTCCGATGGGTAAGCAGATACAACATGCTGGATAAGCAAGATGCTGCAACACATAGTTGAAGTCACTAAGTTTATGACCCATCAGTCTGAGTACAGAAAGCTACCATTAGCATGCTGAGCTTAATTTCAGGGTTTCCTTTGTTGCTGATTCTAAAGACATTGTCTCCAAACATTTACATGTTGTTGCTTGGATTTTGCCTTCCGTTTATTTTTTTATACACACCCTTTGTTTCACCAGTTCTTTGTTAATTCACAAACCTTAAGATTGCTGCTTCAGTTTTCTGTTGTTGCCTCCCTTCTCTCTGTTAGTTACCTTACTTTTGGAATACTGAAATACTGTTAGCGCAGTCACTTCCTATATGCAAAAAATGTTTTAAAAATACTGCTTCTTACTCAGCCTTTGTATCCCCTCCTCCTGCATCATCCCTCATGCAGCTTCCCTCCCATTTGGACTGAGAGCCTTGACTTCTTTTTGCACATATGTCTATTTGTCTAATTTTGTTATTCTTTCAGATCACCTCAGGTGAATATATTCAGATGTCTGGTCGTGCCGGACGTCGAGGCATGGATGATAGGGGAATAGTTATTCTGATGGTGGATGAAAAGATGAGCCCAACAATTGGAAAACAACTTCTTAAGGTATCTTGATCTCTGACGAGAATATTGCTAAAGGTGTGTAAAGAGCATAATGTGAAATACTGCTCTTTAATTTTAACTTTCCTCCAACAGTAGTTACTGTAGTGATATATTAATCCTGTATTTCATTTAGGATAATAGTTGTGCAAGGTTATGCTGCTGGTTGGTTTTTGCATTGGTCCCCCATCCTCCAGTCAGCTGAAGTACAGATCTTAACCTGTAATCTTTAAGGGAATCAGAAGCTGGCGCTAGACTTCCATTTTTCATAACCGGAGGGTTCCAGATTTGATAACAAAGCAGGCGTTTAGGAACTTCTTGTTATAGATAAGAGTGAATTCAGAGTAGAGTGATGTGGCCCATTTTGTGCATAATGTGGTGAATGTTTGGTTTTGGGTTTTTAATGTTCTCCCTGGGGCGGAGAATGCATTGCACAAAAGAGAATGTTAGTTTCCCAGTTACCTCAGTACACATTGCAGTTCCACATCTGTAATACAACTCACCCTTTGTCCACTGTGTTTCTACACCAACGGCAACAAGTGTGATGTGAGGAAATACATGGTAAGATGCTGGGAAATGGAATAATCTGCACTACATGTTATGAAGGAGGAGGAACTTTATGCTGGCCTGCCATCTTTGGTGGCAGACCCATGTTAATTGCAGCATTTTGTGCTTCCTTGTAGGGCAGAAAATGAGCACCTTGTATACTCTAGTTGCTTTCATTGGAAGATGCCAGTAATACGGTTCAATTAATCTCTGTAATGCACCTGCTTAAAATAACTAACAGATTTGAACCACTATTTGGAACTATCGTTGTAGTGGGAAACTGTCAGAAATTGGCATTTCCCCTGTCCCTTGAATCCATGAGGTGCATTGCTTCTAAAGGCTTCGTGACAGTGAGCAAAGAAGGGGGTGGTTATGGGAGTAATTCCAAATTTAAACTACCGTATTTTTCCGTGTATAAGATTAGGTTTTCCCCCTTAAAAATAATGTCCAATATTTGGGGGCATCTTATACATGGGGCCATCTTATAGACAGAAAAATACGTCTATTAAGTAAAATTGAGCAAGTTTTATGTGTCTCCTGGTTTAGATAGCAAACTGTATTAAGGGCCAATACTTTATCCTATAGTACAACAAACTTTTATGGTTAATCTTAGTTGTGGCTAATGTATTCCAGATTGGGGAAAACAGAGCAGTATTATCTTACTTCCATTCAATTAACAGACTGTTTCAAGAAAGTTCAGCTGGAAAGCTTAATTTGCAATGCAGGTTTGAGTCCTAAGAAGTTTGGCGAAATGAAAGAAAGCCTGGATCTCTAAATTGCTCATTTTATAGACTGGGATCCCAAGAGGTCTCTGCCTGCCTGCCAAGCGTTTCCATGAAGGGTGGGAGATCCTGCTTTTCAGAAGGCCATGGTGCCTCGTGCCTCATTGAACAGTTCTCCCAAAAGTCCCCCCTAAGCTTGAGGAGTGATTTTTCAGGGGACACAAGTAAGAAGAGCAGTCCTGAAGAGCTCTAGTACACATGCAGATGTCTGTGCACTGCCTTGACTCCATGCAGTAATTGGTAAACCTTCCCATGGTTGGTTTTTTTGCAGGCTTTTCATTTGTAGCAGCTTAGTTTTATAAAATGACAATTCATTTGGAAATACAATTTACCTAGGCTGGAATCCTGAACATATGTCTTTTTAATCTGTTGAAACCTGTGGGAGTTGAACTTGATTCTGTGACCTCTTTGGCTCACAACTTGTGGCACTTCCCACGCTTCGGTCTGCCAGATGCTCCCTCTTAAATAACTGGCTGCCCTTGTGAAGAACGCTGTGGATACTTCATGACAAAAGCACTTCTCAAACACAGGGTTACTAACCAGTTGCGAAACTACATATCTCACCGCCCTTGCTATTGGCTATTCTGGCAGTGGCTGGAGGGAGTTGGGAGTCCCACATCATCAGGAGGTCCACAGGTTAGCCACCCCTGCTGCTCTGTTGTATTGATTCTCATTCAGTTTTCCTTCATGTTATTTCTTACTGGAGGAGCCTATATTTTACAGTCGACCCCCAAAGCTAATCTCTTGTTGGAAATCGTCTCTTGATCTCTGTGTTTATGACAAGACAGAGACACAAACCTTCAAGCTGCTGCCAGTGGAATCTGTCCAGCTGTGTAGAGCCCATGTGTAAACATCAGCTGAACACACAGACTTAATTGCAGGCTTGTCTGGTTTTGCATCAAGCTCATTCGCATATGTTTCCAAGCATCTCCATGTGTGGGCAGGCTTTGAAAACTTAACTGACCTCAGTTTGCCAAGGGATGTGACCTGCCAGCCCAGAGCCTGGCATGGATGAATAGCCAGGGCAGTTCAGCAGCAGTCAGTATGTTCAATGCTTTGCTACTCAGAGCACAGCAGCTAGAATAATTTCAATTCAAACCCATTTTTAAACGTTTGTTCCAGGCAGGCTTATTTTACATTAGGCTTAAATCTACCAGGCAGCATATCACGGACTTGCATTTCAGGAAACTACAGTATCACGTCCTTAAATCTGTATGTACCGGTAGTTCCTCTACCTAGTAGAATTACATGCATTCTGACAATGGTATCTTATAGGTTGTTTTTGTTACCAAATTTTTACAATTATTTGGGTTGCCCCTAAAGAAACACATCAGGCAGTGTTGTTCACCTCAGACAGAAGATGCCACTCCCTCCTCACAGGCTCTGGACCTGGTGTCTTCCATGGCGACACTAGGGCTCTCCCAGTTTGTTTCGGCCCCCACACATCAAGCAGGCCACACGCTGGATTTGATCTTTGGCGTCGGTATTGTTGGTTTCTGCTTTCCTTCACTGAGCAGCAACTGCAGTCACAAGACAGGTGTTTACATTCCACAGTCTGTACTGTTGGAGTTTCTCACGGGAAAGGGAGACTGGATGTGACGTACACTGGTTTCCTGTTTTTCACTGTGTGATTCTCTCCAAGCTGTCGAGGAGAGAGGATGCATTTTCTGCTCTTGCAGAGGCAAGATGTCTTTCTGTAATATACCAGCTTTGAACTGTAAATAAAGCAATATAGAGTATGTAGCACGTATTCCTCATCCTTCCGCTGGGCACGACAGACTCTGCTTTAAATCAACACGTGGTTATGGACTCCAGAGGTCGAATCGGAGTGCCGGCAAAGGATCGGAATGCAGAGGGACGGATCGGAAAGGAATCTGCTCTGCGCGTAGAAGTGATTGATGAGGTATGTGCTACTGCTCCGGGCAGCCTGCCAGCTTCAAGATAATGGCTTTATGGCTGGACTTTGAACTTTTAAAGCCGGTTTTGCCGGGAATAGGCAAAAGGCTCCCAGGCACAAGTCACTATGCTGGGAAATCGAAGTAACTTTTAAGTGTGCCTTTGTAATAAGGCAGCTGCAGCAGTGACGCAGCAAGATTTAAAGCAGCATATGACGCTGAAGGCTAATGCCAGAGTCATGATGGCCCTTCAGGATGCTTGTGGGATTCCTAAGCTCAACAAGAAAAATTACAGCGACTGGGTTCAGTATGCAGAGGCAATTCTGCGGAAAGAGGGTTTGTTTGAGGTGATTACAGGAACCCCCAGTTCCAGTTACAGATGCATGGGAAGCTAAGGATTCCAAAGCAAGGGAACTCTTACATTGATAGTATCCCCAGAAGAGCTCTGTCTATTGCGTGATAAGACCTCAGCCAGAGAAATTTGGGACGCTCTGAGAGAGGCTCACTTAAGGACAGAAGCTGGATCCACTATGTTTTACTTTAACAAGCTGCATAATATGGCTCTTGCTGAAGGTGGAGATGTGCGTTTACATCTAATGGAGATGCAAAATCTGAGACATGAGCTGCAACAGAGAGGACTCAACTTTCCAGAGGCTGTGTATTCTTTCATGATACTACAATCTTTGGGTTCAGGTTGGGAGTCTGTTGCAACCCAGATTGCTGTGCAACCAACTGCTCAGCTGACAGTGGACTTTGTTACTGCCGTGATTTTAAATGAAGCAGATCGCCGGGGTGCTAGCTGCATGGGCAAGGGGAGTCTTCACAGACGTCATCCCATAGTGCAGTGGAACCACCAGATGGCGCCAAAGCTTTGAAGGCAGTGAAATGCTACTCGTGTGGACGTCTAGGCCATATGAAGAGGAATGCAGACATCCCAGGGCCAAGACAGAGCAGCGCAGCGAAGCTCATCGCGCGGAAAAGGCCGAGGCAAAGGCAAAGGTCCGGTGTCTAGGACAACGCAGCACAAGGCTATGGTTTCACGCTTCACTCCAAAGGTTGCAGAGGTCCAGAAGACGTCTAGATCTTTCTTCGTTGTTGATTCAGCGGCCACCCACCACATGTGCAACGATAAGAAACTGTTTGTGTCTTTTACACCGCAGGAAGGTGCGATTCACCAGGCGGATGACCACACTATTCCCAGTAAAGGCTACGGAACTGTTGTTCTTCACAGTTTGGACTTATCGATACAGAATGTGCTTTACGTGCCAGACGCCAAACATAATCTGCTCAGCGTTGGACAGCTGAATGAGCGGAACATTGACGTTTCCTTCAAGAACAAGAAGTGCATCATCACAAAGAAAAATGATTATGTATTGCATGCAGAATATGTTGATCATTTGTTTGTTTTGTATTATGATGATGTGGTGCAGGATGACACTTGTTGCATTGCAGGTTCTAACAAAAGTTTGCATGCAGAATGTATTCACGATTTTCATCGAAAATTTGGTCATTTGCATTTTGAGGCAGTATCTAAAATGCCTGCCTTGGTTGAAGGTATGACTATTAAACCCTGCAGGTACCACATGAAGTGCAAAGCATGCGCAGCAAACAAAGTGAAAATGGCTGCGAAAGGTAAGGTGTCTAGTAGGAAAGCTACAGAACCATACCAGGTTGTTCATGCTGATTTGGTTGGACCACTATCGCCCTCTTTGGGTGGAAATAGATACTTCATGGTTCTCATTGATGCATTTTCTAGATATATTTTTGTGTACAATCTCAAGCAGAAATCGGAGGCTTTTCCTAGGTTCAAGGAATTCTGTGCTTGGTTGGAAAATGTGCATGGTAAGAAGATAAAGACTCTTTTCAGTGATCGCGGGGGAGAATTCACTTCTCAGCAGTTTGAAGCTTTTCTGACTGAGAAAGGAATTCAACACGATTTGTCTAGTCCTCGCTCGCCATGGCAGAATGGACTTGCGGAGCAGGCAAATCAGACATTGCTTCAAGGATTAAAAACCTTGCTGCATGATGCCAATCTTCCAGAGAGTTATTGGGCCGAATCTCTCTCGTGTTTTGTTTACAGTTACAATCGCAGATTATCTTCAGCGATTGGTTGTACCCCTATGAGAAGATGTTTGGCAGAAGCCATACATCAAACACATGAAGATTTTGGTTCTGACATGTGGGTTCGCTCACCACAAAACTCCAAGTTAGACAAGCGTGGATTGCATGGTATCTTTCTAGGTTATCAGAAAGGGTCTTACAGAATAATGATGACTGACTCTAAGACAATTAAGCTCACGAGAAGTGTTGAGTACAATGCAAAGTGGGGGAGAATGTGGGAATTTTCCAATGTTATCCTGATGACGGTGATGAGACTGAGGATAGTCAAAAGCAACCACAACAGCCCACACCCACTGATGAAGGTTCTGAGTCTGAATCTGAAACTGAATCGGGTGATTCAGAGGATTTCGAGAGTGCGAAAGCCTCTATGCGACCCTCTGAAAGCTCTGATCAAGAATTGGAGGAACCATTGTTCACAATAGGTCGTTTTCTCCTAAGAAGGAAGAGGAGAGTGTTGAAGACTTAAGGCTAATTCGTAGGTCACAGAGAGCCACAAAGGCAAACCTCCAAAGAGATTTGCTGATGAGTTTGCTAAGATAGCAGTAACAGCTGTTAAAAGCTCCAAGAAGGTATTTGAACCTTCAAGTTTCCAAGAAATCCAGGGTTTGGATTCAAAGGAAGCTGAGCCATGGTTAAATGCCATGAAGGCTGAGCTTGATTCCTTAGAAAGGAACAAAACATGGGAGCTAGTTCCAGTAGTTCCAGGAATGAAACTGCTTGGAAGCAAATGGGTCTTCAAAGCGAAGACAGATCAAAATGGCAAGATAGTCAGACACAAAGCCAGATTGGTAGCCAGAGGTTTTGCACAGGTACCAGGTGAAGACTATCACGAGACCTATTCACCCACAGTGAGATATGAAAGCATTAGGCTTATGCTCAAGCTAGCTGCAGAGGAAAATCTACACATTAGTCACCATGATATTAATACAGCTTTTCTGTACGGATCTCTAGATGAATCACTTTATATGCTTCCACCTGATGGCGTACAGGTAAAACAGGGATTTGTTTGTGCTCTGAAGAAATCCCTTTATGGTCTCAAACAAAGTGCACGGTGTTGGCACACAAAACTCACTGAAGTATTGTTTTCTCTAGGTTTTCAGCAAGGGAAAGCTGATCCATGTGTATTTGTCAAAGAGGAGGGGCAAAAGAAACTGTACTGTTTGTTTTATGTTGATGATTTATTATTCTTTTGGAAAGATGTTGCAATGTACAATAGCGCCCTAGCTCAACTGAAAGAGCACTTTGACATGAAAGATCTTGGTGAGGTAAACAACTACCTATCTCTGGAAATAGAGAGAGATCAAGATGGTAACATTCTAGTACACCAGTCACGGAAAATTGCTGATGTGTTAAGCAAACTAAATCTGATGGATGCTAACCCTGTAGACACACCGATGACAACAGGTTATCAGGTAGATGACACTGAAGAAGCATTTTCTGACACTACACTGTACAGGAGTGTGCTAGGCAAGCTAAACTTCATTGCCAGATGTTCAAGACCAGACATTGCTGTTAGCTGTAATTTGCTAAGCAGACAAGTCAACAATCCTAGTGTCAAGGATTGGAAAGCTCTGAAACGCATAGCGCGGTATTTGAAAGGCACTATGCATTACAGACTGAGATTTAACAATCAGAAGTCTGGTGGTCTTGAGATATTTGCAGATGCAAGTTTTGGAAGTGACGCTACAGACAGGAAAAGTACGTCTGGAGTTTGCTACATGTACAATCAGAGTCTGTTTGATTGGTCATGCAAGAAGCAAACAACAGTTAGCTTAAGTACTTGTGAAGCTGAACTGAATGCACTGTCTTATTCACTTAAGGATTGTGAATGGTTAGTACAATTGTGCAAAGATATGAAAATTCCTGTCAAATGTCCAATCCAGGTTTACCAGGACAACAAAGCATGTTTGGCTTTGCTGAAGTCTGAAGGTTGTAAGCAAAGCACAAAGCACTTACAATTAAAGTTGCAGCATGCTAGGGAATGTATTCAGAAGGGACTCGTAACGGTGTCCTATATGCCAGGTAATGAAATTCCTGCTGATGTATTGTCCAAGATTGTATCAAGGGATCAACACTGTACCTATGTGCAGAAGTTGGGTTTGTACTGATATTGTGCAAACACGCTGCCCAGTGATGTTCACAGAAAGGGGGAGGATGTTGGTTTCTGCTTTCCTTCACTGAGCAGCAACTGCAGTCACAAGACAGGTGTTTACATTCCACAGTCTGTACTGTTGGAGTTTCTCACGGGAAAGGGAGACTGGATGTGACGTACACTGGTTTCCTGTATTTCACTCTGTGTGATTCTCTCCAAGCTGTCGAGGAGAGAGGATGCATTTTCTGCTCTTGCAGAGGCAAGATGTCTTTCTGTAATATACCAGCTTTGAACTGTAAATAAAGCAATATAGAGTATGTAGCACGTATTCTTCATCCTTCCGCTGGCCACAAGACTCTGCTTTAAATCAACAGGTATAGATGTGATCATGTTTCCTTCGATGAAGGAATCATGTGATCATGTTTCCTTCGATGAAGGTGCCATGGTCTGATCACTATGCTCTGAAAGCCAGGATTGACGTTCCACCCCCACCCAGCTTAGGTGGCGAGCCGATTTGGGCTCGCCCGCAGAGGCTGATGGACCCTGATAGATTCCGTCAAGCCTTGCGGGACCTTTCTCCCCCTGGCGACTCATTGACTGAGCTTGTTGAGGGCTGGAATACCCAGCTCCTGGCAGCCATCAATGAGATCGCACCTAAGCGCCCTCTGCGACCCCGCAGAAACCGGGCTCCCTGGTTTACCAAGGAGCTCCGGAAAATGAAGCGGGACCTCAGACGGCTAGAGCGAGTATGGCGGGGTGCCCGTGACGGAGCCTCAAGAACATCTTATAGGGTTTTTATGAAAACCTACGAGATGGCGGTGAAGGCCGCTAAGAAGTCCTACTTCTCGGCCTCCATTGCATCCACTAGCTCTCGCCCGGCGCAATTATTTAGTATAATTCGGTCTTTAACGTCCCTCGAAGGACAGCCAAATTTAAATAACAATTTGACACACAGCTGTGAGGCATTTGCGAGCTTTTTTGCGGAGAAGGTCCTGTTGCTCCGCCATGACCTCCCTGCCAATTTGGATACAATAAAGGAACTGGAGGCCCCTCGACTGTCCTCGGGTCCAGTATTGGACCACTTTGACCGGATATCCCCAGCCGATGTGGACAGACTCCTCCGAGCTGGAAAGCCCACCACCTGTCCTCTCGACCCGTGCCCGTCTTGGCTGATTAGAGCGTGTCCAGGCGAGGTGCGGGCCCCTGGGGATATCATCAATTTGTCCCTTGGCACCGGGACATTCCCAGGGGAACTGAAGGAGGCAGTGGTGCGCCCGCTTAAAGAAAACATCATTAGATCCCTTAGATCTATCCAATTACCGCCCGGTTTCGAATCTTCCATTCCTGGGTAAGATGATTGAGAGAGCGGTTGCTGAACAGCTTGGTAGGTTTCTGGATGAAACATCGGCTCTGGATCCATTCCAGTCCGGCTTCCGCGCTGGTCATGGGACCGAGACGGCTCTGGTCGCCCTAACAGATGATCTCCGCAGGCAGCTGGATCGAGGCGGGTCGGGGCTGCTGATTCTTCTAGACCTGTCAGCAGCCTTCGACATGGTCGATCACGAACTCCTGGACCACCGCCTTGCCGACGTGGGGATCCAGGGCACAGTCCTTCAATGGCTGCGCTTGTTTCTCTCTGGTCGGGAACAGAGGGTGGCGCTTGGGGGGGAATTGTCATCCCGCCACTCCTTGGTGTGTGGCGTGCCCCAGGGTGCGATACTCTCCCCGATGCTTTTTAACATCTTTATGCGCCCCCTCGCCCAGCTTGTCCGGAGTTTTGGGCTGGGCTGCCATCAGTATGCCGATGACACCCAACTCTATCTGTTGATGGATGGCCATCCTGACTCGGCCCCAGACACACTGATCAGATGCTTGGAAGCTGTGGCTGGATGGTTACGTGGGAGCCGGTTGAAGTTAAATCCTTCGAAGACAGAGGTCCTCTGGCTGGGACGGGACGATATGGGATTGAAGGGGCAACTCCCATCTCTTGCGGGGGTGCAATTAGTGCCAGCACCGTCCATTAAGAGTTTGGGTGTAATCTTCGATACCTCCCTCTCCATGGAGGCGCAGATTGCAGCTATAACAAAGGCGGCATCTCCGCCAAGCTAAGCAGTTGGCTCCTTACCTCTCTCGCCCTGACCTAGCCACTGTGATCCACGCGACGGTCACCTCCAGACTGGATTATTGTAACTCGCTCTACGTGGGGCTGCCCTTGAGACTGACCCATAAATTCCAGCGGGTGCAGAATGCTGCAGCGAGACTCCTTACGACGTCTTCGCTGCGAGATCACATTCATCCGGTGCTATACCAGCTGCACTGGCTCCCGGTGGAGTACAGGATCAGGTTTAAGGTGCTGGTTTTAACCTTTAAAGCCCTATACGGCCTAGGACCCTTGTACCTACGGGACCGCCTCTCCTGGTATGCCCCACAGAGGAACTTACGGTCTTCAAATAAAAACATCTTGAAGGTCCCAGGCCACAGAGAGGTTAGGCTGGCCTCAACTAGAGCCAGGGCTTTTTCGGCTGCGGCTCCAACCTGGTGGAACGCTCTGTCACAAGAGACTAGGGCCCTGCGGGATTTGACATCTTTCCACAGGGCCCTTTCCACAGGGCCAGGACAGAGCTGTTCCACCAGGCCTTTGGTCAGGGCGCAGCCTGACTCCCTCCTTTGGCAATCTTTACAAAACTTTAGTTTATGGTTGCCATCAATTTTGATTTTAATTAATTTTTATAATGTTTTTATAATGTTGCACTATTTTAGTGTTGTTAGCCGCCCTGAGCCCGGCTTCGGCTGGGGAGGGCGGGATATAAATAAAATTTATTATTATTATTATTAGAAGTTACAGCAGTAATTCAGTCCTTCTAGAACAGTGGTGGCAAAGGGTGGGCTGGATCTGCCGCTCCCCCCCCCCCCCATTTTGCTAATCACAGTGGAATTGGCTGAGGTGCTAGAACCAGCATTACTAGAGCTGCTGCCATTTGCACCTTCTGGGAAACAGCACCGAAAGAGGTTGCATCTGCCTTCCCTTTCACACAAACTGCAGTTAGGTGTTGTAGTGGTGATAACCAGCTGTTCCTGTAAGAGTTTGGAAATAAAGAGGGAGGGTGGGTAATAAATGCAGTTCTGGGCTTCAGAACAGTGACAACACTGTGCCCAGAGAACTTACGTCTGAGTAGGCCTGCTTAAGTGCACACATGTCCTTATGCCCTCTTCCACATTGAGGATTAGGGCTGGGAGGCGGAGGAAGCACATGATGGCTCCAAGTCTTATAGAGAAGGTGGCTGCAGTGGGAGGAAATGTCTGGAACGCAGCGCACATGAGCAGTGGTGCCAGGGAACTTGAGGGGTGGCTATGCCAGCACCTGGTTTTCTTGGGGGTTTCTTCAGCCTCTTCCCTGTATCCAAGCACTTCTCATTACTCTCTTCCTGCTCATCAGATGCTTGAATTGGGTGTGTTTGGAGTGGGTGATTTTCATTCCCACCAGGGTGCAGAGGTTTCAACCACTGCCCAGCCTCATGATGAGGACAAAGCAAATTGTCTGCTCATTAGGACAGTCTTGTGGTGAGTGGAGAGGGGGCAATAACCTCTCTGCCTCCATGTTAGAAGCTCTGCCTCCCCACTGAGATGCAGTACGCTTCTGAGTGCTAGTTGCTGGAAGCCACAGAAGGGGAGAGTGCTCTTGTGTTTGGACCCTGGTGGCAGGTTTGCCACAGGCATCTGGTTGGCCATTGTGAGATCTGGATGGCCCATTGGCCTGATCCAGCAGGCTCTTCTCACATGTCCCTGTGTACTAGTCATACTCGTTTTTCATTGTATTTTATTGCTTCTTTTATTTCTTACTGTATTTGAATTCCATCTGTCTTTCAAAAAGCACTGTAGCTTTTAGCACATTTTATTACAGTTGCTGAACAACAGGCAGGATTAAGTTCCCTAGCAATTTTCAAGTGGTCGGTGGGGAGGAGGTTTGGAGTTCCTGAGCATTCACTCTTCCTCTGAAAATTTAAAGCCCAGCAGCGAAATACAGGGATTCCTGTAAAGAAGAAGAAAAAACAGACCATGCAAGATAGACGTTGGTCCACCCTGTGTCATACAGTTTGAAGCCTACATAGCTATGTTTGATGTGCTTTTCCATCTCTGGAAAATGTTGAGCTGTTAGTATTTCCCCTTTTTCTTTGCCCACTCTGCAGGTGCCAGATTGCTTTATTGCCGAAATTAAGTTCCTTGGCAACTGCTTTGTGTTTGCCAAATTGGTCATAGTGCAGTATTTTATGGCGTGCTTTTCAGTTAAAAAAAAGGAAAACAAAACTGGGTGGGAAGGATGTTAAAGTAAAAGTGTTAGTTAAATGTTTATTATTTTAGCCATTAAGGCCATAACAACAAGTAGTGTGTGCGAAAATGGGAAACTTCCTGGGAAGCTGTCATCAGTTTTAGGTGTAATGCAATATGCACACATTGAATAAAACACATCTCAAAGCCCTGAATTCAAGTCTTTATTTTTCTTCCTTCACTGACAGGTTCCTTGAAGTCACAAACTACAGCTGGCAATCTGATTCTATCCATCTCCTACAATTTGCAGTGACCCTTTGTAATTGGCATCCTACAGCCATACAAAGGGGGTGGGACAAGTGTTTTGATATAACTTTGGGCCAGTTTAGTCCTTATGGTAAACCTCATGGTTTATCATGACAGAAACAAGTTTCAATAAGCCTTTGTGTCACCTGCTTCTCCTGCCCCCAGCACAATTGTGAGGAGAGGCTTTTGCTTCCATTCTTTATTAACTGTAATTTAGTGTTATATTTCAACCTTGGCTAATCTTGGCTATGGTTTGTTTCATAAACCAACTTCATAACCCATGATATGAAACAAGTTGGACTTGTTTCAAACCATAGTGAAGTTTAACCACAGTTTTATGAGGTTGGAATGATTTCCAGCTCATGTCCACCCCAGAGGGAAGGAATAAATACACAAGCTTGAGGCGGCTTCTACCTCCGTCCCAACACAGCCACCCTTGACTTATGTCTTGAACCAGCTTTGTCTTTTGTTGAGTACCAGCAAATCCTTGACGTATGGTCCAACCTTCATTGAATAGTTGGGAGTATAGGACTGTGGGGATGTAGATTCAGATATCCTTGCTTAGCAATGATGCTAGGTGACTTTGAGCCAGCCCTATACTCTCATTGTAAAGTACATCATAGGCCTGCTGTGAGGATAGACAGAAGAGAGAACAATGCCTTGAGGAAACATGGGATTTAATAAATAAATTGCCTCAAAATAGACTCCCTTCTTAGAGCATTACAAAATAACTAGCTGACAATGATTGGTATTCCATTCAACATCAATGGGAAAGTCTTTCACCCTCAAGGAAGAAAAGAACGACTTTTACCATTATTAAGCTGAGAGCTATCATTGACCCTCATCTCCCCTCTCTCTTTCCCTTGCGTGCTTAAGTTCATTGTTTCTATCATGGTTTGTTTAAACCACAGTTCCCTTTTAGTTCCAAATGTGTGAACTGTACTGTAATCCTGGTTTCTTAGCTAGGATATGAAACCACCATTTCTGCAGTAGCAGACTCACAATTGGGAAGTTACAGATAACACAGAAAGGTCAAACTAGGTTATTGCATGCAAGACAGTGCAAGCAATGATAAAAGACCATTGCAGCAGCTCAGTACCCTGGAGCAGTTGAAGTTTGTAAGGGGATAGCTCTACCCAGGCCTCTGTTGCTGATCACCCTGAGGAGCAGTGGGTTAAAGAGCCCTTTGCCTGTGTCAGGGGGTGGAGCCAATATTGCTAGCTCTTCCACACTTGATCCATTTATAATATGCCTCTTGGTAAACATAATGCTGAGCAGAAGCTCACAATTTCTCCTTGTGGCAGCAGCTTTCCATCATAAGGACTGGTTAGCTTCTCTGTACAGCTGCCATTATTGGAAGCAGCAATATGCTTAATGTTTGGTCCCTCAAATCAAAAGTTGTTCTGAACCGGTCATTCATAATCTTTAATAGCTGCTAAATTAGCTTTAACCTAGCTACTCAAATTTTCTTTTTATACCAATATAGCAAGTGTCTGTCATTGGTGGGTTAGTTTTTAAATTTGTTTTGTTTTTTAAATCTTCCCTGGTTCGTAATCCTATATTCTTCTATTTTGTTGTCTCCTCCCTGCCTTCAAAAAATGAATACAGTCACTTAAAGTTGAAGCTATACATTCAACCTTTGCATTGTGTGTTTTTTAATTTCCTTAGAGATTATCCAGATTATTCATAATGGTTCCTTTCTGTTCTTTTAGTTGGATACATATCAGATATTTAAGCTGATATTTTGAGAGGGTGGAATCATTATTAAATAATGCAAGTGAAAGACTGACTTCAAGTTCAGATGTAGTTTTCTCTTTGTATGTGTTAGGATGACATTCTTACTTTTTGTGAGACTTTTCTCAGCTTTTCTTAGATGGATTAACATGATCTCTCAAGTGCGAAAGGAACACTGCAGCCATAGGCCCTAGTCCAGTAACTTTTCTTTGCACATGAATTTCTCCCATTTCTGGGAATGGCAGCTGCTCCATAGGCAACACATTCCCAGGTAAGCGTTACAGAGATCCACTAGGTTTGTCTGTCTCTCTGTAACGCTTACCTTGAAATACCATCCTGGAACACTTGCATGATTCTTGCAATATACCGTATTTTTCGCACCATAGGACGCACCGGACAATAGGACGCACTTTGTTTTAGAGGGGGGAGAACAAGAAAAAAAAAAATCTCCCCCTCTCTGCCCAGCGCCCCTTCAGCGAAGTGGCAGGAGGCGCTGTGCAGAGAGGGGGAGAACTTTCCCCCTCTTGTTTTCCCGCTCTAAAACAAGGTGCCGTTTAAGGTGCGTTCAGGCGGCTACCTTGGAAGCCTGGAGAGCGAGAGGGTCGGTGTGCACTGACCCCTCTCACTCTCCAGGCTTCAGGTTCCTTCGACCTGCTCTTTGGGGCTGGCGGGGAAGCCCACCACCAGCCCCAAAGAGCAGTTCAGGGAGCAGCGGAAAGGCGCAGCGGAGAGGCTCCTGCCATAGCCGTGCGTCACCTCTCCAGCCGGGAGAGGGTCGCGGGGCTATGGCTTCTTTAGCCCGCGCGCTCTCTCCCGGCTGAAGAGGTGACACGCGGCTATAGAGGCTCCTGCCATAGCCCCCGTCACCTCTCCAGCCGGGAGAGGGTCGCTGGGGCTGCTTCGCCCGCGCGCGCTCCCGGCTGGAGAGGTGACGGGCGGCTATGGCAAGTGCCTCAATAGCCGCCCGTCACCTCTCCAGCCGGGAGAGGGTCGCTGGGGCTGCTTCAGCCCGCGCGCGCTCTCCCGGCTGGAGAGGTGACGGGCGGCTATGGCGCGTCACCTCTCCAGCCGGGAGAGGGTCACGGGGGCTGCTTCGCCCCGCGCGCTCTCCCGGCTGGAGAGGTGACGGGCGGCTATGGCAAGTCACCTCTCCAGCCGGGAGAGGGTCGCTGGGGCTGCTTCGCCCGCGCGCGCTCTCCCGGCTGGAGAGGTGACGGGCGGCTATGGCAAGTCACCTCTCCAGCCGGGAGAGGGTCGCTGGGGCTGCTTCGCCCGCGCGCGCTCTCCCGGCTGGAGAGGTGACGGGCGGCTACGGCAAGAGCCTCAATAGCCGCCCGTCACCTCTCCCGCCGGGTGAGGGTCGCGGGGGGCTGCTTTCGCCCCGGGCGCGCTCTCCCGGCGGGCGAGGTGACGGGCGGCTACGGCAAGAGCCTCAGCAGCCGCCCGTCACCTCTCCAGCCGGGAGAGGGTCGCTGGGGGCTGCTTTCGCCCCGCGCGCTCTCCCGGCTGGAGAGGTGACGGGCGGCTATGGCAAGAGCCTCAATAGCCGCCCGTCACCTCTCCAGCCGGGAGAGGGTCGCTGGGGCTGCTTCGCCCGCGCGCTCTCCCGGCTGGAGAGGTGACGGGCGGCTATGGCAAGAGCCTCAGCAGCCGCCCGTCACCTCTCCAGCCGGGAGAGGGTCACGGGGGCTGCTTCGCCCGCGCGCGCTCTCCCGGCTGGAGAGGTGACGGGCGGCTATGGCAAGAGCCTCAATAGCCGCCCGTCACCTCTCCAGCCGGGAGAGGGTCACGGGGGCTGCTTCGCCCGCGCGCGCTCTCCCGGCTGGAGAGGTGACGGGCGGCTATGGCAGGAGCCTCTTTAGCCGCGCGTCACCTCTCCAGCCGGGAGAGGGTCGCGGGGCTATGGCGTCTTCGCTCCATAGGACGCACACACATTTTCCCTTCATTTTTGAAGGGAAAAAAGTGCGTCCTATAGAGCGAAAAATACGGTAAATTGCATGTGAACATACTGTAAAGAATAATTTGGGGATTTGAAATGTCAGGCTTCCATTTGTATTCCCAAGATAAAATGTTTTAAACATGAATGCTGCCTGCTTTTGCTCATCTTATTTCTCTGTTTTAGGGATCTGCTGACCCTCTAAACAGTGCTTTCCATTTGACATACAACATGGTATTAAATCTGCTGCGTGTGGAAGAAATTAACCCAGAATACATGTTGGAGAAATCTTTTTACCAATTCCAACATTACAGAGCTATTCCAGGAGTAGTTGAAAGTAAGTTATGTGAAATACTTAATTGTTTCGTCAATTTGCCGACCGTGATTTATATTCCATGGGCTTACCTGCACAGTATTCGCCACAGAGCCAGTTGACCTGTTTCTAATAAATATGAACTTAGTTAACAAGAACCATCATTCGCCCCAGTTGCCAGGATCCTAAAAGCTTGGGAATGTTCCATGGATTTTTTGGTCTTATTTTCTTTTAATAACAGGTGCCCGTGCCAAATCATAAGCTGCTTTTGCGAGTAACCTCCCTTTCAAAAGGAATTTGCCATCTTGCATCTGGAGTGGGTGGAGGCAGGAGGTAGTTGTTGAGAGAACACAAGCCCAAAATCTCCTTGGATATACAGTACAGGACTTATTGCCCGCTTGTCAGATCCCCAGCCACTGAGTATAGCTGAAGGAAGGTTTCAGATGTTCAAATATTTAACAAACCAAGTGTTGAATGCTGCAAATGCAGCTTTCTGACGAGCATCCCTATACAGTGCATCTGTCTGCTGGCAAAATTCTGTTGCATTCACACTTTGTGTATTATATTTTCTAGCATATCTTGAGTGTGCATTTAAATTGTAAAGAAGTCCTTGGAAGTGAGCATCGAATATTCTCCAGCAAAATAATTTTTAATAGTAAGCCAGTACCCTTCTCTGCATGGGTGCAACACCCAGAGGCAGCCTCATAGAGGATAGAAGAATGCTCTTTCACTGTCCCCCCCCCCCCCAAATTGGCATGCTGGCACTGCATCAGGTTATTCCCTGTAACACCCTGGGGTGTTGAGGGCCCCTGCCAGGAAGAGGAAGGAAATGGAGGGGAAACGAGATGCTCGGGGGGGGGGGGAGATTCTTCTACATATGGATAGTGTGTTTCCTTGAGGAATACTCTTGCCCATGGTTTGCCACAATATCGTGCGCTTCATATAATCTGTTTATTTTACAATATTTATTTGCAGAGGTCAGTAAGTTGGAACAGCAGTACAATGAGATTGAAATTCCAAATGAGGAAAATGTGGTCATTTACTATAAAATCAGGCAACAGCTGGCTAAACTGGGTAAAGAAATAGAAGAGTACATTCACAAGCCAAAGTACTGCTTGCCCTTTTTACAGCCAGGGAGGCTGGTAAAGGTAAGTTGTTTCCCTCCCCCACTTCTTTGTTTTTTGTAATGTGCATTCTGCTAAAGTAGAAACACAAGCATTTTACCATCCAGTTCTTCTGGATCAGAGAGCCAGTGTGGTGTAGTGGTTAAGAGCGGTAGTCTCGTAATCTGGGGAACTGGGTTTGCGTCTCCGCTCCGCCACATGCAGCTGCTGGGTGACCTTGGGCCAGTCACACTTCTCTGAAGTCTCTCAGCCCCACTCACCTCATAGAGTGTTTGTTGTGGGGGAGGAAGGGAAAGGAGAATGTTAGCCGCTTTGAGACTCCTTAAAGGGAGTGAAAGGCAGGATATCAAATCCAAACTCCTCTTCTTCTTCTTCTTCTTCTTCTTCTTCTTCTTCTTCTTCTACGAGGCTCCTGTGCCACCATAATGTTGGGGTTTTGCACCTGTGGGTCTTAACACTCCATTAATGAGATGCACAAGGTACATTTATTAACAATAAGTAATAGTAATAACTACTATATAATGAAACATTTCAGAAACAGTGCAGCATAATAAAAGTATTAATAATATCAAAACATGTCATCATACCGAGAAAAATAAGCACAGGAAAGAAGAGGTATCTCCGAAGTTCACATTGTAAATTTTGTTTTTATTTGTGTTTTGTTCTGTTCTGGTTTTATCTAGAGTTTCCTCCCCCCTCCCTCATTCATATAAATTCTATGTTTTGTTAGGAGTGTGTTTCTGAGAGTTTTGCTTTATGTGCGGTATTTGCTTTATCTGTTTGTTTCGGGACATTTAGCATGATTAGGAAAAAAAATATTATTTCTAAATCTTAGTTCGTCATTTCCCCCCTGAAATTGGAAAAGTCAATTCTAGTCTTGTTTATAAAGAAAATATCTTCCTACTGTCACCCATTCACAACTAGCTCCAGTATGGGTCATATTGCTGCCTCTCTAATACTAGGCATTGCACTACATAGGAGATTAATGTGATATATCTTGAAAACTGATAATGAAATGATCCCACCCAACTGCCCACTATTTGTGGGGTTATCCTCCCCCTCCACAGCCAAATGGGTTGTGGGGCAGAGAAAAGAATCAGGGAAAGCCCTGTTGCAGTAGCTGACTTCCACTAACAGGACTAGTTACTTAAATCCAGCCCAAATGACCAGCGTATTGCAGTTTGGCAGCTGTTTACACATGTGGCTGTTACATTTATTGATTGTTAATTTTCTTGGCTTGGATCCACATTTGCCACCCCACAAACAGAAGGGCTTCTGCTGGAGCAGGGAGAGCGGCTGGTGTGTGCAATTTTCACTGATTTCTCGGCTGTCCTTGAAGTGAACAATATACAGTGGTGCCTCGCAAGACGAAATTAATTCGTTCCGCAAGTCTCTTCGTCTTGCGAGTTTTTCGTCTTGCGATGCCCGGTTTCCCATAGGAATGCATTGAAAATCAATTAATGCGTTCCTAGGAAACCGCCTTCAGACCAGGTCCGGGGACAGTCTGTCCCGGACCTCTTCTGAAGGCTGGGGGGGCAAGGGCTTTCTTCCCACCCCCAGCATTTTAAAAACCCGGGACAGCGGAGGACTTCTCCGCTGTCCGGGCGATCTTAAAATGCTGGCGGGCGGCATTTAAAATCACCCGGGACAGCGGAGGACTTCTCCGCTGTCCGGGGCAATTCAAAGCCCCTGGGAAGGCAGGCAGGGGGACAAAGACTTTGCCCCCGCCAGCCTTCAGAAGAGGTCCTGGACCTCTTCTGAAGGCGGGCGGGGCGAAGTCTTGCTCCCCCGCCTTCAAAGCCCTCCGGGACAGGCAGGCAGGGGAGCAAAGACTTTCGCCCCCGCCCGCCTTCAGAAGGTCTTCCCTCCCCCGCCCGGCTCGGAGCACCGTTCCGAGCCGGGCGGCGGCGGAGGTCTTCCCTCCCCCGCCCGGCCGGAGCACCGTTCCGAGCCGGGCGGCGGCGGGAGGTCTTCCCTCCCCCGCCCGGCTCGGAGCACCGTTCCGAGCCGGGCGGCGGGGAGGTCTTCCTCCCACCGCCCGGCTCGGAGCACCGTTCCGAGCCGGGCAGAGGCGGAGGTCTTCCCTCCCCCCGCCCGGCCGGAGCACCGTTCCGAGCCGGGCGGCGGCGGCAGGTGTTCCCTCCCCGCCCGGCTCGGAGCACCGTTCCGAAGCCGGGCGGCGGCGGCAGGTGTTCCCTCCCCCCGCCCGGCCGGCGGAGCCTTCCGAGCCCGGCGGCGGCGGGAGGAGGTGTCCCCGCCCCGCCGCCAGGCTTCGGAGGAGGTCCGAGGACAGTGGGGAAGACGCGCTGCGCTTCCCCGCTGTCCCTGAGATTTCCCTATGGGCTGTCGTCTTGCGAAGCAAGCCCATAGGAAATTCGTTTGCGAGCGCCTCCAAAACGGAAAACCCTTTCGTCTAGCGGGTTTTCCGTCTTGCGAGGCGTTCGTCTTGCGGGGTACCACTGTAATTACCAAGTTTCTTTCCAAATTCACTTCTGGACTTGGTGATCATTTGCAACCGTCTGTATTACAAATGATGTAATTTCCCTTAAGGTCAGAATATGTTATAAATTATTGTTTCAGATGCAGCTTTATATACAAGCTTGATTTTGATTTTAGGTGAAAAATGAAGATGATGACTTTGGCTGGGGCGTGGTGGTGAACTTCTCCAAGAAATCAAATGTGAAGGTAAAACAATATCCGATGGCCTTTTCTTCCACTGGTAGATAAATATATACCTGACTGGAAAAAAAGCCATATTTTAAAATGACACTTCAGAGTTCATAACTAATATGCTACCATCTGCTCAAGGAATCCTGTATTTCCCTGTGCTTTTTTTTATTGCCAGTATTAGAACAACTTTTCATATTTAGATGCCATGTAAACTCTTTGTTACTTTAAAATAGGAATAATGTCCTCAGATTTCCTAGCGCTGCCTACTCTCACTTGCTGTTTTGATTAATTTTTAAGATACTGATGGGACCCAGATAATTTGGATATTTTTTTTTAATGGTGACAGGCTAACTTTGTATTGTTATTTTAACTTGCATCTTTCTCTTTTCCCCTGTGTAACGCACGCTGTATGTTACCAGCAGAATTTAAAAAAGACTCCCTTTTGGAGTTTTCTGCATGACATACTTGGCTACCTGTTTTAAAGTGCAGCCAGTACTGATGATGTAACCGGGTATTGGTTGTTTTGTGTGCCCTTAGAGTATTTTATGCATATGTCAGCCTGTTCCAAGTTTGAGTAAACAGCACATGTTTTAACATGTTGGCTTAAAGCTGCTTTTCCACATATGGGTTGCATTTTCAAATGCAGTTCAGATGACACAAGTAAACAGAGCTCTTTAAACCAAAATTAAAACAGCTGCTGTAAATATCTTTTGTACGAAATAGGATGGTATTATCCACAACTGTCTTTATGAATAAACACTTTGATTATTGGGTAATCTAATAGTGGAACAAATCATGTGTTTCTGTTTACAACTGGCCATTTTAAAGCTATCTGTGATACAGTGTGAAATTCTTCTAGTGTCTTCTGATAGTCCTCTTCACATGCTACCCCCTGTCAAGCAAAGCCTCTTTTCTTTTCTCAAAAGGAAGTGAGACGCAAATATCCATAGCATGCCGTATGATGAGGTGAGGTGTTTCACTTCTTGCCCTCTGATTTGATCCTATGCCAACAGGCTTTTGCTGTATCTGCCTTTTATATATAAATACTTGAAACGCAGCCATTGGCAACTAAATTGTGGTCTAGGTGAGCAACCACAGATCCCTTTCTGGCAAATACCTGCCCCTGGTTGCCTCCCAGCATAGAGCGAAATACCCCGCCTCTTCCAAGTTTTCTTTGCATCAGGGAGAACTCTGAATTGGCTTCACACTGTGCTGGTTGGGACTTGAGAGAGACAACAGTTGCCCATCTCTCAAGTTCTTAGGATTAGAACTTGGGGGAAGGAGGAGGTCTTCCAAGATACTGTGAAAGATTCTTACTGTTCATGAGTGCCTCAAAATCAGTGTGGGAAGAGAGGCCAGTTCCTTGCTTGAGCCTTCTGCACATGCCAGTCAGTTTGGGGGTCGGGGAAGCAAAAATCAGCAGTTACCACAAATAATAGTTGGCCCAAAACTACAACTCAGGTCACTTTAGGAGAAGCAGCAATATTGCTACATATTAGGCTTGCTAAAGCAATCTGCTTTACTGGATTTTGTCCTTCCTTATCCATAATTTTTGTTAGAAGTTAAGCAGTTTTGTATATTTAAAAACTCCTGGATGGGTAATATTTAGACCTGGTGATTTGTCAGTTTTAGCTTTGTCAATAAGGCCCTAGCTCTAGAACTTCAGCTCTCATCACAAACTGCTGTCCTCAGTTCTTCAGATTCCCTTCTTGGAAAAAACATTTTGGCAGTTATATAATTTGCCCTCCATTTCCGCAGTGAAGAAAGATGCAATTAAGCTTTTATACGTTTTATGAAGGAAACCTTCTTGCCTCTAAGAGCTTCTTTGACTCTGTTCTTTAACTATGCTAGTATCCTTTTAGACCATTTCATGATCTTCAGTATACTAACTGAGCTTCTGTTGTGATTTTGAATAATCCTCAAGCTTTCTGGAGTTTTGACCCTCTTCAAATTTCCTGTCAAATTATGGCAGAGAGCCATAGACTGAGTGATCTGTGTAGCTATGGATCGAAAGAGGCTCGCAAACAAAAGCTAATAATTCTTAACAACCTGCCATAGCAAAGATTGACTTCATTTGATCAAGAGCCTTATAGTCTACCTCGGCCAAGGAGCTATTGTGGATTTATATCAATATTCTCAGGTTTATATAGAATAACAACATGTGGAGCTATATAATTTGATATTAGTCAAAGAATATTTAGAACTTAACTAATGGAAACATTCTTGTTTCTCACGCTTCTTTTACTAGTGTTAAAGAATAACTCCTTATTCATACTAACTTGGTTTCTTGCTACCACTGTAGCCTAACTCTGGTGAGCTGGACCCACTCTATGTTGCTGAAGTCCTCCTGCACTGTAGCAAAGAAAGCTTAAAAAATTCTGCAACTGAAGCTGCAAAACCAGCAAAACCCGATGAAAAAGGGGAGATGCAGGTGAGATCCCCCCCCATAAAGTAATTAAAACAACAATTGTATGGCTTTTCACTTTTTGAAATATGGCAACCCTAAGTATGGAAGAACGATAGACATACATTGATAATAACAAGTAGGTCCCATGTCACTGCCTGGGGATAAGTGTGGACTCAAACGTTTGCTGAAGAGTGGTTTGCTTCTCAGTGGAAATCACAGAAGTGGTTTTGATGTAAAAGATGGTGCAGTGGTCTATGGGTTGTGAAAGTCTAACTCGATGAAATTGCATCTTGCAGCATTCCCTGCTGGGTAGATGGGTGATCAAGTTATTCACATAACTATAAGGGTCGTCCCTAAAGTAGGAAGGAATGCAGCTGTGTACAATAAATGCAATAGGTGTACAACCAAATGGAAAAAGATTAAGATAAACCCAGCTATTATCCATGAGGGTTGAGCTGCTCAGCTTGCTCTGAAAGTATCCCAGCCATCTTTCTAAAGAACGGCCCAAGGCCATGTGCAGTAAGTAGCAGATGTTAAAACACTGCTATAAAATGGCACAAAAGTGTTGACAGACTCTTCTGATTCCAAATTCAGCCCCCCCCCCCAGCCACCCTCCAAGAGGCAGTTGGTAACTAGATTTAAGTTGATCATACAATTCTGCAATGTAATGCATTGGTTTTTGCTTGGGATTTAAAAAAAAAACACAAATAACTTCCCCCCCATCTTATATGCAATTCCTTGCCTGGCTAATAATACGTTTAGCCAATGAAAAACTGTTGCATTTTCATTTCTTAATTTTCCACCATCATTTGGGGTTAACTTTCAAATGTACATAGCTATATTCACAAGTGATTTGTAAAAATGGGAAATGGCCTATAATTTATAGTCTGTGTATTTTATCCCAAGACTTAGAAATATTGCATGAACTATTAGGTAGCTAGATGGATTCTTTTACATCCATAGCTTGTCTTCCTTCCTTTTTCTGTGCCTTAACCATTCTCTGACAGCATAACAGTGAGTTTACATAGAACAGAGGGTGCATAACAGTGATTTAGAACTCTTTGGCTAAAGCAACCGTAGCAAAGTTACTTCAACTCCCATCTCCCCGTGCCCTGAAAAAAAAAAAAGATTATTCAAGCTTACAGCAGGCTTCAGTGGTAAATCCCAAGATCTGCCCCTTAATATTCTGTTGACTTTTTATTTATTTTTAGGCGGGCTCTGAGAGTCTGTTAAACTATTTGTTGGCTTGACAGGAGAAAAATTCCCTTTTTCATGCAGCCATTAAACATTAAAGACATTTTCCCTTCACTTCATTCCAACACAGAGTTGACAATTTATTTTGTGGACTTTAAGAAGAAGAAAAAAAGTGCCTTTGCCATAATGAAACTATTCCAGTTGGCCCCAAGCTAGGCACATTCTGTCACTGAGCATTGTTAGAAGATAATTGTAGTGACTCCATTTGGGTCAGTTGGAGACGTTCTCCTTTCAGGCAGAGTTGTAAATATGAAATCATCATTTAGATGTCATCATTTTCCAATATATCTTAAAACAGAATTTATTATTTTTGGAGCTTGCCTCTCCCCCTCCCCTCTTCAGGAAAACTACTTGTGGAGCTAATTGAACAGACTACGTAGGAAATCAATGCTCAAATGAATGCTGTAGTTCTTAACACATGCAATAGGCACTATTTAAATACACATGTGTAGCATGATCCCTGAAAACTCTACGTGTAGAGAAGTCTAGGCTATGCTCAATGTATGCTGTGCACAAAACAATATAACTGCTTAGCAATCTGAGATTAATGTGCATTTTTAGTTCATCCATCACCATATGTTTTAATAGGTTGTTCCTGTTTTGGTGCATCTTCTGTCAGCAATCAGCAGTGTTCGCCTATATATTCCCAAAGACCTGAGGCCTCTTGATAACAGGCAGAGCGTGCTGAAGTCAATACAGGTACTATAACTTTGAAAAGCTGAAAGTGCATAGCACTTCTTTTCCAAAAACAAAGTACTTCACATTCATGATCTAGTTGTTACCCTTATTGTAAGATAAGTCAGTGTTGTTATTGCCCATATCAGATACCTAAGACCACTGTGAAGTTCATGGCACAGGTGAACATTCGAACTCGAGCGTTCATTATTTGTAGCCCAGTCTGTTAACCCATACATGATATCAACTCTCAGAGATCTGAAAACATCTTCTTTATGCCATGATGCAATAGAGATCATACTTTTAAACACTTTTTTAAAAAAACAAACATTTGCTTTTATCTGTCTTTTCTTTTAAGGAAGTGCAGAAACGGTTCCCTGATGGCGTTCCTTTGCTGGATCCTATTGATGACATGGGCATTAAAGATCCAGGTCTGAAGAAAGTAATCCAAAAAATAGAAGCGTTTGAGCACAGGATGTATTCTCACCCACTTCACAATGATTCTAATTTGGAAACTGTGTACAAACTTTGTGAAAGAAAAGCACAGGTAAGGAAAAGCTTTTCAGGTGCATCTTATTTTGGAGGGACAATAAGGGGGTGATAAGAGCACCCATTTTGCATACAGGTGATCCCAGACTCAGTCCCCAGCATCTTCAGTTTAAAAAAAGGTGGTGGGTGAAGTGAGAGACATCTGGCCAATCTGCTGACAGATAGTGGATAATATTGCACTAGGTGGTCAAAGAATCTGTCCTGGTTATTGGTCCTGTCAATCATTCCATTAGCCTTCAAGCAATGGGCCACATAAGTACACAGGTAAATTGGTGGTAGTTCCAGATAATTTGAGGATGGAATATCTCTCGGAAACACATTGCTGAAACACTTTTGTGACTTGGAAATGATAGATTTTCCTTTCATACCCAGAAGCTCAAGGCAGATTCACTGTGTAGTCTTACTCTAAAATGAGAGCAAAACATATGCATCTCATCTAACATGAAGGGTGCTCACATGTCTACACCATGACTTTTGCCTTCAAAATGCTTGCAGGCAGGGCAATGCCACTCTGAGTAACATTAAAAGCAAAAAGACACAATTTATGTCTGTGTGTATGTTTGGTAATTACAAGCATGTATGTGAATATTGCATTTGAGTACAAGAACCAGTTGTATAAACATTATCATAAGAGCTGCTCTGAGAAATTGCTGCATTTGATATTCTTCCAGATCAGATTGGCATAAAGAATTGGGAAGGCTTAGGGTTTTCGGGCTGGTGGTGACTGTCTTTTCACTTTCCCACAAGGCTCTTGTCCTTGATGGAAGTGTGTCTGCAGGCATCTTGGTGTAGTGCCTCCTGTGGTCTGGATAGTGTCAATTAGTCTTTACAGGGCTAAGAATTCCAGCTGGGTTTGTTTTGTTTTTTCTCAAATCGTAGTCTTATACTTGAGCATACATCTCTTGCTCCATCCCATCAGACCAGTGCTTAGAAGCAGCGATGTGCTGGTTGTGAGCCAATAAGTGGAAGCTGAATCCTGATACAACATGGGTGTTATGTGTCCCGAGTTCCCTGTTAGGTGGGGAGATGGCCTGTTCTGGACAGTGTTGAAAGGGACCTCTTGGGGTTACTACTGGATCCAGCATTATCACTGGAGGCTCAAGCAACTATTCCCCCTTTTCAACAGAAATGACTTGGTCACTCTGCTCCATGCTCTGGTAACTTCCAGGTTGGATTATTGCAACACATTCCACGTAGGGTTCCCCTTGGAAACTTTTAACTGGTCCAAAATGCATCATTTAGAACTCATATAACCCCTGCTTTAAAACAGCTGTGCTTGTTACCAGTTTATTTCAGGGACCAGTTCAGAGTGCTCATGTCAGCATTCAAAGCCCTAAATAACTTAGGTCCAAATATCTGAAAGACCACCTACTTTTTTACATACTCTGTCAGGGATTGAGATTGGCAGATGGGGCCCTTTAGGTAATTTTGCCACCCATTGAAGTTCCAGTAGGGGGGGTTGCCCAGGAGAAGACAGTCCCTAAGCTCTGAATTCCCTCCTCACAGAGTGGTTCCTTGGCCCTTTTATTCTCAGGACCACCTCTTTACTCTGACATTGACATCTGGGAAATATTTTTCTAGTACCCACTTTGTTTTGATTGTAAGCTGTTCTAACTGATTTTAATATTGTATTTTCACACTGTTGTAACCTGCCCTGGGATATTATGGGGAAGGGTGGGTTAGAAATCTTATCAGTAGTTATGATAGTAATGCATTCTTTCTGTGGAAAATTCTTCAACTTTTTTTGTTTTGTTGCTCACAAATCTGTTTCTCCCTTTGCTTCACAGATGTATGGGTGGATATGTGGCTTGTGGAGATTGAAGTTTTACATTCACAATAAACTTTGTTTTTTTTCTAGGAAGCAGGGTCAAAAGTGTCTTAATGCCTGATTTCTCGTAACACCTCTTTGCTTGTGTTTAACTTCAGATTGCTGTAGACATTAAAGCAGCAAAACGAGAGCTGAAGAAAGCCAGGACTGTTTTACAAATGGATGAGCTCAAGTGTCGTAAACGTGTTTTGAGGAGGTTGGGTTTTGCAACCTCCTCGGACGTCATAGAGATGAAAGGGCGAGTCGCTTGTGAAATCAGCAGGTAACATATGTTACTGTTGTAGAAAAGACAGGCGAACAGATGTTTGTATGCAGTTTTCCTCTTATCTTTGTGTAATACAGTGGGACATTCTGACACTAAGGAAAAATCTCATGTTAAAACATATGGGGGGCGGTATTGAAGTGATCCTAGGTTATTGAAAGTAAAACACAGGATACGTTTGAAGGACAGAAAAGCACATTGAGGCTGGGATCCAGAGAACACCATGAATCCAGCAGAGCTTTGGTTTGTGTTCTTCCAAACAGCAGCCCCCACATAGCCACTTAAGCAAACTACTTTGGAAATTGCAGGTCCTTTCAGAAGCAGTTTATTTGAAATACTTTTACCCTACCATTTATCAGGGTGGCACCAGGTATCTCCTGCTCAAAGGAAGTAAAGTCAAAATTTGTATTGGGTGGGCCCAGTTTGTGAGCATACCTCAAACCACTGTCTGGATCCTACTTTAAAATGTGATGTCAAAGATACATGGTATCTACTCTTTAGATCCCTATATTAGTTTATAAAACAAATATTATGGTGTTTGTGTAAATCATCTAGGAGTGGCACTCACTCTCTGATAGCAACACCTTAACATATTTTGAATATTCAACACTATCAATTGGTACAAAAAAGCTGCAAACCCAGAACAAGAATGTGAAATCTGAAACTTTATGCGACTTCTTTGTGTTCAGTGTTTAGATTCTCCAGAGTGTTCCATTACAGGAGGTGGACTCTCCTTCCTTGGAGGTTCTTAAGCAGAGCTTGGGTGTCCATCTGTCATGGATGCTTTCACTGAGATTCCTACATTGCAGGGGGTGGGACTAGATGACCCTCTGGGTCCCCTCCAAATCTATGATTGTATATTAACTTGCATCTGAAAATCAGAAGTGTTTTTTTAAAAGGTATCTTGGTTTAGCTTGGCAGAATTAACCCTATATATGTTTGTAATAGTAACCATTAGAGCATAGAAAATTATTTAGAAGCTTGGTATATGGTCCTTTTTTAATTTTGTTCTTTCTCTCCAAATAAACATGCTTAGCCAAGTTTGTTTATTCCCTTCAGTCTCATAAAATACACTGGGCAGGATTCAGCTGGTGAGCTGTTAGTGGAGGCCCTGCACCAGGGCTTCTGCTCATGCACTGGCCCCTTCCTTTTTCCCCAAGCACCCCCAGACATTGGCTGGGGGGCTGGGTGAATCTCCAGAGGAGCACATGGGAGGAGGCTAGCGGGGATCGATCCATCTAGCAAGCCAAAACCCTTACCCCCCATAGTTCTGGCACCAAAGTGCAGTGTAGATTCTGTTCTTCTGGCTTAATCTCCTCGCTTGCTTGCTTGCTCCCTCTCTTTTTCTCATTGGTAGTGGAAGGGCACTTTCTGGGTTAAATGTCTTTATTATTAATTCTTCTGCCTTTTGAACAGAAGCTACTGATCAGTTTTCCAGAAAATTGCTTTCAAATGTATAAAAGGCGAAGAAATATCTAACACTGTCGATTGCATTTCCTCTTCCAGTGCTGATGAGCTTTTGCTGACAGAAATGATGTTCAATGGTCTTTTCAATGACTTATCTGCAGAACAAGCAACTGCTTTACTAAGCTGCTTTGTATTTCAAGAAAATGTAAGTTAAGTTTGCATAACCAGAAAAACCTAAATTTGATCAGCCGTAATTTATATCTAAATGAATGTTTTGTTCTACCTTGCTTTCTAGCCAGAAAAGGGGGCTAAAAAGCATTTGTAAAACTAATATACAACCCTAGATTCAAGGTTCATTAAGCTACAAAAATGGGCATGGTACATGCAGGATCAGACACTACCATGCAGGGAGGGCAAGAGAGTGCTGGACCTTCACTGGGTTGAGATTTCCTCCTGATAAGTAACACCAGAGGAAGTTGGAAATGGTCAGCATACAGAACCAGAGCAGAGAAAAAGGAGTTTAAATGGCACCCACAACAATCAAGACATCTCCTTCTACTGAGTTCCTTGTCTCAAAATGATTTTTTAAAAACTCAGTTGTTTTTATTTTAATTTTCCTAGCTGTTTTTATTTTAATTTTCCTATATTATAAAGTGCATTCCAAAAGTGTCATTGGTCAGGATCCAGAAAGTTTTATGGATGAGAAGAAAGCAGTTCTGTACATTCACAAAGAAGTTTCTCCCCCACACCCTAAAACTGTGTTGTCCTGCATTGCATCCCATATTGCTGCCAAAGGAGCCCCTGCCCCTCTGAAGAACATAAGCGGAAGTGGATGTGCACATGAAACACCCAAAGTTTTTGCATATATTCAGTAGAGAGGAAAAAGACACTTCTCTGAAAGGCGGAAATGAAAATGCCAAATAAATAAGTATCAGAAACTGAGGTGGAATCCACTGTTGTGCAGGTGGACTTCTTCTCAGTGTGTGACTTCGCTTTCCTCTCCTCCCACTTCAGCCCCCTACGCACCCCCCAGAATCTGCTCTGGAGGGGTCCCCTAATCATCTGGAGCAGGTACTGAGGGCATGTGGCAGGCTGCATAGAAGAGGAAGGTGAAGGCTGTTCTACTTTTGCATGGCCAGTGTTCAGTATTTCTTTCCCCTCGTCATTCAGTTGCATTTTTCAGTGATAAATTATTTGTAATCACTGGCTTCTATGTCAAATATCTAAAGAGCATTTTTGAAATTCTGTGGTTCAGTGGTAATCTCAAAGTTTATTTTTGTTCCAAGTAGATGTGTTGTAATATATTGGCATTGGGATAATATTTCACTGAAAAGAAGTCCAGAGGCCCATATTCTGGACTGAAGTTTGGCACTGCTCTTATTATTGGTCTATTTTCTGTAAAAGAAGCTTTCTTGGGAGTGTTAAAGGATCGATGAGCACACTCCACCAAGCATTTGATCTCACACATTCTCTGCTTGTTTCAGACTTTGTGCACCAGCTTACATAACTTGTGGTCTTTAGAGAAAAAAATATAAATTAAATAATGCCAAATGAATGGATATTGATGCTTTCTTCATCTTTTTTTCAGTCTAGTGAAATGCCCAAACTAACAGAACAGTTGGCAGGCCCCCTTCGCCAAATGCAGGTAAACTTCAGCAGATTTTTCTGGCATAGGAAATGCCACATTCATTACCAAATGGTTTTACAAGCCATTAAAAGTCAATTACCTTCCCTTTCCTGCTCTGCAACCTAAACGTACACCATAGTATGTATTTGAGATATTGCACTGGCACAGCTCTTGACATGCCTACACATCATGCTAGCTTGGTACATTTAAAAATTAAATTTTATGGGGTGTTTGGGATGATATAATCCAAAATCTTTCTTGATATCTTTTAAAGTTTGTCTTTAAATTTTAACACCATTAAGATAGCTTGAGGGTGAGGGGAGGGCTTTTGGAATATTTTATCCAATGAGGGTTTTTGCATACTAGTGACTTATCCAATATGGTTTTTGTATACCAGTGAGCTACATGAGCCTGTTAAACTAGCATTTTCTTCTATGTTTACTTATGAAGGCCCATGAGGACATCTGCCGGGCAGTCTCCACTTCCTCAGTGGCTGCATTTAGATTAACAAACCAAGATACTGCTTTGTAAACTGCCTGGACATTTTTCATCAGAAATCAGTCTATAAATGTTGCAAAACAATTATCCCTCATACATCTCACACACAGCTGCTCTGCTCCTCTCATCAGGAGCCAGGAAATCTCCAGTTAACTAGTTTCCTATTACATCCAAACTGGAAGGTATGATAAACGAACAAACCAAGGTGGTTTAAATTTGTCTTAATGTCCTAACTTGTTTGGATGCCGTTAGTCATAGCTTTCTGGTTTAGATGTAAAGGAAAATGATCACTATCTGATGTGTTCCTGGCTTGCTCACTTGTTTGAAGCGAGGAGTGAAGCAGGTATGTATGAGGCAACACAATCAGTGTGCCAGTGTGGTGTAGTGGTTAAGAGCGGTAGTCTCATGATCTGGGGAACCGGGTTCGCGTCTCCGCTCCTCCACATGCAGCAGCTGGGTGACCTTGGGCTAGTCACACTTCTCTGAAGTCTCTCAGCCCCACTCACCTCACAGAGTGTTTGTTGTGGGGGAGGAAGGGAAAGGAGAATGTTAGCTGCTTTGAGACTCCTTAAAGGGAGTGAAAGGCGGGATATCAAATCCAAACTCCTCCTCCTCTTCTTCTTCTTATTTCCCTTCATGTACCTGCGTGGGCCTTAAGTTACTCGACAGAGGCCTTGGTCTAGGTCGCCCTGGGAAATGAGGTGAAGTGGGTGGCTGCTGGGAAGTGTAGCTTCTTGCCCATGGCACCCTGACTGGGAAGTTGACTCCATGGAGCAGCTCTCCTGGCTCTATGGTCTTTTTAGCACCAGACCTTTGAATTTCTCCAGGCTTTTTATACAACTAATGTGTCAACAGAGTCTTAGCTTTCTGTGCAAGTTGTTTTCTTTTTCAAATTGAGCTTCTTGTCAGTTGTATTTTCCCTTATCAGAAATGATGTTTTTAATCTTGTTTTTGAACATTGAATTTTCTTGTTCTTTTGTAAGCTACCTACGGAACAAGCGGGCCATATAAATCTAGCGCTGCTGCCACTGAAAAAAAGAATCTCAGCTTGTTAACAGTCAATTGTCTGGCGTGCATATTTCAGGAAGATAACTTTCATTTGGTTTTTCTCGAATTTTCAAAATCCTCTTTAAAGGAATGTGCAAAAAGAATCGCTAAAGTGTCCGCAGAAGCTAAATTGGAAATTGACGAGGAAAACTACCTGAATTCGTTTAGGCCGAACTTGATGGATGTCGTGCACACATGGGCCAATGGAGCAACGTTTGCTCACATATGCAAAATGACAGATGTCTTTGAAGGTGCGTGCACTTGTATTACTACTGATGCATCAGAGGTGTGGGATGGTAGGATAGTACAGTTGTTTGCATGACAACAGTCCCCTCCACTGAGGCCTCCTAATCAGCAGCCTGTGGGAGAATCTTTCTCTCTTGTCTCTCCTCCACATGGCATGCTTTCTGCTCCTAGTCTTTTTTCTCTTTCTCCCCAGTGTGTCCCTTGTGTTCTGTATCTCTCAGTGAGCATAAATGTAGACAGCCTGATCCTTGGTTCCATTGAATTCAGTGAAGCCTACTCAAATGTCAACTATGCATAGGATCGAAACTGTCTTTTAACCTTGTGTGGTTGGTACAAGAGGGAGAATGAGAAGTTGTTGTTGCACCTTGTCCCAGGTGCTTTGATTGCTTCCCAGCCACTAGCCATTTCTGCTATCTTTGCAATGATGGCATGGATTTTGTGCTGTAGCAGTCATCACTTTGGAGGCAGCAGAAATGTTATTGGGGGTAAAGAATAAGAGAGGCTTGAAGTCACTTGTGTCATATACACAATTTATTTGGTTGCAGTGAAGCAGGCAATCAATTCTGTGGATGGTTGCATTTGCAAATGCCATATAAAAATGTCCCCCACCCTCCTTTCCCATGCAGATAGGTAGTAGCAGTAAGTCTTGCCCAATAAGTGAACTTTTTGCTGCTAGCTGGAGATGGAGACTTGCTCGATGGGCCAAGTTTGACATGCAGCATCAGGCAGGGTGGGATAATTAAGCTTTGTAAGCTGCCCACAGTAGCAATTTTCATTGGTAGGGTAGAAATTATATAAAACACAGACAAGGCACTTACCATAGTAGCATAACCCCAAACCACCATCACACCCATTTTTGCAAACGCAGAGTAAATGGCACATTCTTGTTTCCATATGGCAGATAAGCAATCCCTTTAACAGAAGGAGTAAATACTGAGAGAAAGGCACTTTTTCTTTTTGTCATGACAAAGTCCATCTTAAGTGAAATTTCAGTGGCCATGTACATCATGTTGTGGTTGAGAGACTGGAAAGTAGAAAGTTCATATAGTTCAGTATGTCTAGCAGAAAGGCAGATGGAGTATATTTAAATGTCCTTTACTCCATACACACATCCTCTGTTTTAACCATACAAAAATGCTTCTGTGGATGTAAAAGTGTTCTTGGTTGCATTTTCATAATGAGCCCTGTAAGAGAAGTCAGTCTATACAACCAAAGTGATGGTTTGCTCAGAATACAGCATGCAGCAAACCCTTGGAGGATATATCCCAGCTTCTTTTGGCTCAGACTTCTGTCTTTTTGGTAATTGACTCCAGGTGGCTTTTTACTAGAGTTGCTGGATCCGGAATCAAATGATTAAATTTAATCTCTTGCTGAGACTGGCTGATAAAACTTTGATTTCATTTCTTTTTAACTTACAAACTGAGAAGAACACACATTCCTAGCCTATAGATTTCCACACCTTATACCTGCTCCACCATGTATCTAAATGTATCCCATAATCTTTGAAATGAAGCCATTCATTTTCTTCATGTACACACTACAAAAATATGCAGGAGGTTAGGAAGAAGGAAGCTTGGTACCCTGCTTCTTATGATGGGGTAGCCTGAGAGCTGCAATGAGAAGTCTGTGCAAGAAGAATAAGTTAAAACCATTGCCTTAGGTTTTCTGATAACACAAGTTAGGAAAATTAATATTCATGACCTTATGATTATCTGTTTGGGGGAAAACTATAGGACTGAGATGTTTCAGTCCTGCTTGAGTAGACAGCTTTACAACTACCTGGTAGAAAAGGATCTGCTATTCCTCATTAGAAAATGTCTGCTTTTACTGCAAGCCCTTTTTTGCTCATGCAGGGAGCATAATACGCTGTATGAGGCGGCTAGAAGAATTGCTTCGACAGATGTGTCAAGCAGCAAAGGCCATTGGAAACACAGAACTGGAAAACAAATTTGCAGAAGGTCTGTATGTTCAGCTTCTTATAAATTGCATGCATCTTGAAATGTAGAGTCTTTTCACAGGCAATTTTAAATTTCTTAAACAAGTCAGAGTGTCCCTAATGTATTAATGGTAGGTTCCATGTATCCTTTATCTGCTGTGATCCAATTCTTTATGGAGCAGATAACTGGAAAGCCCTTGATGTCTCCACAGCCCCCTCAAACTAGTTATACACACATTTGAGATGGAAACTGGGGAAATGATACTCAATTTGAAATTGATACTGAGCTTCAACTCAGGTGCATTGTTAATATATCCCCTGTTGCTAGTATCGGCAATAGGTACAGCTACTCTTATGACATCATATTATTTTCTTCCCTTAACAGGCATTACCAAAATCAAGAGAGATATTGTATTTGCTGCAAGTCTTTACCTATAAGTATTGTCCTGGCACACCGTTTGAACATCACTCATTATTCTTCAGAGCCAGAAGTGTAAAGTTAGTGACAGAATCTGCCAATCCTTCCCAAGCAGGAGAGATGCTTAACATTCTTGTATGTATTTCACCATAAGCCTCATGCTAGCAAGCATATTACATACCATTGCTGTTTGTACATAAGTGTTACCACATTATTTTTAATTAAAAAAAACAGCCAGAATACTGTGTGTTTAAAGCAAAAGCTTGAACCAATAGAGATTTAAAGTTTAGATACCTAAGTGTTACTATATACATGTAAAGTGAGCATCCAAGAAGTATAATAGCAGCAGCAGTCCCTTCAAGAGGCATTTAATTTATTTCTTTACATAGGTCAGAAATGCTTGACGTTTTCTTTTTATAGAAGGGGAGATTCCACAGGGTAATAGCTGTTGACTTTATCATGGCTGGTGATTACTGCCATAGTGATTTCCACTGGTAGGTGTCTCGTGTAAGGTTGTGTGTGAATCTTCTTCCTCCTTCTGTTTAAATGTATGACCTCTGTCTTTGAAGAAATCAGATACATACACAACCTGGATAAACAAATTGAACACATTAGGCAGTGAGACAGCTGTCAGAGAGAGACAGTACAACAAAATGATTCTTTAAATATGCCTAATATGTCTGGACAGTATACCAATAAATTGTCTGAAACTGGTATGGCAATCAAATTGCCATACCGGTTTCAGACATTTTGAGCTGGCAATACATTGTGGTGGTTGGGGAGCTGAGGGCCACAGCACAATGGTAGCTTCACCTGGTGGTATATCGCAGGTGAAGCAGCCACTGCTCCTGAGTCCCTCTGCCACCATACAGCAGATAGTTTTTTTAAACTTATCCACACTCCCACAAGCTGGAGGTGGATGGCTTATTCAGCTGAGAAGCAGGCTTCCTTAAACCGTCCCCACAAGCCAGAGTGGGGGCTCAGCTGTGCGCTCCCTCAGCAGAGCAGTTTAAAGAAGCTGTGCGTCTGAACCGCCTTTGCACAGGGATGTGGGTGGGCTACCTCTTGCCAAGGCAAGTGTTCACAGGGCTGCCTTAGCACAGGTGGAGCTAGGACTACTCCTTCCAGGCGCCAGGCATTGGAGGAAGAAGCAGTTTTTCCCACCCGATGCCGACAGGAAGAGGCAGAAACTGCACACCATGACAATAATCGTCTCCATGGCCAGTAATTGCCTTCTTCCTCCCTGCCTCCTTTCCAACATTGTAACATACTACCGTATCAGGAAGTTTAGTTGGTGGTATTTACAGTGTTGGAAAACAGGTATTGACTAGCTCAAATTGCCTGCCTTTCAGACAGAGAGGTAGACAGAGCTTGAGAAGGTGATTGCCTACAACCTTCTCACACTTCATCTGCAGGGCTGCCTCTGGTTTACATGAGCCGGAGGGTGGGTGCTTAATCAGCTGAGGGATGGGTGGGAGGCTGCCCACCCCGCAGCTGATCAAGCCTCCATACACGCAGAGGCACCCAGCACTCTAGGCAATGTATCTCGGTTGAATCTTCATCCCCTAAGGTGGGGAGAAAGCAGCAGCTGAGATATGCTGATATATCATGATGTTGACAATATAGTGCGGTATTTACCGTATTTTTCGCTCTACAACATGCACCCGACCATAACACGCACGTAGTTTTTAGAGGAGGAAAACAAGAAAAAAATATTCTAAACGAAACAGTGGATGTATGATTTTTGTGGTTCATGCTGTGGCCACAGACATGTGATCTGACAGTGAGTTTGGAGTAGCCCAATGCAAAAATCCTGAGGATCCATGTGGAGCCATGCTTTGTAACCACGTTTTTGCACCACTGCGGCCCCAGGCAACAGTGGGTGCGTGATTTTTTTGGTGCAAGCTGTAGCCATGGACATGCTATGTAATCTGATGGTGAATTTGGGGTGACCCAGTGCAAAAATCCTGAGGATCCATGTGGATCAGTGCTTTGTAACCACGTTTTAAGTGGGGAGGGAAGGAAAAGCACTCAAGGGAGAAGAAGCACACGTGGGGGTGGGTGGAGAAGGATGCTGCTAATAATGTAGGAGAGGGGTATAAGAGGAGAAGGCTCCTCTCCTCTCCCACTTTGCTCCTTTAAAGCAAGCAGGCTCTGCTTTTCTCCCTCCTCCCCGGTCATCCCCGGCTTAGCGAGCTGAGTGGGGAGGAGAGAGGGACAGAGAGCCTGCTTGCTTTAAAGGAACCAACCTCTCCCGCCTTGCTCCTTTAAAGCAAGCAGGCTCTCTGTCTCTCTCTCCTCCCCACTCAGCAGCTCTTCTCCCGCTTTGCTGTTTCAAAGCGAGCCACGAAGGAGGGAAGGAAGGGGAACCATGGATCCTGTGCTCACGACTGCAGCAGATCCCCCCCCCCGCCACCCGTAGGCATTCCCTCCATAACACGCACAGACATTTCCCCTTACTTTCTAGGAGGAAAAAAGTGAGTGTTATGGTGCAAAAAATACGGTAACTGCTGATATATCACGATGTTGAAAACCACATATTGCCCAGTCCTAATGCCTAACTTCTGCAGCATGTTTATAGGCACTTCAGGCTTCTTTCATCTTTGTTGTCAGAAAAGGAAGTGGGGCAAGTGCCAATAATCTATGCATGCTAGTCCCAATTGGAAAGTCTTTCACTTTTGTAAATAGTTTTGGGAAGAGAGATGTACCCTAACCCAGCCATACATCATGGTTTCTAAAGGAGGAGTGGAAAAAGAAACATTGACACTGGGAGTAGTGAATATACTACCTTTTCCCCATCTCACCACTGTCCCATGGAAACTACAGGAAGCCAGCACTGAACTCGTCAGGAGTGTGCAGGCATCCTCCCTCCACCCTGTTTCATCATCAAGTCAGCAAAAGTAGTTTTGTCAGAAAGCTATATTGATCAAATGGTAGAGTAACTTTGCATGGACTTACAATAAGTATAGCTACCAGTGCTCCCTGGATAAGTCCGGTCAACACATCACTCCAGTGATGTTTGTAATCAGAAATACGGGAGAGGCCCACGTAGATGGATGCTGCAATAAGACCGAACTGAGCCGTAGGACGCACAAGTCTTGCCCAATCGCCTTTCATTCTGGCCTGAAGATAAAGCTAAAACCAAAGGGACAAAAGTTTAGAAGTACAGAAGTCTAGCTAGTTAACAGGGTGGGCAGAAATAGGATGGGTCTTTTTTTAATGCAGTAGTTCTAACTTGATATTCTGTTGATTTGCTAGGGACAACATTAAGTGCAATACTTTTGTACCATAATGAACATTGTGCTGAGTTGTGGCCTAATTTTACAGATGCCCTTTCTATTGAGCTTGCAAATTGGATCATATTGTGTATTGCATATTATCCACCTTTTGATTCAAGCTGCACAATGTTTCATAATATGTGAGGCATATTCTCCTTAATTATCAGCTATAGCACTAAAGGAACCATTCATTACTTCAATAGTAGCTGTGAGTAGGGAGATCCTTGCTAAACACAGGCAGGTATTCAAATGCCTAGATGGGAAATAAATTCATATTTAAATAATCTGTATACTTTCCCTTCAATAAAAATGTTCAAGGTGGATTACAAATAAAAATACAAAGTAAAATACATTATAAAATGCATGGCCAAAACCCCCAGCATAAAACCGTACAGTTGAAATGGAGTTAAAAGGCTTGGCAAAATAAAAAAGTTCTTTGTCTACTGCCAAAGTGGTAGAGTTGGTACAAGCTGATGCTCTCTCCAGAGAAAATTCCACAACCACAGTGCCTCCACTGAGAAGTCCCCTTGCCCCTCAAATCACCACTGCCTCATCTCTGATGGCCAAGACTCCTTCAGGAAAGCCTCCAAGAAAGATCTCAGAGATGCTGATGGCAAGAATCAGCCCTCCTAAGGTGTGGGTAGAAATACACTGGGAGCCAGTACACTTGTTTAAGAACTTGCATTACCTTATACCATTGCCTGCTGTCAGTCATCAACAGAGCAGCTGAATTTGAACTAACAGAAGTTTCCATAGTCTTAGAAAGCAACTCCACTTACAATGCATTCATCAAAAATGGAGGTTACTGGAGCATAGATAACAATGGCCAAGCTGTCTGTCTGAGACAAGTCACGGCTGGCACACCAGCCTCAGCTAGTATGACAAAGCTGCTCAAGTTTATCCCCAAACTCAGCCTGCTCAAATCATTTTCCCAGGCAGACAAATGGTCCATCAGCACTGGGATCAATAGCATATCCCTCTGATCTGAAATGAGTTTTCTTTTTTATCCCTTACAATCCATTACTAAGGCCAGACACCAATTCATTATTTCCAGAGCCATCACAGGTTAGCATCTACCAAGGGCTATAGTCTAGCAAGGAGCCCCCTGCCAAGAGCTCTGTGGACCTGCTCCTTCTGTTCACCTGCCTCTTGCTGTGGCCCAGAGAACAGAGGAGCAAATGCCACTGCCTGCTTCCTTTTTGGCTCCCTGTTTGGCAAGCAAGCAGGTGGTAGTAAGGTGGAAGAGGAGAAGCAGCTGTAGCTGGTGATGATGGTGGTAAGGAGAAGGGCCGAGGTGTCTTCCCATCACTCCTGACCACTGGCAAGGCTGGCTGCAGTTGATGGGAGTTAAGTAGAGGACATCTGAAGGACACCACACTGATGACACCTGCAGAACTAACTACACTCTGGATTCAACTGGTCAAATTCCTCCCTGCTTGATGTTATGAGCCACAATACAGACAGGAGGCTGCGCTTAGCCAAGTACCTTATCTATTGCCTCATGCTGCAGAAACTCAAAATAAAACAAATCCATGAAACCAGACTAGATCAAGTTTTGGATAATCCACAGACTGACCTGTAACAAAGGCATAACCTTTTCTAAAACAGGCAGTAACTGGACTTGATGGGATGCAGGTTGTGGCTAGCACTCCCATAGACAACTTCAACCATTCCTTGTACCTGTTAGAACCATTATGGTTGTGTAAATGAATATATACACAGAGCATGCTCTATGTGAGCAGTAGGTGCTACTTTCCAAAGTTAAATATTTGGGGAATGCCTAATCGGTTTTTCAAAGCAGCTATTACATCATAGTTTTGGCATCCAAATCTTTCATTCTGCTGGTTAAAAAAAAAGCTGAATTTAAAGCTGCATGGAGCAATGTTTAGAAAACCAGATAAAGGTTTTTCCACAGACCGAAGTTGTATTCCAGCTATGTTTTGTTGACAGAAAACTGAAGTTTCTAAGACAGTCTGCAGGCGTATTTTTCAGAAATGTATACATGTGTGTTCACTATCAACAGCAAAGGTAGGTAATTCCTGCTGCTGCTGAAGTCCAACATAGCAAAATTACACAGTACAGTTTCAAGGCTAATACTGTGTTTCCTCAAGGCTTGTTTTTGAGACTAACTTCTACAGCAATGTAAATCATTTAGTCCCAGTGAGAACTTGAGACAGCAGTCATGCTGGTGGTCTAAAAAGAGCAGGCTGGCAATACAGAGCTGGCATACTTCCTTCTTTCCAGCTTAGGAATTCCACTGAAGACATTGAAAAATGCATTCCTTTGCTAATAAGGTTTTTCCACACGCAAGCAATTGCTGTAGTTGGCAGAGGAACATTATACACATAAGAGGGAAGGTGGTATATGTGGTTATGAGTGGGAGAGAAGGTGGGACCTAAGACAGTCCCTTAGAAGATTGTGGTCCATAAGCAAAGAGATTTGAGGGCCCAGGACACAAATCTAGGTGGTAGGATTTCGTGCTATTTGCCAAGCTGTCAAAACTGAACTGATGATTAAAATGCTGTCCCCAAAACAGAAATGTATCTACAAAACTAGGCTGAGATGGCAAAACAGGAAACTCGGATTTAATGTTTATTCATGGACTTTAGGAAAGTAGCTACTTGGGCCACAGCTATTTAAGATGTGGAGCTAGGCTGCAATGAGACAGGAGGCACAGGTTGGGCTGTTCATTCTACCAACAAAAAAAGATGCTGATGTACAAGTCCAAAAGGAAAAAGAGGATCCAAATGCTCACCTCTTCTGGACAATGCTGGTGACAGTCCACATCAGTGAGTTTTCAAGTTGTATAAGCACCTCAGTCAATCTCAAGTGCTGTATGAAGCAGCTGGCTAAGAACTAGTAACTCTGTACAGCCAAGAAGCAGTTTCTGCATGTACTGTAGAGGGAAGTGGGGGACAGATGGAGCCTGGCAACCTGGGAAGGTAGCCAATCGAGGAGAAGGAAACTGATCCTAAACCTCCATTGCCTTACGACTATACTCATTTGGGAAACTGGGAGTAAACCCTGAGTAAAATCCATACCCACTGCCTTGCGGGACATCTTCAGAAGGCTAAGGAATAAACCCTACACAAATCTGGAGTGGAATCCCTAAGACAGCTGGATGGTGTCTTGTATGCCCCCCTTCCAGCAACTCCCACAGCCATGCTGGTGCCAAATGCATTGCTCTGCTTTCCTTTGGACCACATCAGCGAGGCTGAGAGAAGGTGTCTTGTTATCAGGGCAGCCCCCGAGAAATCACTTTGTTGCTGCTAATGCAATTACTGGTCTCTGCAGTCACAGCAGGTGCTGTGATTCTCCAGCAGTTTGACTTCACCCCCAGCAGCGTACCCCATTGTCTCTTGAGACAGACAAATGCCAACGAGAGCCTTCTACACCAAACACTGTCACTTGACAACTTTCCTTTAAGAGCAGCAGCTGCTGCTGTTTGTTGCACATGCATACTTTCATTTTACATGCCTGTTAGCTGATAGGACGGGTTAACTGCTTCCTTCTCTGAATTTAGATAAACAGCTTGAGCTTGACTGGCCCCTACCTTGTCATCACAAAGAGCAACAGCAGCCGCTCCCTCCCTGCATTCTATGAAACAAACACCCACTTATGCATGGAGGCTGACATGCACGCAACCAATTCATTAATTGGCAGCCCTTTTCTCCTATTATTGTTTACACAAGTGATCTGGCAGCTTCAAGTCATAAAGACTGCTAACTAGTTCTAGTTATGTGCCCATTTTGACATAACAACAAACAGTCCTGTAGCCTCCATTAAGTCACCCGTTTTGCCTCTCCCTGCCCCCTTGCAAGCTATTCATTAAACAGACTGAAGTTTCACCACTACAAGCTGTAAGTGCCCCAACATGAATAGGGCAACCTATTCCCTAGGTTTGGAGAGGAGAAAAACCATTCCCACAGTCCCAGAACAAACTGGTAGGGCACTTGCTTTCCAGTAAAATAATAGCTACTTTGCTTTGTTGTACTAAAAAAAGTATTTGTGTACTTCAACAGTAATGCTTTAAAACCCATAGGGCTTACTTCAGAGTAGCCCTGCAAAAAGATTGGACCTTCTAATCTGAGGTTGTCATGGTGACAACTGAGCACAAAAATAAGGAACCCACTGTATAACAACAGACACAAATAGAAAAAACGGGTCCAGGCCAGCATACAAAGACAATGCATGGCAAGCAAAGTACAACAGATTGTATTAGTCACAATGTACCCGCTATTACAAGGCATGTCGTACATATAAGCGGTACTCCAGAATCATCAAAGTAAGTACAATACTATAATTAATGATCTATTTTCATATATCTTTAATGCAAGAAAATTATTGGAAGCGGCAGAACAGCTGTAGCAAGCAGGACTGGAGCCCGGCAATCCCAGTTCTGAAGAGAAACTCCTTCAGCCTGTGAAGTTAACAAGGTCCCACACTGGGTCTCACAAGTTGAGGCACTTGCTGCATGCTGGCTAGCAGAGCCTAAAAGATCATCTTTAAAAAAGGTCACCCACCCCTGACCTAAGAAGCACTGCCTTACGAACTGAAGTAATGTGATGCAAAGTAATAATGTGATGCGTTTCTAGCCTGCTAGCAGAAAAGTGATGACAGAAATCACTACATGTGGAAAGTGCTTACAGCAGTGCCTGCCATAGAGATGCAAATGCCAAGGCCCCTGTAACATGCAGCCTGGCCCTGAGCAAAGGGAGGAACATTAATAAATTAGCAGCGTGGCAGTTGAATTTCTCCACTATCATTTTTGTCCTTCTCTGAAGGCTGCCGTTTCCTTAGGTATCAGATGCTTTTACCTTTGGTGGTCTCTGCTTAAAAGTGCCTTTAATTTGCTAAATTAGAATACCCCCGCAGCTCCCTTCGAGATGTGTTTATAGAATGTGGTTAAGCTTTCACTCATAATGAAAACACAGCCTCTTCACCACATACATCCTGAGCGCAGTGTTCCTCCCACTCTCTGGTGAAATGCTCCACTTCTTCCACATGCGCCACCTTTTAGAAGAAGCCACAGACCCAAGTGGAAGCAGAGAATGAATTGCTTTTGGAAAGGCATTTACAAATGATGCAGCAAGCAGAGGTTGCAGTCAAATGGATTTTGGGAGTCACTGTTAATACTCTAGAAGATCTGATCACAAGAGGAACAGTAGTAAGCAAGTAATTATTTCCAGCCATGACGAGGGGAGTGTTATTTCCCCCTCCCCAAATGTTCTTTTGTCACAGTCTACATCATGCAACCCGACGGAGGGCGATCAGTAATTTCATGTGGGTGACAAGCAGAGAAGAAATGGGGAAAGCTAGAAGGAGGAAGTGTTCAATAGCAAAGGAGGTGGCCTGCACCATTTTGGCTTTTTGGCTCCACCTATGTCCATTGCCCTCAACAGACCTAACCCAAGCCAACCCTGCCTTACAGCAAATTCTGGTGACTTGGCCTCCAGAGATTCCTTTGCTCTACATGTGTCTAATTCACAAAGGAAGTACCTTCTCTCCTGTGCTAGGGACCCTATTTTTCTAGCATCTCATCCAGTCTGATTGTACAGGAATAAAGTAAGCTAATCAATGGAATCTACAGGATGAAGGGTGGTATACAAGTATTTTGAACAAACACTGATGAGATATGTTCTCATGAGTCTCTTACATGAAGGTAGGAAAGGGGGCAGTTTATCATCTGCTTATAAAACTGGATCTGAGTGTGAACTTAACATTAAGTTTAGGTTTTTCAGAACTCTTCTGATGGGGATTGAGTGAAAGGCAGAACTTTGGGGAGAAAATGAATGTGTGTAGGGGACTGGGCCCAGATTAAGGATGTACAAGATAATGTTTTAGCTTTCAAGCTTTTCTTAAGAATTAATCCGTTGTGGTTTTGGGCCCTTCTCTATAGCACCATAGGGATTACAAACAAACCAAAAGCAGAACTACTGGAGACAGTGTGTCAGACCATGCCTGCTGTTTACAGCCACGACTCTGGAGAACCATTAATCCTTTATATATTTTTTAACTTGAAGAGGTCATATATTTTAGGGAAGCTTTTCATATCTGAAGGACTACTGTATTTTAATATTTTGTTGGAAGCCACCCAGAGTGGCTGGGGAAACCCAACCAGATGGGCAGGGTATAAATATTATTGTTGTTGTTATTTTATTTCATAGGCACATCTTTTGCAATGACAACCATGGCAGGTAATTTTGCTTAAGTATAATTAGTGTTGAAATGAATAGGCATTGTGTGTACACAGTCACTGTCAGCCTGTATACCCAACTGCAGCTGCTGTAGCACTGCATATAGGCTGTAGTGTGCTAAAGAACTCATGGGGCACTCCAGGCAAAGCCACTTCATGAATTAGGTCCAGAAACACACTTAGTGCAGAGCTGCATGTAAGAGCTTCATGCTATTGCTTTGAAGAGTAAGATGAGTATTCATTGTCAGTTACATACACTTCACCTCATTTTAGGACAAGGGTAGAAACCTATGGCCCACCAAAGGCTGTTGGACTACAATTCCCATCAGCCCCAGCCAGCATAAACAATGGTCAAGGATGATGGGACCTATAGGGCAGGTGAGCGAGTCTTTCACACTCTGTTCTCTCACTCTAATATAAAACATCCTACATTTACATGCCATATTTATTTAGTTTATTTTACAATTTATATGCTTACATGGAACAGTAACTCTTGGGGCAGCTAATAAAATACTAACATAATTGCTAAATGCTTTTATTAGGAAGCTGTGCAGATGGAGCAATTCAAATTATAATGTGGGCAATCAAGTAAAATAAAAGCTTGCCAGTGCTATTTGACTGGCCAAAGAAGAAGGAACCAAAAATGTTAGAAACTGCATCCTTTCCCAAAAGACAAAAACTGCTGCTAGCAGGGTTGCAAAGGTATTTATAAGCGTGTTTTTTAAGAGTTTAAAATATTTAGACCAAGATCCACCCATCCAATAGAGCATATGCAACTGCTGCCCACTCTTCTCTATTTAAAATCAAAGATAGCTGCAGTGACAGGTTATAATGGATTGTATTCAACTGACTTTTACTCGGACTAGACAGATTTAGGAAAGGTGAGATATAAATGTAGTGAATAAATGACCACTGCTCCACCCACTTTTGCCTCTAGCCCCCAGAAAGCTTCCCATGAGGGAATACAGCTCTGTGTTTGAAAAAGGTTCCCAATTTGCCTGAAAAGGAAAACATTCGGTTTTCATTCCCTCAGCTCTGAGTAGAAATAAATGCATGTGGGGTGCTGTTCCCTTAAACCGCAAAAATGACTGCAAGCGGTATTAAAAGTGGCCTTATGTTTCTTATTTGTAATTATTAACAGCAAGAAAACTGTAGTTTTAAGAGCATTTTCTGCAAAGATGAAGAGGCTGTGTCTGTCAGACCACATAGTTCTTTGGGAGAGGGCTGGATATAGCACACCAAAATTGCTTTCAGTTACAATAATGCAACAGGTCAGTTCTCCACCTCCAGCACCAAGACTTCTAATTCCAGAAGAAAATAGGTTCATCCTATATTGACACAGGAAATCCAGAACTATAATAGTTATCCAGCCTCTGCTTGAAGACCTTGAGTGAGGGGCAGCCCACCAGCCCCCTAGGCAACTGGTTCCACTACTGAATGGCTCCTGTAGCTTAAGCCCAGGCATGGCCAAACTTGTCCCTCCAGCTGTTTTGGGACTACAACTCCCATCATCCCTAGCTAACAGAACCAGTGGTCAGGGATGATGGGAATTGTAGTCCCCAAAACAGCTGGAAGTCCAAGTTTGGCCATGCCTGGCTTAAGCCTATTAGATCTGGGGCACCTATTCTATGTGATAACCCTTTAGGTCTTCCACAGCCCCACCCCATAGCCTTCTCAAGACAAAACATGCCCAGTTCCTTAAACATTTCCTTATAGGACTTGCTTTCCACACCCTGAATATCTTTGTTGCCATTTCCTGAACCTATTTCTACTTGAAATATCCCATTTTTAAAGTGCAGTGCCCAGAACTGGATACAGTACTCCAGAGGATGTCTGATTGATGCAGAATAAAGTAGGGCTTCTACTTCCTGTGACTAGGAAACTATGGCCTTCAAGTTGAAACAAGGCAGACTCCTAAGGCACCATGGGACAGCATCATAAGCTATTTTCTGCTAGGGAAAGTGCAAACGAGGAAAATGAAAAAGCTTTCTGTGCACTGTCCATCAGTCACACATGAAAACAGATTATTACTACTATTATTAAGTTGTATACTACCCTTTATCTGAAGATCACAGGGCAGATCACAACATAAAAATACAAGATGAGAACATTAAATATGTAATAAAACGCAAACACAAACCAATAACCCCCTTCCCACAAACACGTTTAAAAGGCCATAGAACATGGGTAGGCAAACTAAGGCCCGGGGGCCGGATCCGGCCCCATCGCTTTCTGAATCTGGCCCGCGGACAGTACGGGAATCAGCGTGTTTTTACATGAGTAGAATATGTGTTTTTATTCAAAATGCATCTCTGGGTTATTTGTGGGGCTTAGGAATTCGTTCATTCCCCCCCCCCCAACAAAAAAAAATAGCCCGACTCCCACAAGGTCTGAGGGACAGTGGACTGGCCCCCTGCTGGAAAAGTTTGCTGACCCCTGCCATAGAATATTCAATCAGCCAAAGTCCTGGCTATAGAAAAACATTTTCGCCTGGTACCTCACACAAAGAAAAGGATAGCAAAAATGTTACATGTGCAGTTACATGCACAATTTGTACATGGTTTTCCTACACGAGTACTGTTTTAAAAAGTCATCATGCAGAAAACGAAGACCTAGAATATTTATGTACTCTTTATAAATCAGTGCAAAAACTAGGTCTTGTGCTGCTCAGTAATTGGCTTTGAACCAGCAATTAGACAGAACGTAACCACTGTGATATATTTTATGCATGTGGAAGTAGTAAATGATCATTATTCAGAGTTGCCTCCTCAAGCACTACAAATAAGACTAAAACATGGTTTATAGGCTCTAATAAGTAATGGTTATTACCATTAGACAAAGATTACAGTACGGAAATAGATACAGATCTCTGTTTCACTTAGGGCCAAAAGAGACATGACACGGCAGAGCCATGATTGCATCTCTCTCTTTTAAAGGAACACTTAAAAGCAGCTGCTTGGGGCTCAATTTTACTCAGAGAAGTTGTGCTTGGGGAGGTGGTTTTCAGTTTTGTTTAAAATGCCCCACAAGCTACTGTTACATCTTACTTTTGAGCAGGATGGGGGGAAAATATTCTTTCATTCAAGGAAAAAGAAACCTAGACAGCCTAGAAAGATGTGGCCATCTATCTCTTTGGCAACTCCCATGCCTTCAGGTTAACAGCAAACCTGTCAAGTCTTCGAGCATCTAAATTGAAGGGGCAGCTGAAGATTATAGAATTACACCAGAGCTGGTTCTGGGGTTGGGAGGAATCCCCATTAGCAAATAAGATGGCTTCTTTCTGCACCAACTAGGGACACAGTGGGTGCCTGGATTGCCAACATCATGTTAATATTTTGGCAGATGTTACAAGCACAAGACCATAGATAAAGGTGTAAAATTCCAACTAATGCGTGGATTAAATTAAAGACTGCCACATCCTATATCAAAAATGTCATTTGACTCTTGTGCAGATCAAATCCACTAACAGCTCATTTCAGCAAATGCTTCACCTCTGTTTCTCTTCAATATACTGGGAACAGTGAGGGGAAAGGTCACTTTCGATGCAGCTTGTGGCATTTTGTTGCATATCCCACTTATATTGAGTTTGTGGGCAGCATGTGAAAAAAGGGAAGAAGCCACACAGTGTAACCTTATATACCGTACTTCCTTTTTAGCTCTCAGAAGAGAAGAGAGATTTCTCTACTCAGTCCTGCTTCTTCTTTCCAAGAACACTGATTTACATGCCATGGTGGGGGAGCAAACTGGGCTCCTTCACACAACTTTATCTACATGGTTCAAAAATGCTAAGTTTTTAAATTTACTAATATTCCAGTAGGAATCATTACACCACAGGAGATGAGGCACTGGCGCCCCATAGAGCTTATTTCCCCCCTCCCATGTGCAGGAAAAACAAAATTATTAAAATTCACCATGTATGTAAATTTGCATAATTTAGTGTTGCCATATTTCAAAAAGTGAAAATCTGGACACAAAGCTTTTGTTGTAAAAAACAGACTGCCCACATGGGTTGCCCTACATCTGGATTTTCCTGGTCATTTTGCCGATTTATGCCTGGACACTGCTTCCAACTGCAGTATTCCAGGAAATTCTGAGTGTATGGCAACCCTAAACAACTCACAAGCTATTTCTGATACAGAAATCTGGTTGCTCTTTATTGTATGCTCCAAGTACAGTCTTCCTCTTCCTCTAAGGAACTCAGAAAGCCACAAATGGAAATCCCAGGGGATTTCTCCTAGCAATCCCATGAAATTACACCTGCATGAGTCTAGAGCAACTATTTGGTGGAGGAGTAACAAAGAGCACAAAGACCCAGCATCCCATTTAACAGATACAGTGGTACCTCGGGTTACATATGCTTCAGGTTACATACGCTTCAGGTTACAGACTCTGCTAACCCAGAAATATTACCTTGGGTTAAGAACTTTGCTTCAAGATGTGAACAGAAATTGTGCTCCGGTGGCGCGGCAGCAGCAGGAGGCCCCATTAGCTAAAGTGGTGCTTCAGGTTAAGAACAGTTTCAGGTTAAGAACAGACCTCCGGAACGAATTAAGTACTTAATCTGAGGTACCACTGTACTGGGAAATTAAACTTCATTGACTGGAGGCACAATGTAGGCCTGTCTTGCTTCCAATTAGCCAACTGCTTTGAGGTTGTTGTTCTTTTACAATCAAGTAGTATGTAAATTTTATGAAATAAATAAAGTAATACAGTGGAAAGGGAGTCTCCATCAGGGCATATAATCCCAAAGACTTTGGCTGGTTTTATGCTCCCCAAAGATTTCAGCTCATGTCTTGTGTACGTGGTTGACAGGCAAGGACCTCAGTTTAGAGAAAACATGCATCATTGAAGCATTAGTAATGCTCACTAGGCCCAAATGATGGATCAACCCCCACCCACAAATGTTTTGCTGGGTCAGACTGAAGGCCTACCTGGGTCAACTTCTATTGCCAGCATCAGCCAGCCAGATGCTTCTGTGTACTCAGCAAGTAGGACGGACATAAAAGTGACAACCTTTTCCTAACATGTATCCTCCATGCTAACTCCCAAATTAACTTCAAGGATCTGTTTACAGAGTCCCGTTAGCAACAGAGAACAGATGTATCTGTCTGCAAGAAGATCGAACCTGGCTTGCAAACAGCTATTTACCAGCTTACTTATGGTGAGCAAGAAGGAGGGAGGTTTGGGTGGATAAGTATGGATAATGGGTTCTTTTTTTCTTCTCCCCATTTCCCCCACCCAGGCCGTTGACATACCGCAAATTACTTCATCAGTATGTATGTTAAGACTAGCTACAAAATATGGCATGGCAACCTTTGAACTAAAAGGTGCATGTAGGGCCCAAATCTTCAAGACCCTGGCAAGACATGGGACAGCAACACATTTGCTCTGTCTTACTGGCTGCTTCCATGGGCAGCTGGGAGATTTGCATCCCCTCCCCTTTCTCTTATTGCTTTATTTGTAAGTTAAGGGTTCATGGCAGCTCAGAGCAATGTTGTTTTGCTTATCTTAAGACATATATATAAACAATCTCAATGATAAAACAGGGTTATCTACCAACCTTCCTGATAACATGCTGCCATATAGTATCCATTGGGTGTGTAATAGGAGTATTTATTTAAATTGCTAGGCAACAAGTTTAAAGGAGATTTAAACATAGTTTAAGTCTGTAAGCAATTCTGTAGCAAAGGGATCATGTCAACACAATGCAAATGGCACAGATTACGGTTAAGCCCCATGTAAATATCTGCTCCAAAACCCAGCAAACAGCTTATATGCAGACAACTGCCTGTGAACGTATTTGGTCCAACATGAGTCTCGTATTCCAGGTACAGTTTATTTGCTGACTGCTACCTTCTTCATGAACTATACAAGACCATGTAGCCCTGTCTCCTGGGATACCCCTACAAGGACAGCAAGTCATGAATCACCTCTATATAGGATTTTTATTTTTCCGCGCTCTGGCTGGGTTGGGGGAGGGATAGGCCATTTTCAATAAACGCAAATGGTAAAAGACACGACAACAGCTGCATTTTCATAGGCAAAGGACAAGTCCAATTTCCACGTCAAGTAAATCTTTCCACTCCTGAGTCAGTAAGATTCAGGGCAGCTGCCCAGCTAACCAGAAGTTAGATTCCAAACAAGAATGGGGAAGGGATCAAAATCCACATCATAAAACCAACTTTATTTACCTTAAAATCTTGCTAATGTTTCCCCTTTAAAAGCGTTTCTTCAGAAATTAGAATTTTTTTAAATCTTTTTTTTTTAAGGTCAATTTTGCATTTTATTCTTCACTTGTTGCCCCCATTATACCAGTCAAAGAATAGACTACATTCTCTCAACTGTCCACAAGGGAATAAACATGAATCATTCCCTTCATTCAGTTCTCTCTAAATAGATGCAACCCCTTGCCGTCAGCCAGTTGTGCCCTGTAAGGAAGCAAAGGGGAGGGAAATGGACTATCATTAGCTCACTCCGTTAAAGCAACCTTCACTCATTAGTTGTCAGCCTTCAGTATTCTCAAGGCATGCTAGCATGCAATTTTATAAATTCTTTCCAGATAACTGATAACAGAATATCTGCGAACATTCAATAGCCAAAATAAAAACCAGCCCATAAGCGTCTTTGCTAGTTCCCTCACTTTGCACTTAGCTCCTCACCAGTCTGCCAAACAGATTGACCTGGCTGAGAGCTGTGCGAGAGCTTACTCTTTCAAAATGACTCAAGTCCAAACCCTATGGGAGCGAGTTGAAAAGGAGAGGGTTGGTCTGAGTTCCCTCTGCCCCCCCCCCCCCGCGGCTCACTTCCCAAGGATTACTTTGCACACGACTACGTAGCTACAAAAATGTCACTTTCATGTAGAAAGCAAGCGAATTTTGTTAGAATCATAGAATCAAAGAATTGTAGAGTTGGAAGGGACCCCAAGAGCCATCTAGTCCAGCCCCCTGCAAAGCAGGAATGTTAGCAGTGAGTGACATGTGTATATGTGAAAACTGACAGATGGGTACACTCACTGCTGAAACCACAGTACTGGAGCTACAGATATTGCTAGCCATGGATAGTTGCACACACAATATATTATTAAGGTTACAAGTCTCAACTGAATTAACTGATTAATTAAGGGAGGAAGGACTCCACTCTTATCTTTTTCCTATTGTGAACATCCAAAGCATTTTAGAAAACGTACGAATTAACAGAAACACACAAGTACATCAGCTAAGCAAGCTGTGGCGTTGCTTGGTCACACATAAATAACTCGGGATATATCAGCCAACAGTGGAAGGGACTCAAGAGCAGAGGGTTAAACAGCTCAGTCTATCCAGACAGAGATTACTCCTAGTTGTGAGCACGTTTATCCTAGCATGTCATCTCCCTTGAAAAGGGGACACTACAGAAAATGAAACTTCTTCAGCTCAACTGACAAATATCTCCAGATATTTCTAATGAGTAGAAGTAAGCAAGCAAACATGCAAGGGAGATGTGTGGGTGTGTCCCCACTGTTGCTGTCGAAACCTATCACCCTAATGACCACCTCCAGGTGTAAAAAAAAAAGGTCTTAAATGCTTTTCTAAGACCACAATTCAAATCTAAATTGCCTGTTACAGCAGCATCAGTGTTACTGGAGAGGGAGGGGTAAAAGGAATCAACACTGACACAGACTGTGGCTGTTACAATCCTGGGCTTGTGGTTCAGCAAGCTGATTTAAGTAACTGACAAACTGTGGGATCTACCTGAAGGCCAGAGCAGACACTCCCGCAGAAAAGAAGCTGCAACATTGCAATCTGGAAGAAGTTAAGGGGTATAGTTTGAAGTGAATGGCAATGGGCTGAGGAGAGTCTGGGGAAACTCTATTGGTTCCTCCAATCATCCTGACAGAGCTGTAATCTAGTTGCCAATGTGGTGGCTGTACTGTCATAGTCTTTTTGGTTGGGTTTTGTTTTCGTGTGTGTGTGTGTGCACGCGCGCACGCACAGTCAGTCACACTAACATAAGTCAGATTCCTCCAGCCCTCAGGAGGCTGAAATTTCAGGCGTCTGGTTATGATTAACCCAGGCTGTGAGTAATGCCACATGTTAGGAACTGGGGAGTCACGAGCAGCAGACAACTGCAGCTGGAGTCAAGCATGCAAATGGCAAGTTGAAGCTGGTCAGAAAGTACGTTTTTTTGGGGGGGAGATTATCAGATGCATAAGCCTTGACATGGGGCCATTGGCAGAACTCTGTGTTGCCGCATGGAAAAGTTAGGAGCCATGAAATGTCTACGTAGAGGGAAAGATGATCACATCTGTATCTTGTAAGCAGCAAATTGCAATAATAGGCAGAACCAGCCTTGGGGTAAGCCCTTTCTTATTGCACAAGACATAGCCACTAACTCATTAAGGATTGAGAGCATTCCAAACAGGGAGAAGTTCCATATAAAGTCTCAAGGCTCTCTTTAGCTCATCCTGGTTAATACTCGTGGGGTAGGAGAGACCCAGTTACTACACCATCACTAGAATACATTATAAAGATGTCAAGGATTAGATTGGTCTGCTTGTAAAGGTAGCATTTCCCCCACCAATGTGCCAAAGTCAACCTAAGATAGACTTCTCTGTTATGCTGAACAACTAAACCAGTCTTCAAAATTGTCCAGCACATACCACACACAGCTTAGTACATCTCAATTCAACCTATTTTTCTGTAGAATGTTTTATGTGGCTAGTTGTGATCTGGGCATGAATGGAGGCATTCGCAAGACTAGCTCAGCACACCAAAGTCTCCTGAAAGCGTGAAGTCTGTTCACTTTGCCATGCAAAATTGATAATGAGAGTCACTCATCCCTCTGATTTTGGGCTGACTCCTCAACTTTCTAAGACTAAATAATAATTAATACACCCTTGGATAGATATAAGCATTTGAAGCATCAATGTTCTTTGCATTGAAATGACAGTGTTGGAGCACATGCGTTGCACGCATAAGGCTCTGGTTTCAGTACCAAACATCTCCAGCTGATGGATTTTTCAGTAGCAGTGCCAGAAAATTTCCCTGCAGCTGTCAGGCAGAGCAGCTGGACACAGGACAGTTCTGTAGCACAGCTCAAATCGGTCAGAGCTAGCAGAGACTTTTAAGACACCACTGTCAGTAGTACTGCCACTGTCTATGACTGGATAATTTTATTCCATATACTGTAAAGAAGGTTGACTTGGAAGCCTACAATTTATAGGCTCCAAGAACAACAACAAAAATAAGAGGTCTGATTTCAGGAAAGAATCAGTCAATGCTTAACTATGGCTCCCAACCAAAAAAAAAAAAAAAGGAGGTATTTTTATTAATGTCACTACAGGCTAGATGATTAGGTTTGTCATTCTGTTGGGAGTTGAAGCAGCTTTGAAATGCTTCAGAGAAATAATAAAACAAACACTGCAAATTAAGTGCTCTTAAAAAAACACAAATATTTTCCTCCTGAGAACAATCCTATAGCAAGAAACCTTTCTACGCAAAATTTTAAAGCATAGTTTTTAACAGTTTTAGTTTTTCAGGTTCTGATAAATTTACATGTCCACAGAACTATGCTGGGAATAACTTGCAATATTCATTCCTACACACCCCACTGAAAAAGTGTGGACATTTTTTGTGTTCGTTTGGTTGCTTAAATACACAGACATAAAGCTAAAGTCTCCATTTTGACTAGATTGTCCCATCTGCTTTGGTAGTTACTTGTCTCCTGGCCAAAAACAAAGAGCAACAAACAGCTAGAATGCAGCTTATCAAGACTGGATGGCAGTCAGAAATTAGTACAGTATTTATGTTGCTGAAGCCTGTAAAACATTTGATGGGCGGATTCCCATCTCCTGCTTCCTTCCTTGCTTTGTTTGCTTAAAGTAGAGACTGGTTGCGCTGGATAGACCATCATCTGCATCACACTCCCTGCCTCATGCTAAGCCTACCCAAATCACCCAGAGCAAAGCATGAAGTTACAAAAAGAATGCCTAGGACTATCAGTTAGAAAGAGTCCTTACTGCTTCTTACAAGCTTAGTTTGCCAGAGATAGAAAGGGAAAAAGAGACTCTCCCCCTGCAAAGCGAGCCTGGCCATGCTGCTTATTGAAGTGCCTAAGGTTCAGATAAATGGCGGCGGCTGCATTTTATGAGCTGCTCATTTTTCAGGATAGGCTCAGCCATACAGGCAGAGTAGACAGCTGCCTAGGGTGTCACACTTCAAAGGTGCCTTCCATATCAGAAGCTGTGCATTAGACCCGGGTCTTGAATCACTGCTGGTGTGGCTCATAGCTGACACTAACTGAAAGCGTCCTGGTACCCTCTGTAATGTCACAGGTGGTCCTGGGATGCACTTTCTGAGACTTCCACCTAGGGTAGCAAAAGAAAAGCTTGAACTGGCCTTCACACAAAGACTCCCTGGACAATTTAGGGAAAAGCCTACCTAACATGCAGTGGCCAAATATTCCAACCGTCAAGTGAAAAGATCTCAGAGCAAACATCCACCCCACCCCAGTCTTTTTCATTTTAATGCTTCCTCTGCACAAACAGCCCAAATGAAATGCTGATGCAGCAAATGTTTCAGCTTCATGCTATGCAACATAAACAGATTTTTTTAGCAAAAACAAACAAACAAACAAAAACAACCCATCATAACTGGCTGCTAAAAAGTATACTTACTGCTAGGAACAGCAAGCAATACATGGAAAATGAAGAATGTCCAGAGTAAAACGACAGTCTGAAAAACAAGAGAATGCCCACATACTTATTACAATTTATACATACATCATTAAGATTTTGACACTCTGTAATTGTATAACAAGTTCACATTTGATTTGCAAAATAAAGCTTCAGCAAAGCTCACACAGGAAGCTCCTTTATACTGAGTTAGGGCACCAGTACTTCGAGCTCAGTATGTCTGCACCAGTGATTCCCAAACTCCCCTCCCCCAACAGACCACTTGAAAATTGTTGAGGGTAATGGATGATGGTTTAATGATTTCTCTGCCTGTTGCATCAGCTGAGGAACCATTTTAAAAGGGGTTTCAATGCAAGCCCTTTCCTGATCCTAGAGCAAGACATGGTCTCAATGCCCATTAGGATAAACTGGTGGGCAGTGGGAGTGTGCCACTCTCCAGCAAAGGAATAGTCGGAAACTCACTCTTACTTCCTCCCCCTAAAATGTATATACTGTTTGACTGTTAACAACAAAACACCTCAAGTCAATTTCCAAAAAGAATGACACAATCAGGTTATCAGTAAAAAACAACTATTTAAAGCAGTTATTTCTCAAACTTGGGTCCCCATGTGTTTGTTGGACTACAACTCCCATCATCCCTAGCTAGCAGCACTAGTGGTCAGGGATGATGGGAGTTGTAGTCCAACAACACCTGGGGACCCAAGTTTGAGAAACACTGATTAAAGCATTGGAAAAAATAATTAAAATTAATGGCAGATTAAAAACACATGGAAATATTTTACACATCTGAGTAGGCTTTTAGAAATGCTGGGTGGAAATGTTTTTAGCAGGCACAGAAAAGAGTTCAGTGAATGTGCCCACCTGGGAGCTCCAAAGTATGGTTCCTGTAACATGAAAATATCAATTTAAAGCTTCCAATTTTTCCTCTAAAGCCACGTTAGTACCTGCGCTACACATGATGCCACATATGACATCAGGTGTGGAGCAGGTGGGTGTGGTTTCCTAGGAATAGCCTGATGGGAGAAACTGGGACCCCTGGCTGGCCAAACTGGACCTGTGGTCTGGAGGTTCCCGACCTCTGTGGTAAGGCTTGGTTTTACTATCCTTGCAATACTGGTGGAGGGGTGGGGTGGGATTGGCAGAGGGCAAACAGCTTGCCTAGGAAAATTCACAACAGAGCTAAGCCGAAAATTGGGGACGATCATGATTAGTCTTCTGTTCTTGGATACAAGTTTGCCACGACTGAGAAACGGCATTCTGCTTTATAAATATCCATGTGTTGACTACATTATAGGGCCTCCCATGTTTGTCCTTCAGTTTATTCATATCACAAACACACACACATCACGCTCGTCCTGGCACACAGACTACTATGACCAAAACGATATCCCTCAGTGCAGCTTCAGCAAAAGTTACCTACTACGCCATCCAGATCTCAGCTGGAAATAGTATCTGTCACTTATTAACCTGTCAGCTGCACACACATTTGTTTTCTCTCTTCCCTCCTCCTGCCCCACAGTTTTAATACATTAAACAGAGAGAGGCAGAGGGATGGAGAAACAGACAATAGAAAGGCCTGCTAAACATTCCTTTGCAGGCAGCTAACCCCCTTCTTCCAAAAGCAGCTCTGACTTGGAACATTCTGTCTCCCCTGCCAGCCAAGAGCCTGAACGTTCGTTCCAGACTCCACTCCAGTGCTGGTGAGCGTAAACTCCCTTGGTCTCCACCCTGCCACCTTTCCCACCCACCAGTCCCCAACCTCACCACTGGATAAATAAGCATTCCCCAAAGTGAAAGTACCCCACTGGTGGAAACATCAAGCCCTTACTTTATTGTCTCTCTCTCCTCTCCTTCATCACATTCTTAAAAGACTTAAATCATCCCAGTAGCAGCCATACATCAGGCCTCCAGAGCTGTCAGGATGTATATTATTGTTTCATGACAACTGGCTTCACATATTTTTCTCTTGGAAGGGTTTATTTCAACAAGTCAGATAATACAAACCCAGAGTGCATATTTTATTTTGACTTCTCACTCTGGCTCATTAAGTCTAATGTTGACACTTCTTTTTAGAATAAGCTATTTAGGGCTGTGAAGGAGCCTCTAACACAAGGATGACTTGCACCAAAACCTATTTGTGGGGCCACTAAGCAGGAAATAATCTAGCATGGATTCTTCCCATGCACATAAACATGTTGAAGAACATCTAATGGGATCCATCTGAAAAGCACCATCAAGACAGTGGGAAGTTGGGATTTTAATACCTTGACATAGTCTGCACACTGGATTTTGTAGTTCTGGGGGTATGTCCGTTTTTACTGTAAAGCTCTGTATCCCCTGAAGAAGCTCTGCAGACATTTCATAAATGTCACATGCTTTCTGTTTAAATAACCTGAGTTTGACAGCTTTACGTTCCACATAATAATAATGTGACCCAATTATGTTAAGCATTTCAGCCTGTTACTACAAACTCACATTTCACACAATTAGAAGAGAGCAGAGGTTGAATCCAGGGCAGGGAGAAAGGGCATGAAAGTGAGAGGACTGGAACAGATGCAACAACATTAGAAACATTTTTGGTGGATCTTCCAAGCTGTTTCCAGAATAGTGAGATGGGGCAGGTGAGCAAGTGACCATCTGGCATATTATGCTGCAATAAATCTACGCTTGCCACAAATGAACATTCCATGTTGTCACAGTAGCCAAACAGATATATATGAGAAGTCCATAGGTAGGGCATGTGCACAACAGTTTTTATAGAATCATAGAGTTGGAAGGGACCCTAATCCAACCTCCTGCAGCAGTATGCAGCTGTCCCCTATGGGGATCGAACCTGCAACCTTGGGAGTTATCAGCACCACACTCTAACCAACTGAACTATCCAGTAATCTCCAACTCATGATCCCCAGAAACTGGTATTCAGAAGCATGCTGCCTCTGATACTGATGATAAGCAGCTAATGATGGCCATCTCATCATGATCTTGTCTAATCCACTTTTAAATCAATCTAAATTGGCAACCATTTCTACATCCTTATAATAGCAAAGTCCATTTACTGTGTGAATAAGTACTTCCTTTTATCCTGAATGTTCCAACTTCAATTGATAACCCTCACTGCTTGTACCAGTTCCTAGTCCACTTAATATTCCTGGATTTTATTACATAGCCTGGAGTCCCTTATTACCAGTCCTGTGTGGTACCTTTAAGATTAACTCATTCGGGCTGCAATTCTGTATATACTTACCGGGGTGGGGGCTGAATCCCCATGGAATTCAAAGGGCCTTACCCTCTGAGTAATGTACAGTTATTGTGGCATGAATACACACTACAAATTGTGAAAGCAAGGACTCCTTCTGAAGACAAACCCATAGTGCTAAGTATTCACAGAATTGCAATGTTTAAGTGTCCACTATTTCTTTGCAAAGGAGTAGGATAGGAAAAGAACCAGAACAGGTGAAAAAGAACCTTGGTTTTTTTTATCCCAGCAGAGACACAATTGTGGCAGCAGGGACCCCTTCTGAACCAAAATAAAACATTTCTTTCCAGTTTAGTAAGGTGTAAACTGTTTGTAAAATAGCTCTGCTTAAATGTCTACTATAGTATCTTTGCAAGGGAGGGTGTTGGGGGAGAAAACCAGAACTTGGCCACAACCCTGTGACCTCTTAGTTGCCCCACCAGATCTAATGGGCATCAGTTGCTGTAACATACAGGCCAAACTGTAATACTTCCTGAAACTTAACCAATACAACTATTGCTTTGTTCACTCCTTACTGTGCCTCTTGGAATTATTGTTGTCCTTATGTTGGGACAGGCTGGTTACTATCTCTGCAACTTACTGATAGTACCACAGAATACCAGGAATAATTTGTTCAACAGGAATGGAGTATGAATTCCTTTGTTAAAAGCCAAACATGAAAGATGTGTGTTTCTTATTCTTCAGGTTTTCAGAGTCACAACATGATTTAAATAGTTATGCATTCTTAAAAAGAACAAACTGCACAGCATATTCTCTTCTTAAATCATTTGGACAGGCCATCTTATGCTCAAAGTACAAGCGCAGATTCCTGAGAAGAGCTATAGCAACTACTCTCAATTCATGTTCTGTGTATTGACTTACATTTGTAAATAACCAGAGTATCACAGCGAGTTCAAGATTTGCAATTGCTGTTTGTGTACAAAAAAAGAGAGTGTTTCTCTATAACTGTATTCTAAGATCCATTAAGAGAAAACAAGCTAATCACCCACTATCTCCTGATGTAGTGACTTTTATCAGAGCAATACATGATACAAGAGAAAACATTGCCAATTCTTTTCTGGGGTGGAAAATAGACTTCCCATCCTCCTCTGTGTCTTAATGCAGAAATGACTTTTCCAAGGACACAGAGACTACAATGAAGCAAAGGTTAGAACACAATGGTCGTATCAAACGTAAATGAGAAGTCAGCCTTTCTGGCTTATCATAGTTTACTGACATCAAGCAATGATGTTCCCTTGAGCAAAACAAGCAAACAATCAAAAATCCCGGGAAGTTACATCTGAACCAGGATCATGGTTTGTTTCTCCCTAGCAAGTCAAGATTGCTAGCCAACGTGGAGCAATGGTTTGTTGTTGTGTTGCTGATTGAAGCTTGTTAGGGAACAACAAAATACAATCCCTGTTAGGAGGTAACATGAAGCCCATGCGTCCTAGTTTGTTTCTGCTCCTCACATTAAGGGAGGAGTTACGGTAAGTGGGAACAATTGTACTTGCATGCTCCTTGTTCTCAATAAATCATAACAAAGCAGAAAGTCTGGTTTAATGTCCTATGCAAACATGGCCAACGAAGTTTGTTTTCTTTCCATAAATAGCTTTCTAGCAGAGTTCCCTACCTCACCCTCAATGAGAAAAGGAAGAATATAGGTAACTGGATCCAGAAGACGAATTCTTACAAAACTTACAGATTGCATTAACAGGAATGTTTATATGCAACATGGACTGTTTCAAGCACAGTTTAAGTATTTGGTCACAGCATTTCAAAACATTTTGCTTCAGGAGTATGGAGTTCCTACAAATGTCCATCAGTGGGAAGTAGGCACCTGTTTTTAAAGGACATTTTAAGCAATTACTCCCCTTAAGATTCCTCTGTCAACCACATCCAGAAGCTGTGTTCAGCTGGTTACCAGGGGTCTGCTGGACTGCAAATGCTAATTTTCTCAATAATGTGCTAACCTGCTAAGCATAAAGCTATTTTCACATTTTCCCAGTAAAAGTAAGATTAAGTGGTATTTTTAAGAACCCAAAGGGTTTATAATTCAGTGTACATCATGCACTCATTTTGGCACAACTGCCATTAGCTGCTAAAATAAAACGGAAGTACTGTGGCTTATCAACAATGGGACTACTAAATATGAGAAGTTTGTACTCTTTCCAAGGTTTACATTTGAACCACAGCTCATGTGGAATCTATTTTAAAATGACATTTCTGCTACAAAGAACACCTCTGAGCATGTGCATGATAGATTAAAGAGTATAAGAAATGTACTACATGAATATTAGAGCAACCTTGTAGTTCTAGCCCCAGAACTATAACCACAATCCAAGCTAACGGAAGACACAAAGCATGGAATTTCCCCCAAAAAGCATTATTTCAGGAAGCTGACTTAAGTGAGCTTTTTTCTGTTTCTGTTTTAAAGAGCCAGCATTAAACAACAGCTTGCTCTGAGTAATGACCATATCTGATGGATCAGCCCACAGTCTATCTAGCCCAGCACTCCTGTCTTCAGCAGACACTGGTAAATGGCCTATTATTTCTTAAAAGCCATCTACAATATACAGTGGTGCCTCGCAAGACGAAATTAATCCGTTCCGCGAGTCTCTTCGTCTTGCGGTTTTTTCGTCTTGCGAAGCACGGCTATTAGCGGCTTAGCGGCTATTAGCGGCTTAGCGGCTTAAAGAAGAAGGAAACAAACTCGCAAGAACTCGCAAGACGTTTCGTCTTGCGAAGGAAGCCCATAGGGAAATTCGTCTTGCGGAACGACTCAAAAAACGCAAAACCCTTTCGTCCAGCGAGTTTTTCGTCTTGCGAGGCATTCGTCTTGCGGGGCACCACTGTATAGGGCATTACAACATTCCATATCATACTAATGACCATTGCAATGTCTTTTCAGTTTTAGGAAATGCAATCCAGCAACTGAAATTGGGCAGGGGGGAAAAGCATTTAGACCAGATGACCCTCAGGGTCCTTTCCAACTCTACAATTCTATGATTCTATTATTCAGAATAGACTTTGACAATATTGCCACCCTCAATGGGAATGTTACTGGTGATCATTCAAAATTTCTTACTTGGGTCTCAAAGCAACAGGTATACAGCACTGGCTGCTTCCTGTAACCAATATGAGTTCTCCTCTATTAAAAACATCAGTTTCAAAAACTTGCGTTCCATTCCTGTCATTTGTGATTCCAGAAGAGGTGGAAGAAAACCACCCTTCATGCTTCTGAAGGCACCATTTCCAATGCAGCAAGTCCTCTGAAGTTACAGGCAAACCCTTTATCAAACTGAAATATTTGCAAAATGTTATGAGCTACCCACCAATTCATCTTCCTAGTCAAAACTGACCCAAACACCTGGTTAAACAACTCTGCAGAGCTATCTCTGGAGAAACTTTTTGATGCATGGTGCAATTAAGAGTCTGTCAGGCTGGATCAGGATTGTAAACTCCATTTTTATGCTTGATTGCCAAGTACTGCCTCAATTGCACTAAATGCAAAGAAGCCAATTAATCAAGCCTCCCACTACTCAGATTGTTTTGCTTTTGAACATATATAACCTAAAAACTGAAGCGATGTTTTCTGTTCTCCAACTTAAAGACAGCAAATTTGAAAACATCTGAAGATCTTATTTCAGTGCTCTGTATAAAGAGAAACTCTATCCCTATCTTGGCTTGCGCCTGAAAATAGTTTCCAAAATACAGAGATGTATTACCTCAATAGCAAAACCTTTGCAGGGTTCATTTGATGAGAAAGACAGAACTCCCTTCTATTGTAGGCCGTGAAATTGTATCCTGCACAAACGATACTAACTTCCACCCATGGTATATATGAATATGCATCGCTCACCTCAAAGACTCCCATACACAAAATTCAACCATAAATCAGATCTGCAAGGTGCTGGTTGAAACCATTCCACAAGTTCAAGTGGAAATTTGGCATATTATAGGAGGGTGGGCGTCCAGCAATTCCTGCTGTTAGGAGCCAAGATTTCTGTTACAATTTCTGAGAAAATGTCAGCATGGATATCACTCTCATTCAAGGCCACTACTAAAGTCACAGACAATGTGGAGAACTCAAAGTAGCAGTTTGCTTTAAATAAAGTAATCCAAGATAGCCAGTGCAGTGGAGTGGTTCAAGTGCTGGACTAAGAATTGGGGGACCAGGGTTCCAGTTCCCACCCAGTTATGAAGCTCACTGGGTGACCTGGGGCCAGTCATTGTTTCTTAACTTAACCTACCGCACAAGGTTTGCTTTTGAATTGATGGATTGACAGTACACGATATTCAAAACAATTACAGTCTTTCTAAGTCTTATATGGTTCTATTGAACAATATAAAAGGAAAGGAAAAAATAATAAAATTAAATAAGTTAACAAATCTTTATGCATCTTAGAAATCTGTGTCCTTTTTAACGCTTTCATCTTTTGAAAATATGTTGTTGTTGTTTTTAAATATGTTGCACAGGATGGTGTATTGCCACTATGAAGAGTGCTATATATTCACATACCCAGCTGGAATACTATTAGAGGAGAGAAATTTACTCTGCTGTTAGTTGAAAATGATAACACTGGTCAACAACAAATTTGTTGTCTGCATTTTTTCAGTTGATTTAGGACGAATCTGATGCGCTGAATCCAAAAATCACATTGGTTTTGCTCAATCAGGTCAAGTTTTTAAGCTATGGCCACATGTCATTTTTTAACGTTTTTGTTCACATGTATGCTTGTGTGGAGCATTTTAGAAGAAGTTGGTGGGGGTAAAATGCCATGTCGGATAATTGTTTTGATTGGAAATGATTATTTTAATGACAAGAAGTATTCAGGTCTGATAGTTCTGGGTGATTATGTCGAAAAGGGATCAGTTTGAAGTCATAAAACCTTGAAATCTTCCATAAATTGGTGCGGCTGGGATCAACAGAAAGAACCGGAGCAGCCTCAAGTATCCTGATCTTCAATCAGCACGTCATCCTGTAGCTCATTGTGATGAAATTCCAGTGCCTATCTTCGGAGAACTTCCTGACATTAGTGACGAAGATGTCTCCAGTGTTGAAGGACATGAAGAAGAAGAAGTGGTTCTTGAAGATGATGCTCCACATCCATTTTCCCAAAAGGAGTTGAATGATCTAGTTCTCAACCTCAGCTTGTCAAAGGACTCTGCCGAACTGTTGGCATCAAGATTGAAGGGAAAAAACCTCCTCTCTGACAGTGCTCGCATCGGCTTCTTCCGCAACAGGCATCAAGAGTACCTCCGTTTTTTCTCGGAAGAGAAGGACTTGGTGTACTGTGCAGATATTGCGCAGCTTCTGCTCAAGCTTGGAGTGCCACAGTACGAACCCAAAGATTGGAGACTGTTCACTGACAGCAGCAAGCGATCACTGAAATGTGTTCTGCTACACAACGGCAACCAGTTGCCTCTATACCCCTGGCTCACTCGATTACACTGAAGGAGAACTATGAAGCGGTGAAGTATGTGCTGGAGAAAATTGGTTATGATCAGCATAAGTGGTTTATTTGTGTTGACCTGAAGATGGTGAACTTTTTGTTGGGGCAACAGTCTGGCTTCACCAAGTACCCATGTTTTCTGTGCATGTGGGATAGTAGGGACCGTGCTCAGCATTACACGAAGGAGGACTGGCCTGTGCGGGAGGAATTGGTGCCTTGCAAAGAAAGGAACGTCATCAATGACCCTCTGGTGGACAGAGACAGAATACTCTTCCCACCGCTGCACATCAAGCTCAGCTTAATCAAGCAGTTCACCAAGGCTCTGGACAAGGATGGTGACTGCTTCACTTACTTGTGCCAGGCTTTTCCAGGATTGACCATAGAGAAGTTGAAAGCTGGCATCTTTGACGGTCCTCAGATCCGTCAGCTCATCAGAGATCCAGAGTTCGGAAACTCAATGAACGAAGTGGAACTGGAAGCGTGGAAGGCATTTGTTCTGGTAGTGAAAAACTTTCTTGGCAACAATAAGGCCAGAAACGATGCAGAACTTGTCAACAACATGCTGACTGCTTTCAGAAACCTGGGCTGCAACATGAGCGTCAAGATGCACTACCTATTTTCACATATAGACCAGTTTCCTGAGAACCTGGGTTCAATGAGTGACGAGCAGGGGGAGAGATTCCGTCAGGACATGAAAGAGATGGAGACCAGGTATCAGGGTCGCAGGGACGCAGTCATGATGGCTGACTACTGTTGGACTCTGAAGAGAGACCTCCCTGCCGCTGAGCATTCCAGGAGTTCCAAGAAACGGAAGTTCAAGCCCTGAAGTTTGAAAAATGGTGAAGCAACATGCAATTTACGTGTACTTACCTTGATCAATGCCCACCATTCAGTTTACAGTAAACCTGACCTGATGGAGAGAAACGGATGCCATTTCCGGATTCAGCAGTGCAAAAATACCCTAAATCAGTTGTAGAAATCTAGACAACATTCAAAAAGTAAAAAATTGTTGCCCAGTGTAATCTTTTAAAGTTGCACTGTGTTTCCTTTTATTAAGTTTTTAAATTGGGAACTATATTGAGTTATATATAACATGTTTAGAAAAGTAGGTTATTTTTAAATTTGATATATTATTAAATAAATAAATAAGACCTCGTGAGGTAGATACATTGTTGAACAAAGCTGGAAAAATAAATATCTGGGTGACAACAATTAAATTAGGGGAAGTGTATAAGGAAATGTACCATTACTCTACAGCCAACTTCAAAAATGCATTCTAGAAAACAAAGCAAAAAGGGGGGGGTGCTTTAACTGTAACTTGTCTGAAGTAGCAAAGCCTCCCTTTGGAGCACTTTTTCCATATATGCAACTACATATTAATTTTATTTTGAATATGTACATTTTGTCCATGTTTAAAACTGGAACAGTCAAGTTTAACATTAATCATCCTAAATAAATACAAGCATCCAAATGAATTTAAACTGAAATTTAGATTTAAAAGGTGGGACAGCAGCAACAGCAATAATACACATAGGTAGAAGCATCTAACTATATATATATATATATATATATATATATATATATACACACACACACACACACACACAGAGAGAGAGAGAGAGAGAGAGAGAGAGGCATCTATCTATCTATCTATAATCAGTCAGTTAGCAAATTGTTAGAGTTCAGCTTTAATTTAAATAATCTCAAACTGTTTCTTGTAAATGGACCATACGGTCATGAAGAGTCGGACACGACTAAACGACAACAATTACTAAAAGTAACATTAGTTGGAATTAAAAGCAAGAAAGACAGCTTTGAATGATTTGGGGGGAGGGGATTAGGCGAGACCTAAGAACAGTCAAACTAGCCAAAATGAGGCAAGAGACTTAATGGAAAAGGACATTTTCCTAACTCGATGAAGAGATGGATAATCAAACACATTTCCCCCTAGAAGAGACTTGGATTTAAACCAAAAGGAGAGTTAATCTCTTGTGCAGTTCAAGGAGGCTGGACAAGATCATCCCTCTTAAACAATGAAGTAGCAGAGGCATTTCGTGCAAGCAGCACAAGTGGTTCCAAGCTGGAAACCAAACTGCAGCATTAGCACACACTGGCGTGTAAGCAGCACACGAGCAAAGGTCATTGCAGAGATTGGCAATCAGGCCGGGGAGCAGAGCCAGAGAGAACATGGCTGAGCAATGAAACTCCTGGCTGACTCCAGCTGCCTGCTGAATGCTGGCCCCCACCCAGGCTTCCCAGCACAGCTCAGTTCCCTGGCTCCAAAGGACTCCCTGGCTGCCTAGTTTGATAGGGCCCTAGCCATACCCCAGCTTCTTTTTCTGAAAACCTTCAGAATTACATTTTGAGTTATTCAGGTATATAAGACTCAGGAGAAGATTTCTCACACACACACAGAGAGAGAGAGAGAGAGAGAGAGAGAGAGCGTGCATTCCATTCCTTCTATTTTTTCCTACTTGTCAAACCCCAGGATTTCTTCATTTCCCACTGCCCCAGCTCTCCTTCCACTTGAAATGTTCCTCCTCACTCACCCTATTCATCATGCTCTTCCTCTTTTCTAATAAACCTCTAACCTACCCCTCAATTTTCGTTAATCTTCTCCTCTCTCCTCTTCCTTCATATTCCTCTCCTATTTATATTCCTCCTTTAAATATTAATGATACATATTATTTTATAATATACAGTATTTTATTTCAACTATATATATATACACACACATACACTCATGGACTGTAATAAAACCTCCAAGTAGTTTGCAAGAGATATTAAATTATCATTTAAAAACAAGTAATTAAAAACATTTAAAAGATTAAAATAAAATAAAATTCACAGTAAAAAATTACAACACGTCAACATGTATGTGTCTGGAGAGGCTTGCCTGATCAAAAATGTTTTAAGCAGGTGCTGGAAAAAGGTGTCTGCCTAGTGTCAATAGCTAAGGAAGTTTCAAAATGGTGGTGCTCCCACACTATAAGATCAATTTCTTACAACTGCAGAAGTAGTTTTATGTGGCACATGTGGCACCTGTAACAGTGCCAGGTCTGCAGATCAAAGCAGTCAAATGAAATAAGGTGATCCTGCAAGTAAACTGGTCCCTAGCTGTTAAGGGCCTGTGGGTTAGGTAGGACAACTGTAGCATAGTGTGCTCAATTTCCAGAAGGATACCATGGTATTGAAATCTGCAGAGAGATCAAGAAGCTGAAGCAGCAGCAGCTAGGCAACACACACCCTGTCTCACTCTCAGTCCCATGGCCAGGCCTGAAGACGGATTGGAATGTATTTAAATAAAAAGTTATTTGAGAATGGGTTACTGTGCCCAGACTATCTCCGTCCAACAGCAACCATAGCTGGGGATAAGCATGCCTCGCCACTGATGACACAAGGGTTTCAGTCAAAAGGTGGAATCTAGCCCCCTGGATATGCATGTTATTTCAGGCATAATGCAACCCTGTCAAGAACACTTAATTCCTGGACCCAGGATAACACAGCATCTGTATTATCAGGAATCAGTTTTGAATTTAGACACCCGTGTCCAACTCATTGCAATGACCAGACACTGGACCAGAATGTGCATGACCTCACCCGATTAAGATGACGAGAAATAGAGCAGGGTGTCATCAGTATAGTGGTAGCACCCAATATGCTACCAAATTTGGTAGCATATATGCGTGCCTGACAATTGTGACAGTTATTAACCTACCATTTCACTTCTGAGAACTGAGATAATCTATACCACTTTAACCGTCCATGACACCCAGAACAGGACACTGTAAGATACAGCAACTGACATTACCACTTGATTTACCGTAATCAAGTTACTCACTGTAACCTCAAGTCTGCATGGGTAAGTTATTAAATTTGTTGTAATATAATCCTTTGGAATCTCAGTGTTTCATCCTGCAAAAAGTTAAGTACATTTATCTAAGAGGATAGTTTTGAGATATGTGGCATAAAAGCCTTCCAAAATGCTAGAATCCCTGTGAAACTGTCAGCAAACATTTGTTACGGAAGAGTTAGCTGTGAAGTAGGGGAGTCCATAATTCACTGGTAGAACAGATACTTTGAATGCAGAAAGTCCCAGTTCAACCCCTGACTACTCCAGATAGGGCTTGGTAAAGTCTCCAGTCTGAAAAACCATCCATGTAAACCAGAGATACAAGTAGTCAACATGATTGTGTCCAGATGTTATAGAACTACAAAAAATCCCCTTCCAGAACAGATCCTGCTCCTGTAATAAGAAAACACCAAATACAATACATCACATAATTTTGGATTGCCCTCTTGACACCCTTTGCAGAGATCTCCTAGTGACTCCCTTACAGCTTAAAATATTGATTTACAAAGAGTCTGTAATCCAATATTTGTTGAGGGAGAATACTCCCGAAACTACCAAGATTGTATTTAGCTGAGATTTTTAAAGCTAAATCTAAAGTTGCCTGATTTACTCAATTGTGGCTATCTAGTCTTTTGTATATTGTATGTGTTTGGATTCTTAATGTATTTGTATGATTTTATAATTTTGTTGTTTAAATTTATGCAAATAAAGGCCAATGACAACTACAACTCCCATCATTACTGGTCACGGCCATGTAGGCTGGGGCTGATGGGAGTTGAAGTCCACAACTTCTGGATTGCAACCATGTTGGATACAACCATGTTGGCTACCCCTAGTGTAGACAATACTGAACTAGATAAACCAATGCCTGACTCAGTATAAGGTAGATTCCTGTGTCCTTATGTGAAGGAATTGACATATTTTAATGAAGGGTTTTTTGGGGGGAGGGGGCAGCAGGGGAAAGGAAAGGAAGGGAAAATGTCATTGGCACAGGCAGAATTCCATTGTGCAAATGGGCTGACACATCTGAATGTCACCCAGGATTTTTTGTTTGTTTCTTAGGAAGCACGTGCAACAAGATAAATAAGAAAAAAGTAGGGTAAATTTCAACTAGTGCCCCCTCACACAGAGCTCTTACACAAGGTCAAGTCTAGTGCTTCTGCTCTGCTTTCCTTCAGTGCTATAGTTACTATGCTGAGAAGTTGGATCAGCAAGTCAAGGAATGCTCATCTTAATTTACCTGACCTTTCTACAAAAGAACTGGGGCATATCATTTTCCACTATGAAAATGTATACAATTGGCAATACAAATCCCATATTAAATCCTAAAAATATTTTAAAGTGTATGTAGCACGTACGCCAGAGTTATTTTAGCTTCCTTCCAGTTTTGATGTTAGCACTCTAACCTCACCTACAAATAGAAAAGTTTTCCCCTGGTTAAACTTTTGTTGCTCTACCTCCTGTAATAACTTAAAAGACACATTATGAACAGATGGGCACCTTATGCTAAAAATATACGTTTATACCTGCATTTGCTTATGGCCATTTCACACATGACCCTTCCCTGCCATGGGTACAGAGAAAAAAGGGGGAAAGAAAGAAAAAGCACAGCCATCATGCACCACCATCCAAGTGGGTGTATTGTGCTATGGCTAAAATAAGTGGCTGTTTTAGTGGTGCACCCTTATTAGTGATTGCAGCCATTTAAATATTTTAGTAAATTAACTATTTGGTGCTTTGATCTGAATATATGTTATACGCTGCCTCTCCTCCTGGAAAGTGACTTTGAGAAAAGCAATGGCATCTCTGAAATATAAGGCAGTATACGATTTAACAAATATTACCACACATTGCTTTAACATTTCCTTTCTCCAATTTGAAAGTACAGCACATGCCCTATTAAAAAGTAACAAATCAAAATACCTTTTTTTAAAAAAAGGCAAGGCTATCAGTATTGTGGAAGATCCATTGAAGAGAGGCAACTATACAGTTCATCCAACTATTGTTGGATTCAGTCATCTGCTCTTACTGTTAGAAAGAAAGTACCATAGTGCCACTTTGAATGACAAATTATTTTTTATTATATTGAGATATACACCGGATGAGAAACCAGCTTAATGGAACCTATCGCGGGGAACAGGGAGTTAAATGCAGCTTGTGCACAGACAAAAACTAGACAACTTGTTCTGAATCTGAAGGTAGCAACACGGTTATTTTTCTTTAGATCAGGTAAACTGCAATCCTGGGAAAATGCTATTAACATGTAATCTATTTATATTTTACTGACACATTTGTTGAAGGCTGATTTCAAAATAACCTTACTTTGCTCCCTAGATGCTTTTTTTTTTTTTTAGTTTAAAAATACCAAGTGCCCTTCCTTAGGCCAGACAAAGGCAATTTAAATTTAGATGTGCATATTTATGTGCAGTTGTGGGAATCACTCTTTCAGTAAGGTTTAAAGTTGTATGTTAATTGCAGTAAGACAGCTCGCGTTAGCACAGCAACTTAAAAAAAAAATAGACCAATGATTTGAGTAAAATGGAAACTGACACCAACATTTAGTTGGTGTTATATGGACATATAAAAACAGCTTCTTACTTTAAGTAACAATTTTAAGATATTCTGGCCACTCAACGTGCTCATAAAGCTGCTGCTGAAACAACACAAGCAAACAGCCCAAATAAAACTTCTCACTTTTACAGAGCAATCCAGCTTCTCCCATAGGAATCGTAACTCTGGACACAATCCAGCCAGTTAAGCACTCTCCGCATTGATTTCAGTGGACAAGAATTAAAAATGTGGTTGTAATCCTATGCACTTTCTAGAGAGTAAATTCTAGTGAACAGGACTTAAGTGTTGGCCAAAGATGCTTCAGACTATGCTGCAAATCTATCCTATTAACAGAAAACTGGACTTTAACTTAACTTTCGTTGGATAATGCTCTTTGAGGGAAACAGCTTTGAATGTTGCATTAGGGACAAACTCAACTGTAAATAATGTGTAAATACAATCTTATAAAACACACATACACCACTTATGAACCAGAGTCCGCGAAGAACTAATGCAATCATTAAAGTGCCAGCATCTGTTAAGTTTCATTTACCTGGACATCTGTGGGCATATCTACATGTTCACAGTAGCAGAGTGCCAGTGCTGGTCTTGGATATTTTGGCATCTGTTGCAAAATGTTAAAATCACACTTGCAAAGCCCTTAGCACCTTTCAATGAGCTTCTCACCAACAACAGATGTCAACCAGCTCTTGTTCACAGGACTTTAATGGGCAGCCAAGTCTAGATGGATGGAGGAGTAGAAGTATGTGGCACTGCAAAAACCCAGGTGCTTTGCTGTTTCCCCCCGCCTCCCATGTTTATGTGAAGTAACACAGGTCAGACACTTCTAAAATTAACAGCTGCTGAGACTCACAGCAGCAAGTCACATATTTGTCTTAACTGGCATGGCATTTCAGTTGCTAGCTGTACACCTGTACTGCTTTTAATGTAAGTAAGGTTTAGTCAAGATGCTCAGAATGGATGTGGCACCCACAGGGAAAGAATCCCCGTTGCTTTCCCCATTACACTTGGAAACCTCCCATTTCCCCCATTTTGTTATTATTAAATGTTTATATATTACAAATAATGCTATGAACAATAGAAAAATCAAACAAAATGCAGATATAAGGTAATTGGATACACAAACATAACATCAAACAAAATTTACAGAACTGTATATGTGAATATTATCTCATTATTTATAAATGCTATTTTGGGCCACAGAAATATAAACACCTTATTGGAACATGAGTAATAAAAGTTGTTTATGTATATTGTCAACAAATATTGCTATATGTTCCCTAGCAAATACTTTGTACTTCGTTACTCCAGTAGAGGAAAAACAGACTCAGTTTTTCCAGTTAATTTATAATATTTTTGTCTGCCCTTCCCTTAACCTTCTCAAATTTCTTTATTTGTCCATATAACCCAGGGGACAATGCTACACACACACACACACACACACACACACACACACAACTGTGCGTGATACTTTTGCTATTATTATCTTGGCTAGGGGAGAGACAAAAGGTAGAATAATTTGAGGGGGGAAAGGCAAGGAGAAAGAGACAAAAACCCACAGCTCACTTCCTTCAGATAGTCAGCCTATATATAGCAGGCACATGTTCTGAAGGGGACTCAAAGCAGCTACCACCACCATGGGGCTTTTCTTGGTTTTGTCCTTCTCAGCGGCTTATTTTCTCTTCAAAATTCAGACTGGTAAGTTAGTTCTACATCTGTTTTGTCTTCCCTCCCCAACACATTCAGTGTAAGGAAAACAGGACTGGTTTCAGATTCATGGGCTTTCTGATATCCCTCGATACCCACCCAACCTGCATCCTACAAGACTTATCTCCCTTTTGTCAAGTTTGCAAAACCTGGCTGATTAGTGTGTCTTATTTCTACTTAGGTCAATCTGCAGATATAATTGGGGGCAAAGAATCAGTTCCACACTCAAGACCTTATATGGCTGCCCTCATTATACATGTTGAAGGTAACACATCCTTATGCGGAGGTACTTTGATCAAAAGGAACTGGGTGTTAACAGCAGCTCATTGTTTTCCGTAAGTATAGAGAAGTATGTCTATTCTTCAAAGTTCTTCCTGGTATCAGTTTTGCATGGCCCTTTAGGCAAGCCCTTTAGTTGTTATTCTGTCAGGTCACAGCCTTTGCCTCCTAGTGTGAGCTGCTAGTAGTAGCTGCCTGCTGTAAGATGCAAGAAAATGAGAATGGCAAGAAAATCCAGTAGATCAGGGTTGGGCAACTTGTGGTACTCAGGACTAGATATTGCAGGACTCCAACTTTCATCAGCCTCAGCCAGCATGGCCAGTACAGTCAGTAATGATGCGAGTTGTAATCCAGCAACATCCAAAAGGCCACAGGTTAGCATTAGCCACTCTGCAGTAAATCATGGATTCGTGACTTAAGTGCAATGTGATATTGCAGTGCAGATTGAAAATCTGGGTAACATTTCGTTTTGTGGTCCCATGTTCAAAGCAGTGCAGATTATTATGAAGTTAACACTTTTACAAAGGACACACAATTGCATGTCCCTTGACTGCTTAGTATTTGTGGCTGATTCACAAAGGCATGCACATAAATTTGATTTTCCAGTGCTTGAAAGATTAACTTGATCACTCATAGCTCAATGTGTACGCTTTATCTGTGATGTTTAATCTGTAATGGCTCACATCACATGTGCAAGTCAACACTTCATTATGATGGAAGATGAAGATGATTCCAGTAGGAATGTAACACACACACACACACACACACACACACACACACACACACGGTTATTGTGCTAGTCAATATACTGAAACCTGTAGGTAATTTACTGGTACAAAGCTGTGGCAGCTATTTTACAAGAGAAGTGGTGAAGATGTTTTATCAGCCAGCAAACTCCTGCAAATAACTTCTCCAGAGTTCCTCGAGCTTGATTTCAAGGACCGGGGAACAGAACCTTTTATGGACCCAAGTTCATAGTGTTAAAACAGTGGGGAAGATTTAATGAACTACTTTATAAAAATATTGAGTGAATGTAGCTGCTTTTAACTTCTAGAAGTCTTAACTTGATAGGTGTAGAGCAGTGTCTGCAAACGGGGGCCAGGATATTCCAAGAGGGCCCCAGGTGAAAAATCTTTTCAGGTCAATTCAAAGGCCAAAGCTATTCAATGAAGGAGTCAGATGCACCTCTGTTTGAGGGGGAATTCCACAGCTTAGGGCAGTGGTTTTCAACCAGTGTGCTGTGGCATCCTGGGGTGCCTTGAATGATGGCCAGGGGTGCTTTGGGCAACACTGGCTTCTGTCCCTCTTTCCTTCCCTTCCTCCTCTGATGCCCTCTTGCATCCCTGCCTCCCAAAGGCTTGCACAGCTGATCATTGCAGCAGCCCTGGCTACAAGCTCCCCCAGTGAATGATGCCTGTGGGGCTGGCCAGGGAGCGCTTCCCAGGCCCCTATGGGGCAGTGTCAGAAGGCAGCTACCTTTGGGGCAGGGGGCAGCAGCTAAGAGACCAGGGGCGGCAACTGTGGCTGCCCAGAGGACTCCCAAGGAGAGGGGAGGAGGAGGCTGAGGAAACACTCCACAAGGAAGTGTGTTTGAAAAAAGGATGAGAGGCTGCCAGCTCTGCAGGCAAGGGTGACATAACTGGGCTCCTGAGCCCCACAGGGATGCCGCAGACAGAATGTAGTTGGTCAAGGGAGCCATGTACTCAAAAAGGTTGAAAACCTCTGGCTTAAGGTCTCCTACAGTGAATACCATCTTCTGGGCTACCATCCGCTGAACTTCTAAGGGCAGCAGCACTACCAAGAGGAATCTCTACTGATCTTAACAGCCAAGAGCATCTGTTGGGAAGGAGGCAGTCTTTCAGATATTATGACGTATTCTGTATCAGGAAACAAATGCTGGCTTTCCATTCATACCTTTCTGTGCAATGCCCAGTAGACTTTGGCTTCTCAACCACACAGTAAACAATGGGGTATTATATCCTGTACTATTTATATAGACGATTAAGTTCAAAATGGATAAAAAACAGCAAAATCTTACACGTTTATTCAGAAGGGCCATTGTGTCTAGTGGGGCTTACTCCTAAGTAAGTATGTTTCAGACTGCAGCCTAAGTATGCAGTATGCAGAGTGTGAAATGTACTGTATGACAACACAGACTCAAGAATATTGTGTAAAGCCACAGGAGAGTGCAAAACAAATATTAATGCACTTGCTAGAAGCAAATGTTGACCAAATCTTTGATCTTTTTTATCTTTTCAGAAAAGAAAGGAAAAAATCAATTCCACAAGCAATAGTTTTTCTTGGTGCTCATTCACTAACTGGAAAACAACAACAACAACGCATTAAAATTATTGGAAGATATGGTCACCCACAATATAATGAAAATACGATGGAAAATGATATTATGCTTTTGAAGGTACTTTTAAATGGAATGTGAATATTCTGGGGGCAAAAAATAAATTTTATACTTATCTTTCTAAATATCTTTCTTGTCAAGTGAATTGGGTGCCTTAAATTTTAAATAGGCAACAATTTAATCAATGCACATGTCTACTCAGAGGTAAGCCCCACAGAGTTCAATGGGAAACATAATACAGCCTTAGTTGGTTATTCAACTAGAAAGCATAGGAAAGTGTTAGTGTTATTCTTTGGCAAAATTAGTGATCATCATCTGGCTGTTCTTATTCAGCCTGCTTAGTTATATGAGTTTTCCTGGGAGACTTGCCAAAGCCTGAGCTTAAGCAACTTCTACAAGAAGCATAAAGCAGAGCTTCCTCCTCTTTAGTCTCAATATTGCCCTTGTAGAACTCAGCAATAAGGATTGATCCAAAAATAGAATTAGTTGGCTCTGCTTGTCATTGGCTCCACCTACTGTTGGTCTCCCAGCCCTCAGCTCTACCAAGCCCAATGGGCGCCACTGACATCTCATTACAGACTGATGATTGGTTTCTCCTACAGATTATTTTTTTAAGTAGCTAAAGGCTGAATCATTTAGATAACTCTTTATCATATAGTATAATAGTAATATTGTGCAGGTGCGGGTGTGTAGTTAAGCAGGTAGGGCTTTCTGATCTTGGAACTGTTAATTCTTTGATCATCTGTAGTAACACTACCTGTTTGTCACTGAATCATTAGGAGAAACAAATGTTGAACATTATATTACAAATATGTTATAGGTCTTACAATGTACTATAAAATAAAAGGAAGTCTAAAATGAGATTATTCAATTGTGCTCTGTTTATAAGTACTATTTCCCTTTATTATTCTTTTAAGATGGAGAAAAGTGCAAAGATTGACCAACATGTCAAATGCATTGAGCTTCCTAGCACTTCCAAGGATGTTGAGGCAGGAACCCAGTGTCTAGTAGCTGGGTGGGGAATTACTGATAACAAAAGCAGGAATATATCCACTATGCTTCGTGAAGTTAATGTCACTGTTATTCAGAGAAGTGTCTGCAATGATGAGAAACACTATAAGCATTCGATGTATGTGACAAGTAACATGTTGTGTGCAGGAGATGACAAGGGAGGAAAAGATGCTTGTGTGGTAAGAGTGTTTTTATTTACCCATTCTGTCTTCCTTAAAAAAGCTATCAACTGATTAAAGAACTTAACTATCTACCTATCTACTGTTTGACAGATAAATAAATTTGTATTTAATCAAAGTCACATGTGGGTCTATGAGATATTGAAAGAAGTGTACAATAAACTGTAGTGCAATCCACATGTTTATATGGAAATAGGTTCCAACATATTATGAGATGCTTACTTGTAGGAATGTATATTTAGGGTTGCAATTCTAAAAGTTAATGAACAAAAACTCGTGAATAGGAGGAAAGCAAAAAGCAGATCCCTACTCAAGAATTTCCAAACTAAATTTGAAGTTAGGCAAACAGTTTTGATTAAATATGCATGTGATTATTATGTCCTGCTGCACCCCTATCCACACTTACTAAGAGCCAGCCACACTAAATTCAGTGGAACTCACTTCAAGGCAAACATGGACATGATTATGTTGGATTACAGTTTTTTACTTCTAACCGTTTCATAGAAGTCTTCTCATTTGTTTCAGACATTCAAAAATGTGAATGTTGAATGCATCACTACATATAACATTATGCTGAACTGAACTACTCTTTTAGACTCAATAAATGCAAGAGCTGGATTTTTCAAAATGGTAACATGTCTCCGTTTAATCGTTTCCCAGGGTGACTCTGGTGGCCCTTTGATATGCAATGGGAAGCAAAGAGGCATTGTCTCCTTTGGTGCTAAATCAGAATGTGGAAATCAACGCTACCCTGGTATCTATACTCTTCTCACAGAGGACTATCTTGCCTGGATAAGAGAAATCACAGAACCTTTTACAGGTTGAGCACTTGGTTTTATGATTCTCTTTCCAGATACTCATTAATTAAACCTCTCCTTTTTCTTTCTTTTTAAAAAGAGAATGTTTATTAGTTTATGCTAATCTCTGTAGCTGTAGTGAGTGCCCTATATGTAGCTGATTTAAAGTGATGAGGAACCTGTGGTGTCGATGGACTACAAATTCCATCTTCTGTGAACTGGCCCTGACGGCTGGGGCTAATGAGAGTTGGAAGCCAATAGCATTTGGTTCACATCCCCTATTGTACACTGCAAAGCTGCTTCCTTCATGTGTAAGAATGCCATTTTTATAAAGCTGGGGAAAATGTGCTTTTCCACTACAGAGGAAACTACTTACACAGTAAGCATGGATGAATGTGAAAGAACCCTCTCCTCAAATGGCCACCGCGAAAATTTTGCAAAGAAGTTGGGACATGTCTCCTATTGTACAGGAGCTGATGTCTGGGTATTCATTAAGAATTAACTGCATAGTTACTTACAGTGCAATGGTAAACATAGCTACTTCATAAATGTCTTTGTACAAGATGGCAGCCTAGCCTTTGGCTTAGGATTGGCGTTGGCAAAAACAGTGTTGTTAAGCCTTTAACTGCTGACTTCCTGTGGTAAACCTGAGGTTGCCCAGGGATGGGGGTGGAGAACAATGAATGCACTCTAATTTTGTTTTCTGCCAGTACATCCCTTCTCCACAGTAGCAGCCATTGTGTGACTGGGGCACACAACACTCAAAATATATGTCCACTAGTCCAAAAAAGACCCAATATAATTATCTCCCAAATTAGATAAGATTGAAGGTGACATAGAGCTTTTCCAGTTTTGACAAATCACCTTTTAAGCTGCTGTTAATAGGTGAGCTATCAGTTCAAAGTCTTCCTCTGGTATGATGCCCTTAAAATATAAAATATTGCTACAAAAGGTCCCTTAGAAAGACAAGATTCTAAAGGCTCATTACATCTCTCAGTTCAGATTCCCTGAAAGTCCTAATTATAACACACTCACATCAAATGAAATATATACAGGCAGCGTGCATCCAACTGACACACAACCACCAATGTGTGGGTCCTTTTGGACCCAGAAGAGGGCAGAACGGGACAGAATGTACTGGGGGCGTAACAGGGCAGAATGAGATTATGCGTGTGGGGGCCAGGAACGGAACCCCTGCACAAAATGGTTGCAGCCAGTATGCATTAGGTGAAGCAGTGGACTCTGGGCTTTCAAACTTCACCAGTGGTATTCAGCACACACCCCACCCCTTGCCTTCTGTTCTAAGTCATTGCTGCAGTGCCCTCAAAACTTGGTGCCATGTGCAGGCAAACCAGTCATGCTCCCTTCAGTGTGTGTGTGTGTGTGTGTGTGTGTGTGTGAGAGAGAGAGAGAGAGAGAGAGAGAGAGATCCTTAAAATTCAGATAGAGAGTTAAGTCAAATAATATTCTTCCAAATCCGAACTCAATTTTCTAACGCTACATGAGTACACATACCTTTCTAATCATATAGTTCCACTAATTTAATTATATGTCTAACCTGAAGAAAACATTTAACACAATGATTAAGTTTTTACTACTTAAATGCCTCGGCTGCTGGCTGGGGTTTAACAGGAAACCAACAGTTCCCACAAGTGCAGCTATCCTGCAGTTTGCCAACCCCTTACTGAAGTGCTGCCACCATTTCAATTCAGTTTTATACCATGAAACCCTTGCCTGTTTTAGAATGAACTTCATTTTACTGGCAAGCACAACAGCCAATATTTATTATTAAAAATTATGCTGATCTTTATTTACTAAGACATTACAGTTGTTGACTACATCCTCCTAAGGATCCAGAGACTTTTGGACTGCAAAGCCTTACCTAATGTAAACCAATGTTTTAAGTTAAGTCTATTGCTTTCAAAAGGTCTACTTTAACTAATGGTGGAAATCTCCCATACAGTTGGAATGCACCTCAAAGATCACATACCCCTTTTGTTAATGCAGAAAAAACTGCTGCAAAGCATCACTCATAGGTGGCCTTCCAGCCTCTGCTTAAAAATTGCTAATGAAAGAGTAGAGTAGACACCACCTTCTGATGATTTTCCACAGTCAAACAGCTTTAGTCTTCCTGAGGCTTAGTCAAAATCCCCTTTCTACTCATTTGAGCCTGCTAAAGGAAAAAAAAGTTCCACAATCTACATGACACCTCTTCAAACATTTAAATATGGCTATCGTATCATTTGGCTATCATATCACCTCCTAATTGTCCAGGTTAAATATAACCAGGTTAAATACAACCAACCATTCTAGTTTCAAGAACTGTAATCCAAAGAAGTACTTTTGGCACACATCTTCTGCCCAAACTTCTGTCCTCTCATTTTTCAAATTTGTTTTGCTGCAGCTTATCCTATACTTACCTGTGCCCTCCTGCTCTTGATGATGCCATTACATCAAAAGGGACAACTTGTGACCAAAATACTGATGCAAGCCTTAATAATGTTACAGGATTTGCTTCCCACTCTTTGTACAGCTGAGAGTGCTGCATCACTGAAATCTTAATATGTGGACTAACAGCAACTACAGCAGCTTGTAATTATTTGAAATCAATTAACATAATGAATTCAGGAAAATGCGTTTTTCGTTCATGGAAGCACTTACCTCAGCAATACATTCTGCGTGCTGACAGTAGACAAATATGAGTTCATACACTGAGCTATACTTCAAGTACATCATCACCACCAAACTCACTTTTGCTGGGATCAGTACCCCACTTAGAAAGTAGTTAGAATTTCCACTTCTGCCAGGAAATTTCATCATACAAGTCTTCATGCCAAAATATCTTAAATTAACAGACTCACCTCGCCTCATTAATCTTTGCTTTGTTTCCAAGGCATTTGAAGTTTTCAATGTACCCAGCACTGCAGTTGATCTGTGGCCAATCTGGTACACATATGGCCAGAAAGTGAGGCCTCAATCTACCTATAGAGTATTTGGCAATGTCCGTAAGAGACTGGCTAATAGCTGCGCCAAAAATGAATGTCCCAATGGCTTTGTAAAGAGCGGCAATATAGTTGTTCCGCACAAATGAATTGGAGTGCAAGCGGTTGTAATACACAGAAAGTGCCTCTCCTATGATTATCTGAAATAGAAAAAAAGAAACCAGAAAGACATGAGTTAAAGAAACACCATTAAAATGTTATATCTGATATAAAAGTTGCTCCGTACATGGGTAAATATGGCGGGGTTTCTTAGTTCATTTTATTGATTTTCAGGATAGGTAAATCTGATTTTTGACTATGTGAATTTTAAGTAATAATAAAAAGAACAAATAATTTCTGGAAATCATTAGGATGTCTCGAATGGCTGAGCCAAAAATCACTGAAGTAAACAGGAACCTCTGTTTTTTTCTCATTTGATTATGAAGCAAAGGTTTAATGAATGAATGGAAGGCAACCCTTCACCTTTTTTTCCAGAGATAACAACCTTTCCCACACTACTTCACAAAAGACCCAGTAGTAGCACCACAGCACAAAGCACATTTTATTCCTCATCACGTTTCCACTCATTCTTAACCTTCTACTCAAAAGAAATAGTTTCTTTGCCAAGAACGTGATCATTCTGGAAACTCAGGAACCAAGTTAAAGGGTTAGACGAGAGCACAGTTGCCAGGGTTGCTAAAGGCCAGATTTTAACATGGGAACCTCCCATGTTTCAGCAAAATGGAATATTCTGAAAGAGAATCCTTCCTCCAGGATGTGAAGCTTTACTGAAACAATAATAAAAGTGCTAGATTTGGAAATCTACAGAAAGATACAGCTTTGTAACTTGACTGTTATGGGGGAGGTGATGTTCAAATTTAAGCAAGTTGGTTGCATGAGAAGCATTCATGCTTGTTGTTTCATAACTGGGACTAATTTTAGTTTCTCCTCTTAAAATAGAAGTCTGTGCACAACAGAATAGGAAACAATTCTAAACAGTAGTTGGTCCACAAGCAAGGTTAGAGAATCACAAGAGTGGGTAATTTCCAGTTAAGGCAGGGATGGGGAAACTGTGGGAATTCAACTGGAATTCCCAACAGCCCCAGCCAGTTTAGCCAGTGTCAGCGATTATGTGAATTGGAGGCTAATAGCATGGACTATAAGTACCTGACTGAAGTTAAGGTGGTTAGAAGATTTTCCCATTAATGAAAATCTCTAGCCAAGGCTAAATGTCAAAAATCTACTTCTACAAAAAGGAATACAATTCCTACTGTGGCAATGTTGGATATGCACATTGGTTAGCCATCCATCACTAACATATCAATATGCTGCAAGTGAATCAGTAGGGCATCATATACAATAGGATCACGAATGTTTACTAGGCCTTTAAGATATCCAAAAGCTTGCAGATAGCATATGATTAAATAAATATTTAGGAGCCTGAAACAGAATATAGGGAACAGTGGGTTATACACCAACATCCAGAATGTTGTCCACATAGCACCTCTGTCCCACAGAATTTGATTTTAAGTATCAGGGGACACCACCACCGCCCAAGAATAGCATTTATTGCATTTATAAGGGCATAAACTGGAAGATATGTTTTCCATTTGTACTTAAATCTCTGTGGATTCTAGCGTTAATAAGAAGCCTTTCCACAAAACCCAATGGCTAAATGATCTCTCCGAATTCACATTCAGTCATCAACATGGAGCATCCTACAGACCTTACATGTGTAACTAGGACCTGGATGAATACCATAGGTTCTGTAAAGCCAGTTTTGCTTTCCTTTCTTTCAGAGGGGTGGGTGGGCAATGGAAGAACTTATTCCAGGCCTCATAGAAGAAGGTAACCACAACAACACTGAGAAAAATTGACTGATGCAGTGAGAAAGAAGCCCCCCAGGCCTCCCAGAGTCTTTTAAAATTAGTCAGGAGCAGTGTTCTCAGTGATAAATTTATGCAAAACATGGTGTGATATGCTATGTAACATGCCAGAAAATCCACCTGAGAACAGTTATATATTTGAGCACGGCTGCTTTCTGTGCTTCCATCAGCCCCACAGGTGGTAACTCATTTGTATACAGACCTTCCAGTAACATGCATACCAGTCATCCGAGACAGAATTCTTGGAAGCTGGTTTAGTAGGTACCCTAGGACATTTGCTCCAAGAAATTCCAATGTGATCTTGGGTGATGCCTCCTCTCAGAAACTGATGACATACAATGACCTCACTAACTTTAATGCAGCTGGCAAGGTGCTTGACCTGAGATTGGTTTCAGGTGCTTGGTCACATTTATTGGGTGCTGCTTGGTTACCACCTTGAGAAGGTTTCAGGGCAGGTGCTTATCTAATTGTTAACACCAGAGCCACTCCATTATTTTGTAGCTGTATAAACATTTAATTGTCCATGGAGTTTTCTTGGCAGGGATACTGGAGTGGCTTGCCGGTTCCTCCTCCAGGTGGATCACGTTTGGTCAAAACTCTCCACTATGACCTGTTCATCTTGGGTGCCCTGCTCGGCATAGTTCATAGCTTCTCTGAGTTCTTCAAGCCCCTTCGCCACGGCAAGGCAGTGATCCATGAAGGGGCTTAAAATTTTATGCTTAAAATTCTACAAGGAAGGCTCAAGCAGTATGTGGACCGAGAACTCCCAGAAGTGCAAGCTGGATTTAGAATAGGCAGAGGAACCAGAGACCAAATTGCAAACATGCACTGGATTATGGAGAAAGCTAGAGAGTTCCAGAAAGACATCTACTTCTGCTTCATTGACTATGCAAAAGCCTTTGACTGTGTCGACCACAGCAAACTATGGCAAGTTCTTAAAGAAATGGGAGTGCCTGATCACCTCATCTGTCTCCTGAGAAATCTCTATGTGGGACAAGAAGCTACAGTTAGAACTGGATATGGAACAACTGATTGGTTCAAAATTGGGAAAGGAGTACGACAAGGCTGTATTTTGTCTTCCTGCTTATTTAACTTATATGCAGAATTCATCATGCGAAAGGCTGGGCTGGATGAATCGCTAGCCGGAATTAAGATTGCTGGAAGAAATATCAACAACCTCAGATATGCATATGACACAACCTTGATGGCAGAAAGTGAGGAGGAATTAAAGAACCTTTTATTGAGGGTGAAAGAGGAGAGCGCAAAATATGGTCTGAAGCTCAACATCAAAAAAAGAAGATCATGGCCACTGGTCCCATCACCTCCTGGCAAATAGAAGGAGAAGAAATGGAGGCAGTGAGAGATTTTACTTTCTTGGGCTCCATGATCACTGCAGATGGTGACAGCAGCCACAAAATTAAGAGACGCCTGCTTCTTGGGAAGAAAGCAATGACAAACCTAGACAGCATCTTAAAAAGTAGAGACATCACCTTGCCAACAAAGGTCCGTATAGTAAAAGCTATGGTTTTCCCAGTAGTGATGTATGGAAGTGAGAGCTGGACCATAAAGAAGGCTGATCGCCGAAGAATTGATGCTTTTGAATTATGGTGCTGGAGGAGACTCTTGAGAGTCCCATGGACTGCAAGAAGATCAAACCTATCCATTCTTAAGGAAATCAGCCCTGAGTGCTCACTGGAAGGACAGATCGTGAAGCTGAGGCTCCAATACTTTGGCCACCTCATGAGAAGAGAAGACTCCCTGGAAAAGACCCTGATGTTGGGAAAGATGGAGGGCACAAGGAGAAGGGGACGACAGAGGACGAGATGGTTGGATAGCGTCTTTGAAGCTACAAACATGAGTCTGACCAAACTGCAGGAGGCAGTGGAAGACAGAAGTGCCTGGCGTGCTCTGGTCCATGGGGTCACGAAGAGTCGGACATGACTAAACGACTAAACAACAAAACATTTAATTTCAATGTAATTATGCAGACTTATGACAAGAGTTAAATCTCTACCCTTCCACATACTGTGGTCACCAGTAGCTATTTTCAAATCTTAGGGGGCTTCTGAGCTTTGCCTCCTTACCAGGCAGATTCCCTAATATATTTGGCTCATACCCTACAGCAGTTCAAGTCATGGGCTGAAAACAAATGTCAAACCAGCAAATATTTGCTTGGTAAGGGCACATACCATGGTACTGGTACATTTCTCAACACAAAGTGTATTAATGTCACCTTTGTTAAAGGAAAAAGGGGGTAGTCAGAGATCTAGCTTTTCTAAAACAAATCCTAGTATACACAGTGGTACCTCAAGTTACAAACACTGAAAACCCGAAAGTAATTGCTTCCATTTTTGAACGCGCCTTGGAAGTTGAACAGCTTCCGAGGCAGATTTCTCAATTTTCTCCATTGAAATTGCCAACCATTTCGGAAGTCAAACGGTCTTCCAGAATGGATTACGTTCGACAACCAAGGTTCCACTGTATTTTTGGTATCTCAGGGACTGGATGGCACCCCAACAAATTCCATATACAGAAAATAACTGGTGGTTGTTGAATTTTACTCCAACACTGATGATAATACTTGAGTGCAGCAGGTTAGCTTAGGCAACAGAAGACAATGAATGTTGCCCACACACCTGTCCTCCAACATCTCACCGCCACTCCCTGCCACCCCAGGCAGTGGCCTCACTCCACCCAATGGTAAGGCCAGCCCCAATGGCAAGCCTAATTATACTGGACAACAAGTGATGCTAATGATAATTGTGGCTCTACAGAATTGGAGCATCAGTTCTTAAAAGCTTTAAGATGCCATGTGTCTTAATGTTTTCATGGTCTCAGTTTTGAATAGCAGGCTGTAAGATACTGGTTGCCAACCTTTTGTGCCAGTAAACCCATTTGGAATTTTGATAAAGTGCCCTGGGCACCATTAAGAAAATGACTGCTGAAGGGACATCACATAGGACAAAATAGCTAGTGGTATGTAATAAAATGTGGACATGTTTAAGAAGACATGTTCAGTGCAGGAAAGGCTGAGCAAGCACAAACAGAAACTGAATTAACAGTCATGCATTGTAAAGTGTTTGGGAGGTATTTAGGAAGACCTTTTGCAGGAACCACAGAAGGTACTGGCAAGCATACTGGCATTTGTAGGCATTACACTGGCAACCTCTGCTACGGGGATTATGTGAATAATAATAATAATAATAATAATTTATTATTTATATCCCGCCCATCTGGCTGGGTTTCCCCAGCCATTCTGGGCGGCTTCCAACAAAACACTAAAATACAATAACCTATTAAACATTAAAAGCTTCCCTAAACAGGGCTGCCTTCAGATGTCTTCTAAAAGTTTGGTAGTTATTTTTCTCTTTGACATCTGGTGGGAGGGTGTTCCATAGGGCGGGTGCCACTACCGAGAAGGCCCTCTTCCTGGTTCTCTGTAACTTGGCTTCTCGTAGCGAGGGAACCGCCAGAAGGCCCTCGGCGCTGGACCTCAGTGCCCGGGCAGAACGATGGAGGTAGAGATGCTCTTTCAGGTATACTGGACCGAGGCCATTTAGGGCTTTAAAGGTCAGCAGCAACACTATGAATTGTGCTCGGAAATGTACTGGGAGCCAGTGTAGGTCTTTCAAGACCGGTGTTATATGGTCTTGGCGGCCGCCCCCAGTCACCAGTCTTAACTGCGAGTCTTTTAGTTCTTATGCTCTTACAGTTGTTTTAACTGCGTGTTTCTGTTTGTTTTTAGCTCTTACCTGTTTTAATTATCAGTTTTTATCCATCCATTATCCATGTTTAATCTTGTATTTTATTCAGATGTTTTATCCTATGCTGGTTTCTTTGTCCTTATTTGCTCTAACTATTATCGGTTAAAAAATCCTAACTGCTATTTTATTTATATGTTGTTGTTTTTTGTTTTTGTTCTTTTATTCTGGTCTGTGACCGTAATAAAGTTCATTCATTCATTCATGCACCTCTATGGCGAGACAGTATGCGGGCAGGTAGGGTCTCAGCCTGCGTACCAGATGGAGCTGATAAACAGCTGCCCTGGACACAGAATTGACCTGCGCCTCCATGGACAGCTGTGAGTCCAAAATGACTCCCAGGCTGCGCACCTGGTCCTTCAGGGGCACAGTTACCCTATTCAGGACCAGGGAGTCCTCCACAAACACCCCATCTCCGGTCCCCGAAAAACAGTACTTCTGTCTTGTCAGGGTTCAACCTCAATCTGTTAGCCGCCATCCATCTTCCAACCACCTACCTGATCTGAAGGAAACCCAGCCAGATGGGCGGGGTATAAATAAATTATTATTATTATTATTATTTGGGTATCTCTTGCTGATTCCAGTATCCGTCCGGTCAAGACCAGACCCGGAGGCAGGGATAGTCCTCAAACAATGACTAAACCTGCCTGTGAAGTATATGCAAGCCCTAGCAGTTGTATCACTCATTCTAGAATACCTGAAAGATGCAGCCAACTGAATGAGTCAGAGCTACCTCATATTGTAACCAGAACAGAATTGGTGTAATATAATCTTGGCTCCCACATTCTGTACTATTTCCAAACAGTATTCAAGAGTTCATTGCAGCTATCTAGCCTGGGCATAACCAAGATGTATGTCACTCCGGCTAAATCCATGGATTTCACAGGTGCAGCATTAAGCTTGTAAGAAGTACTTCTGGCCACCAATGTCACCTGTACTTTCTTAAACAGAAGGCAGTGAATCTGGGAGAAGTCCCAGGTGGTGTAGTTGACTCTTCAGGGGGGGTGTAGCTCTATCCAGAACCAGCTGCACACCTCCATCCAAAAATGATTTTGGCTATTATTTGCTTGGCTCTGTTGTTATAGTGCTTTATGCAGGTGTTTTAGGTTTTTAATTTTTTACCGGCTCTGAAATTGCTTGCAATGAAGAGCTGGATAGAATATTCTCTCTCTGGGTTTTCTACCTCCAACACATGTGGATCGAAACAAGTCATCAGGGCTTGACACATTTCAAGCTTCATTATTTTTTTCAAAAAAAGGCTAGAAATCCATCAGGTTTGTTTCTTTAATTGTCTAGCATAAGCAAGAAATAACCAGACACTTCCTCTACTCTTGATCACGCCCATGGAGCACTGAGGATCATCCTTGGCTGAAAAGTGTTGAAACTGCTTTTAGAACAGGGAGCATTAAAAATAACTAGAGACACTGGAAGGAAATGAGTTCTCTGAACAAAGAAGGCTGCAGACAAAGTTTATTTTTGCTTGAACTGAGGGGCAGGGAGAGAGAAAAATAAGAATTACAAACTCACCTTCTCATCTGTGTTGCAACCAAGTTAGCAATTTGTCAAAATGGCAACTTTGGCTCTACTTTTACAAGTTAGCACTGACTGCTCAGTACACCTGGGCAAATGACCACATTCTAGCTAACTATAGCACAATCAATTTCCCAGTAAAGGAAAAACTTCACTAGAAATAGCTTGGTCTATAGCAAACATATATGGCATGTAGAAAATGTGATAAGATGTCCTTAATTTTTTTAAAGGCAACCATGAGGACCCTGATGAGTTGCTTGGGGGGGGGGCGTGTTTAACCCTTCCTCTATGCCATTTTCCCTGAAATAAAATCACATGAGCAGTATTAGCTTTACAGGGATGTAGAGAACACTAGTTGAAGTGCTGTCCCTGCATTTTTTCATCTGCAGTGGGAACAGCAGCTTTGGGTAGTGATTTAGATCAGGAAAGCAGCCTGTCAACAGAAGGCTTGACACCCCCAGCTGTGGGCAAACTGGCCTTTTGAGTGGGGGGGGGACGAACCTGTGGGAGAGCATACAAGGTAAATCCATACCATGTAAAATTGAGGTGCCCCAGAAAGAAGGCACCTACAGTGGTACCTCGGGTTAAGTACTTAATTCGTTCCGGAGGTCCATTCTTAACCTGAAACTGGAATTAACCTGAAGCACCACTTTAGCTAATGGGGCCTCCTGCTGCTGCCACGCCACCGGAGCAAAGTTCTTAACCCGAGGTACTATTTCTGGGTTAGTGGAGTCTGTAACCTGAAGCGTATGTAACCCCAGGTACCACTGTATATTCCTGCAGAAAGTCCACCTTATCTTAATTGTCTTATTGCTCTGTAGCCCTGGGCAAGGCAGAGAGAATCAAACTGCCTAAGGCAGTGGTGGCCAAACTTGGGTCTCCAACTGTTTTTGGACTACAAACTCCCATTATCCCTAGCTAACAGGACCAGTGGTCAGGGATGATGGGAATTGTAGTTGTAAAACAGCTGGAGGGCCAAGTTTGGCCTCCACTGGCCTACGGGCACCATCTAACAGCCTAAAACTGTCTTTTGGGGGCCATTAGGGGGCTTAAACTACAGTGGTATCTCAGGTTACAGACACTTCAGGTTACAGACTCTGCTAACCCAGAAATAGTACCTCGGGTTAAGAAGTTTGCTTCAGGATGAGAACAGAAATCGCGTGGCAGCGGGAGGCCCCATTAGCTAAAGTGGTGCTTCAGGTTAAGAACAGTTTCAGGTTAAGAACGGACCTCTGGAACGAATTAAGTTCTTAACTCGAGGTACCACTTTATTCTCCTCATGCCTGTGTGGAGCCATAGGAAGATAGGTTGGGATGGATATATTAGTTAATGGAAATGTTATGGAATTAGGGTGGACGGCTACATAGATAAAAAATGTTTGTATCAAGCTCAAGACTACCAATCAAATATTAAATAAAGAGCAAAATATTCAAGGTTCATTTTTGTTCTCTTTAGTTGGATCCAGTTTTAACATGTTCTTATCATGAGGCTGTTTTTGTTTCCCCAGATGTCCCAGAACTTTAGAACTTCTTCCCTTACCCATGCTTTGAAAACACAGCAGGATTACGGTATCCTATTTCAGCTGGCTTTTAAGAGCAAGCAGTGGGTCCTGATTTTCAATTCTTCCATTTGGAGTCTAAAGTAGATAGTGTATGTATCTATATGTGAGTGGGTGCTTAAATATTGCATTAGCTGCTCTGAGGTTTTAGAATGGAGCAGGCTTTACATGCAAATGAGTAAGATAAAAAGCATTAATAAACATTGTTTTTCAGTGTCTCAAGATGAATGTCAATCCACCTTAAATTAGGCAATTTTTTCTAAATAAATGCTTAGCCATGGAGCAATGTCATTACAGTATTATTGCTCGGTTTCGCTTTCAATAAGAATTGTAACTTCTTTCTTCCAGGTCAGGAAGAGGGCTCTCCTTTGACATCATGTTATCCAATAGCAAACAAGGTATGACAACTTTTCAAAATGCAATGTAATGGAGGAAAATGAGCTGGAAACTTACAACAATTAAATCCAAGGGAACAATTATCCCCGCTAATAATTCATATGAAATGGTGTCTTCTTTGTAAGGATACTGGATGGATTCATCATTACAGAACACTCCTCGTTTGAAGGGAGTGTTCCTCGCAGTCAGAATTGCAAAAGGCAAGCCAACTAGCAAAAAGAATAAGATAATTATTTTACACAGGGTATTTCAAAAAGGTTTAACCCCAAGCACTTTCCATCCAGAGCAGTAAGCAAGAGCGTGAAGGAGACATGCAGCAAATAGTACCACTTCACCTTTACATGCTGATTTAATGGATGCATTAAAGGCTTTTAGCAGAATAAAATTTTTACAAAGGGAACAGGAAGAGCTTTCCAGCATCTCTCCACCCACACAAGTGTGGTAAGTGCACATTCAATTTGTAAAATTTGCGCTCTTCAAGATAGTTTTATGGCAACTCCAGTGTCCTCAGTGTTAGCTTGTTGCCCATAAGCAGACCAGATTTGCAACTTCATTCCAAGACAGCTTTTCTACACAGGGACACTTGTGAAATGGAATGATAAGTGATGCCAAAGCAGGAGGAAACAATGTAGAGGAACCTGGTATAACTTGGTCACTGCTTGTTCTGTAAAGCATCCAGCATTATCGCTGACTTCTGCCTCAAATTCTGCCTTCTACACACTCACCTTATATGAAAATATCTTCATCATAAGCATCCATAAATAACCATCAATGAAAATAAAGCAGAATTTCAAAGCCTAAGCTAGACTACATTTTAACTTATTTTTAGTTATTTTTAGACTGTCAAATGATGTAAGTAATGTAAGTAAGCAAACTCAGGTTTAAATCCAAACAACAGATCAGAAGACAATGATTGTAGGAATGATAAGCAAAAGAGATGTAGGAATGAAAGGGACACACAGGCTTCAGCTCCTCCTAGTCCCTTAATCTTATAAACTTTGGATGCTCCATACTTCATTGCTGCAGCTGGAATCTGAGGGAGGGGTAGTGACGAGAAGCACATTCTGACCTGCTCATCCTACAGATACTACCTCAGAGGTGGTATAATTTGCCATGAAGCTGGCAGGTAAGACCACATAGTCAGTTATGTACATCTAGGCTTGCAACATTTCTAGATGAATGTAATGCGATGAGATTGGATAAAATCAGTGCTTGGGGGGGGTGCAGGGGTACGCATAGCCCTAAACATTTTGTGAATCTAAGTTTGGCCTCATTGAGGGGCAGTATTTCAATATGAGTAGGAAAATGAGAGTACCCCTGAACTTTTTTTCAGAAAAAAAGCACTGGATAAAACTAATTCCAGAATTGGGAACACTATGAGCAAATTAACATGTAAAGTTAGCAAACCTAAAGAACAGGAGATATACTGCAAGAAAAAGTGGTAGGAGTTCAGCTTATCAGCAAACTACAAGGAATCTATCTTAGCACCAAGTGCTCAGCATGAACATCAAAATTAAATCTGCTAAGAACTACACTTGTATTTTTCTTAGATAATAAAAAAATGACAAAATCTGAAAATGGTGAACACTTAACTACAGAAGCCAGTTAATAACATAAACATTACTTCAAAGACATAACCCCATGGAACATTCTGCTTTACTGGAATCCAAGACTACAGAGTTCCACTTGTGATCCTTAAAATTTTGTTTGCACAGGACTTCTGGGTCAGCGCCATCGGTGAATGGCGGAGTTCCTCCGACCGGAGGAACGGGCTCCGTGGAAACTAGGTCTTCCCACCGCGGCGAAGGTGGGGACCCGCTAGAAATCCCAGGTGGAGGAAGCCTGGGAATGTGGGGTACGGCAGGGCACCAGGAGCGCCCCCCTACTCACCGGGAACCCCATTTAGGGGCGCCGGAGCGAAGTGGGGTGAGTGGCGCGGTGCTGCGAACTGATTGCTATTTTCACGGAGTGAAGCCGCACAGCCATTGCCGGAGAGCGCTGACTTTTTCCTGTGGACAATTGGATTTAAAACAAGTACCCGTGAGTAGAAACGGAAAATTGGATTAAAAAAATATCTCAATTTGGCATCGAAGCGGGAAGGTTCAAAACAGGAAGTCCGCCTTCCGCTTTTTGTATATAGACTAAAGCAAAAACTTTGTAAGCTAAAGCCTGGAAAGCTGTCAAAAAAGTCTAAATTTCCTTCATTCAGAATTACTGAAACCCCTTTGAAAGCAGAAGAAAAGGGGGGGGGGACTTTGTTCAACCCTAGCAGGAGAGGGAGTGAAGAAGGATAAGTTTCCACCGTCTCTAACCTGGGAACGGGGTGTCAGAGACAGAAATTGTTGGAGAGGTTCACTGACTGTGAATGGAATACTTTGACAGATAGCTAAAGAAGAGAAACAAACTGATTCCAATGTTGCCTTTTGCATTCTAAAGAAACAAAATATCTGAAAAATATCTGAAAAATGAAAGTAATTTTCTTTTGTTGGACTTGCCTTAAAAAAAAATGGATACAAATAGAAATTGTCTCCTCTAGAGGGAGCTTGTTAAATTGTTGCTGCAGTATACTTGAGGACTCAACAGCTGTGAGATTAAGATCGTGGGACCAGTCTCTTCTGACCTTGACTAAAGATGAGCTGGGAGGAAGATTGGGTGCTTGCTCTATGCAAGACAAGTGCCTTGCTGGAACAGATGCACGAGAAGATGGATTTGATGAATGAGAAAACGGATTTGATGACTGTTGTGGTTAATAACTGTGGACAAACAGGGAACATTGATACAGAAATCATTCAGGAACCAACTTATGAACCTGTAATGTCTGGGCAAGTGCAGAAGATAATGGAGGAGGATGCGGATGCACCTCAAATAATACAAATGGAGAGACCCGAGGCCCTACAGGAGCATAAGCCGCTGTCATTGAAGATTGAAGTTGGAGTGGGCCAGGGGGAGTTTGGAGCTGAGGAGGTTCCTAACTTTGGAGAGACCTGGAAATATGCTTTTAAATACTTTTTGGACTATAGCGATGACTGTGGGGAATGGGTCTGTGGGGAATGGGCGGGTCTGATGAAGAGAGATGGAGACAATTTTGGGTTGGAATTCCCCAGAGACCTACTCCTCAATGAGAAAGGAAAGAAATTAAGAAAGAGACCAACAAAAGACAAGGAAAAGGGCAAGTATAAACAAGAAGAAGAAGAACTGCAGAAGGGACATGGAAGAGACTTAAGGGCCTCGGACATAAGGCTTCCAGGTTGATGGACTAGATGGAATAGACAGTAAGGACTGACACGATCCGAGACCAGGAAGAAGAGACGTTGGATGAAGATTGGAAAAAATTATAAATAAAAACTTTCTATTTAGGGAATTAGCTTAAAATTAATGAATATTAGGGAAAATGTTGGAATGAAACTATATGACTCTAGCAGAAATTATATCAGGAGTTATGTATATTTGAAAACTAAAGATTTAAGCTTTAAGGTATTTTAGAGTAAGATAAGGTTAAATAAACTAAGGTTATTTGAATAACAGAATATGGGGAAAGATGGAAAGGATTTGTTGAGCTAATTATTAGGTTAAATTGTTAAGATAAATTTTGTAACAAAAATTGAGAAAGATGGAAAGAATTTGCTGAAATAACTAATTGAATTAGAATGCAAGAAGGGAGGCGTGAGGAGGTCAATGAAACAAGCAAATGGAAGTTATAGATATGTAATTTGGGATTTGTGGTTTTTTTTGTTTTTTTCTCTGTTTTCCTTTTTCCTTTGTATCTTTTTGTTGTACTGTTGTATTGGTTTTTTGTGTTTTTTTCTCTCTCTCTTTTTTATGTATTATTGTGTTGTTTTTTATTTTTTTCTTTATTTTCTATAATTCTGAAACTACTAATAAATATTATTTTTTTTTTAAAAAAAAATGTTTGCACAAACATCAGGAAAACATTGGTTCATTGACCATGCAAGTAACCCAAATATTAGAATGTGCCCATTATGATACACATGTCAAAAAGTAAAATTTTTGTAGAGAAGTAGGTGTCGTTCCATAATTAAGTGTCAGATCAGCCCTCAGAAACCCTCAACTACAAAATTCTATGGTGGTCAGAAATATATAGGGATTAATATATGTCCTTTCAGGAATGCTGGAGGTTGTGGCTCCTATTCAACAGGACTTTTTAAACACCTCAGTAAAGAGGGTGGGGTTAATTGATTAAAAAAAGTCCTAATTAGTAGCTGAAATCTATTTTGTTTGTCAACAAAAAAATAAACATTAAAAGGTTGCCAATGAAGGAAATCTGCCCAATATCAACTGTCCCTAGCAAACAAAGTACAGAGCTCAAATGTAAACAGATAAAACAATGAGCTGAGGTACATATATGTATTCTACAACAAAAATCTCTGCCATGGAAGCCTAACACTTTTAATCTACTTTAATAATTATATCAAGGAATCTTCCCATTTATAATGGAGGATGGAGAGACAAGTAGGCACAGAAGACTAAACCTGCTGCCTCCCTTGCACACACCACTATATCAATCATAGCAGTTCAGCAAACAATGTACAGAGATTTCAAAACTGTTCCATGTTTCTTAGGATTATAATTTTTCTACACTTTTATAAAACAAAAACAGTCTCAGGAAGACAGCTTCATGTTGCATGCCAAACTTTGTGTGGTATGGCACGCACAAAGTCCAAGCAATAAGTAAACTTCACTAATACAAATAGGAGCTCTGCAAATTTACATTGAGGAGCTTCGCAGTCTAAGAACCGTCTGCTCTTTTTGCTGTTATCTCTTTCTTGTCTCCTGTCATAATCTGCATATTTCAACTGAACGCCCAAGAACTTGGGAACAAGGTCATTTGTTTCTAATTTCTCCAGGCATAGTCACACACAGTTTTTAATCAGTATGCCTTTAAAAGAGATTTGCACATTTCCAGTTCTAATCTAACACTGAAAATATTCCAGCATGGTACCAAATCTTCCAATAACTTTTATTTTACTCATGTTCCCTCTGTCCAAAATGCTGAAAGCTGGCCTGCCAATGAAGATGGGCAGAATTAATCAATCTACCCAGGATAGGAATTTGTCAGTAACTTCTCAACATCCATTACCCAGGAAGACCTTATGGAAGAACAAGGAGTTAGATGAGACTCTCCTCTCAGCTGGGACCAGCCTCTGTCCTTCTCTTCCCCATAATGCCTAAATTCAAGCCAATGCATGACATGACAACATCCCATCAGACACTGTCCCACCAGTCAATAAGATGAGACAGAGCAAGACACACAATGTCAAATCACATCCTATTTTTATTTATTTATGAATTTATTTATGGAATTTATATAGTGTCCTATACCCACAGGTCTCAGGGTGGTTCACAGTGTAAAACCAGAATATAAAACCACAAAATAAATAATCCTATCACATGTGTTAATTCTATGTTGATAGATTTAGACATTATGAAGAACAGAAGGAAAGAGATGAAGTAATGTTAATTCCTTGTATAGTTTTGCCCTAAGAGATGTCTGAGAATGCACAGCACCCACATACATACACACTGCACAATGAAAACTACTCATGAAATTCTCAGAAGCAGCTTTGTGATGCAGCCACGCATGGGGGTGGATAAGGAACAAAGTGCTATGCAAAACCTACCCATCCTGATCACTGCCAATCTTACAGAGACCACCTAGTTTAAAGTACATTACAGTGGTGCCCCGCAAGACGAATGCCTCGCAAGACGGAAAAACCGCTAGACGAAAGGGTTTTCCGTTTTGAAGTTGCTTCGCAGGACGAATTCCCCTATGGGCTTGCTTCGCAAGACGAAAATGTCTTGCGAGTCTTGAGATTTTTTTCGCTTTCCCCCTTTATCTAATCTGCTAAGCCTTTAATAGCCTTTAATAGCCTTTTAGCAGCTAATCCCCTAAGCCTTTAAGCCTTTAATAGCCGCTAAACAGCTGATAGCGCTAATAGCGCTAATCCGTCAATGGGCTTGCTTCGCAAGACGAAAAAACCGCTAGACGAAGACTCTTGCGGAACGGATTAATTTCGTCTTGCGAGGCACCACTGTATTCATACACTTTAAAACTTATCTTTCTTGTTTGTTTGTTTGTTTGTTTGTTTGTTTATTTAAAATTAGAGTTTAGATTCTCATGCCAAACTTTGCACTCAATTACAAACTGATATTTTCTGTGATCTCTGCATAATTTTCCAGACCCTAGATATAGAAAACTTTATTGCATTCATCATGGGGGAGGGAGTAGCAGATAGCACAGAACAAAATAAACTAGTTCAGAAGTAGTACTGGAATACTCAGCATGGCAAATGTACCTCCAGCCTCTTTCAAATTCATTTTCTATTTGCACTTCAATGTTTTGTACATGTTCCATCTTCAGTTCAGGCTGCAACAAGCTCTATTTGAACAAGCCCTTTTGAGGATCAGGGCTGATCAAATCAGTAACTGAATTAGTTTGGCAAAGATTTTAAAGGGAGTTCAAACGTAAGGCTTAAGTCTGTTTGCATTAGTCTTTACTCCTTAATTAAGAAATGTTTTGACAGGAAATGTTAGGAGATTTATTTTTTGCATTTGCATTCCACTCTCTGCTCAAGGCAGTGTTTTAGCCTCACAAACAAGCCTATAGTGAAGGTTAGGCTTAATGATTGTAACTTACCTAAAGACACTCAAATATGGTCACTCATGAATGGGAGGCAGGAGTTTGAACCTAGGTTTGTGTGCCACATGCAAACCCAACAATAACAAGTGCACAATACTGCCCATCTGGCTAACCACATTAATTATCTAAACTTCTCAAACTTGTTTTTCAACATTGCTGCCTAAACAAGTGTTTCAAGGCCTGCTTTGAGATCATTTATATAGCACTTTTAAAATGAAAAATAAATAAAGTGCCAAACACAATCTTGTCTGGACTATCCTTACAATAACAGCTTCGCACATTAAAGGCAAACGTGGGTTTGACACCTAGTGAGGGAGCTAAAGCCAATCCTTGCTTCCAGATGCATTAGTCATAGCTGAATAAGTTATTTAAATTTATTGACTGCAGTGGGTCTACTCCAAGTATAACTTAGTTGGATATCACCCATATGTACCGAATTCACACTTTGCAATCTGTGGAGCAGCCTTAAATCCTATTTGATACTTTAAAGATGTTAATACCTTTGGGGTGGGGGGAGATGGGGAGGAAAAGAAAGATACGTATTACTAATACAAGGCAGATTACAGCTAAATTCAAATATGAACAAATATTTCAGATCCAAGACCATTATTCTATGCCAGGGTTTCCCAAACGTGCGCCTCCAGCCGTTTTTGGACTACAGTTCCCATCTTCCCTTGACCACTGGTCCTGCTAGCTAGGGATGATGGGAGCTGTAGTCCAAAAACAGCTGGAGACCCACGTTTGGGAAACCCTGTTCTATGCATTGGGCTACACTGCCTGCCACAAGCTCATTATGGTCAACAACAGGAAGTTACTCAAAGCAGTAGAAAATAGAGGTACCGTAATTTTTTTTAAGCCAGTCATGTTACCAAGAGGTATCTTGTTTTCACCACTCCCACAAAACCTGCTCTTCACCTGTGAAACCCAGTCTACTTCCACTTGCAGTAATGTTTACATCCTGGCACAGCCCTGAAACAGGTTCTAAAGGCACAGCCTAAATTCCTTAGGAAAAGGCTGCACAAGGGAGGTTTGTAATGTGCACATTCAATTTTGTGAGCATACATCTTATATACAGGAATGAGAGTTCATAAATTAAAGCAAGTCCCAGAATAGTAGACATCTTTATTGCCACAGGCAGAGCAAATGTAATTACTCTTTAAGAGGGAGGGAGAGAAATCAATCACTGCTGAACCATGGGGGGAGGCAGCCCCCTTTTGAGTTTTTTCTAAAGATTTTTCGTACCTCTGCAAACCTTGGGGTTCACCCACGCATGTCAATGCCTCCCTCCTATTCATGGGTGATGCAATTTTGCCACATAAGGGCAGGCACTGTGGGAATGAGTTTATTTTTAGTATATACAAGTGCGGTCTTGCAACAAAACGTTGCAGTGTATCTGCGATGTGTGTGTTTCCTGAGCCTGTGGTTGAGGAGGTTGAGAAAACAGAAGTTAACAACAAACTCAGGCACTCTGCTCTAACTCAGATTCTACTTCATGTGCAAAAAAAATTATTGTATGTTTCATTTTGGGACATTAAAACTGCAATTAGTCTGCTTGTAAGTCATTGATGGGTGAGGCTTCTGCATACAACTGAGTGCTGGATTTGGCATGCTAGAAAATCTGAGAGGGCAATTTAAGTAGATTTGACTTGCTGCAAACTGAGAGGCATGAGGGAGCTTTGACTGTGATTCTGAACCAGTGTTAGGCCCGCCCCTGATCTCCAGTATTAACTATGGAATACATTTGAGGGCTGCCGTAAGCTACTGTCACAGCACAGCCCAATGAGCAATAGCTGCATAACAGCAAACTACAATGCAGAGGGTTGCTCTATACTAGTCTTTGCCACCCTGGTGCCCTCCAAATGGTTTGGACTACAGCTCCCATAAGCCCCAATCAGCACAGCCACGCTGGCAGGGGTTGATGAGAGTTGTAGTCCAAACCGTCGGGAGAATACCAGGTTAGTGAAGGCTGCTGTATACTACTCACTTGGCTCAGCCTCCAAAGGGGATAAAAGCAACAGATAACATTCCAGGGTTACCACAAGCTACTTTCCTAGTTTCAACCTGATCCTAGGCCTGCAACAGTCAACATTCCTATGGGGGCGGGGGGAGGAATCAGGAGGGATGGGATGCCTGCTAAGGGAAAGGCACTCCTCTTATGGTGCAAACGTACACTCTATTACATTTTACTGCAGGTCACACGTGTACAAGTACTGTCCCTGGAATTAGTTATCTTAGCACTGAACATAGACAGCAACTAGACATGTTACTATGTTACCTGTGCGTAAGGAATTAACACAGGGAGGATTTAGGGGGCACTATTTATCTTAGGCAGGAAGAAGGATTAGGACCACAAGTGTGGGGCCCAGAGGGGAATAGCCCTTCCCAAACATACAGTCATTCCTCTGAAGCTGTTTTAGCCTCAGAACATAAAACCTTTCATTATACACAGATGAATAATAATGAACAAAATAAAGAACAAGACAGAATACACCCAATATACAGATTACACCCATAAAGTTTTACAAAGGCCTTCTTTTTATGAAGTAACTTTAAAAAAAGAAGAAGCAGCAAAATGGTAGGATATTATGTTTGTTCAGTTTTGTTCTTGCCAGGTTGCTATAGGAAAAAATGCTACCTTTAATCATTTACACACACTATTGTGTGTCTAACGTAAAGGTTAGTTCAACATAAAGACATCGTTAGCTCAGGAGGGCGTTTACTCCACAGCATTCAAATAGGCTCATCTAGACATCAACGTCAAGTTATACTGGCTCACAACATGCAATTTAATGCTCCATGTTTGTGCATTTTAAACAGATGGTTTCAGCTGTTCAAATTCTTAATGAATAATAGCAAAGTGACTCATTTTGAACTGTACAAGAGTCAAAAGAGGAGCAGCCCCAGGGAAATCACTGATCCTTCCCTTCCCTTTCGCCATGCTCCCCCCCCCCTTTTTGCAGAATGTACTTTCATGTGCAGTGCATTCTAAACCCAAGCCTCAAGGTATTAGCTAAACAATAATCAAGAGCTTTCCAAGTTGTTCAGCACCAGAGATTCTGGTTCAGCAGCACCTGAGAATGGCCTTATAATCAATGCTGGCAGAATAGTAAAAAAGACTGGCCAATGGCTCAATAGGCAGATGCCAAGTTTCTTGATTTAACACAGAGACTAATTTTGCTATTTGATCTTTATTCATTTCTAGCTTAATCAGGATACCCGATTGATATTTTTCCCACAAATATCCAATTCTGCAGCCCTATGCACACTTTCTAGGAATAACCCTCAATCAACACACCCAGACTGACCTCCCATTAAACTTGCAAAGAAACTGCCTACAAGTTGCATTGCTTGAGTGACAAACAAATATGGCTTAGAAGTGAATTATATAAAATCCCAGCTTATGTGCCTTCACATCCCAAGGTTTGATGAGGTCTCTGATGATGTCTCTCTTGCACAAAAGTCCAATCTTACACTTCAGGAAACATTTTTCAAATATTTGGGAATTCTGGTAACCAAAGACCTAGCCCAATTCTGAAGGAACAATTATGATCCTCTGTTGAAGCGTCTGAAGCAAGATGTTATCTCTTGGCATCCTTTACTACTCTCCAAGATTTAATCCAAGATTTAATCACTTTCCTATATTCACGAATCACACTGTGCCTAGATATCCTTGTTTAGCCTTACTCTCCCTTTCCAAAGTGCTCTATAAAGACTTCATTATTCTTTTATTAGTAGCTGCCAGAATGACAGTAGCGGGAGGATGGAAAATGTCCCTGGCATTTACAGTAACTAACTGGTATGATCGTGTTTGGAAATTAGCCTTGATGGAAAACCTAACCCACAACGTCAGATTAGCTTAAAGATGATAAAGAAACAAAAATCCTATGGCACCTTAAAGACTAACGCATCTCTTATGGCTCTTGACTCTTGTTTTTTGCTACAACAGGCCAAGTTGGCTACCCTTTGGGAAAAGTTAACGGTGCTCTTGAACAAGGCAAAGTTATTAACCATGGGGTATATAGGCGAGTATCTGAAACATGTTATGTTATCCAAGTCACTCATTGGTGTTGTTTTCTAAACTGAATTGCTAAGAAACCATAACCACACATTCACAGACATTATTCTCCATTACCTTGGAAGAGGTGGGGGAATCTTATGTCACATTCACACCATGCATTTAAAGCATTCATGTACTACTTTAACAGTCATAGCTTTCCCCCAAAGTAGCTAAGAGTGCTCAGAACTGCAGTTCTGTGAGGGGTAAACTGCAGTTCCCAGAGTCCTTTGGGGGAAGACATATCTGTTGAAGTGGTATAAGAGTGCTTTAAATATATGGTGTGGATAATACCTTAGATTAGGTGAGGAGCTGAACGATATTGATTCTCATTCAGAAGTCACAGCAACTATAATGTAAACCACTACAGAAAGCCTTCTGTTTCAGAGCTCAAGCCTATCCAGAACCTAGGGACACTTATAATAAATAATAATAATAAATTTTATTTATATCCCGCCCTCCCCAGCCGAAGCCGGGCTCAGGGCGGCTAACAACAATAAAATAATACAATATTACTTGCTAATATTTTGAAGGAGGACAGCTGCTGATGTTTTTAGCTAAGTTTTATCTTCTCAGAATCCTTTAATTGCATAATTTATATCCATTTTCTATTACACTACATAATGTAGCAAATTTATCCATGGGGTCATTCCACATCAAATGAACGCCAAAAACAAGGGTGTTTTTTTAAAAAAAAAACTTATAATAACCAATATTATGTTAATTTTTATAATGAACAACTTGGTTTCATTAATTTTTTTCTATTACAGCTATGGGTTGTAGGAAAGTTGTACCCAGTAGCCATTTTTCCCCACAATGTCCAAAAAACATAAAATTTTCATTACAAGGAATAAAAAACCCATAAATTTCATTCATTGTCGAGAAAGAGCATGTTTTTGCAATAATTTTCAACATCAAAAACTTGGGGTTCCATCATGCCCACAAGCTGAAAATTGAGGTTTTCTAAACCAAGGTTTTCCACTAAAAAAGTACATTTATATAAAAAAAATTAGGCATTTGTAAAATCTTTTGAGTGCTGGTGTATTTTCTTCCTGAAATCCTCATCCTCTTATTGAGCTCTGTGTAAAATTTCGAAGAGATCTGATCATTGGTTATGGAGAAAAAACATAAAATGTACATGTTCCAAGGGTCTCAAGAGGGACAGACAACGCAGATTTCATGAAACTTTGAAGTGCTATAAAATTAAAAACCATTTGAGATAAAGGGGGGAAATTTAAGGGGGTTTCTTTCAACCATAAGGGAAGGGTGTACACCAAGTTTCATCAAAATCCGAGATGGTGGGTGACATGACCGCGTTGACATGACGTGGAATGACCCATACATGATATTGCATAGTATTTCTCCTCATAGCACATAATCCTTTCAGCACATAATCTTGTTTTCCAAATATGCTGTACTGAAACTAAATGATATTTTCTATGTTCTTGACAAAGATGAAATCATTTTCTTACTTTCTAGGTTTACATATGACAAGAGGTGTGTATTTATACACAATAATGTTGGCAAGACTGTTCATTAATGTACAGTTTAAACCGAAGTGGCTTTCTTTATACAAAAAAGCAAATGACATTCCTATATCCCAACAGCATTTTTCAGCTGAAGTAAACTATTTGGGTATTAAGTGTCAGCAGCATGTACAAGCTTAAGAGGCAAGAATTTTATTTGCTTTTAGAGAGATCTGGAGTATTAACACTGTAATGTTATGTGTCTGAAGTAAAGAGAAAACATATGAGCACTATTGACTTTGGGTAGTGTAGACTGAAAATGAAATATTACTTCCAAGAAGAGGTTTACTATAACAAATTAGTGTGATCTTAGCAGTTAGGCATATTTCAACTGCTCAAGGTATTTCAATGGTGGTCCTCATTTTATTTTAACAGCAAGAGTCTTAAAACACACTTTGCTATATTTGCAAGAGCCTTTAATGAGCAATTCCAATAGATGTAGCTCAGTATTTCAACGATAAAAGGTTGTGCATGAGTAAAAAATGGATTTGGATCTCTCACAAACACCCCCATGATCCCAAGGATAAAATCCCATATACAATTATTTAGGAGTAAACACAACTTAATTCAGTGAATCTTATAACAAAGGGGTTATGCTAAACATCTTACATTTAAATTAAGGAAGTGTTGAGGCTCTCAAATGGTCATTTTAACTGAGCGTACCTCATACAGATATTCTTAATTCAGCGTAATTTTAAATACAAAGACAAGCCTACCTATTTAATTGAACACATTTTTCTAAACTCACTTCATTCATTCATTCATTCACCCACCCACCCAGCAGTCCCTTCAACACCAAAGCAGAAATTCTTAATTGGTTCCAAGGTGAATTGCTTTAAATCAAGACAATTAAGATAAATTTAAATAATATAACCAATTTAAATTTCCCAACAATATTCAAATAAACGATTAAAGTGGCTTCCCATTTTGAAATGCACACATTTCCCAAGGAAGCATACATATTAACAGTGCACACTAATTGTGCCAACAATTATATTGGTTTACAACTAAATAGGGGACGCGGGTGGTGCTGTGGGTTAAACCACAGAGCGTAGGACTTGCCGATCAGAAGGTCGGCGGTTCGAATCCCCGCGACAGGGTGAGCTCCCGTTGCTTGGTCCCTGCTCCTGCCAACCTAGCAGTTTGAAAGCACGTCAAAGTGCAAGTAGATAAATAGGTACTACTCCGGCGGGAAGGTAAACGGTGTTTCTGTGTGCTGCTCTGGTTCGCCAGAAGCGGCTTAGTCATGCTGGCCACATGACCTGGAAGCTGTATGCCAGCTCCCTCGGCCAATAAAGCGAGAGGAGTGCGCAACCCCAGAGTCGGCCACAACTGGACCTAATGGTCACGGGTCCCTTTACTTTTACCTTACAACTAAATAGAGCAACTTCCCCAACCTGGTGTCCTTCAGAAGTTTTGGAATACAGCTCCAATCACCCCTGACTGGGGCTAATGAGAGTTGAAATGGGGCAGGCTCACATCCCTGCTTTATTAATGCGTTTCACAGAGGCTTCTCGTTCTGTTACTACAAATGTTTAGTCAGCCAAGTACATTTAAGCCAAGCCTTTTCCTTTTCTTTTCTCAAAGACTTGGTCAAATAATGAGCTCTCAGCACACACTTCAGACTCTCCCCACACAGCTGCCAGCTACTTACAGAGGAAATGGGCAGTGTGAACCCCACTGCGTAGAGGACAGTGGATGTGATGGTACTGTCATGGAACGGATACTTGATGCTGTCATCATTACAGAAAAAGCCCCTCTGATACGGCTTTATTTTTGCCAAGTTTAGAACAGCAAGGGGTAAGCCAGCTGTTGGGGGAAGGGAAAAAAAGATACAGAGTTAAATATTTATCTATACGTATTATCAAGCATGGACGAAACTACTAAGCAACATGCAAAACTCAAGAGTGTAGCGTATTCAGTATCATGCAGTGCACACAAACTGCCTAGACTTCAAAGCCCCATTTACCTATCTGTCCCATAGATACCAGCAACCAGGCCTGCCAACTGCAGAAGCGAGAATAGCGCAGAGTTCAGACACCAGAATGATGCTTTCCACATAAGGCAAGTTATGAGGCAAATTATTTAGCTGCTATGTTTATTTGGATTGATAACGTGGGAATGGAAATAATCAAAAGGGAAAGAATTTGAAACTTGGACAGAATATAAATAAGAACTGGAACGACTGCAAGGAATGTAGGGCTTATTTTTATGAGACAATGTTTTTTGAAGCCAGGAAAAAAGGGAAGAATTTCCTGAAAGCTTGATGAAGAACACTGGTTATTAATGAAATTACAGAGTAGAAGGACAATTTGAACTAACTGTGTCTATTGAATCACTGTAGTATCCTAGCCAGTTATCACACATGATGAGCACCCTGCATCCCAAGTATAGCAAGCTGGAAGGAAGAGGGAATCCTCTCTATAGTTGCACTACACCTTAGCGGTTCTCTGACATTCAGTATATATCAAGAGAAAACACTCTTCCCTGCTAGAGGGGGCATAGGGTTTCATGGGTTCTTCTTATTTTTATTGCTTACTCCTTGACATCAGTAACTGCTACAACTAAAAAAACCAAAACAAAACATTGTTGTATCCCAGTGAAATATTTTACAGGGAGATACACTGTGGATTGTTTTTTTCCCTTCACTTTTCCATATTGAGATGGGACTCGTATATACTCTCCAATTTAAATATTACATTCATCCCAACATAAAGATTTTTATAATATGCTGAAATGCGGATTATGCTGGTTAGTACCCAAACTCCTCTGTAGTTTTAAATTTGCCTACCCTCAGTCTTTTTTGAAGAGCAAAAAAGAGGACACATTTGCTGACTTCTGCTTTTAACTATGGACTCTCATTTTACCTACCCATGAAAAAGGGGACATGTGGCAACCTTAAATAAATTGTTGTTTTTAAATTGTCTGGATGGGGATGTAGTGTGAAAAATCTAGTCTTGAGGGATCAAGTGTTGGAAGATGGTACTCAGCTCTTCTGATAGTTTGCAGCCCTATGATCACTGATGTTTGAGTTGTAACTTTTAAGAAGAGGTAATTAGAGACCGATTTAAGGCCCCTATTTGGCCTATAGCTTTGACAATGAAAGGGTGGGTCAAGGCTCCTCTCAGCAGTGACAGTAGCTGTGACTCTCAAGAAGGCAGAGCTGCAGGCACAGGAATAGAAGCATGGTGCCTGTGTCATTCTTAATATATTTGTCACACTAAGGAAGACTGCTTGCAGAAACCCAGACCTTGGTAGGCCCATTGCTCACCTCATTCCATGGCAGATTTGCCTCGTTAGTGAAGCTCAGCTTGAGAAGTTTAGCCCACTTCTTATCAGTCATTACACCTTTTAGAATTTCCAGGTTAAAAACATGAAAGGGGGCCCTGTATTTGTTATGCTGAGGATTATTCCTCCCCCTCTCCCAGTATCTTTTTGTGCCATACCTTGTGGTATTCTAACTTCTAGCATCTCAGATGTACAGCGAGCCTCAGGATGTAGAGGCACTAATCCCCATGCCTTCCTGGCTCTCATAACTGAATGTATAAATGTCCTACATTGAGTTAGAGGATCAGCCTCTGCTGTTATGTGTTGTGTTCACGTCAGCCTCTGCTATTTATTATCCAAATGCAACTTAACATTTGATGTCTGCATTATCATCATTTGAGGACGGCTTGAACCAGACTCTAATCTCAAGGTAAATTCCAAAATGAGAAAAAGAATTTACCAAAGGGCCCAAAGCAAAAAGAGATGTACAAAAAAGGTCTCCTCCAACTTTTTTTTAAAGTGAGGAATAACCCTAACCAACATTTTTTTTAAAATTGTGAATAGTAGTGAGGTAAGTGAGGTAAAACCCTCTCTCCATAGGACATTACTTCTTCAGTCTCTTTGCTCTCCCCATCCCCCTTCCCCACAATCACAACCACACATTTACAGGATACCACAGTGAAACCATCACTTCCGCAGCAAAGCTGCTTACCATTCATTATCCAGAGACAGAATCCCAGGATTAGCACTACTGCAAATGTCATACGAACCACAGAAATAAAAAACATTCTTGCTTTTTGGTTCAAGATTACGTCAAAGGCCTACATGACCCACGAAAGCCAGTGTGGTGCAGTGGTTAGAGTGCTGAACTAAGACCAGGGAGACCCAAGTTCTCCACACTCAGCCATGAAGCTGACTGAGTGACCTTGGGTTAGTCACCATCTTTCATCTTTATTTACCTCACAGGGCTATTCTTAAAGGTAGAATTTGGGTGGAGAAACCACATACACTCCCTTGAAAGGAAAGGGTAAATAAATTCTCGCAGGCCTTCAGCACCTTGCCATGTAATATATGGGGAGTATTACTCCTAAGAGTAAAACTACTGATTACCCCTGATTATAATGAGATTAGATTATCCCTGGTTATAATTAGTTGGGTGGGCTACAGAATAGTAAGGAATACAGTGCGGGGTGTTGCACTAGCAGAAAGGGAATGGGGGTTATTGCTTTATTTTAGTTTTCAATTTTATTGTGCATTTGGTATTTTATATTGTGATTTTATGTTGTAAACGCCCTGAGAACTGCGGGTAAAGGGCAGTATACTAATTTAATGAGTAAAAATAATAAAATAGCCTTCTGCTCATGCAACTGTACATTTTGATCGAAACACCAACCTTTTTAAAAAAATAATAATCCTAGATAACCATTTCTGCAAACAGAGTGGAGGGATAAAGGGTCTGAGAGTAAAAGAAGACAGGTCAGGGTACCAAAGCAGTGTGGATGAAATGAACAGAGGCGAACCTGCAGCTTACCAGAACTTTAAGAACGGAAAGTCGTGGATGTGGCAAACTCAAAGCAATTCTCATAACATTAACATGGAAAGCAGCCCATGTCAAGTCTTAAGCATAATAGTATCTCATTTTATCCAGCAACTTATTTAGCAGTTTTTGAGGGGTGGAGAGAGAACCAAGTTAGTAAAAGAAATAATCTTACACAAGTGTTTGTTATTTTACCTTGCTTTAGAATATGAATCTTCACCTATACCAATTCCTGGATAGTTAAAAAAATAAAATGTTCTCTGTGTCCTTTCAAGCATTGGTTCAAAGCTACTCTAATTATAGCTGTAACTACCTAGAAGTACAGGATCTGGCAGCATGATTCACACTCTAATCCAAGATTAGATTTAACACTATTTTTGCTGAGTGACTTCTGCAGATTTACAACCTGAACCTGCTTATATTTACTCAGAAGGAGTTAGATGTGGCTTACTTCTCACGTGAACATAGGACTGCAGCCCCATGAATGCATACAGTGCTACTAACTTGGCTTTATCTGCAAATGCTCCATTTTAATTGCCTTATGGGTTAGTATAGTCAGTGTTCATTCGGGGAAAAGTGAACAACCTGAATTTGCTATTTGATGGACAGGCACATAAATTGTTACAGGTTTATTCAAAACATGGCACTGTTTTTGAATATGTATACTCAGCCTCTCACAATGCCAACTGCTCCACAGATGCCCCACATTTAATTTCCACAACACCCTTACCAGTCAACTCAAAGTTCTGTTGAATGATGTCCCAACACTCCTTGCCAAACTGCCCCTGCCAGGGTTCCTAGCTTTTCGCAACCATTTTTTCCACTGTCTTCCAAGGGCAAAAAAGTACTTTCTGCTACAACAGCAAAAACTCAGTAATGAGGATGTCTGGTTTCTATTAAGCATACATGGCAAGTTTAGAAATGTTAACAGTAGTCTATAAAATTAGATAGGGAGGAGAACTTGATTCCCCCAAGGCAATTCAGAAAAGAAATAATGCCAAGGTGACAAAGGAGGGACAAGACTCTGGCTACCATTCAAGTCTGTGCAAGATAACAATTCTAACTTGGGTAGTATTAAAACATTTTTGTTTTTCCCACACTCACTCATTTTATGGTTAGCAGTAAGCCTTTATCAGGAGTATTTTGCCTTGCAATGTTCCTTCTCAAGGGTAACCCCTTCTCTTGTACTTTCATTTTTAGCAGCCTTGGAAAGTTTCCCCCTTCATATTTGGCTAAATTACAGAATAGAAACCAGGGTCGTTGACAGTCACGGAGAAATATTCACTAAGGAGAGAATAATTATACCAATTCTGTAAGTAGGATCCTGCATATGAAAACACACTGACAGATATATTAACTTGTGGAATTCACTGCCACAAGATGATGGCCACTAGCTTTAATGGCTATAAAACCATCAAAAGCAATTAACCATGACAGCTAAATGAAACCTTCATATAGGGAAACAGAATGCTTCTCTTTGAAATGCTACATACTGGGTCAAAGAGAGTGCTGGTTATCGTCTTTGTGATCCTATTTATTTAGCTGGCTCCCTAATGGAAACCAAATGATGACTGAAGGATATCTGATCCAGCTAGACTGTTCTTCTCAGGTGTAACAAAAGCTCTATTGAAGTCACTGGGTTCAACATTGTGCTTGTGTCCCATTAATTTCCATGGGACTCAGACACACCTTCAATTTTAACAGATTACTGCAAATATGTCAAGGCCCATGGGAATTGTTTGTTAATTGTTTAAAAGATTTCTATACTACCCTTCAGCACAGCTTCCAGGGCAACACACAAAAAGAAAAGAAAATGCAAATAAAACATTGCCTCAAAACATACACCTCAAAATAACTATTTGATCATGTTTTTCCTCCCCCCCCCCCCCCAGTAAATGGAAGGAGGAAATGTTGGGAGAAATATGAATAGCAGAGCCTCCAAGTGTCCCTATTTTCCAGGGACATCCCTGATTTAGAGAAGCTGTCCCGGTTTCTGATTTGATCCTGGAATGTCCCAGTTTTCCTTAGGATGTCCCTATTTTCTTTGGAGCAATGTTGGAGGGTATGGAGCTATCTGACCCCTGAGCTGTTTAAAGGCAATCCTGTATGGGGGAGTTTTAAAATGTTTTATTGTGGTTTTTATATATGTGGTATAAATAGTAAAATCATCATTATGGAGTGAGGTGTCCCTATTCTCATCAGAGAAATGTTGGAAGTTATAGAATAGAGTGTCCCTCAGGGTCTCAGGCAGTCTTTCCTGCCAATGCGGAGACTGAACCATGAAGATGGGAGTGAGCCTGGAGTGCTCAGCAGATAACAAATGAAAACAAACAAACAGGCCTAAACCATAGTTTACCTGCTGTAAATCTGCAAGTCCCTAACTGTTGGTTGCAAAACCATAGCTGGTGTGATGCGTGAACTGAAGAACTGCATATTGCAGCCTCTCTACATTACCTACTTAGCAGGCAACTAGTATTGTCATTTGCACCTCTACTGTTCCATGCCAGTTCAAAAACCTTAAAATATCAGTACACACTCCAATGATGGTGTGCACAAATGCCTTTTTAAAACACTGATAGGCTTAGTTGCTTTCCTTTTGCTGAACTTTCAGGGGTTTCCCAACATCTCCTCTCCTTGTAAGCTCCTTTGATTACATTTTAACAGAAGGGCAAGACATAAATACATACCTGCATAAGTGCTCTAAAGTGGCATGTATGACCTTAATGGCCTTAAGTAAGGCAACTCAACAGCTCTTTACTCTATATCCCTATGCTTAATTTTTTTTCTTCTTAGGTTGTCTCTAAAAAAACATGATTTTAAAAATTGTATTAGATTTCTTTAAGAAGTTAAAAAAAAGTTTATGGACAAAATTAATTAACTTTAAGTTATAGATTGTTGGGGTACCATAAGAGCTAGTCCAACAGACTGAATGGTTGATCTGTGCAAGATGTAAAGTGGTATCCAACACTACCATTCCACTCATGTAACAGACTTCCACTTGCACAATGGAACTTCCTCCTCACCCCTAAAGCCCCGCACCCACCCTCAACAACTATTCCAGAGGGCTGAGGGATTATTCAGAGCAGATTTGGAGGGGGGAGTACAGTGAGGTGAAAAAGAAAGGGAAATCCTATGTGGACAGAGCTCCATTCAAACAGCAGGTGCAACTTCAAGTTTAAACCCCAGCTTGCCCACATACTCTGTGATCTTGAGCAAGATAAAACAGACTAAATCAGAGGGGGGAAACTGTAAAATAGACTTCATATAACGTGTTGGAGCCAGAGCTGGATAAGTGAAACTCCATTAGCACAAGAGGACCTTGCTTACCTCTTCCACTACAAGCTATGCGCCTCCCCAAATAGCCACTTCAGAAGCTTGAGGGACCATCTGGAACAGGGGTTGATGGGACATGAAGAGCAATGGGACGGGGAATCAGGAGAATTCAGCAGGGCTGCTTTGTGCACATGGAAGTGCCTTTCGACTATCAGAAAACATCTCTGGATGCAAGCCAATGAATTACTAGAAGGTGCGCCTTATTTGCCCCTCCTAAATTACCAAATAAAAAGCCTATCTTGCATTAGGAAAATAGAACTGCTAAAGGAGCTTGGTGAGACAGGTCCTATAAATTGAACATTGCTCACTTTCAACAATATGCAGCTAGAAGCAGCAGCAATTACAAACAAGTCATTGCAAGTTCTAGTGTGTCCTATATTAGCATTCATAACATTTCAGAAATATGAACTGGGAGTGGCTGTGGAGCATTTAAAAATAAAGACCATATGAGGTACTGGAAACAAGAGAACACTGATCAGGGAGAGAATGAATCTTGACCTTGTTTACCATTTTAAAAAAAGGAAAGATACAATATCACTTAAGTGAAGAAAGGGGAACCTAATGTGGCCCTCCAGGCCTTTCTGTCTGGCCCTTTGGACTCTCCGCAGGCCACACTCCTTAAAGGAGGTTGTGGAGTTAGGCCTCTGAGTGTTTTTGTCTGGCTGGAATTTGTCCTTGAAGTGGTATTAAATCTTCTTTGCCTGGATATAAGATAGAGAGGGGTGTGAGACAGTGCGTAGAAATCAGCCTATTGTATGAAGGTAAAATTCAAATCCACTTGTCTACCCACTATGCATGTGGCCTCTGGAAGGTTGCCAGTAAGGGAATGTAGTCCTCAGACTGAAAAAGGTTTCACACCCCTTACTTATGTGATACAGCAGGAAGCAATAATCATGGAAATCAGAGTTTAAAAAACATCAGCATTTGCCTCAAGCAGCCTTTATGAGGAGGGGGGCAAAAATACCACAATATTTTAAAATACACCAAATATTGTGTAGACATTCAGTATGGACAACTGTAGCTATTGTCTGCGATTCACAGCTGCCATTCTATGACACAGCCACTAACGCTCATGAACAATCTCAACAGTGATGGAGGAGGCGGCAATTGTGTTGATTTCTCAGGAATGGAGGCACAACCTATAGGGGAGACATCAATAACGCTCACAACCAAATTACAAGCATACAATCAGTTCTGAGACTAGAAGTCACAAGCCTTGAGGTACAGACCTAATCCTTGTGGTCTGATTAAACCTGACAAATAAAAGGACAAGGAAGCTGCTACCTATTTTCATCAGGCTCATGATCCATCTTGTCTAAACTAAGACAAGATTCCTATGATATGGCATACTTTCTGGATTCAGGAAGGTCTTCATCTTGTCATCCCCAACTCACAGGATAAGTAAACCCTAAACAACTGCTGTCAGTCAAAGCAGATTGGGTTAAAGTAGAGCTTTCCAAACTTTTCATGTTGGTGGCACAGTTTTTAGACATGCATCATTTTGTGAAACAAGTAATTCAGTTTTACTAACAAACCAGAGGTTAAGCTAACCCCTTTCTAGCCCTGGGAGGCATGCAGGAAGTGTTCATGCGACACACCTACACACTGTATTGCAACACACAGTTTGGAAGGCTCTGGGTTAAAGGGACTATATCCTGGCTAGGTGGAGTGCTATATCTTAGCCACTCCAACACTCAACAAGAGAGAAGAATCACAAATGCAAGATGCTGCACCAACTTTATCATTTTTCCTCCACAAAGCCAAAGAAACTATTTCTCCTCTCACTTACGTTAACAATATAATTATATTTAATTGGAATTGGTGGCTCTGTTCTATCAATGAATTTTAAGTCAGTTGGAGCTAAAATGAATTTAGGGATAAGGAATGAAGTGGGGGCAGGAAGAAGAGGGCACCATTTGGATTTTAAGGAGCAGAGGATGCTATGGCAATGTGAGAAGTAGACGTGGTAGATGAAAGGGAGCCAGATATCTGTGCTCCCTCTCCATTTTGTAGGCACCCAAATTTCAAGGTGCTTTTTGTGAATGTTAGCTCAACTAATGGGAAGTTGTTAACTTCTTGCTGCATTACTGAAACATGGCTGGAAAGCAAATGTGTGTCCAGACAGCTCTCAGTCTCTCTACATGGTGTCAAGGACTAGACATAAGCCTTGGATTCTGCTGCTGTACCACCTGCCCTGCTGAGTAACAATCTCCTTGTCTGAGCTTTACAGAGGGAGTCTCAGAGGTGGTGCTGGCTGCTTTTCACAGCTTGCGCCAGTTGGTGATGTGAGAGAGTTGAGAATTAAGGCCTATCATCTACCTATGGATCCTTACTCTACCTAATTATTAAAATCTGCCAGGTTAGGGCTTATCACCTTTACCTTGGTGGCAGTTCATGCTTCTCTGAAAGAGAGTGCAATGCTTACTGATCTCAGAGGAACAACGGTTAGACACCTGTTCCAAAAAATGCAAATGTGGACCCTCTGGTTATTAATAACTATTAGCCAGTATCTCACGTTCCACTCTTCAATAAGATACTGGAAAGAGTGGTTTCATGGTTCCAGGTGTTTCTCTAAGATACTGATTGTTTAGTTCAATTCTAATCTGTTTTCCAGCCTAATTTGGGGGCATTTGTTATCCTCATTATGGAACTCCCTCCCACAGGAAGTGCTCTTTGCTCTTTCATTAGTGGCTTTTAAAGAAATTGGCTGCATTACATTCACTTTTAACCTATTTGAGGCTGGTCCAGGCTTTAAAAAGTAATTTATTCCCTGCTGCTATATGGGGAGATCTATTTTCCTGCTGATTTTTAGCCTAAGTTATGTCTACATATTTGTGTTTTATTGTTTTATTAAGTGAACCACCCTGAGAGGGTCACACAGTCCTGAAAAGCCCTATAAAATACCTTAATATACATAAATAAAAATTATCACAATCCTTTTCAAAGCACCAAATGACAAGATTAAAAATAAATTACAGAATTAAAACTTCTGGAATTATATCCAACACAAATGTGAACTTTCGGTCAATTAACACCAGTTTATCTAACCACAGCATTCGCTAGCCAAAAAGCCAAGCATTTCAGTTGGGAGAATTGGACACAATTGTCCTGGCTTAGAAGCCTTTAGGGAAGGAAACACAAGCAGGGCGGGGGAACCAAAAGGAAATCCTCAGTTCTGAAAGTTAAAGTCCACAGGAAAAGGAGTGCCAACATGTTAATATCCAAAGGTGAAAAATGTGCTTCCCTTGGCAAAAATATGCCTGGTTTTTTAATTAATCGGTTTACATTAGGAAAATATTCCAGCTAAGATTGAAGTTTTTATAAGCCCTGGAAAAGCACCACACACAGCAAAAATAGCCCAACCATGCCCGATTAGCATAACAAGATGTTCTGTTAACATAACATGATGTCCCTCAACGATCTCTTGCATATGCAGCAAATACAAAAGCCAACTTCATAGCTGAAACCACCACATTGATCCATGCTATATTTTTTCTGTCATGATACTGATTAACAGTTGGCATTTCAATGGTGAAATCAGCTCACATTTCCGCTTTTAACCACAGAGGAAAGTACAAAGGGTGCACAGGGAGTATTCCTGAATTTAAGAGAATTTGCATGCAGCTATGTGGCTTTCTAGCAGGAAGCTTGGTATCCTTTGCCATAGAAAAGAGCTACTGCAGAACACAGACAGAAGCCATAAATGCTATCTGGCAGGAACAGCATCAGGCTCTAGCAATAGAGCCCCCTCCAACTTTGCTCACAGATTCAAGCATTTTCTTTTGTTTTGAATAGATACAAAGAGAGCTTTGGTTTCAGAAATATTTTCCTGGTAAACAGTATTCTGTAGCTCAAATCACTAAAGGAAGCAAGAAGTTAGATTACAGCAGTAGCACAGCAGAGGCAATTAAAAACCAAACATAAGAAGGTTGTGAACAGATATTTTTCTAAAAAACGGTGATCACAGCTAATTAATTGTTGGATTTAAATAAATTGCATATTGCAGCTTTCTTAATAAAGGGTGTTTTTTTTTACATACTGAAGCATGTAACAGTAATGTTAATAAAGCCATCTTTCATATTTTCTTTCATTCTCAGATATAACACACCAGAAACAAAATAATCTCAAAAATAATAATCATGTGTGTTCTCAGTACCATCAATTAAAGCTACCTTCACAAAATTTTAATTTTTAAGTGGTTAATTGCTTTATCTGTAGGTTAAAATAGCAATCCTGAATTATGAGGTTTTATTACAATCACATGGTACATAAACACTGTGAAATAATAATAAATATAAATATATAATATAAATATAAATATATCTTAGCATTTTTTTCCAACTGCACAACAGGACTTCTCCCAAAATCTTGCATTTGCATGTATAAGGGCACTAAATTAAAAAGTAGTTTCACGATATTTCCACTAGTAGTAGTAGTTGGCAGAGACAATGGAGTACATCTCCAAGGGTGAAGTCAAACTGCTGTGTTAGCTGCACTGAAGTGACATCCCCGGGGCACAAGCCTGGGCAGTGTGTATAGAGGTCCTGGGCTGCCCAGGCGACAAGAACCCCCGCTTGACCTCACTGATGTGGTCCAAGAAAAGCAGAGCAAGAAATTTGCTGAAGTTGCCAAAAGGAGGCATACAAGGCACCATCCAACCATCTTAGGGATTCCACTCCAGATTTGTCTAGGGTTTACTCCTTAGCACTTCTTCCAGCAGTAGAGGTTTCCTTCTCCTAGATAAGCTACCTTCCCAAGGTTGATGAGCCCTTTCCACTAGTGCAATTTTAATTATTCCACATTCTAATTTGATTGAATTACATGGTTCTTTGATTAAATATTTATTGGGTATCTCTATAGGTTTCTTTGCAAACCACTTAGATTGCTTTTATTAAGTACTACAGTATATGCAACATAAATTAATCAAATCATTGGTTTCACCAGCAGACCTATTGTATTGGTTTATTTCTCAATGCTGTGCAACACAGGAATCCATCACTAGCATAAGGGCCTTTGAGTCAGCGGACTGACAGCATTGGATACAACCCTTGGATTGGGCCCCAGTGCAAATAAATAAGTTACTACCTAAGTACTGTGTGAATAAAACAAGTATGGGGGACCTCTGGTCTTCCACATGTTGCTGAACTACACAACTCCCAACACCCTTGGCCACTGGCTATGTTTGCTGGGATTGACAGGAGTTGTAATACAGCAACAGTGCAATGCCAAAGGTTCCCCACACCTGGAACAGAAGTTTTTGCCTTTATAAAACATCAGACCACTAATCTATTCAGTCCAGTATTATCTACCAAGCTTTGCAGCAGGTCTCAAAGTTCATAGAAAGCAACTCTTCCTTACTCTTCAACCAGATACCTTTTTCTTCAAGATGATAGATGTTGAACCTAGGACTTACATGTCAGCCCTATCCAAGCCACCCTCTCAATGCAATAGCTCAGAGGGTCAGCCCACTTTCCCCCCTATTCCAACGATCACAGGTCTGTTTGCTTAAAATTACTTTGATCTTGTGTACTTTCACCATGGCTATTTAAAGTCTTATCAACTGTGCAAAGAAAATAAATAAAAGGGCAGGATAGTAAAACAAAGCTTCATAAGGCGGCTTCAGAGAAGGCTGCCTCTAGATTATATAGAACATTTTATGGCAGAACATCCCATGGCAGAAAAACCAATGCAAAAATCAGTTACAGAATTCCAGATACTGTGGAGTGGGTAAATATTTTTTACAAATACTGGAGAAGGAGAGCATCCCTTTACAAAGCACTTCAGAATCAGTCACACATCATGGTTTCATCTGGAGTACAGCTATAAATGAGGCCTTTTAAAAAGCACATTTCATTTTATGCTAGACAATTTAATCTTCACACTGGAAAGTTTAACGGATTGTCACTAGGTTTATTAAGCAACACTTTATGTTGACAAGCAAGTATTAGGCATACTTTCTCACATGAGAAAGACTTCTTTTTATAATCTAGTATTTTTCTATTCCATATAAAGCCTGTAAAATCAGCTAATTATTTAAAACATGTCTCCACCCTAAACTGGTGCACAGACACTGAATGAAAAAGAAAAAGAAACTGGTAGCTGTGCCAGTCCATCAGAGAAAATCCAAAGCAAACAGGAGTGTAGTATCTTTTAAAGCATCACAAAAATCACAAAATTACTGAACAACTACTGAAAAGCTGAACTTCAAAGCTTGTGCACTACTTTGTAACATTTTGATGGTACCTAATGGAAAGTATTACACTACTGTCACTTTTGCGTAAGCAGAAGTAAAAGGGAGTGAATGACCATGAACTTTGTACACAACATCTGAGTTACAGGAAGAACATTCAAATACTTCTCCTTTCAATAGGCCTATGGGAGTGGGTAACTGGGGACAGACAAACTAATAGCCATTTCATAACCACATTATTGTACAGCATAAGCCAGAGTTGGCACAATACTGAACTAGACTAGACTATCACCTCATACTACATGAAGAGCACTGTGAAACAAAAGCACTAAACATAAAGCCCTTCTGGATATAATGGGAACCATCCCTTCCCTTGGCACACTGGAGTTTCCATAGCATGCAAGACTGGAAACATTTCCAGAACTTACTTTAAAACCATGTCATTTTTATATTGTGGGACATAAACCAAATTGCAATGTATGTTTTAAGTAGTAAAATATTTTAATAGAATATATGTAGGTGCTCATATTTCTAAGGTAGCAAAGAGCTCCAGTAAAGGGCATCCTAAAATGTGTGTGTGTGTGTGTGTGTGTGTGCGCACACACACACACACACACACGTTTTAACAAATGTGAAGGGCAGTTTGGGATTTTTCTTGGGTGGAAAACTAACCCTTCATCCTTTCCAGCAAAATGTGAGAATAACCATTATAAAATTTTCTTTTTTAAAAAAGCCACAGCTCTGGCCAAAGCAAATGCAAGGAACTCTTGAAGGGAGAACCATCTCCTGTAGAATAAAAATCTTTCTGTATTTTAAAGGACATGGCAATTCTCCTTGAGAAGCTTCATTTTTGAAGTTATGCTGTAAGTGTGAATATACGCTAAGCAATAAGTTCCTATGTAACAATCCAAACCATCATTTCATGGAGTATGGAAAATTCCCTAAAAAACATTTGACTATGCCAGTCAAAGTACCCTTTAATTTTTGCAACAAGTGTGGAAGATGGAGACTTTGTCCAGGTTTTCTCTTACTTTTCAAAAAGCCCATTCACAGGCCCACTCAGTGCACTGGATCTGGGTGTGCTGGGGATGCTCTTTCTCTCCCCCACCCCACACACCTGCTAACTGCAGGGTGGCTCCAAAGGTTTGATTATATATGATTTTCATGTATATGGAATTGGGCTTGATGCATAGATGAGGGATTACTGTCAATCTTTGCTGTCAGCTTATCTAACTGATCTAATATAGTAGCAAATACTAGTATAATCATAAGGACTCTGCTCAGGACAGTACAACTATATTTTATGAGAGTTAACTGCAGCCATTTGGCAACACATGTAGCTAAACTACTACAGGCCTGCTCATGCAGAAAATCCTATCAATTATAGGTCAATTAAAGAGTCAAGGGGCATTTTGGAGTTTTATTTTTTTCACAGTAATACCACCTTGAGACTCATTCAATCATTCCCAGGAAGAGACGCACCCACTAAATACAAAGATGACAAAAGCTGTTGCGTCCAAGGTAAAGTCAGGAGATTCCCAGATGGTCCAAGGATGGACTATCAGTATTACAAGAAAACATAACAGAAGCAACCAGTTTGTGAGGTCTTATTAGACACACGCGAATACAAAGCATGGCATTAGGCTTATCAGAGAACTACTTAAATCACAGTTTTCTCTAAACCATTGAAATTTGGAATAGGCACAAGTTATTTCTGATTTTATTCATATTTTAAGAGCATATACTAAGAAGACTATACAAAGCAGACAAAATTGTTCCATACAGTGTTTCTTATTTACTGTCTCCTAATTCACAGACCCAAACATACCACTTAACTGTCAAATGCCAGTTTAATTGCACTAAACTAAATCAACCAACATAAAGTGTTCTATCACACAATTCATCAGTTTGTCACATCACTTAATGGTCATTGTTTAAATTGGTTTAAAACGCCCATTTGGTTTTACTTGTAAACATACAACATTAGTTACTGGGTTTTAAATGTTCACTACATATTCAAAGTTTATTCCACCAATATGTTCTGGCATCAAGAGTCACCCAGATTTGGTCCATATGGGAAAAATTGGGGGAAGGGGAAAAATATCATTGTTTTTGTTGCTATTTATTTATTGTTTTACACTTTTTAACACACGTGCAAATACAAAGAAAGTTTCATATGGTTGAAATAATTGCTGTCAAGAGAAAAATGCCAGACTGCATGATAACAGATTTGGGTATATAAAACTATGCAAGAGGCAAAGCAATTTCTATACTTCCCACATGGTCAAGCCAATTGAAAATATGTTCCTTAGTCAACCAATTGTAAAAGTGCTTCTCATCAACAACTCTGAGAACATGTTTCAGTTGCCCTTACCTCCAGCTCTTCTCCAAGCCATATTTATGGGCTGTTTCTCCATAAAAGGGGCAAATTTGTCTATAGAACAACTGGACTGTCTAGCACAGCAATCTGAGTATCTACACAAAAAGCCAGAACAGAAGCACCAGTTAAGTCCTTAACAATTTAATGCATGAGTTACAGATGGGAATAAAAGCTACAAACCCCTCAAGTATAGTTGTACAACTTCCTATTAGATAGAAAACTGTTATAATTAATTGGTGGTAAGATAGGCTTTGATGACTTCAGGCTAAACTGTCTTATTGCCCTGCTTTCAAAAGAAAACAACTAGTGTGATGCCCAAAACCAACTCTGGCTTAGTAAAACCATAGTTTGGTTTCTTTCACTTCCTCTGCAGCAAACAGAATTATGATGAAGGTTAACTGCCTCTGGGCCTGGGTATGGTAGACTGCCATTATGCTACACAATGATAGCGCTCCCCAGTGCTGTTCTTGGCAGCAAGAGTATCACAGGCATGACCAACCACTGAGAAACTATGCCAGACCAAGGGGATTGTTTGCAATTTAAGCCTTTCTGCTTTGTTCCACAATAAAATGTGATCTTTTAATACCTTGGGGAACTTAGGGAATATTTACAACAATATTTTGAAAGTAAGCCTTTCCAATTTAAGATTACTCCCCATCTTAAAAAAACTGTACAACAATCACCAACACATTTACCAAGAAGCTTTCCCATTGACTTCAGTCCATTGAAAGCATGTTTATGATATCTTCTGTATCAGGAATGCATCCTACAAACAATGGCTGCCTAAAGCATTAGACAGCAGAAGAATGACAAGGCACATGGGCAACAGCACAATTAGTTTGCCACCTTTATTAGGCATGTAAAAAGGTAAAGGTAAAGGTACCCCTGCCCGTATGGGCCAGTCGTGTCCGACTCTAGGGTTGTGCGCCCATCTCACTTAAGAGGCCAGGGGCCAGCGCTGTCCGGACACACTTCCGGGTCACGTGGCCAGCGTGACGAAGCTGCTCTGGCGAGCTGGCACTAGCGCTGCACACAGAAACGCCATTTACCTTCCCGCTATAAAGCGGTACCTATTTATCTACTTGCACTTAGGGGTGCTTTCAAACTGCTAGGTGGGCAGGAGCTGGGACCGAAAGACGGGAGCTCATCCCGCTGCGGGGATTCGAACCGCCGACCATGCGATCGGCAAGCCCTAGGCGCTGAGGTTTTACCCACAGCGCCACCCGCGTCCCACTATTAGGCATGTACCTTATGTCTTAAGTGCTGTCGTTTCCCCCAGCATTTAAACGTAACATTTCTGTGTGTTACGTATCTTTTAGAAGAAACCCTGTCAGAAGAGAAATGGCAATCTTTTATACGGTCCATTTATGCTCTGCTTTCTGACCCAAAAGAGAGAACTTCTTAGAAGCCTTAGGAACTGCTGGCAGTGCCATCAGCTTCTACACCTAGAAATCTAGAGTTCTACCACTACATCTAGAGTTCTGTCATCTGGTGTATCTATAAAGGCTCAGAGAGAAAAGAAAGCAACATTTTCTGCCTCAGAAGTCTATTATCCCTGTGATGGTATGATAAGTGGTATTACACAGAACCTTGGGACTCACAGTGAACAAGGAGAGTGGTAATACTCAAGCAATGCAGACTGGTCTACAGGCCCACAGAGAACTGGTCACGGTAAAAAGGTAAAGGGCCCCTGGACAGTTAAGTCCAGTCAAAAGCAGCTATGGGGTGTGGCACTCATCTCGTTCCAGGTCAAAGGAGTGGACATTTATCCGCAGACAGCTTTCCGGGTCATGTGGCCATCATGACTAAACCACTTCTGGCACAGTGGGACACCGTGATGAGTGCCAGAGTGCACGGAAACACCATTTACCTTCCCACCGCAGCAGTACCTATTTATCTACATGCACTGGTATGCTTTCGGACTGCTACATTGGCAGGAGCACAGAGAACTGGAGCAATCTCAGATCTGTATTGAAGCTGTAACCTTCTACCTGCAGAGAAAAGAAGTCAAATGACTGGAGGATCAAACTAACTAAAAGTAATGTTTATGTCAGAGACATAAACTACACATTGCTCTTGTTCAGATGAAGGAAGGAAATCACTTTTTGTTGCAGTGCTGGGGAGTGGAAATGCAGCAGAAAGTGGGGGCAACTAAATTTTGCTACCTCCTGTTTTTTTGCCACAATTTTAAATGGGAAGGGGCATACACACTTAACACACTATGGGAGAAGTTACGGGGGGCGGGAGGCAGAATAAGGGAAACAACTAGCTGGAAAAGGATTAGATGCCCCTCCCCACTGCTTCTCCTTTACTGTACCCCCTGAAAGGGTAATCAGGCAGCCATAACACACATTTGATTACAACCTGTTTTGGGGGCCCCATCAGCAGTATTCCACAATACAACACCAGACATGTCTACTCAGAAGTCCCATTGATCTCAGTATGACTTACTTCCAGGTGAATGGGTATAGGACCGCAGCCTTAGTCACCCTGCAGCAGCATTTTTACAGAAAGTAGGCAAGCAAACCTGAAGTGCAGTGGAACTTAAATTACTCACAGCTTTGGAAGCAAACATCATAATTAAAGCCAAATGTAAATTAAACACCAGAATTGTTTCATCAGCTGCATTAGGAAAGCAGTAATTTAGAGTCATTGACAGGAAATAGTAAAAATGTATTTCCTCATTGCACCTAGAGCCAAGTGTTTCTACAGGGTAGAACTATAGCCCCAATTGCTAAATATAGTGTGAGTCTTTGGGTTTTCTAGAAAATGGCACATAGGGTTATTCTACTTGTATCTTTCAAAATCCTGGATTCATAACTTCCCTACTGAACAACATATGTAACATGCAACTTCAGCAACAAATAAATACGGTCTTTCAACAATAAATTAAGAGCTTATAATTCTTAGCATTTTGAATGTTCAAGACACTTCACACTGTTGTTGGCAACTGTCTGTCTTGAGAGACAATGGAGTGCATCTCCTCTGTGAAGCAGAGGCCTGGGCTCTGTGTACAGAAGTCCTAGGTTACCCAGACACCAAGATGCCCCCCTCTCTCAGCCTTGCTGATGTGGTCCTAAACAAAGCAAAGCAATACATTTGGCACCAGCTTGGCTACAGGAGTTGCCGGAAGGAGGCGTACAAGACATCCAACCGCCTTAAAAACTCTACTCCGGATTTCTGTAGAGTTTACTCTTAGCCTTTTCTTCTCCCAAAGATGTCCCACAAGGCAGCAGATAACACACTTTGCATGCACTTTGAATAATCCAAAGGGCCAGACTTCAAGGTAGAGATACTGAAGCTGATCAAACAGCTTTCCTAACACATGACCCTAATGGGTGATATCCACACAAATGTTATTAGCCACTTCCACATGTTCCAATTAAGAACATACCATTTAAAAACACAGAATAAGCAGCATCAATTTTTTTTACTCAGACCAGGGGTAATCAAAAGGCAGTTCAGCATGTACTGGTAGATCTAAGGGTTTCTGAGTCCCAGTATTATTTTTTATTAAAAAAACCACCCACAACAACTAAAAGGCTTTCCCCCATAAATATATGTCCACACACACAACACAACACAACACAACCCATTACCTAGCGCTTGGCTGTGGTTGGTGGATCTTGAAAGTTCTAGTAAAAACAAACAGACACAGAGACAAGAAAGACACAGACACAGCACATCCTGCAAACCTGAAATCTGCCAGTCCCTGACCCAGGGAACAAGCTCAAACAACTAAGGCATATTTGGGGGGAAATCTCCAGAAAGGAAAATATATTGTGATTGGGTGTTGGGTGACAGAATATGAACATGGAGCACAACCCACCAGAATATTTTTTGGCCAAAGGTCTCCTTTAACTTAGAACTACACAAAATAAAAGCAGTCCTACCATAATCAGTTTTTAATTGGAGTAATTCCTAAATTACTTCTACTTACCAAAGGTAAGAGTACACTTAAAATATGAGATTGCAATACAAAATATCATCAGTGTTTAAAGACTGAGGCTAACACAAAAGTGAACTCCAAACCTGTAGAACGCAAAAATCCCTAAGTGATTTAACCAATCCTGTCTTTTAAAATCTTTCCTTTTGGACTGCTGTGCAAAGCACTCCAACAGAAACCAACCACAGATCTCCCACTGGTTTCACCCTATCAGATTCCTGCTGGCAGCAGCCAAAATATAAAGAGCCTGGCAGACAAGCAACAAGAATTTCATGCACACCTACAAGCTACTACATGAAAGCCATGCCACAGGGCGACTGGCAACTATGAGGACCAGGATGCAGGATGAGGTAGGTCTTTGGTCTGATTCAACAAACACTTATTATTATGCTCTTTGTCTCTTACCACTCTCTTGAATTAACATCATAACCACTCTTGTAAAAAACAACAACAAAAAAGCCTTCAGTATTCTTCAGCACACAGAAATAGGTATCCTGCTATTTCATGTCTCTGAAATTAAGTAATGTAAGAAGCAGGTCAGGTATTAGACCCATAGCTAGGCTATTTATATCCAGCCCTTAATCTGAATATCTCAGGGCAGGGTAACACCAAATTCAGCCAAATAACCCTATCAGCATCAATAAAATAACAAAAGAAGGTAAAAATTCAATTTTTAATAATAATAATAATAATAATAATAATAATAATAATTTTTTATTTATATCCCGCCCTCCCCAGCCGAAGCTGGGCTCAGGGTGGCTAACAACAATCAAAATAATCCAACATTCTAAAAACATTCATTATAAAATTAATTAAAATCAAATTGATGGCAACCATTAAGCAAAATTCTGCGCAGATTGCCAGAGGAGGGGGTCAGGCTGCGCCCTGACCAAAGGCCTGGTGGAACAGCTCTGTCTTGCAGGCCCTGCGGAAAGATGTCAGGTCCCGCAGGGCCCTAGTCTCTTGTGACAGAGCGTTCAGAAATCCAAATATATCAGGTTTTAAGCTCAGACTGAAATAACAGCAATGAATATTCTAGCAAGATTTCATAAAGCAAAGAGTTCCGAGGCAGGGGAACCACCTCAAATCAGCTCCAGTTATAAAGCTCCCACAAGCAGGACGATAAGGAGAGCAACCCTGTTAAATTAGGACTATATAGGGAGAAGTTCTTTTTCAAGTATTTAGATACCAAACCATTCAGGGCTTTATGAGTCATCTGTAACACCTTAAAATTGAGACTGGGAATGTATTGGCAGCCTGTGCAAATCTTTTAAAAACAGATGTGGGAACTCCACTCAGAAGCCAAGCCACTTCATTTTGCACTACTTGGAGTTTCCAGGTCATCTTCAAGAACAGCCCCAAGTAGACAGCATTATAGTAATCCAAATGAGACATTATTAACAGCAGGGATTACTGTGGCCAGAGTATCCCTAATGCAGAAACAGCCATAGCTGGTGGAAAGCATTCCATGCTGCTGCTGCTGCTATGTAGTGTCACATGGTAGAATCCAACAGTGCGCGAGCACACACACTCCCAACCTACACACTTGTTCTTTCAAACAGAGAGCAGCACTGTCAAGAACAGGTCATTCACATAATTCCTAGAGCCAGGAACCACCAAACTAAAGCATCTGTATTATCAGGATTCTGTTTTAATTTATACACCCTCAACCAACCCATTACAATGATCAGAGACTACTAGTCCAGCACCTACATGACCTCACCTGATTCTGATGACAAGAAGAAATACAGCTGGGTGTCACCTGTATAGTGGTGCCACCCAATATGAGCTACCAATTCACTTCTTAAGACATGAGAGATAATCTACAGCACTTTAACCACCTGTGATGCTTGAAACAGAATGATGCAGGATACAACTGACATCACCGCTTGAGATATAATTCTCAAATCACCCACCGTAACCTCAAGTATACATGGGTAAATTATTAATTTTGTTGCAATATAATCCCTTGGAATCTCAGGTTTGCAGCTTGCAAATAACTACTGTATTACCTTCTGCCCACTCTTTGCTGCTGGGGCTTCTCTTTGGCTATATTTGGGGAAATGCAATCTTCGTTATCACAAACCCTGGTTCATGTTTTCCATGTTTTCCAGTTCTGGTTTGCTAGCTCATCAGAAGCCATTGCTTATGCCCTGCCAACAATTGTTCAACTTGCTTAAACATGGCTTGACATATCTGAATTGAGCTTCTGGAAGTATCAACTATTTCATCCAAATGTTGAACGCCACTAAACCTGAAGAAAACCACACATGAACTCTCCCTTTTTCAGTTAAATGGTCATCCATGAATTATACACTGTATTCAAGTAAGGTGCATGTACTAAAAAAAAAAAAAAAGATGCTGCATGCATCCTTTTTTTATTTAGATGCATTAGCTGGCAGATATAAAACCAGTTCCAGAAACTTTTCTCCATTGGGAGAAATGTATATTATTATTACTATAAAGCATTTGTATAGCACTTAATTCAAGAAGCTTCACATATACATGAATTTGAAAGTATTACAGTAACCCTGTAAGGTAGGTCAATATAAAAAAGATGGAGATCTGAGATTGAATTTTTATTTAGAAGATTTATAAACCACTCCCTAAGCGGTGTACAAACTAGCCTTAAACCAGCTACTGGGTTCATGGTAAAAACCAAGGCCTTTCAAATGCATAACCACTAGCAATATAATTTATTAGCAAAAGAAAGAAACCTGCATGGATTTTATAACAGCATGCCACAAACAGGATACTAGTTTCCTGTTCACTCCTCTTTGCAGGTTTTTCGTTTACAGTATTCAGAGGTACAGATTTTTCTCATATATTCTCCCATGCAGAAAAATGGTCACACTGAAATTGGCCTGGTGCCTCTTTGCTGCCTGCTGTCAGAACTGGAAAGGATTTCAAATAGATAAGGTTAGACATAGCTCAAGATCTTATGCTAACTTTGACAGAAGACAATTGCACAGAAATTCCCTCATTCTTTCAATTAAAATGCCAGAATAGACACAGCAAGAAGTTCCCTCACTATCTCTTCTTGCATTGTGACAAATTTTCAATTACTGTAGTTTAATCTGTATGTTTAGAATTGGTCAAACTGCCAGTACTCATCAACTATAGATATCAGTCATCATTCCTAGTAATTAAATGATGAGTGTCTAGCAAACTAATCTTACCATTCTTGAGAAAAGAAAACCTGCACACTACTCACTTTTTTCCAGTTAGCTCTCTAATGGATATTCATTTCCTCATTTCATCAGAAAAAGGGAAAATAATATTCAGAAAATAAAGCCTAGAAATGAGTGTTCACATCTTGTGACCGAAATGGGAAGACCTATTTCTTCACAGCTTGTAAGGATGACAAACAGCAGCTATAGAAAAGAATGCTGGACTCGGTTATCAAGGAAATCTGCATTTTTTTACATCAACAACCTGAACAACTGTTCACGGCTATTCCTTTTTTTAAAAAAATACAAGCCTGTCCAGATAAGAGGGAAATGATATCATCAGCTTTCCAGTAAACTCCAGCTACATGACAACAAACCCTACCAGCGCTGTCCTACCTACTATCAGTGTACAGAGGCAGGTTTCTTAATTTTCGGTGTACACCAGTGATTCAAACCAATTCTTACACCAGTCCACTCTACACAATCCTGCTATGGACAGAAGAAGCTGCAGTGACCAAGTTTCTTCAGGTGAGACAATTGGGGGTTGGGGTTGACCTGCGAATTTAGGTGAGTTTAGGGATGGAAGAAACGGAGAAAAGAGCAGCGACAATAAAATGTGATGGCAAGCAGGGAAGATGGCAGAGCACATGGGGGAAGCAAGTACGGTGTTTGCAGCCCACTGCCCCACCGCCCTCTTTTTCCAGCCCTTCCTCACAGCCTTGGCGGCGGGAGGTGGGAAAAGCGAAGTTTAGCCCCTTGACATGCAATGGAAGCCAAGCAGACCCGGACACACGTATCGCATATGTATGTACACACGGACCCATATTTCAAGCGCGTATTAAACGCGAGTGTTTTTTTCTACCGCATGTGAAACTCCACACACCGGATATCAATATAGGTACGGGATATATATGTACATATGCGAATGCTGCTCTCAGGCGTAGTTCGCGAAGCAGCTCGCAAAAAAGCAGCGCCCGCCCCGCGAAACAAGGGTGTCGTGTGAAGGGTGGGGGGACAGGAGAGGGAAAAGAAGCGCGTAGCGAAGGAGCATCCCCGGCGTCAAGCCTCCCTTTCCCCGCAACCGCCTCCCTCCTCCCCTTTCCCCTTCCCCTCAGGGCGGCCGGGCGGCCGAGACGTACCCAGTATCAGGCACACCAAATCCAGCGCCACATAAGGGAGCCTCGTCTTGTCAAACATCGCGGCGGCGCCCGGGACTCCGTCTGGACCGCGCCGGGCTCACGAACAGCGGCAGGGGCGCGGAGGCTGGGAGCCCGAGCTCAGCCGCATCCAGCCACAGGGCCAGCTGAGGCGACGAGGGAGGAAACGAGGAGGAGGGGGTGGCGGGTGTCACGGAGCACGCTCTCTCTCTCTCCTCCCAACGGCACCACAAAGCACCTCCTGTGGCGCCGCCACTATTATGCGGCCCTCGCGGAGGACGATCTGGCGCTTTAAGGGAGGGGAGGGGAGCGACCAAGGGAGGGAAGGCGGGGTTCGCGCAGGCTCCGCCCACACCGCCGGCGTGCTCCAGCTCGCGACGCCCCCGCCGCCGCCGAGCGATTCTTTTCCACCCCCGTCATGCCCATCATCCTACCAATCTTTACCCCGCCCAGTCGTTCTTGCCTTTCTTTTCGTTAACTTCCGACGCGGCCAATCAGAGCTCTCTTTCCGACGTTTCAAGTACGTTTCTCCAGGCTGCGCCGCCCACCAGGAGGCTGGCAATCGTCCTTCATTTCCCGCCCCCTACGCTCTTCCAGATGAGTACGCGCGCGCGCACTTTTTCTGCTCACAGTTTGCCGGAAGCGGTCACGGGCATTTAAAGGAGATGTGATTTTTGTTCTCTCACTCCCCTCGCCTCGCCCTGTCTGTCAGTTCTTAAAAATACAAATGAAAGAAGTATTTTTTTTAAAAAAAAAAAATAAAATTCAGGGGGGTAGTTTAATTGTGATAAAATTATGCAAGGGAGAGATTGGACACGTGTTTTCCATTACATTTGTTTATATAGCTACACTTGCATTAAATAAAACCCAACACGTACTGGGGAGTCCCAGCTGCAATGGATTGCGACGGGTCTTGGTCAGAAACGTTGACTCTGAATCACTGTAAAGCCCTGGAACTTACTAGCTGAACTTTTATCTCAACCTATAGCGTAATAAGGTTTGTTAAGATATAAAATACATAAATTGCTCCGCTGACATATTGGGACAGCAGAGGAGTCCGAAATGAGTATGCAGCTCTGAATATTTTTTTATATAACCAGAGGAATTATATTTCAAATGTACTTTCAAATTCCAGGAAGTGCTGGCTCTCTGATTTTATTGTCTAAAACCTTGGAAAAGTGCGTGGGATGTGGAAATAAGTTGATTACCCTTATTAAAATGTTTTGCAATCCATCCCTTGTCATCTTAATTATCTGTTTTGAATGCAAGAGATTGTAGTATGCAAATCAGTTATAAAACCAAGAGATCAGTGATTCACTCACTGATAATAACTGACCTAACACTGTACAATCTGGAAATATTGCATTTTAGCTGAAAGCAAAGCTGTTCCATACACACCAATTCAATGACCATATCAGGGGAACTATGTTTTTCCCTAAGGAAGGGTGTTGTTGCTGTGGTTGTTGTCAACATATAAAAATGGTCCACTGTCACTCAGACCTTGTGGGGGGCCAGACTATATTGGGGGGGGTGAACAAATTCCTATGCACACTATGCTCATCAGATAGGCCCCACAAATAACCCACAGGTGCATTGTAAAAGGACACATTCCATGCAAGATCACCAGGCAGGCCAGACAGTATTGTAGATGATAAAAATTAAAAATAAAAATTTTCTTAACTGCACTGATGATAGTCATTGTTTGGATGGGGGGGGGCCTTGCCTGGGTTTTGGTGCTGTGTTGTGGCCTGCTGGGCCTCCTGCTGCCAGCACCTCTTCCACGCTTCGGGGGTGGGATGGGGGCCCTCCCACCAGCAGTGGAGGCCAGATCGCTGCCACACAGCCAGCAGGGAGAGCTCCTCCTGCCTGTTCTCCCCACCCTCTCGCTTTTCCCTCCCCCCATAAATCTCTCGCCTCCTCCCCCACCCTGGATGGTGCCTCTTTTCCCACCAGGGGCAACTCTGCCTCCTTTTCCTCCTCCTGCACCTCCTGAAGGAGGACTTTGCGCGAAAACGCGCATCAGCTTCGCTCTTTTTTGTCTTTTTTTCCAAGGAGCTCAGACAGCGGCCGGGCCGAGTTAACGACCCTCACGGGCCTGATCCAGCCTGCGGGCTGTACTTTGCTGACCCCTGTGCTACAACAAAACTACTCAATGCAACATTCTCAGCATTCAAGCATCATGTCCAAACTATTTCACCTTACAACCTCACCAACACTTACAAGAAATAGTTGAGCAATAGATTGTCAACCTACAAGGCAACAGAGCAATGTCAAACAGGATTTAGCAGACCGACAAGTTCTCGAATTATAAACATTAAAGATTCCTTGTATTGTTTCCTGATCCTTCGAGTTCAGGTTCAGGACATTTTCCATAGTGTGTCATTAAGAACGCTTTTTAGTCTGGAATATGCTACTTGTTAATATTGTTAGCAAGGCATAGAAAGCAAAAAAATTTACAATATTACATGACTGAAATTGCATTCTAGCAATAACCAACATTTTGCAGTTGAATTATATGTGGGGGGAATCTGGTTTAAGTGAAAATGGCCTCGTGCGCTGTGAAAATGGAGCTCAGTTGGCAAGGTGGTAAACTAAGATGACACAATAGAGAAATGGGTTAACAGTAAAAAGAATTTAACAACAACTACAGGTCTCCATGCAAATAAATAAATAAATACATGCAAATAAAATTACAGAAATGATTGTTCAAGCACTTTCTACAAAGCCGAGTTTCTCTTCTGCCTCTCCTTATATGTGATATCTAAATGACTAGTCACTAGTGGGCCGTAGAACAAAATGTTGCAATGCAGAGAGCTCCAACTAAACCAGTCATTCCATTACCATTCCCCTCCAGTTCTCCATTTTAATAAACCTGCTGATACTTCCACTATTGTGCAAGGATGTTTTAGCTATACAGGCACTCAGATAATGAGTCAGTATAATGGCATACAATCTAGTGGACATTACAAGAATCACTTTGGATTGTAAAAAATAATAATTAAGAAGTTTATGCAATGTGCATACTATTACGACAATAAGATTGCTGGAGTTAAACTATTAAGTGCTTGCAATCTTTATTTCGATTCATGAGTTCTGGGTAACTACACTTAGTTCCAGGTAGATTAGTCTAATCACACTTTAGTTATTTCTGACATTTATATCTCACCCTTCAAGGGCCACTTGACATTCCCAAGACTACTTACAAAAGAGTAAATAATACAAATATTACAAAACATTTATTTATTTATTTATTTATTTATTTATTTACTTACTTGAAGAATATAGGACAGTCTAACACTCTACTCAATTACAAGTTATCACAGATTCAAATGCTTAAAAGCTTTTAAAATTACACTGCTCATAAGGCAAAACAAGAAATCACTTTGAGAGGGGCTTCTAAACCTGCATAAAAGATAGGTCTAAACTCTAGGCACAGATCCTTGAGTGGTAAGAGTAGCGAGGGGGAAGCAAAAATGTGTTCTGAAATGATGATGCATTTTTTAAAATGGCTCCAGGAGGTAGGCTTATGATGCTTCTTGCAGTGATGTCTGAGGCACTGCCTAACAGGAGGCTATGAACACAAGTGCTATTCCACTGCTTCAATACTAACAATTTTGTTGTGTTTACCATAGCAAGAATCTGTAGGTGAGATTACGTAAATGTTGCAGTATTTCATCTGCTCCACCAGCACAAGTATTTTCACAATCTCCCTTCTCCTCCTCCCTGACACTGCTCTGGGGGGAATCTCCCAACCCCACAGAGATGATGGGGGGTGTACCTGGGAGAAGGAGAGAAAGAAAGCGCCAGTTGCCCTAGTAGAACTTCTTGCACAGGCTCCCACTAGCAAAACTGTATAGTTGAATATGGTCCATTGTTTCCCGCAAACATTTGGTGCTGGGAAACTGCCATTCTCCTGGAGTGGAAGTATTTATGGAGAGGATGACATCTGGATTACACTCACTGAATTAGCATATGTATATCTGCAAAACAAACACAACCCAGCATCTGTAAGATCCTAGAGAACTGCAACAAGTATGGATGAAGCATATACTATGCTTTGATAAATACAGCCTTAAAATTTATGAGAAGCATCTCTGTAGGGCAGGATTTTCAGAGCTTCTAATAATACTATTCATCTGTGCTCACAGAGGTCAGCAATGCTTTGTGTTGAGCCATAAACATAAGAATATTTTTTTCCATTGCCAGCTGTACCAAGGGAACTCATTAGTTCACAACCGTTTTCATTTTAAAACACTAATAAAAGTCCATTGGACCAAACTCAAACTTCTCATATGTGGACATACAACTCCCAGCACTTGCTGAATTTTGTTGCAATATCAAAATAATAATTGACGTCACGGGATGCAGTGGGGGAGGAAACCCACAAGATTAAGTTAAAAACAGACTTCACAATGTGATTCTCACAGTCCTCTGTTGGATCAGCCACTATGGTTTGTTCGGAAACTACTTTAAGGGTCACATGCCAAAGCATTTACATTACAAAAAAAGTGCAAATCCACTTTCAGCCAAATGTTGTTATTGTGGGAACCAGCCTACACAATCACACTGAGGATGTGAATCACCGAGCATACGAAGCTCCTCTTGGGATCAGGAACTTCCCCCACTGGGACTTAAGACAGAAGTTGGAGGGTGCCTTGTGCGTCACCTAACCCAATCTCCTACTCATATCCAAAGTGAGAGCACTCCAAAACAGGTAGCAGGCTGTGGAGTGGGGCAGAGATGTCATCATGACACCAAAGTGACTGCAGTTTACATAGGTGGGGCAGGGCAGGATGTCAGAGCTGAGTGGGTGCGTTGGCTGAGACAATCTGATACTCTCTTCAGTGCACCCATTCATCAACCTTGTTCTACCCTGCCACATCGCCATCCAGGCAAGTTGCAATATTGCCAGTATGAGGAGGGCAGCTCTGCCCCATCGCAAGGGTGCTACTGTCCCCATCAGATGGCCATCCAGCCTCTTCCTGAAGACCTCAAGTGAAGGAGGGCCCACCACTCCTCTAGACAGTGTTCTTTTTCTTTTATCTTGGGACCCCAGATGTGGACTAGAACTCCTATACTTCCTAGTCAGTTTAGCCAATGATCAAAGAGGATGAGAGTTGTTGTTAAACCACCTCTTTTTATAAATTATTATTATTATTATTATTATTATTAGTTTTATACATTTCAATAATGTTACAATCAATTTAACATTTCAAAACTCGACTTCCTTCCCCCTCTTTCCACAGTTCCTTAAATTTATTTTTAATATTTTCTGCATATCCAAATGAACTTAATTTGCTCATTTATTCATCTACTTTAAATATATACTCTTATAAAACTGCAGGTTATTACAATAATCCTGCTAATATTCTTATCTGTTTACAGTGTATTTGTAAGTATTCAATAAGCCATTTCCATGTTGTAGTTTGTTAAGGGTTGCTG